TAATATTAAGCTTAGTTAACTAGTTAATAAATCTTCTAGATTAGTTCTTTCTAATATCTTCTTAATTCCGTATAGCTAGTACTTTATTTACTATATCTTCTACTTTAATTAACTCGAGAGAGAACTCTTATAAATCTAGGTAAATATATATTAAATAGTTGTACTTTCTTTAGATTTTAAGAGATTCTTATAGTTAGCTTCGTAGTTATATTATAGAGATCGTCCGGTATACTATATATATAGAAATAAAAGAGAAATATTAAAGGTAGATATAGTATATTAGAGGCTTTATATCTAGCTAGAATTAATAGCTTCTATAGTAAGAAGGATTTTCTCTTCTTAATAGAATAATTGCACGTTATTTCGTTAAGATATTATATATTAATATAGATAGGTTAATTATCTTAGTAAATATATTCTATTTAGTAGTTCGTTCCACTTAGTAGTTAAATACGTTAGTAATAATATACTTATTATTATAGTTTAATATAGTAAAGTTCTTAGCGTAATATATTCATATATAAAATATTTTACTTATTTTATCTTGAATATTATACTATTTTTTATTATAACTATCTATTTTATTATAAATTACACTAGTTTCGCTTATTATTTAAGTTTCTACTAGTAATACTATTAATATTTTAGTATCTTATTATTATACACTAGTAGTAGAACTAGTTTATATATATTCTATAAATACTCTATTAGTGTATTATTAGTATTTTTAAGCGATATTATAATTTTATTAATAGCTATTTTTAAATTATCAGTATATTCTAGTAACTAAATCTACCTAGTAGTATCTTTTTATAGTATTTATATTAATTAAAAGAATCGAGATGAATTCTTATACTATCTATTAGTAGTTAAGTTTATTTCCGTAGATTTTTATTAAGAAAGACTCTATAATCCATCTAGCACTTTCTATAGAATTATATATAGCTATTAGTAATTCTAATCCAGTAATAATCTATAGATATCTAGCTAATATCAACTAGTAATCTTATAGGCCTCCTAGTTTTTCTAATAAAATTATTATTAATTATATAATATAAAGTATTCTAGGTTTAAGGTAGCTTACTAGTAGCTTTAAGGATAATAATAACGCTTAGAACGGATGGAGTACTAAGCGAAACGGGTAGAATCCCAAGGGAAAATCCGGATCGCGACCGAAATCCTAACGGTCTAAATCCCTAGCACGCAAGAAATCCCTTGGGGGGGTTAGTAGGGCCAAGTTGATTCACAGCCCTGAGTTAGTGATTGAATTTATATCCTAGGCCATATTCCCTTTATAGATGTTGCTTTCCTTTGCCTAAGAACTGCTCCAAGTGAAGTTGCAGAAAAATTTGCTCTGAAAATGGATGGTTTTGAATGCCATCTGGGATAACCAGTTTCTAAATGTCAACCACTCGTTTTCCTAAAGACTGACATTTATCCCTCGCAAAGCGATGACGTAAATGAACTCAACCTTCGCGCGACCGAGGAGATGCCATATCAACTCGCCTAGCAGCCCGAGTACCATCTTTCAAGTTTCTATCAGTTGACGTTGGATGTTGGATATTGAGATCGACTTCTAAGCATGATGCATCCCATACGGTTTCCCTGTCCTCAGATAATTCTGACTACTGTTTTTTCCGCTGCGTCGAACCATACTGGTGGCATGGCAACTCTGCCAATTCGTTCGTAGATATGTTCATGTGGTATAATGCGCTTGAGCACTAAGCAAATTCGCGTGTGGCCGCCCCAATATCTCTCCAGATCAGCCATCTCCAAACAGTAGAGGTCTTCTCCCCGTGATGGCAGTAGCTCCTTATGATTCGCATATTCGATATCTTCCTCTACCTTGTACAACGCCAAATCTCCCTCTTTTCCCGATCCGGCACTACAACCCGGTTCGAATATACACAGATACTCGTGGCCGCCTGTTGAGTCATTTCTAAATCCATAGAATATCGGAATGAGCCGGCCCACAAGAATTAGGGATGCATCTTTTATCCCTAAAAATGGATCTGCTCCATACGACGAGCATGAAATATCAATCACTTTGGAAAGCTCGCTGATTTTCCTGGTGGCCAGTTCCGACTCGAAAGTACTCGAGGTGCCTGGGGGCGAGTACACGCAGTGACTGTCAATTGAAGCCCATGACCACGTGGGTGCTCTGTGCTGTTCAGGCCTGCGCTGCGTAATTGCGAGGCCTCTCACTCTTCGATCGACCGTTTCGCTGACCCAGAGCAAATCCTCTATCAAGTTATCCTCCCACAGCCCTGCTAAATATCTCCCGGTTCGGTACCGCTGCTGCTTTGCTAGACCAGCAATTGCCGCCAGGCGATCAGAGGAACGAGTCATGTCGAGTCCGGTGTACCTCGAGACGAGGCGTTGCCATAAAGTGGCCATTGATTTAGGCGTTCTATCGTAAAGTTGTTGGAAATAGAATGCCTTGTCTGTAGGGACTAACGGGCTAGAGCATTCGCAGGCGGAGCTGCTGCAACACTCCCAGAGAAGTTCACTTGGACCAAATGAGATGAAACGAGGGGAGAGGAGACGCTCCTGGAAAACCCATGCCCGCGAGAATAACGGAAAGCCACGGTCAAGGACTTCGTGTGGGTAGTCGCCATGCATGATGTGCGAAGAAGTCCATTTCCGCAAGTGTACCTCCCAGCCTTCTCCGCTTTCACAGAGACCGTGGAGGGCGACCCCTTGTTCTCCGGATGTTGCCCGTGCGTAACAACCTTCAGTGTCATCATTTGCATGAGCCGCACCAATCGTTATGATTGAGTTTTCATAGATGGAGGCCATCTTCTCAGCTTCCCGTTGCCAATCGACGATGTCATCCTGAACGATGCACAAAGAGTCGATCCACAGACATCGGATTGAGAGTCGTCGGACGAATACCACGGCATCTTGGAACGTCTTGGGAAGGGCAGAGAAAGCTATGACCTTAAGGTGCCTCGCCAGAGATAAGCTGGTTGTTTGAATCGTATGGCATTTCCCCCAACAGTGGCTCAGGCAAGCATATAGCCCGTGTTTCCCCACGGACTCATATAGCCTTACGTTATCAACTTTTTCCAGACCCGTCCTCGGATGTCCCAGGTCTAATACCCTCGTTGGCAGCGGTGGTAGTCCCTTATATTGGCATGTCCCGGAGGTATGGAAAGCCAGGCATGTCGACATCTGATCCAGGACCCACTTGAAGGCCGCTTCAGACCCGGTATCTCCGGAGATCCTCGTTCGAATAGGAATATCTTTCCACGGTGACGGCTTAGCTTCTGAAAATTAGCGGATTATACTCTTATCGTGGTAAGGAACTACGGCAATCGAGGTTATAAGCTCTAAGAAAGCAGTCGTGCGAGTTGGAGAGACTGTACCTGCTACAGTGTACATATCATAACATGCTACAGGATGCATCCCATAACCTGCAGGGACCGAGTCCTTGAACCTGATCTCTATATTGCCCTCTTCGCCTGTCCAATATATCAAGGTTGAGACTGTGTCTCTATCGTAACCAAGAGCGCCTACTGCATCATACAACAAGCGGCAGCAAGGACACCCGCCCGCTTCTGCCGAAGAGTTAAGCCTAGAAGATTCGATCTCCAACCTGTCGCTCGTGAATTCTTTACACACGTCGCAGCCCATTGTCAGGTTCCTTGCATACGCTGCTGCTGTTACCGCTTCACGATAGAGTGGTATGCGAGGAGTGCTGGTGCATAATCGCTGCCCTTGGGGATTCAACGGTGATCTGTCATAGACGACATGGCCTTTGGTTTTGGCGGGGTTCAGCCTTATCAAAATATGCGGAACTGTTGATGATTGGCCCGCCTAAGGATGGGCGCGTCACCTTAGAATTAGGGCCTGCACAAACCGTCGTCCCTCTCACCAAGGCTGTCGCTACAACTTTACAAGAATGATCGTTTCATAGAGAACCTCGAGCGAATGGCGAATTTAGCTGTAAACACCATGCTCTAGTTTCGGCGCCTGCGCTACAGCCCTTAGGGTTGCGTGCCTTAGAGGAAATAAGCCTGTTAATAAAAATTTCCAGTATAGCTACTATATTAGTGCGCGATACTATGATGGTTCTGGCTCGCTTAGTTTAGCCAATATGCCAACAGACTCAAGAGACACAATATTCGACTAGTAGATCGAATTCCAAGCTACTATATATAGCTAAACCATGACAGATACATCTATTATTATAAGCTACTCTTAACTAAAGAAAAAGCAAGTCTTTAAATAGCTAAATTTAACTGCTTTAGGTAGATAAATTACAGTATTATTATTTTATACAAATTTAATAAACTGAGTAACATATAATCTTAGCAAGTCTAATAAATTCTATCATTCTATTTTATTCTCGATAAGAATAGAGGCAACTATTTATACTAGCTGAACAGAAATTATCTCTTATCTTCTAGAATAGGCGAATATAAGCTACCTGCCGGCGGGAAGGCGTATCTTGTTAGAAAAACCCTCTAGGACTTGAGCTGAAAGCGCGCTATCAGCTGGCTGTCAGCCCGCTCTTGGCCCGCTCAGCTCACTTTCAAACTACGTTTTCTGTGAAGATTTTTCGTGATGTTGGTCAACGTCGCCTGCGTCTCAGCCGCTGCGGGGTAGGTATGTGTGTGGAAAGATCCTGGTCTGCCACCCTACAGATCGCCATAGTTCTGAGAACTCTGCTTACTACAGCTCCCTTTCTCCCTACCGCAACCCAGCTTAGCGCTTCTATGTGAGAGTGGCGTGCCTGCAACCAAACAGCGTGCTGAAAGAGCCCTGCGATAAGAAGTGCCTTATGCCTAGCCAGCGGTTTCCCGCCTCCTCCTCCGAAAGCACTCGGGCTATTTCCTTCTATTACCGGGCATCATCCTCCTCCTAGCATTAAGCTGGCGATAAAACGGCGAAGAACCAGCTTATAGCGCCACTAGCAAAGAATCGCTAGTAAGCCATTCTCTTCTAGCAGGGTCGAAGAGCTACATGATCCTTAGCTGGTCTGCCTCTACGATCTTTTACCGCCGTCGTGCCAAGCAAGATGGTGAGCTCGCATGGTTTCCTCTACATGCGCGAAATTGCTCGTAAATATCGGGAAGATACTTTAGCCAATCGTAGCGATGGTTCCCTTCGTTGAACTCTTGGATCGCTCTAAGGAAAGAATAGGGAATTGCCTCTACGAGAGCGTCATTCCAGGAACAGCTGTCAAGGTTTTCTCGGTTGGCAACAAGCAGGAAGTCCGCTTGGATCATGAACTACAATCCACGTGAGAACATGCTACGGTGGAAACTGTTCAAAGCCAGCTGACTCACCTTGAAGCCAAAGTCACCAACTGGAAGAAATGCATAGACGAGCTGGCGTGCTGCTTCGTTGGCCATTTCTCTACTGTCGTCGATCGGAAATCCTACCAGCACCTCGGATCTATCACAGCCCTCTCTTTTCGGATCTTTGGGGAGGTACTTGACCTGGTGACTAGCCACCCAGTATTTGGAGGCCGCCTTACCGCACGTTACGGTGATCTGGTGGACAGCGCCTATGCGAGCTCCACTATCTCGCCTTAATCTCTTCGCCCAGTCGGGTCTGGACCATAAGGCGCTCCTCCACGACCATTCGGAGTCCTGTATCTGAATATTGATTTCCCGCAGCTTGTTCATGAATAGTAGGATGGGAGGTTCTATAGATTTGAGTTCCCGAACAAGGTCAGAGCTGTTGAAAACAATTGAGCACTTTGCTTTGCCTCTGCCCTCGCTATCAGTTGAGTGTGGACCTTCGCAACAATGACAGAAGAAGCGCGAGGTGAAGCTCAACCTAGCTCTGGAGAGTCGCAACGGCAAGTACAACTGCAAGAGCGCCAGATATCAGACTCACCTTGTTTGTACATCCCATTGGAGATTCTTGTTGGGCTTGCTGCAAGCAGTGCGGACAGCAAAGATCAGAATGTTGTGGGATACTCCCAGATGGCGGTAGTCCCACCGTCCTTTGAGGTATAGATAGCTCCACTAACTCGATTCCAACCTCTAGGCGACGCGAGCTGACCTGAGATCTATTAGGGCGACAGTATCAAAATCGAATCACAAGTAAATGCTCAATACATACGGCCCAATCGAGTGATCTATGATATGCAGTTCGCATCTCGGGAGGAAGATCTCCCAGGAGTGCTGGCACGGTCCGAGGGCAACCCACCCCTTAACATCCAAGGAGACCCAAGTGTCAACCTCTGCTACGACAATCTTAGAATTGCTTTCAACTTTCTTCACGAAGTCTTTGGTCGCAATTCTATCGATGGCAGAGGCGGACCACTTATAGGAATCGTCAACTTCGGGTTCTTCTTCCCTAATGCAACTTGGTCCATCAGCAGAGCAAACATGCAACATGTCCCTGTCTTCGGCAATGGATGGGACAATGACCCTTGGAACCAAGGAGCGCCCTTGAATACATGGGCCGGCATGTTTGGAGGCTTTGTTGGCAGTCTTGAAGTTGTCGTCCACGAAATGATGCACGGCATCACACAAACCCATGCTCAGCTGCAAGCGACAGAGGAGCCGGGAGCCCTCGATGAGCATCTATCGGACGTGTTTGGGATCATGGCAGAGCAATGGCAAAAGAAGCAGACGGTCGAGGAGGCGGACTGGCTCATCGGCGAGGATTGTCTGATTCCAGAGAGAAAGGGATTCGCATTGAGGTCATTCGTCAACCCAGGCACCGCCTACGAGTTTGACAGCGACAATCTCAACTTCCGAGGCTTCGCCAAAGATCCACAGAGAGCTCAGTGGTCGGAAAAATACACCGCCAGTGAGGACAGATATGGGGTACACATCAACTCAGGGATTCCGAACAAGGCGTTCTGTCTCTTAGCCAAGAAGCTGGGGGGATACTCTTGGGAGAAAGCAGGTCAAATATGGTATTCGGCGCTGACGAGTAATGAGGTGCGAAAGGACTGCACTTTTCGAAGATGGGCCATGCATACTGTCGACGCCGCGCGGAAAGACCCAGGTTTCGGCAATCCTGTGGCCGACAAGGTCTTGGAAGCTTGGATGGAAGTCGGCCTGAAGCTAAGATGGTAATGATAGTCTTGCATTCACGGATAATCGGCTCGTCATGGTTGTCGAACTAGCTCTAGAAATCCAAGTTGGAAGGTTTAGAGATGCCTAGAGTAGCTATCTTGGGCCATCAGTCCAGTCCTTCACTAACGAGCGGTCGATTCAGCGGTCGAGCGGAAATGATGTCCGAGATGCCGCTAGGATAGCAGACGGTCGTGAGTATAATAGCAAGTCTAGCGGGTCTTCTTAAGCCTCGTGACAACTAAGCGTTGCAACTCTAGGAATTACGCACCACCGTCCTCGCCAGGTTTCGCATTCTCTTGATCACGTTGATGTCGGGCTTGGACTGCGTAGCAAGCTGGTTCAGTGTCTCCGTCACCAGCTGCTGGTGGCTGGTTTCTTCGCGTTGCTTCATGATCCTCACCACCGCAGCCTCGATCGAAAATCCTCTTGAATTGTTGTTTCTCTTCTCCGTCGGCTCCCTCTCCCGATCGGTCTCAACATTGTTCCCTGCCGCCGCAACGCCGACCTTGATCTTGTGAAGCCTACCCACGAAGTCCTTGTTGAAATTCAACCGGTCGCTCGGCTTCACGTCCATGCTTATCGGCGCCTTGATGAGAACCCTTGTCTCGGGCGCTGCAGCGAGCGACTGTAACTTCCGTATGAAATCTGATACCGAGACTGGGGAGTTCGAGCCTCATCCCGGGTCACGAACTGGTGAAGCTCATTGGCGGTCGTACAACCTTGGAAGCATCGTTGCTCCCCGAACCTCGCTCCGGTGTTCGCAGGCGTCACAATAGCTCACTGGCAATCGAATGTTTGTAAGGCTCGTACGTATTTCGAGCTCCGGGCGGCGATCGCAAGCTATACTGAACGCCGGAGTCAAGGACCGCGCTTCCTGTAGGGTTTGGCTACTCGTCGAGGCTCTAAATGGCAGCAATGGGCCTCGTTGGGGACTGCTGTCCCTGGATTGCAAAAGCTTGGAAGCATCAACGACCGTGGTCCCCAGCGAATTTCACACCTAGAGATGGAGGAGCCTAGGGTATAGCTTGATTCTTAGAGTATAGCTAATATCTTGCGCTATTAAGACAAAAGGAACGTGACCATGATACGACGAAAACGGAAGGCAGACTACATGACAAGCATGCAGGCCTTAAGCCTGCAAAAGGAGAGATCGTGTGCGGATAGACGCTAAGGGAAACAAAAAGGCTAGTTGATTCTTCAACATAAAACACATTATCTCATCCATTGTCTCATTTACCATCAACATTTTGGTAGCACGGGAACCAACACTCGATGGATTGCTCGTTGCCTGATGTCGTGACTTTGCAGAAACGGAGCGGCGACCCATCGTCGGTAGCAGGCCCTCTGCCGTCTCCCGTGGTCTCCGAATCCCACTTATAGTAATTGACGTTAGTGTTTTGGCTCCCGGGCGCGTACGTGAAGCCCAGTTTCGTGCCGAAATTGCCTTGCTTCTCAAGTTGGAGGTCGTTGGGAAGACCCTGGAGATCGCAGGTGCCTGTGTTTCCGGGAATAGAGCACGACGTAGTCTGCGTAACTTCCTTGTTCTCCCAATCGAAGAGCTTGACGTTCTTGAAATCATTGTCGCCGTCACGAGTAAGCTCGACACTGCACTGAAAGATGTCCTTGTAGACTGTATTCTGAAGCGCATAGTGATTGTCGGTGCCCTTAGGGTCGTAGGGGGAGCTGATCTTGCCGTTCTGTGTTTTCTTGGCAGTCATCTCGAATTGAAAGCCGTCGCTGCCACAGTTGGTGGTGCCCTGGCCAAGGCAGAATTTAACCTTGCTCTGATCAGCGTTTGTGACATCCGGATCGACTCGGAAATAATCCCCTCGGGCCATGACGCCACCTGGCCTTCCCGGGAAAGTGCCCCGGTTGTTGATGAAGTTGCCAATTTTGGCGCCCAGAGACGAGTTTTCGCCTCCAGGCATGCAGCGCAGGCTGTTCTTGTGCGCTTTCTTATCGAAAGTTTCCTGCTGGGAGGCGGCCGGAGGCCACTCGTCGCATGTATAGCTGGTGGCTTTAGACTGATCGTCGATGAACTTCTGGCTGAAAGGGAAGTTGCCACAGACACTGCCGCCCTGTTGGGCCTGGCAACCGGACTCATATCGGTTGCGGTCGGCTTCGCCGTTGTTGCCATTGGGGCCAATGTAGGTGATCTTATTCGCGTCCGGATCATTAGGAGCTTCGCACCTGATGTAGTAGCAAGCATTGTTGCAGGCACCTTCGGAACCTCTGCAGTTAACCTTGAAGGTGCCAAAGTCCTGTGGCGCAGCCCGAGGGAGCATGCGGTCGGCACGTCCAGGGCCGTAGTAGTTGCCAGTGTCCGTGTCGGCGGCAAGACATACGGATGCACGTAAGAGAATGGCAGCAGTGAGGATGCTCCGCATATTGACGGTGAATGACATGTATGATTATAGATAAACTTCGAAGATGAGGACTGAATAAGAGGACAAAGAGAACCACAACCTCATCAGGGGTACGAAAAGATATAATGGTAAGACAAGAATGATAGAGAGCTGAGAGTTAGAAGGTCATGACAAGAGACATATCTAGCCTTTTATAAGTGCAGTCTCGATCCAATCCAACATATTCGTAGAGCCTCTGATTAACCCAGATGCTAAGAATACATCAAAGCTAACGTTGCTGGTCCCTTACCGTAGGATGCGACTAGCGTAGCAGGAAGGCAAGAAGGCAGAATGGTTCATGAGATACTCAGTAGCCAGCTATAGTGCAGGGTCCTCCCACGTCCGAGAGCTACCGCAGCAGCTTTTTCTGTACTGGTATAAACGTTGATTCATCCTACTCTATGTTGTAGCCAATACAAGCTCTTGGACACGAACTCCAACAGCTGCAGACTAGTAAAACGCTGCAGAAGGATCATATCTCTTACTGCCTGACGTGGCGCAACTTGCGGTTGGCCTTTGGCTAGGCTGAGCTGAGTATCAATGGTGCTGATGATGGGCTGATGGCCCGAATACTGCAAACAGTCTCTCTTGTACTACCTATCACCGAAATCAATATCGTCATCTTGGAGCGAGTTAGATACAAGAGTCGCTTCTCCTCACTGGATGCGAGACTGGGGACGATCAAAAGAGCCTCTTCCTGCGCTAAAGCAGAATTTCTGGGCTAGTCACATATGCCTAAGCACAGACCAGGCAGATGGGCTTTGCGGTCGGGTGGGGCGGGGCTGGATTTCCCGCGTTGTGGCTTCGTAGCCGTGCCGCTCCACCAACACGTCCGCAGCGGACGTGTTGGTGGAGCGGCACGGTTAGTCGGCAGAACATCCATTATTAGAGCGACAGCCTCATCCGCAAATGGCATACCACCCCGATAGACATCGATCAAAAAATCGAGGCTGAGGCGCAGTCTATCTAGCACCGCCATCACCGACGCTCGTATTAAACGATATCTGCACGTATCTGCTGCGAGAATTCGCCTAAGACTCACCGCGCAAGCAGCACACTATGTCGGGCCCTCAACCACCGTATGCTCTTTTCGTGATCGCGCAAGGTGTGAATGTCGATGTAAGGTCTGCTCACACGTTTTCCGTTCATCACTAATGCGAACTCAGTATATCAATGACAGCCTTACCAGAGCCTGGAAAGGCGACTTCGAGGCCGCATGGGAGCTGTATCTAGCGACCGATGACTACGAGGATGCGCCAAAGAAAAGAAGCGACAACGAATTGAGCGAAGGCACTCGTGCACCGATCTCGACAGACTTCAAGTTTCCATTCATAGGGAAAACGTTAGAGGACTGCGCAAAGTGGCTGCAGCGTGCACCAGATGAAGTAGAGTTGAACCGAGAGTACTTCACGGCCTTGGGAGAGCACTCGAAGGAGGATGATACGGTGATGCTATGTCGCATTGTTGACTCGGACGATGCCGGCAATGTGACATTGCAGTATTTTCCTGTACCAACTGGAGATGCGGTCGTGGAGATGCAGACGACGCTTGGTGTAAAGTTCGATGAGAAGCTACAGAATTACCAACGCCAGCGGATGCAGGATGGCAAACCAGATCGGAGTAAGGGCGAGCCATATGCTTAATTAGGGCACTTGCGGACTAGCTGTAACACTCAAGCCTCGCAACTCAAGCCTCGTTTTCCGAACAGCCTGTGTACAGATCTCCAGGTGCTCTATGAACGTAGCAGGACCTCAATCCCCGAAACCCTCGAACTCCTCTTCCACGCCCCTCTTCCTAACCTCCTCAATCATCCTCTGAAGCTTTTCTCTCTCTTCCCGCTCCTCGGGTCCCATCTTCTCCAGCTTCTCCTTCTCCCTCCTTGTCAGCTTCTTCTCCCTCCTCTGCTCCCTCACCGACTTAGCGTCCTTCTTCAAGCTCCACGCCCTCTCCTTCTTCACCCTCCTTTCCCCCTCAATACCCATCCCCTCCTTCCCCCGTCCCTCCCCCACACCTGCCCTCCTCGCCTCCATCTCCGCCTTCCTATGCTTCTCCCTCGTTTTGTCCTTGTACGCAAAATTTTCCCAATCTACCACAACGCCTAATGTCCTATCGCCCTCCCACCGTCTCGCCTCCGGCATCTTCGGCAACCGCAGTAGCCCCCACGCTCTGCCCAACTCCCCCCACTCCAGATCCTGCACGCGAAAGATAGACCCAGCCGCATGTTTCGAGTACGCCTGGACCCAGCTCACGAACGCCTTCTGCGCCTTATCATGTGTTGCGCGATCCGCGCGCACCACCTCCCTGATCCGCTCCGTCGTCGCCGCGGCCTCTTCATCACTGACCACGATCGCAGGCGCAGAAAGCGGCGTAATAGGCGTCTGCCTCACGCGCAGGAACTCGATGTAGTCCTCCTCTCTCCCGGGCGTCAGAAAGGTAACGGCCAACCCCTTCCGCCCGGCACGCGCGGCGCGTCCGCAGCGGTGCAGGAAGGCTTTCGGGTCCGAGGGCGGGTCGAGCTGCACAACGAGGTCGACGGAGGGGATGTCGAGGCCGCGGGCTGCTACGTCGGTTGTGAGGAGGACGGTTGGGGCGACGGAGGTGGTGAAGCGGGCGAAGTTCTTTTGGCGGACGTTAGGCGGGTACTTCCCGTGTAGGGGTACGATGGTGAAGCCGGGTAAAAGGACAGCGAGGAGGTTTTGGAAGTAGTCGACGGCTGCGCAGGTGGAGATGTATATGATTGTTTTTTGTGGCGTTGGAGTTAGGGATGTGAGGAGTGCTCTTAAGGCGGGAAGCTTGTGGGAAGGTGGAGTGAGTAGGTAGGACATTTGTAGACTGGCTGGTGTCCTCTTGTCTAGTGCTCCGTTGGCGCTTTTGACCTTTACTGCGATCCTAACTGGGTTTCTTAGACCCACGCGCACGAGCTGGTCAACTGCCTCGGAAACGCTGGCTGAAAACAGGCCTGTACGTCGCTGCTTGGGAAGGCGTTGGAGGATCTTCTGGAGGTCGTCTAAGCAGTTCCATTAACCCTTTCCCACACCAGACATTGTTGATGGCAGAACAGTACCTTTGAACCCCAAGTCTAGGAGCCTGTCGGCTTCGTCCATCACAAGAACCTCGAACGACGACTGGGGGCAATGGACGTGTGGGGAAGACAGCAGCTCGAGGAGACGGCCAGGGGTAGCTATCAGCAGGTTTGGCGAGGTCCTTAAGAAGTTCGAGAGGTCCTGTGCCGTTGTAGTTGTGCCGCCTAAAAGGAGCTGAGGTATAACTTTGAGGGTCGACGCAGGAAAGGCAGGAGGTGGAGGATGTTCGCCGTCAACATCCATATCAGGGTCCAAATCTGTATTCTGTGTATTGAGGAACGGGGCGGAGGGGCCATGGAAGGCTAAGAGGGAGAGCAGGACAGAGTGGATCTGAGTTGCTAATTCTCTGTTCTTCAAGTCAGACAAGCTGGTCTAGAATTCCAGGAGTGCATAGCTTACCTGGTGGGCGAGATAATGATAGCCCCAACATGGTTCTTCTTGATAGGCTCCGAAATCCGCAGTAATCTTTCTACGACAGGTACAAGAAAGGCCAAAGTCTTGCCCGAGCCAGTTACAGCCTCTGAATTCGCTTGTCAGCTACCGTCTCTTCTTGCCACGACAGGAGCTGATTCTTTACCAACCACAACATCTTTATGGCCCATGAACAGAGGTATGGCGGACGCTTGAACCGGCGTCATCCGGGCGAATCCCATGCTCGAGACTGCGTCCAGTATCCATTCTGACAGACCAGGTGTGAGTGCTTCCCATGCTCTTGATGCACCTGGTGCTTGTGCTTTCGCGCCTTGCTTTACATCCTCTGCCGCCATAGCTTCGTCTTAAAATCGCTTCAGGCGCAAAGATCTCTGTTGCTGGAAGAAGTCAAACCAGAAAATCTTTATCTTATCGGCACGTGAGTGCAGCGGAACTCGCCCGCTCTCTGCGGCAATATCTCGGCGGATAATGCTTCATCGGTTTCCAAGTCAACACGCTGAGCAGAGTATCTAGAAGTAGAGGCTGGTGATTTGAGGGTAAAGGATGAGCGGCATAATACCGCTGGCGATCGGTATTACAGGTCTGGCATGGCCTCGTGGCCGTAAACGTTTTCAATGTTTCCATCATCTAGTGTACGGAAGCTTTGGAAGTGACGGAAGCAATATTGAATTTTGCGCGAAAGGCAAACAACCAAAGCGGAGAAACCCCCCAGCTGTATATCCCATGCTCTATGTGATATCTACCCAAAGATCTTAAGAAAGCCCCATAGGCCCGCGGAACAAAGCACCGGAATAGTAAGATTGTCATCCCAGCCAAATAGATCCACGGCCTCACTCGCAGCAGCCACCAAGCCCGCCCACAAGCTCATGACCCCCAGAGCCACATTGCCCGTAAGAGTCGCCTGGCTCTCACTCCACCCCAGCAGATCCCGCGCCTGCTCGGGCAGCCTCAGCACCCCCCAAAAAGCGAACCTGTGCTGCTCCGTGTCGACACCCAGAGCAGTACGCCACGTCGGCGCCACATAACCCCAAAACAGCCCAGCGGTAAGCACGCCGCAGACCAGCGCAGCGATGGTTCCCGCCGCGCTCTTCCCCTTCCTGACGCGCCACGTATACCGGCCCCAGAGCCTCCCAAATGTGCTGGCAGCGGTATCGCACCAGCTGAGCAGCATTATCGACACCACGGCAATATCCTTCGGGAAGAACCGCATCACAATCCACGTGCCGAGGAGGTACCATATCACGCCGTTCCAGCCGTCGACCTCGGACTCGCGCATCAACGCGCCGAGACAGGTGATGTAGAAGCGGTTGAACGCCGGGTAGCGGTGTCTTATCACGTCTGTTGCGGCTATGGGTATCAGGAGGCTGAGGAGGAAGGGGTGCACGCGGGACTGCCGCGTGCCTGAGGCGTAGAGGTACATGGCTAGGAAGCCAATAGAGACGTGGAGGACTTTACGAGGGATTTCGTGGCGGTGGATCTGAGAGGAAATGTTAGGTCTCTGTCTTGTGAACATGATGAGCGCGAGCAAAGGATGGACTTACGAATGACCGCCAGCGCTGGTGAATAGGGATCAGTCCCAGAGGACTTGGACTTCGGCTTATTTCGCGCCAGTAATTCCGGTTCGCGGCAGAGGGCGAGAGGTGACCGTTCGCTACTACTGACCCATTTGCAGCGGGAGCTTCGCCTTTTCGGCGTGAAGCTGCAGCAGATGGGATGCCCGATTTTGGGTTGACCGCGGTCAGACCGCTCATCCGTCTCTTCCTGCTCTCGAGCACAGACTCTCTGCTTCGTGATCGAGCGCGCCGCTCCAGCTCAGAGCCTGAGGAGTCCGCATCTTCAGAAATAGGCTGCGGCGAATTGACCCGTTGGTTCGCGCGGGTTTTGGAACGTGTGGTGGGGCCAAAATAACTGTCTCTGCCGCTGCTCTCGGAAGGCGTAGGTGAGGGAGAAATGATGCGCGTGCTGGGGATCTGATATTGCGCGGACGTCGTCGAGGCCATCGCGTGCTGCCAACAGGCTTCGAAAGAAGGAAGGGGAGGTGTGTGGATCAATCCGGAGAAGGAGGTACGCGCTTGAGCGCAGATGTGTGCGAGAAAGCCGAAGAAGCCGTCGTCTGGGGCGGAGTTTGTATACAGTGGCTGTGCGACTGGGTCGGATGGATTAGAGGCGCCTGCATCGGAGATTACTGGAGGATATGAGGACGCCAGGGTTGATGTCGCGCGCGCGAAAGATCATGCTCTGGGGAAAGAGCAGCGGGCACAGCGGCGACGAAAAAGAAAATGGCCTTCGAGTTGTTGAGCGGCTGTTACTGTTGATAACACGCTGGTACAACGGGAGTCCCTGGGCGTGTCTTGATTTTCGAACGGGAAGCCTGCTCACCGAGATGCCGTCACCGACACGTGATCCGCAGGAGAGTTGAGCTGCCTCACGCCTTAGGTGTAAAGCTCTGGCTATATCGAGACATTATTTCGTTGAGACTTGAGGATCTTGATATGCAGTAGGAGCTAACGGAAATCGAGGTCCCCTTCTATGCATATTGAGAAATATAAGCTCTCGTCATGCAGCTTCTGCCGCCGCGACACGGTCCACACTTGCAGAGAGGGGAAACAATGCAAAGCAGCTGCAGGACGCACAGACATAGTATCAATATCTTCTGCCATACTAAGGCCTTCTAGGTGCGTGTCCCTTATCCTCATACATCATCTGTATCTTCCAAGCTGTCCGGCTTTCAGAGCCGCAAGACATTTCATTCTCGTACACAAAGCCCCTTCCCTACTGCACTTAGCCTCTTCCATAATACAACCAACCTCTTATGCCCCTTGTGCACTATATCGCGTCATGCCCCCACTCAGATTCAACCAGGACCTGAGATGCCGTCACGCCCAATCCGGCGGCTCTCCTATTGCCTTTTCATGTTCTTCCGTCCTCATCTTGTAGCCGGCATCTCCATCACCTCCGCCTCTCCAATACCACTCTTATGCGGATACGGCGCTGGCATCACGTACGGCCCCTGCTGTGCAGACGGGTGTCTTGCCGGCATGACATACGGCGCAGGACTCTGGCTCGGATGCGGCGGTGGAAGTATATATTCAGTCGATTGAGGCGACGTCGTTTGCATGTATGCTGTCGACTGCGGTAACGTCGGTTGTGGTGGCGGCGGTGCGGCATTATGGGAGTAATATTCTTGCGGGGAGATCTGATACGGGCTTTGCTGGTACGGATTCTGCTGCGAAGCGGTGGATGAGAGCTCAACGGGCGCATAGGGCGTGCCGGCGTAGAGTTCTGCGGCGTTGGCTGTGGGGGCGTATTGCCCGCGCGTTGGGGCCTTGCGGGTGCGGTGGTAGATCACGGAGGCATAGATGAGGGGGCCGAGCCATATAAGCCTGGGATGGCCGGGTTGGTTAGCTTGGTTGGTTGGGGAGGGGGCGGGGCTGATTGCGGAGGTGGAGGAGACGCACAATATTACGAAGGCTATGGTGATGCTAAGGTAGTCCCCGTGCATGGCATAGGGTATCGTCATCGCGAAGACGATGAGCCAGATCGCGCAGCCGATGACGTTGAAGGTGAGGAAAGTCTTCGGCTTTAAACTGTGTCGGCTATAGAGCACTATGGATGCGATGTCTAACGCGGCCAAGGTAAGATTGAATAGAAGAGTTACAAGGTAGGAGCTACGTGTAACGCAAAGCGATTAGTCGAACAGTTGCTGAGCGAAACATCACTGGGGACGCAGACATACCCTTGCGAGCTTCTTGTATTACCGCGGGCAGCCATGAGGTATATTGTGCCGCCGATGAAAAACACTTCAACCAGTCCTCTTATAAACCAGAAGGGAACCAAGACGCGCTTGAGCCATGGGTTGTTAGGGTCTCTGACGCGCTCCATCGTGTGATATTGTGTGTTTAGGTGAGTGACTCGGGAAAAACGCGCAAGAGCACGATTGACGATGCGGTCGCGATGAGTACAACGGCTTGGAAGCGATGGAGACGAAGGAATATGAAGAAATCCAGCTGCTCGAGCTGGGAGAAGACGGAAGTTTCACTCAATCCCACCTTGCTAAGGCAACCGTCCCGCTAGATGAGACAGCTAAAGGCCCTTTGACCTTGCGCTGGCAGGCGCCCTGGGGGGGCTTCCCCCCTCAGCCTCCTGAGGGGAGGAGGATGAGAATGCTTGCACAGCCCGAACGGGAGTCCGTTCGCGAGAAAGCCGGTCCGTCATTGGCGGAGATGCAAGAGGTGCCTGTGGGCTGCGGCAGGGGAGCTTGGGCCGTCCTAAATTTACCTCCTCGCTATTTCGCCAGCAAGCTTGGAAGGCCAGGGGCCAGGACGCAGCATTGACGATCATCTGTGGCAGGAGCAGGTCCCGCCGTGGTTGACGAATGCAGGAGCCCGAGTGTAGGAGCTTGCTCAGGGCCCAGATGCTCTGGTCTGCGGAGGTCGATGTGCGTTCCTATCGTGTGGGATGGCCTCAAGGAAGATTGGCTCTTGAATGAACAGCGTCTCTAAACAACTGTCGACCTACCTTCGATAGCGGGAGAATTCAAGTTGACAGAGGCAGTTGTACAGGAAAGTGGACAGGTAAAGTCACGAGACCTCGAGGCGCGTCTGGCGCGAGCCCCCCGATAAAGCTCCCTTATCGCAAAAAGGGTCAATGCTTCCCGCATGTGGGACATGTGCCGCATCCGTCTCTCCATCCATCTCAGTCGTTAAACCTCTTCCAACTCCTTCCTCCTTCTGTCTGTCAATCTAGAAGACTAAAGAGCAAACTCCGCCGTCCACAGCCTCTACACCCACAGCAAGCAACATGGGCGCCAACAATTCCAAGGTCCCTGAGTCGGTCTACCGGGAATACCAACAAGACATCGCCGAGCGGCTTCGGGCTCTTGAGCTTGAGCGGACCCCAGACGTCGCAGAGAAGGACTATATCTTGGTGGAAGACGATGCCCGTAACTCTCCCCTGGCTCGGGCTGACAGCTTTGTCACTGAAACTTACCGTCCCTAGCGCCGAGCTACACTCCATACAAGCACGATGTGTCCATATCAGCGACCGAGCAGTGGGAGAAGGAGCTCCTAGAGGACCCTAAGGTAGACCAGACTCCGCATACTGCGTCAAAGTATATACTAATACTCCCCACAGAACCGCCTCGCCCTCGCCGCCCTCTCCACCAACCCCGCAGCCTCCGTCCTCTCCTCCCGCGCCGCAATAATCCACGACATCCAATCCTTCAACATTAAGATCCCGCTCGAAGGCTCGCCCGTCACGAACCAGCGCTCCTCGGGACGATGCTGGCTCTTCGCCTCCACAAACGTCTTCCGCGTCGCCATCATGAAGAAGTACGCGCTCTCCTCCTTCGAGCTGAGCCAGGCCTACCTCTTCTACTGGGACAAGCTCGAGAAGGCCAACTACTTCCTCGAGAACATCCTCGACACCGTCGACGAGCCCCTTACGGGCCGGCTGCTGCAGGCGCTGCTGGCCTCGCCCGTGGGCGACGGGGGCCAGTGGGACATGGTCGCCAACCTGGTACAGAAGTACGGCCTCGTGCCTCAATCCCTCTACCCAGACAGCTTCAACGCCATGAACTCCTCCGCCATGGACCGCCTTATTACATCCAAGTTGCGGGAATACGCTCTCCGGCTGCGCGCGCTCGCCTCAAAGAAGCATCCCAGCGTTGCAGCATCGCTCGCCGGTGCCAAAGAGAAAATGTTGCGTGAAATCCACCTCATTCTGACGCTCATGCTCGGGCCTCCGCCCAGCCCCTCCAAGGCCTTCACGTGGGAGTTCACGGACAAGGAGGGCCGCTTCCGCAGCGTGCATACGCGGCCTACCGCCTTTGCGTCCTCGCTCTCTGACGCGACGACCGTGCGCGCCCTCGGCGGCACGGACGTGCATAAGCTGTTTAGCCTCGTCAACGATCCGCGGAATGAGTATGGCCGCCTGCTCAGCGTCTCGCGGCTCGGAAACGTATGGAACGGGCGACCGATCACGTATGTTAATGTTGATATGGAGACTATGAAGAAAGCCGTCATCGGCATGCTGCGTCGCGGCTTGCCCGTCTTCTTCGGCTCCGATGTCGGGAAGTACAGCGACTCGAGCAGGGGCATCATGGATACGGCGCTCTTCGACTTCGAGCTCGGCTTCAATGTCCGGCTTGGCATGAACAAGGCGGAACGGCTCATGACAGGCGAGAGTGCCATGACGCATGCGATGGTGTTGACGGGGGTGCATGTTGTTGATGGCAAGCCCGTGCGATGGAGGGTCGAGAACTCGTGGTCGGAGAGCGCGGGTACGAAAGGGTACTTCGTGATGAGTGATGATTGGATGGATGAGTTCGTCTATCAGGCGGTTGTTGATCCCGCGTTTGTGGGTAATGAGGTGCTGGAGGTGCTGAAGCAGAGCCCGAAGATGCTGGAGCTGTGGGATCCGATGGGCGCGCTGGCGTAGAAGCGCGCCGGGGCGGTGAGGGGTGTTGCGGTGTGCCGTCGCCTGGGGTTGGGTATCTGGCGTTGTTGTCTGGTGCTGGCATGCACGCGTGGGGCGTTGAACACACTATGAGGAAGATCTATCACTCGTGTTGGTGAGGCACGTGGTCGCTGTGAGGTCCATCGATGATATGCCTGCTTCGACTGCTTGTCTGTAGATGGTTTATATGAGACTTCGCACTCGATCATCTGCGGTGCCGATATTGTTTGCTACTCGAGGAGACTTCGCCTGCTGTCCCGTCCACCTCAAGTCCTCGCTTAGAAACCAAGCTAGAAGAGAAAAATGTGGGAGCAATCTAGATTGCACGTACAAGCAGCAGCGGCCCATCCAACTCGCGAACAACCTGACACGTCATATATGTCACCGGCTCTGCGCCGAAGTCTTGAGTGTGAATTCCACAAAGAGCGTTCGGCGCACCACCCGAGCTTTGAGCGTCTATCGCCAACCCACCAGAGTGCCCGTGGCATTGTTGCAGAAGACTGTCCGTCGTGCTGGACGTGGCTCTCGATGCCATTGACCCAGAGGGCAGGCGCTCAGGGTGCATTTGACATTTTGCGGCATTCTAGGGAAGAGAGGCGACTGCCGCTTTGGGACACGCGCTACAATAACCGCTTATCGGATTCTTTTAGGTAATCTGGGGACCGTGGGACAAAAACAGAAAGATGCTCTGGTAATGGACAGTGAGAACAGCGAGAGGGGCTGAGTCAATGGAAACACGATAGTGAGGGTAAGAAGGCCTGGAGCAGAGGCAGCAAGCGGTGGCGTCTGTTCATTGCTAGTCTGGCGATGCGCCAGTTCATACTATATAGCTGGCAAAGAAGGGGAGACATATCCAGAACCTCACGCCGATAACAATGCAATGACCCATACTCCCTATACACAAACCTCAACGCTGTCATAACCCGAATATCAGTATCAACCGCCCTTGAAGATCCTCCTCCACCGTCACCCTCAAACCCATCACCACGTCCTATCCACGCTCCTCGCTACTCCGCCTCCAAACTATCCCTCACACACTTCCTCACTCGTTTCTTAAACTCCCTCGCGTCATTCCTCCACATCGTCGCCGCCTCCACATTCGCCGGACTCTCGTCGTTTGGACTACTCAGCATGCTGATAACACTCAGCAATATCGTCTCCGGGCTCTGGACCGGCGACCACCGCTCCGAGGCCGACTCGTAGCCGTATTTGTCTTCTTCAGGGGGGTGGAGGATCGAGATGCAGACTTCGCCGTTCTGGTAGACTAATGGAATGTGTTAGTAGGAGCGCAGCGAGCGAAGACAGAGAGTGGGGGGGGGAGAGGAGACATGTAGGGACGTACTGTTGGGATGCCATATCGGCGTCTCGAACTTCATTTTCGGCGGCAGTAGAGGATACTCCGGCGGAAAGCTGAGGCGGGCGCGGAAGAATCCACCTGTGAACAACACCCAGCGTATCAGCCTTGCTATCTTTTCCGTTTTCTGTTCCTGTAATACGCACAGAACAGAACAGGAGCTACCCACCGCCATAAAACTTGCACTCGTCGCTGATCATAAGCATCACCTCCCACTCGAAGACGTTGTTGTCGACCAGCCCGCAGCTTATGCCGGGTATGTCTTTGTCGGTTTGCATTTGCTTTAGCTGGCGCGCCAGCAGGCCTGCGGTTGCTGATCGGGTTGCCATGGTCGTGATTTTCGGCTACTCGCTCGCCTGACCGCGCCTTGTCCTGATTGCTGGGTAGTCTGCAATACGTTGTGCGCTTATGGTGTGTGTGGTATCGCACTCGGTTTGATACGCTTGGATCTTCGAGCTCGAGGGGCGAGGGCGGGGTTGTATGCAGTGTGGAGCCAGAGGCAGCGATGTTGGTAAAGGATGGAGGCTGAGCTGCTGCGTTGCCGGTGAACGATGGGGGTGTAGACAGGTAGCGCCGTAAAGTAGTCGAGCACAAAGTGAGCGTGAAAGTGGATTTGTTCAAAGAGTGCGGCGTAAGGCAAGGTGAGATGGACTCGAGGCATGTGGGCGCGTGCAACGGCAAAGCGGCTCGCACCGATGCCGGATCAGGGTCCACTCGGTCCGAATGCAGGGGTCAAATTCGGCATCAAGCACCTGCATGCTGATGCCTCCCGTCTTTGATGCTTTTGCGTCGCCTGAAACACTCAGAGCTGACCGTCTATAAGACAGCCAGAAAAGCACGGCGGTTTGTGGTGTTCAACGTACTCAGATATAAGATAGGTGCCAGAACAGCTGCACGACGTCGCTGGGCGCTTTCCGTCCTTTCTCCTCCCTTGGATACGGCGATTGGCTATCCCTAGCAAACTCAGTCCTTCTAGTTCCATGCCTTTAGTCTATACAATTCTGGTGCTAAAACAACACCGCGCCGTAGCGCATGAAGAACGTGTCATCCGCTGAAACCGTCTCTTCAACCGAAATACAGCATTTGCTGCTGACGCTGTAGCAAAGCTCCAACATCCGTCCTTTACCGTTACTCCGATAACGGTGGGGTTACTGATACACCAGTCCCAGCTCAGTCCTCCTTCTTCACGTCTGCCCCATCCTCAGCTGTTTTCTTCTTCTTCGCACCCTCGTCCTTCTCAGCCTTCCCCTTCCTCCCCTTTTCCGCCTTCTCCCTCAAATACCTCACCGTCCTGCTCGGCCCCGCCGTAACCAGCCCCTTCAGACTCTGACTCGTACTCGGCCATTTGACCGTCTGATTAATCGCCCTGGTAACCATCTCGCGCAGATCCGGCTCCCCGGCAATACGCCGGTCGAACTCAGTGCCCTGCCGCTTCTTGAAGCTCGTCGCGTCCTCGTCCTGGCTCCCCTCGACGATCTTGTCGAACTCCCGCTGCGGCATCGCGAACTTGCGCTGGTAGAGCGCGTACAGCTTCTGCCGGAAGGCTTTGGGCAGCCGCCGCACCATGTTCCCGCGCTTAACGGGGTCCATGTCCTGCGCGATCTTGATGTCCTGGAGCGAGGTGTCGGCTTCCCAGTCCTTGCTGCGTTGCACGCGCGGGTCGTTGTGGCTAACGTTCGGCAGGTCCTCGATGAATGGGTCGTACAGCTGGCGGAAGTTCACGAGCTGGTGATTCACGATGTTGGAGACTTTTTTCGGGTCCTCGGATTTGAAGGACATACGCGGGTCGCCCGTGTAGCTGAGCCCGGCGATCGCGCTGAAGAGCTGCTTCTCGGTGAAAGTTTCGGGGAGCATGAGTAGCGCGGTGCGCACGGCGGAGATCAGGTTGATCTGGTTCGCCATCCGGATGCGCGGCTCGTCGCGCAGGATCTTGACGGGCTTTTGGAGCCGCCCGGCCAGGTAGAGCGTGTCCCACTCGCTGAGGTCCCGGTACAGCGTGTCGAGGTTCACGACGCCGTATTTGATCAAAGTGCCGTTGACGGTGATGTAGGGGTTGAAGTAGACGCCCGCGCCGAAGCGGTCCTGCACCGCGGACACGAGACCGGAGCCGAGGCTGCCAAGGAAGGAGTAGTGGTCGCGGTGCTGCGTAAGATTGAGCGAGTGCCAGTGCTGTGTGTAGGTGACACCGAAGATGAAGTCGATCATTTTGCCGCCGCCCTTCTGCCACTTAAGTACAGCTTCGGGAGGGTGCGGGTGTGGCGATAGGGCGGCGCTGGTTGCCGTAGCATCGCTTTGCGGGAAGACACCGGAACCGTAGGCGAAGGCATACTTGATGGGCGCGCGGAACTGCCAGAGTATCTGCCGCAGGCTCTCCTTGAACTCTTCATTTATTCTCATGTGCTGGTTGGCGCCGAAGTAGCGGTGTGGGAGTTGTGAGAAGGCGGTGATATTCCAGTCCTCGTCCTCCCATCCCGGCGGGAGAGAGGGGCTGGGCTCCTCGGAGGACTTGCCAGAAGCGGGCTTGGGTCTGGTGGAAGAGCCAGCGGTTGGCGAGGGAGTTCGAGTGGAAGCAGATACAGCGGCGTCGTGGGCTTCGCGCTGGAAGAGGGCTGGTCGCTCGGCGTCTGTTTTCGCTGTTGAGTCGGATTGGGAGGCAAAGGTCCGGCCTCTGAGAAATGGCGGGCGGGAATGCCAGGCTGCCTGTCCCAGCAGGAAGCTGTGGCCGCAGAGAACGGGCGTGGAGCCTCTGGTAGACTACGGCTGTCAGCTTGGGTAGCAGCGGGAGCAGCCGGGAATTCGACATACGGCAAGCCTCAATCGAGCCATTGCTTGCAAAGGGAGTGGCAGCGCGTTTACCGGCGCAAGAAGAAAAGGCAATTCATAGTACAGAAGCAAGGCGTGCAGTAAGCAGTTGGGCGCAGAGCGGAGAGTCGCGCAAAACGAATGCAGGAAGAGCGCTGGAGCTTGTTGAGGGCCGCTTGGCTGCCTTAAGTTTCCCGGGGCTGACTAAGCGGCCGGAAGCTTCCTAAGGCTGCCGAGTTGTTTACACCCTTGAGTTGGCAGCAGCAACCACCACTCAGTCCTCCCACACACTACAGTTGCTCGCGCATTCTTGACACAACCAAAGCAAGAGCAAGGAGGGCAACATGGGTGCTCCCGAAGGTGTACAGACTGTCTCCGGCAGACTGGCAACCTTCGACGAACCGCAACATCTACCAAAGCGACGCGCCTCGGCCACGAAGAAGAAGGCCGCATCGACAGTGTCCTGGCCACATGAGAAGCCTGCGCCAGAAGATGTGAGCTGCGCGTTTACGATCCCATGATGCGCGACTACGCTGACAGTGCCGAAAACAGCTTGCGCGCGCCGGCTTCTACTACAAACCCGCGACAAACAGCCCCGACAACGTCACCTGCTTCATCTGCAAGCGCTCGCTCGACGGTTGGGAGCCCGATGACGTGCCGGCGGTCGAGCATCTTAACCACTCCCCGAACTGCGCGTGGGCGGTCAACGTCTGCATCAGCTACCGCTCCGACGACCCAGATCGCGTCGAAGGGGACCCGATGGAGGACAAGTACGTCGAGGCGCGAAAGGCGACGTTTCAGGACAGCTGGCCGCACGAGGCTAAGAAGGGCTGGAAGTGCAAGGTCAAGAAGGTAGCGCGCCATAGTCATGAGCTTGTGGAAGGCTGCTAATGAGTGGGACTTCAGATGGTCGAGGCGGGGTGGTGCTACGACCCAAGCCCAGAGTACGATGACGGTGTGACATGCTTCTACTGCAATCTCTCGCTGGATGGCTGGGAACCAAAGGACGATCCGCTGTGAGTGCCTCGCTTCTGCCTCCTTGCATCCTATCGCTGACCTAGCACAGGGAGGAGCATCGGAAACGATCGCCAGACTGCTACTTCTTCACACTCATCGACAGCTATGCCGGAAACAGGAAAGCAGCAAAGGGCAAAAAGGGGCGCGGGTCTTCGGCGTCGAGGACTTCCCGATTGTCTACGCAATCCAACCTCACCACATTCTCTGAAGCACCATCGTTGATGTCGCTGGGCGACCCTCCACTGGAAGATGAAAGCGTTCTGACGACAGCAACCACCGCCACTACAACATCAGTGGCTCCGAAAGGACGAAAGACGAAGGCCAAGCCAGCAGCAAAAGGCAAGCGAACCGCAAGCGGCAAAAAAGCTGCACCGGAAACTATGGTTGTGCTGGATTATCCTATAGACGAACCTGAAGTGCAGCACGCGGAAACCACCGCACAGCCTCTGAAACGAACAACAAGGCGGAATACCCAGCTTGCAGACAACTCACATATGGAGACAGACTCCCCTCCGCGACGACCCACTAGGACCAAGGTCACAAGGGCTGTATCGAAGCCCGAACCGGAGCCGCCAGAAGACGAAAGCCAGCTGCAGTCTGAGCTAATTGACGCTGTGCATCGCGCAACGATCGAGACGGTATCAAAGCCCAAGCGCGGAACTAAAAGGACCAGCGACGGACTGGCGAAGCTCGACTCGTCAGTTGTGATCCTAGCTGCAGCTCCTGCGCCAGTCGAAGAGCCGGCGCCCAAACCAAAGCGCGGCAGAAAGCCTACTAAGAAGGCAAAAGGGTCTATCCAGCCTCGTTCATCCGAAGCCACTGAACCCGAGGAATCTCAAGCGCCGGCACCGAAACCTGCACCAAAAGCCAAAAAGGGCAGGAAGATCACTAAGAAGGCAACTCCGGAGCGTGAACCTGAGGACGAACCGCAAGCAATCGCAGAGCCTGAACCCGAGCCCGAGCCAACAGCCACCACTCCCCCTCCAGTCGTTACACTCGACGACTTCCCCCTGCCTCCACCCTCCCACCACGGCGCCGAAACCCCCGTCCACGCGCCCTCCCTCGCAGAACCAACACCTGACCCCGACACCCCAACACCTGCGCGCGTAGCTCTAACCCCAGGCCGCCTCTTCTCCGCAACGAGACGACCCGCATCAACACCTCTCAAGGCCGCGACACCTCCACCAAAAGACCGGATACCCTCATCATCGCCGCACCAATCTTCAGACGCAGAGAACCTACCGCCGTCTTCGAGACCTTCGCTGCATGCCCAGCTCTCCGCCGCCAAGCAGCCGCCTCATATCCCTCTGGCGGCAACACCCAACCTCTCGCCCTCAAAGCGCTCCCACCCCCTCACCGGCGCCCTGACCACCGCCGCGCCCTGGACAGCCGCGGAGCTGGAAATGGTCTTCCTCCTCTCGCCCTCATCCAAAGCGCTGCTGCAAGCCCCTAAAAACGCCTCGATATTCACGGAACTCGACCAAGAGAACCTACAAAACATGTCGGCAGAGGAACTGGCAAGGAGAGTCAGGCAGGGTCTCAGCAGCCCGGAGAAGAGGATGAGCGTCCAGGAGTGGATTTACTGGAATGCGGCTAGGGGAGAAGAGAGGTTGAGACGGGAGTGTGAGAGGTTGGTTGGCGTTTTCGAGACGGAGGGACGGAGGGCGCTGGGGAGTTTGGAGGGGGTGGAGTGTGTGTAGGGGAAGGGAGGGGAGGGTCGGACATGGAGATCAGGCTGGGCCCGCTATGGCTGACGCTGGAGTGTTTTCGGAAATCTTGGAGAGATGTTGGCTGTCTGGGAATCTCCCTTGGTGGTTTCGGCGTTGGGGTGAGGCTGACCTGTGGTCGTTTGGATGACGGCGTTACGACACGCATGAGACCAACGTTGTGGAAAGGCGTTCATGGTATGTTGACACTAGACCAACATTATGATTTCTCTCAAAAGATGCCCAAATGAGAAACCGTGAAGCTGCGCTCAGCTTGACTTCCTTTTCCATTCTTCAGTCCCACCAGAAACTAACACTAAAGCTCGCCTCCAAGCTCCTAACATAATGCCACCACCCCGGGGGAATATACAGACACTCACCCGGCCCCACAACCCCCTCCACGAATTCAGCCTCCCTGAACCCCGAGTAGGCCTCCTCAAACGCCTGCCTCCTTGCCTCCCTATCTCGATCCCCACCCCCTCCCCCTTTTCTATCCCCATCCCAATCCTCTCCTCCATCTCCATTTCTTCCACTCCAACCCCCCTCAAACAACCCAACGAACTCATCCAAGTCCACCTGAGCCGTATTCCCCATATCGACTCCTCCCGTCTCAACTCCCCGCGGGTAAAGAACCTTCCCCTGCGCCGGACTGTAAAGCCGCACGTACTTTGCGCCAACTACCTGCGCGAAGATGTTGTGGTAGGCGTCGGTGTGGAGGGGAGAGATTGTGTTGGCGGGGCCGAACCAGACGTTTAGGAGGGGTTCAGTAGGGCTGGGGGAGGGATTGAGGGAAAAAGAGGAGGGGGAAATAGGAGAGGAGGGCCGGACGCAGCAGTAGTCAGGGACGCTGATGTCGGAGCGCAAGGAGGGAATTTGGGTTAGGAGGGGATGTTGGGCTAGGTAGCCTATTTGGTGTGCTTGTTCCACTGCTCCCTCTTCCTCTCCAGCCTTTTCCCCTTCACCGTCTGGGGCGTCGTCCTGGCCGTCTTCGCTGGTTGGCGCGGCTGGTCGGGCTTTGCGGCTGGGCTCGTTAAGCATGTATCGAGACATGAACTCCCCAAACGTGATGATTCTCTGCCCCCAGTTCTCGGCCGTATAGCTACGACCCAACTCGACGGGCACAAGACGTCTGCCGCCTACTGTCTTCCGCATCAGATACCGCGGGTTACTCCACGCGCGCTCCGGATCGCTGAGGGCGGGCCAGTGGTCCAGCGCACCGGTGATGATGAGGGGCTCCGTCACATTGTTGAGGTGGGCTTCGAAGGCCGCGAGACTGAGGTCGTGGACGCGCGGGATTGGGAAGCGGAGGGTTGGGCGGTTGGAGGGGTTGGAAGGGAAGGTTGCTGGGATGGTGGAAGGTGGAGGGGAGGTCGGGGAGAGCTTTCGGCGTTTGGCAGGTGGTTCTGTCGATCTGGGAGGTGGAGAGAGAAAGGACTGTTCGGCGAGGGCGGATAGGTGGTCTATGGCTTGCTCGGCGAGGCCCTCTCGTAGAGGTGCGCCGGCTACAATGAGGGCCATGTCGAGCGCTTCGACGACGGCTGCGATCCAGTCATACTCCTGCTCTTGCCGCCCTTCTTTGCCCACGCGGGCTTCTCCATCACCGTTGGCAGCAACTGGCGAAGAACCAAGCTCATATCCTCTTCCGGCCTTCTGGGGCTCCTGATCCAAACCACACTCTTCGTCAACTATCCGCAAAGCCTTCCATAACGAACCTTCCGTATAGAGCCTCAGCCAGCTAGTAGGCACGTCTTGGTACCGGATGCTATGAATCTTCTCATGGGCAAGGCGGATCACATCGTCAGGGCGTCTCGCGATGATAGAGAGAGCGGCGGTGCCGCATTCGTGGATGGGATCATTCTCGGCGAACGGCTCTACTAGAGCGGAGCGTAGTGCTTCTGCGAGGTTGTACAGCTGGGTGTTGGGCTTCAGGCTGGGGGTTTGGGTAGTGTTGGTGATGTTGCCAGAGATGCCTTCGACCATGATGCGGAATCAAGCTTCAAGCAAGGTGATGGGACGGTCAAAGACTACTCTAAACGCGCCTCGAGAAAGCCGACACGGGGGATAGATCTTCTAGGATCTGCAACACCAATTCGGCTGGCTTCACGAATATATTTTGGCAAGATTGAATTTTCCGCACATATTACTGGGTATCTACGCCAGCACACTGCACACCGATACTATACACACAGTCCATATATGTCCACATATCCGCTTTCCAAAATCAACCCGTCCAGCATGCAACGTCAATTCATGTCACATGACTCGTAAACTCCATCGCAAAAGGGGAATCCTGAAAACACAAATGTAAGTAGCCGCATGCTAGGGCTGTTCTAGCGCAGTAATCCTCCGGCATCCTGCATGGACATGCCAACGTCACCCTCATCAGCAGGAGGGCTTCGATGGCCTGGAGTAGGCTGCGCCACGGTCGATGGCACTGGGTACGCGGGACGAAGAGGTACAGATGTGTTTGAGGCGGAAGCGGTAGGTATATGTGAGGAAGTTGTCACGGTAGGGCGTGCTGTGGATGGGAGCTCTGAATCGCCCAGTAAGCCACCAGGATCTTGCAGAGATTGCGGACCTGTGTCTGGAGAAAGTGGTGCTTCAGACACGCTGGATGGCGCACTCCCTGTCGGTAGCTGCGGCTTCGAGCTACGAGGTGTCAACTCATAAGAATCGCCTTCAGGCACAGAAAAATTCCGCGATCGCCTCTCCTTCCGTGAGTTAGCGGTACTCTCTTTGCGAGACTGCACTTGTGAAAGAAGACCGCCTATGTCGGACAGCAAAGACCTTGAGCCTCGTCTCGGTGATGCGAAGTCTTGGGCGCTCGTAGCGTCTCCGGTCGGAGAGGCCATGGTGGAAGCAGAGGCGGGACTTGTGTCAAGTAGCCCGCCATAGTCGAAGAAAGCCATGTTTTGTTTGGGATGTACGACGCGAACCTCTTGGGGCTTTGGCATAGGACCTGGCGTGATGGGAGACTTGAGGTCGGTCTCTGTCTCCTCGCTACCTTCGCTGCTCCTGCAGCTTTCAGCAGTCGTGTCGAGACTCTTCCACCCCTGCTTCCCAGAAGGTACAGTGTTCGCGCCACTCATCATCGTGTCAGTCGAGACTGCTACTGACGGGCGGCGAGGCCCGCTCTGTGTCCTGTGGAGCTCAGGGTCCAGCTGGTAGCCAGGGAGATCGCGGATGAGATCTTCGTCACTGCCCCACTGCTGCACCGCGATGGTTTCTCTTCGTGAACCCCGTTCCATGCTGTCCGTTCTTGAGACGGTTTTGAATTTTGCCTTTTTGACACCGCGGTCTCGGAGGAAAGAGCCCAGGACGACTGCGTTGGATACAGCTGTCGCTGCAAGGATCTCTCCCGACGCGAAAACGGTACGGTACTGCTGCCGGCCTTGGTGCTGGATTACTAAAGGAACCCTTGCGCCGGTGACGGCAATCAAGATGAGAGACATAGCGAAGAGCAACACCAGGGCGACCTTGCGTGCCATGGGCATGGCCGATTTGATGATAATCGGTATAGGGAACACTATGAGCAGCACATCGGTGATGATATCGGCGACGCCCATGGTGATCAGATGCGCATAGCCGCTGCGACACCTTGGACCCGGGTCCGGGACGACCTGCCAGTAATGGTCGAATGGCTGACACTCGGCGAGCGTTGCAATGACAACCATGAAGAAGGTGACGACCAAGAATATCCTGATACTCCTCAGCCCGACTTCGTACCCTCGTTTCCAGAATCTGCAGGTGAGGCGCTTAAGAAATTCGGAGACGGTGAACTTGGCGGTCCATATGCTGGTGGAGCGCTGTCAGCACAGTGTCAATAGGTAACGCAACCTGATACCCACAAAAGCGCATAGAATATCCTTGCACCAAGTACCAGTCTTGCCCCTATCGAGTGGGTGTATATCTGTTCCGCGCTCAGGCTATCCGTAGCAACGTTGTTCGTTCCGAACAGAAGCACGGGATGTATGAATGCCATTCGGAGAAGTAGCGGAATGATGCTCAAGGCCATGAGTTTGTCTTCGCGGAACAAGCGATCATTCCTCACGAGCCGTCCCATCAACCGGACCAGGATAGTGGTGAGAGCCATCCCAGTGCACCACCAACTGAACAGAAGCGTGGGGTTGTTGGCCAATCTCGACCGCGGCTCAGGCGGCGCATCGCCGAAGAGACCACGCGGAACAATCATGGCTGTCTCGGATAACGCTCGCCGCCTCTCTTCGAGGGGAGGGTGTTTTGATGAAAGGTCAATGTCGCGGTCCTGGCGGGGGATCTCGGCGGCCTCGTCTACTATGGTGTGTTGCCAATCGCGCGTTGAACATCGCTGTCACTAGGCCACAGCGAGACAGGGCCGTCCAGTTTCGTCTAGGGTCGTGAACTGTCCCCAGGACCGGGCAGCACGGGCTTGCGGTAAGATGGAAGCGGAAGAGTAGGAGAGAGACGAGGCTGAAGCTGAGGATGTAGATGTGGATGAGATGCGGCTGGCGGACAGTGCCGAACAGGGCCCGGCACTCTTATCTCCATTGAGAAAGCCGCCATGCCACGGAGGAAGACGATGGGGGGCATGGGGGGCGCGCCCAAAGTGGCAGTGATAAGAGAGCCCGCTTCTGGGGGCTGGCTGGCTGGCTGGGCGTTGCTGTCTGGCTGGCTGGCTTGCTTCAACTCGACGGCCAAGCCCGGATGACAGGCGTCGGATCCGCCGTTTACCCGATCTGCCATACATGGGTCCACCCATCAAAGGACCGGATGCGCTCCCTGCTGTATATAGCGAATAGCAAAATTACTTGGCTCAACGCTGTGGTCTGAGTGGCTCGCTAAAGAGCGGGAAGTAGGAAGCGCATCCATCCTGACAGAGCCATGGTGACCCTGAACCGCTCTCCACGAACGCTTACGACAGATCTTGGACGCTTGACAGAACGCTTAATGAAACCTTGGAAGCCAGAGGTGAAAGCTGTATGGTCATCCGAATAGACGGGACGGCAGAGATCACGCCACTTTGGTCGTACCGTGATACGGTTGTCAGGGGTCGCAAGAGTTAGATAACCATAGCTTAGATAGGATGGTGGAGGATTGCGTTGCAGCTATCCCAGGTGAGCTGCTGATAGCAAGGACAGCCAGGTACGTTTGCAAACAAGACATACAGGAGCTGGTAGGATCTGTGTGTTACGCTACGATACATTTGTCAATGTACGTGTCCTGACCAGACGTGCCGTGCTGCGCTCCAGTATCGGGTCTCTTGCCATGTCATACAGGTTTCTTCGAGTCCAAGGAGAATCAACGTTGCTCTTCGACGGACCATTGTATGTATGCATCCTGTTTCATAGTCGCCACGCCGTTTGTCATACCAGGCCGAGAGCTCGTAGGAATTCTCGCCCAGCTTGGACAGATTGAACACACAATCGTTCTCAGCGATAACATACACGTCCCGTTTGGCCTTTAGGCACCTCCCGCGCCGGCAGAGCTCCGCGCCCTCTGCTCCCCCCAGCAGCACCGTTCCTACTCCCGCTCCTCCTCCGCTCGTCCCTCTTCTCCAGCTGCTTATTCCCCAGATCACACACCCATCCCGGCAAAATCGTATCATTGTTTAAGAAGATGTCCCTATTCCTATTCTTCTTCCTGCCCGCCGCATCCACATCCTTCAAGTCCTGGTCAAACACCACTCCGTGCCCCTCAAGTCCATAGCCCGGTGGCCCAGTCCCTATGTACTTCCCCTCGGCGTCCATGGCGTAGTGCTCCAGGTACTCCTTCCGCGTCATGCTGATCGTCTTGAGCTCATAGTCTGCGGACTCGCCTTGTAGCAGCGCGCCGAGGGCGGCCGCTTTGCCTTTGAAGCTGCTTTTGTCGCGGGGCACTTTCACGGGAACGGCGATGATGTCGGTGTCGCTGAAGCGCCAGTGGCCCCAGTGCGCGTACTTGGAGCCTTGTTTCCCGGGCTCGGCCTCGGCGGGGACGGGGTTGGGGGTTGTTGTCGAAGGGTTAAATTCAGGGTGGAAGCTGGGAAAACGTCAGTCGGCCGCTTGCGAATGGCGGTGGTTCGGGGAAGGCTCACGGTCTGCCTGCGGCGGTAAACCTCTCGCTGGTATCATAGGTCGGCGGCCCATCGGCAGCTGTACTGCTGGACAGAGCTCCGTGACCGCTACATACGGAGCCTTGAGGATTTTGATTGGAATCGGAGCATCCACTGTTTTGTATGGCACTCATGATGGAAGACTAAGATGGTTGAACGATACGCTAGATTGATCTTTCTCGTTGAGCCAAAGGCGCAGTACAGGTCTTCCAGCCTCATCCCGCTCTTTTGTAACCGTTCATTGCTCCAACACTCGTGACCCGACCGCGCAAGGCGCAAGCTGCAGTGTCCATGTCCGTGGCGCAGCCTCCAGGTACTGAATCCTTCGACAGTTCGGTCATGGTCGCATCGCAGAGAGACGGCGCATGAGCGTCACTGAAGCTTGACTGAGCCTTGTCTCACTGCCTCACGGTGTTCTGGTTGGCCGACGTTTTGTGAGAGTCTGAGGTCAGTTACAGATGCTCCACCTCGCAACCTTGGAAGCCAGGACGGTCTGACTTGGCTTCGGCCCGAAATTCTTGGCTGGTGTAGGCAGTTGTACGCAAGCTAATCTAGCATCGCCGGAATCGAAGAATCCCGAATTGGTAGGGCACTGCGTTAACCATCGATTGAAGGCTCTATGGTCAAGTACAATAATAGAGCTAGTTTAAGGGCCTGGGCGTAGGGCAACATATGTAGCCTTGTAAGCGTGTTCAAGCCATCAACAAAGTCGGAACGGTCAGATCGAGAAGATGAATGGAAACATGGTGAATTCCATAGATCTTGACGATTTCGGAGTCCTGCGAGTTCTATTGTCCGCGTGGCTATGTTCCATGAGACGCAATTACGCGTGCAATGAATCCATAGGATCGGAAGTCGCAGAAGCGAAAGTGCTAAAAGCCTTAAGAGATGCGAGAAGCTGCAACCGCAGCAGGCAGTCAAAGACACGTTAAAGAAGGCTCGCGAGGATCATAGGGCCGTGAAGGCATTCGAGAAACTCTTCAAGCGGCTAAGATGGAAAGAAAACAAGCGAGTACGCTTGCGCTGAAGGATTGGCATTCAATACTAATAACCAACCCAGAGCGGCCAGGACGGCACAGAAGAAAAACAACAGCTCCAGGCGATGACGATCACCGCTAAAGATACCAACACATTTACGGCAGAGTTCCGTGAAGTCGCACTCGCTGTACTTAAGTACGACACTGCCCGCACAACCCGCGAAACCACAAGTAGGCAGTCTGCTACTCCGCCGTCAAGACCACCTACCCTAGACCCGCCAACGCCATCAGACCCGCCGACGCCGTCAGACCCACAGGCGCTGTTAGACCCGCCAACGTCATCAGACCGCGTAGTCGTATTACCAATCCGAAGTAGCAAGCCGATTGGGAGTCCCATCTACTGTGGTGCCTCAGCTACTCCAGTTCCCTCAGCCAGCCCAGTTTCCTCGGCTAGCCCAGTCCTTGTAGCCAGCCCAGTTCCCACAGCCGTCAGCGGGGCGCAGTCAGTCCTTCAAAGTCGCCTCATCCGTCTCGTTGCTCTAAATCGAGTCCCCTCCGGCAATACCGTACAGGCCGCCGGTACGGATTCAGGTGAAGGGGAACACGACCATAGCGAGTACGTGGACAGTGAGAGTGGTGAGGACATGGGTGAGAGCAATGCTATAGGGCTTGGTGAAGAGACGGATGAGGAACTGGGTGAGGAGATGGGCGAGGGTAGTGCTACATGAGTTGGTGAGGAGATGGGCGTTGGAGGTGGCACAGGCATACAAGAGGAAGATTGGGAAGATATAGAGGACAACGCCGGGGTTGACGGTGTGGAGGACAACACTGGGGTTAATAAGGCCGGGATAGACGAGAACGCGGCTAAGACATCCAACACGCAATCAGCAGCGCCGCGTGTTATCTTGCCTAGGGCTTTCCCTCGCCGTCCCCGCGAGCACTCGGTATGCGCAGCAGCGATTATGCGGGCATATTACTGCCTCAATATACGCGCTTGGATCGAGCGGTTGGCGTGGTGGTTCGTTCACTGGTACAATACCAGCGTCTTACCATAGCACCATTCAGCAACCACACCATGCCAGGGAGCTCGGCAAACACTATCCAGCACTTGCCTTGCTGACTTGGCCGTCGTGACTGGAGATGAATACCGCTTGGTGAAGGAACACCCGGACGGAAAGAAATTCGACGCACAGGGGACCGAGCTGTATCTCTAGAGCGAGACCCATCAGCGTTGGGAGTACAAACGTATGAGGGTTTTCGCCATACTTGCTATCGGTCTTGACAGGCTGGGTCTAGAGAGATGGGAGAAATGGTTTGGTAATACTTCCCTTCAGATCTGACTTATATATTGACTACACTGTAGATCCAGATGTAGTTCACTCTCACCTATGCCATAATTTCACGTGCGCCGAACCATCGCACATTATCCGTGATAGTGGATCAGCCAACTCAGCCAGATACGCTTGTATGAGCAGGTTCGCTCGCGGCGCTATCACTCGGACGTCAGTACGCAGGAAGTGTCCGCATACACCAAAGTCCTACCTAGCTAGAAGCGCCAGGAGGGAAGAGGTATTAGCAACTCGGGTGAGATACTATCAACCAATACCGCCTTACAATCTCTCCAACTCTGTCTTAGAATGCTATGCTAGAAGCCGAAGACTAGTATGCCTGTAGTGAACAGAACCGCAGCAGCATGTGGGGGCGCTTCTGACGCTTGGTGTTTGTCTTGTACAACCACATTCCCTTCTGGGGCGTTCCTGATTCGAGCATGTCGGTGTTGCTCTACATCCACTCAACCGTTTGACGGATCCAGCCACACAACGCGTTCTTGGCCCATCAAAGCGGAGTTTTTTCAGCGACAAGCTCTGGGAAATCCTTCCTCGCCGTGCGGTACACCCCAACCGTCGCGATCTTCGTCTTGCACGCTCCAAGAGTGAGCAGGTAGAGATCCTTATCTTTATGCAGGGCTCTTCGGCGCTTCTCAATCTCGATGTGGCGGCCGGGAGTGATACTGAACCGCAGTAGAAGACCTTCCGTTATGATTGCCGACAGGTGTGTTTCCGTTGCGGTACCATTCAAGTGGGAGACATCGAGGTGGTGGGGAGATCTGATGTACTCCATACAATTTGCAGAACTCCTGCTCGCGAGGTGGCTGAGGCATCGAATCTCTCCCCCACCGATGCGTGATCAACCGGGTCATCGACAGCTGTAGAGGCCGGAGGGCAGTTTATCACCGTCCAGTAACTACTAGGTACACAATGAACCTCTGGACATCACAACGTCCATAAGCTGGCTACGCTGGGCTAGGATCCCCTCATCGAACTGTTCGTTCAACGATATACAGAAAATGCTGCCCGGAGTGACTGCACAAGGATACACTAAGACCTTACAGTCCTCCCCCATTCCCAGTACCCCCAAAGAAGAACCCATCAAAGATATCCAAGCCGTTGCCGTCAGCCCAGTCATGATTACCATCAAAGCCCATTCCAAACCCGAGATCAAGGGCGTTGGGGTTGTCGCCGTTGCTCGCATTCGCTCCGTTAACCGGAAACGAGTCCAAGAAGTCAAGATCGTTGAAGCCGCCAAAATCGGGATATGTGGATTGTATGTTCTGAGCAAAACTCGTATATGGCGTCTGATTCGTTATCTGAAAGGGTGAGATCTGTGATGCGTGTGGTTGTGCGTGTTGCGGGAGATTGGGCGACAAAGACGTCGAGGTGGATGTGGAGTATTGCTGCTGTAGTGTTGGAGAGATGAGAGAGTCCACATTTGAATATGTGGAAGGTTCGGATTTGAGGGTCTGAGACATGGCTCGCTGTTGGGATGGCTGCTGCAACTGCGCCTGCAGCGGTGGAGGCATGCTCCGGAGACCCCGTACGCTGCCGGATGAGCGGACTTCGATCCCGTCGTCGACGAAAAGGTCTTTGAGGTTCATGTCGAAGCGAGGCTGCCGCCATTGCTGGTTCTGTGATGTATGGCTGTAGTCCTGACCATTGCCAAAACTATCCACCTGGTCGGAGGTATAGACGGTGGGTGATCCAGAAGACGGGGGCTTGAGCTTGACTAGATGCGCAAGAGCTTGAGGACCGAAGCCGGTTGTCGAGAGACACATCTGGATAGTTGCTTTGCTCATGCGGTCGAAGGCGTCTCGGCAGGCTTCTGCAGGTGGGCACTTCTCAATCAGATCGCTTAGTACCGACGTCGCGGCCAGAACGGTGAAATCCACCTCATCCAGTGACTGATATTGTTAGCGTTAGCTATGAGTTGATTGGCAGACTTACCAGGTGGCTTCGTACGACCGGGGAGTGCCAGATCGCATAAAGAAACGATATACCAGCCATGAAGAGATGATGAGTAGCTAAGAAAGTGTAGTTCACGAGATGCACGCGGTGCAGCTGACGGTACAGCTTCAAGACCTTCTGGCCAGCTTCAGCAACCTTTAAGAAAATATATTCTTCGTCTTCCTGCTCCTCGATATTGACCATTGAAGGACTCGAGACATCTTCATTAGCGCAGCGGAGTTCTCCAACTAAGCCTGCCGGTACAGCCAGGCTTTGCCGGTACAACGTGATGACTGCTTGCCAGTAGTTGAGTTCCAGGAAGAGAGGAGAGAACTGTACGCCAGTCTCTAGCTGGTTGGGCGCTGACTGTATCCATTCCCACAACCGGCGATCTATGTCTTGACGCCATTGCCGGAAGGAGGAGAAGTTCTGTAGGAAAGGCGAAGGCAGCTTCGTGTGCATGAACTGGTTGCCCTCGTTGGCCCCATTGGCTCGCGCCTGCTGTGCCTGGCGATGTTGCAGGACTTGAAGGATTTCAGACTGGAGTAATCGTAGCCGGAAATAATGATGTGACACGAACTTGTAACTAGGCTTTTCAGAGCCGCTAAGCGGTTCCAGGAAACCTCCAGTCGTGATGTAGTTGTCATCGAGTAGGGAGGGAAACTCTGTTGTAACCACTTGATCGGTAATACCGAAAGGGCGACCAACACACGTCGAGACCAGCCTGTCGAGTGAATACACACACCACCACAATCGCCTTCGGAGGTCTCGTACCCACTCTCTACGGCCGCGCTCTCGGGCATCGATCTTAGTAGGGGTGCTGCTCGATGAACCTTTCATCCTGTCAATTGGAGCATCGTCCGAGGGTGTGTCATCAATATCAACACCGTCCTCGTAATGAAGACCGAGGTCAACCCCTAAACGGACAGCAACACCCACAATGTACCACAAGCCCGGTGCCACGGGCCGCAGCAGAGCGAATCCTGCCAGCAACAGTACAGCCTGCAATTCCTCCAAGCCGCCGCCGAAGCCATCCGGGCGGTCTGCTGCAGGGCCAGAGCTGAGGAAGCTCTCCAAATGAAAAATCGCTGACGCATGATATTCCTCTGCCTGATGTTGCTCGCTTCTACTGACCCTGCGTTTCTTGTTGCTTGGAGGAAAGCTATCATGACTGGGCGATTGCGCCTTGGAAGAACCCATGATGATGCCAGCACCTATTGCAAAGACAATGTTCAGCATGTACGACTCCCGAGCAGTGCGTGTTCGCTCATCCGAGACGTAAACACGCATGAACATTTTCATAAACTCAGGCCTATGTAGTATAGGGATCTGAGGGTTTGCATGTTCAAAATACAGGTCCACCAGCTTCCTACCTAGCTCTTCATCCGGAAAGGGGGCTTGCCTGATAGTGGGCTTCGTGTGTAGGCCGAAAAAGCTGTCTCGCATGGAAGTTCCTCCGGCTGCCGGTGCTGCTGCTACAGACTTCGTTCCCCGCACGCTACCACGCTCGGAATTGTTGCCAGAGACTGAGCTCTTGACGGCTGCGAAGACTACACGGGCGAAGGATATCCCGGACGTTGACCCAAGATAACGAGGGTCAGAGGCTCCCTGCACCGATACCATGCCGATGTTGGAAACCAGTTTATTAAGCTTGTCGCGGTGATACCGCTCGTTCTCCCGACTCTTCTCCTCTGTGTTGTCAACGGACACGGTCCTATCATGACCATGCGCATCGGGGGAACTTCCATCATGTCCATGTGGCGAGCCAATCCGACCGTTCAGTTTGAAGCCAAGCGCGAAGTCTTCCGGCGGTGCAAAGGTAAGGTTGTTTTCTCGAAGTTGGGATTCAAGATAGGACACTCGAGTCTCTAGATAATATATATAACTGCCACGATACGTATTAGCCTTACTCCATGACAACGGCCCAGAGAAACGGCTTGGCGCATTCCACTGGGGCTACTCAAGCGCAAACGAACCTCCGCGGGATTTCTCTCTTGGTAATCGGATCGTAGCCAACGCATTTGACATTCGCCTTGTCGCAAGATGCGCACGCAGGGAGTCGCTGATCGCAGCGGTTCTTCCTTAACCGACATCGATTACACGCCGAGACATTGCGAAAAGACGAGGCGGATGAAGCCGATGCAGATGAAGCGGACGGGGACACAAGCTTCACGGCGACATCTGGCGGTGACCCCTGAGCTTCGTCCAGAGGTCGTTTGTGACCTGTCATGAGGTCCGGCGCATCGTACGTGCTCGCCTTGTGTAGCAGAGAGGCTGAGGTGTCGCGCGTAAATGCAGATATGGCGAAGCTGGCAGGGAAAAGCCCTAACCTCTCCAGCTGCCTGTCGCGTATGCGGCGCTACCAAAAGCTCCGCTAACCATTTCTATAAGGGGCAACAATCAGCTCTGAAGAGAAGGTAGAGCGATGGTCCCATGGTCGGAAAAGCAATGCATGGCTTGGTGGAGACCCTTATCTACACACAAGCTTCGAATAGCCTCAGCGATAAGGGTCCGTGGTTGCGGGGTGCTGAGTAACCGGGACAATTAAGTTCCCAGTACGGACATACGCTGTACCGAGTCCCGATGACTCATGCAAGCGAGATGATAGAATTATAATGATACGATTAAAACACTGTAGCGATTGGGTATAGGGGGGTATAGCAAACATGTAGCGCCTTCTCCGTACAAAGAAACATGCTCTGTATCCCAGAGCGCTGGATCCAAATGACAACCGTGTCAATGCAATAGCAGACTCCGTGTATCCATGCATCCTGTCCATGCTATCCTGCCCATGCCCATCGCTTCTAGACCCCCTGTTGCCAATTTTCCAGTCCATCCGAAGTACTCCCTCTGAAAGAATGATCCATGCTGCCGTTGGGGGTATCTGAAAAAAAAAGCCATAGAAAACCTAACCCTCCTTCGGGGCATCGAGATTTAGCGAAGAAGAGCTTTGCCTGCAAGGTAGCTGTTCGATCACGGGACTGGCAGTTTCCAGTCCGAGCTCTGAACCTACAGCAGATGAGCTGAGAAGCGGTGCCCCAACCGCACTTTCTTCATCGAGTGCAAAGTTTTGACGACCTCCGGATTCTGACTTGTTCCTGGAATCCCGCATCCAAAGGCTCTCGATGGCCCCAGAAAGCGCGATCATGGCGCACACCCACCAAGGAAGGCCGGAATAGCCCAGGCTCAAGCCGAGAGACTGGACTGCGCCAGATAGCGTGGGTCCCAAGGCTCTGCAGAGGCTGGCTGAGGATGCTGCTGCACCGTTCAAGGCGCCCAAGACTTTCTTCGAAGGAGCTGCGTTGGCGAGCATGATCTGGATCGTTGGAAACGCTAGCGTCTGGGCCGTGACCTTCCAGATCAATATGAAGTAGACGCCAGGCATCCGGAGCTGCTCAGGCAGTAGCGCCAAATACGGAGTGAGGAAGTGGAGAAGAGGGTATGCGAACACGACAAAGCGGAACGTCCAGAGGAAGCCGAGTCTTTTACTGATAGTCGGGAAGATGAAGATTTGCGATATCATCTGGAACACGCCCTGCGCAGATAGGATGAACCCGATCTTCTTAGTCGACAAGGCGAAGCCTCCTGTAAACTTGAAAGGCAATGTCGCTGGTTCTTTGGACTCGTCCCGGCTGAGCAGGACCGGGAATAACTGTTCGAAAGACATTGTGTGACTGTAGCGGTCCGTCAGCGGCAAGCCCACACTCGTGGTGTTTAGAGCGGGACGGGCTGAAAACTTACAAAGCTAGAATACCATAACCTATGATGATCAACAACACCTGAGGGGTCAGAGCCTCGCGCAGAGACATGGCGCGCGGAGGCTCGGGTGAAGAGACCTGAGCATACGATGGACGAGGTGAGGCTTCTGTCGACCGGTACCCTGGCGGCTGATCATGCTCGTCCTCGGCCAGGAAAGATAGTGTCTCCTCGAAATATCCCACTTTGTCGCTGATGCGCTCCTCAGGTCGCCTGCAGAACTTGCACAGAATCCACTGGCCAAGCTCGAGACCAAGATCACGTCTGCGCTTCTTGTCTTCGTGCGTCTCTTCGAGGAACAGTATACCCACGACCAAGCTGCATACAACAACGAAGGCGCACACGAGATTTGGAAGAAGGTACGGGTAGTGGTCGAAAAGGGTGCCTGGCTGGAATGCTGACGGGTAATTCTTGACTGGCTCTGCAAGAGTGCCTCCGAGGCCTGCACCTATAATCGAGCTGCACCAGCGTTAGCATCTGCGGCGCCGCGGTTGCGGAGGGTATATTTGGCCTTGCGTACCCAAGACACCAGACGAACGGCATGATTGAATAAGCTCGAGCTGAACAAGAGAGCAGATCAGTCTTGCTGCCATCCACTGTGATCGTTGGTTGTCCACTTACGTTGGTGAGCTTCAACGGTGACCACTTCCGCCACAGTCGTTTGCAGCACGCCGATGTTTCTGTAAATGGACCACGCGTCAGAATAGCTCTTAGTGGATGGGACATTAAAACATACCCATTGAGCAAGCCGCCGAGTGCGCGAGCAACAAGTGCAACAGGCAGGCTGGGCGCGAATCCGAACATCAACATGCTCAATCCGGTGCCAGCCAGTCCAGTGAGAAGGATTGGCTTCCGGCCGACCTTGTCACTGAGCCTTCCCCAGAGTAGTCCTGTTGAGAATTCGGCAAATGCAAAAGCCGAGGTGACCATGCCGGCATAGATGGCAGTCTGATGCTCGTCGTGAGAGATGTTGAAGGACAACACCATGTAGTAGATGTAAGGGAAGATCGACATGAACGCAATCGGCTCGCAAATTCGGCATAGTGCTGCATCGGTGATGAATGCTTAGCAAACCGCCAACTCAACGAGATAGCCAGCAGTAACGGCTGGAGCTGAGCAAACCGCAGACGTACCTAGGACGAAGAGTTGTCTGGTTGGAAAGGCAACGCTCCCGTCTTTGGCGAGGGAGGCCCGCCTTGGGCGAGCTCTCGAGAGCATGGTGGTGTGGACAGTGTGTGGTGTGCCAGAGGCTGAGGCCAGGCGCTCTTGCGATTTACCAACTCTTGCAAGCTCCCAGGAAGGGCAGGTCTTTAGCTGCTCAGACAAATGGTGCAGGCGAGGTGCGGCCGGTAGGAGCTCTCGCAGTACGGGAGGGTGATGGTGGTCGAAGATGGACTCTTATGTGACAAGCAAGTCGAAGAGGATTCAGGTGGCGCAACACAGCTTGTCTCGCAAACAGGGACGAGGGTCTTCGTATGCCGAGGGGCGGGTGAGTTTATCGTGAGCACGGTAGGCAGGTGCGAGTGACGGATTCGCGCAGCAGAAGGCGGACTGGTGCTTGTATATAGAGCCGGAGCGAGTGAATGCCAATATCCCGTACGACTCTTGTCCACAGGCCACAGGCCACGATCGACGACAGCAAGCCATAGTCGACGATGCCGGCTGCCCAACGGCCAGATGACGGTTACTTTAGTGGTGCCAGTGCCCAATGCGGCATTGCGGTCGGGTGCAGCCAGAGAGTTGTCCCCCTGAGCTACCTTCACGGAAGATTGAGGTCACACACTGCGCTGGGCTGGTGCGCGTGGGCGGGGCGTGCGGGACCATGAGAACGGTTCGCAGCTAGGATCGACGAGGCAAGGCGGCGCTCGAAATCTGACGGCCGCTGGCGTTGGTTTCTCCCAGCGCAAGTCCATCACCCCCGGGCAAGTGAGGGTTTACCAGCACCAGCACCAGCACCAGCACCAGCATTGGGCCTAGCCGGCGGATGCCGTGACCGACGTCCCTTGGTCCCAACTCCCCCTGGATTTCCCTCGCTACTGAGCACGCTAGCAACGGTTTCCGCCCTGGCGGTTTTGTGCTCCAGTAATCGATGGCTGATCCCCCGACGTTGCAGCTCGTCAAAGCTTGAAGCAGGTTTTACTGGAAAGGCAGCATCTCGGGTTTCCACGGCGAAGCAGACATATCACGCAGGGAGGCCAGCGTAACGGCGCAGCCGTAACGGCCGACTGCCTGGTGAGGCTCCCGATACTCCCAGCATCGCTGTTGGCTGAGGCGACTACGCCCGTTTCACCGCTTCTTTGCGCTGGCGGCTCGCGGGTGGGATGGCCGTGCCGCGCACCCACGTTGCTCCAGTTCTTCTGGAAAGCTAATTTCATGGTGTATCTCAGCATCACCCTGTTCGAGGGAAAATATGACTCGTAAGATTTTGAGCCGCCCCTCCTGCCAGGGGCCGCCAGCAAGGTCTTGCTTTCCAGAGAGGCGGTGATGTAGACACGTAGATGCACCTGTTTTGGCCGCCTGGTACTCGTAGCACGGCCATGAAGTTCCAGCGCTGGCCGGGTCACATTTCGCTAGGCACTCCAGCTGGCGTCGTTGCGCCAGTAGTAGTGCGCTGCATCCATTGTGTACATGCTGCATCCCGCACGACATTGCTTGGTGCTCTTGTGCCGCTGCGACGTAAATCATCGTCGCCACCAGATGGAGCAGACTTGGGACGGGAGTCCTGTCCGCGCCTCGGCCATCACCTGATGATTTGAGGAACTGTGGATACTCGAGTACCCAGCCGGGCCTGCGTTCGGCCTTTTGCACGCCTGCCAGGCGCGTGGGTCCGGGAGAGCATCCGCCGGTGCTGTCAGCCCACGGATTGTCCAACCACCACGCTGTGGTGGCTTCCCGGAGCTAGCGTAGAAGTCGATGATGATGTTCCATCTCATGCGTAGCGGTGAGAGTTGCATCGTACAGCGTTCCCCATTGGCTCCCTGGCAGGGCTGAGGCCTGCATCTATCCCACGCGTAGGCGAGGCCTTGGAACAGCCGGTAGCGCAGCGTTTGAGTTTGGTGACATCCCGCGGAGTTTTCTTAGCTTGCCCGTTTGCCTGAGCGGTTACCTACGAGTCGTACTCCGTACCTAGGTGGGATCTTCCCCTCACTGTTCGATGCTAGAGCACCATGCCCGAAAGGACGTTGACAGGCTGCTAAGACCGGGTCTCCTCGCGAGCAGACCTCCAAGGTGGTCAGCGAGCGCTCAGGCACGCTACGGCCCCTGCCCGCACGAAACGCAGAGCATGTGATCTGCGATCGCCAGACAACGCCGGCGTGCTGGTTAAGGTTCAGATTGGCTATCCTGATGTCGCGGGGGCAAAAAGGGGCTTTCACAAACGTCGAGGTCGCCCCGGCTGCCAGACACCACCTGCGACGCATCCATCAGCGTCATGCGCCAAGCACTCCAGCGCTCAGGAATCAATTGTCTCGATGCGGCTAGCCGGCTGCTTCGGTCATGTGAGTTCGTCACTCACCGCCTTCCTTTGCAACGCGACTACCGCGTTCAGAGCCGGCCGTCACGCCCCCAACTGGTGCCAGCGCAGCGTATATTCGGGAGTCAGACCGGCTTGTCACAGCATGAACACTGTTACACAGCAGCGCGGCAACACATCTGTTCCGTATCCTGAGAGTTCTGCTCTATCATACTAGTGTACGAAGCCCCCGTTGAGAGTTTCAAGGTCTGCCCTTCATGCTGTGCCAGGTTGACTGGCGAATCGAGGCGTGACACAATATCAGTATATACACTGTCAGACACCTCTGTCGTCATGCGGGAGAATTCAGCCGTTGATACCCGCGATGAAGGTCGCCGTATTGCCTCTAGATAGGGCACATCCACGACAGTGCACAAAAGCTCGTATGCACGTATGTGCTGACCTGCCCAAGCCTGCGGCGGAATCAGGACAGCACAATATACCACCCGCAACACCTGCATCATCTTCACCGCAGCACGTCGGGCTTCGGAGCCATTCCCGACGGCGAATTGCTTCCACGAGAGTCATTGAACAACGCTGCAATTGCTTGTCTCGGGAGACGCTTCGTGAGAGCGGGCTGCTTTCGGCTGGTGTGCCGTAGTCAGTTGTTGGGCAAGGGTTTAGAAGATCTCACATCCAGAAATTCTCCGAAGCCAGATCGCTAGCCGGTCGAGGATCGTTATTGCTCGATAAAGCATGCAGACGCTTCTAGAGTGCTATCAATTGACGGCGGTGAATACACAAATTCGTAATCAACTCCCACGCTTGAACAGCGACCTTTAGTGCCTTCGTCAAGTGGTGTGACCGTCTCTCAGCCGACCGGTTGTTATCGATGTGAAAGAGTTTCACTAGACACTTGATCCGAATGCAGGGCATCATCGTACGGGCGGAGTCGGATTTACCAAAATGCATCTTTTACTTGATCGATTCTTGTGCAGGTGCCTCACCTGAGTTCCCAAGCATTGTAGGATTTCGATAAACAAACGGCCGTGAGCGCATTAACGTCACGTGACTGCGCGAGTGCCAAGTAAGCCTCGGAATATTGTTTGGCCGACGGCATCTGAACCACCTCTTCAAATGGCGGTAATGCTCAATCCGTGGACAAGAGAGTATTTGAAAGCAACTGTCGACGTCTGACACAACACTCATCATGAGTCTTTCATAGCATGGCGTTAAGGCTGTCTGTCATCGACCTTATCTAGGCAAGGCTGTTATTCAATAGCTGCTCGATAGGATGATCTACAGAGCACATCAGCATGGCCCTGGATATGAGCTGTCGGTTATCTTCATTCCTGAAACAACAGTTGATTACGGAGTTGTATGTTCCTGGTTGAGCATCTCTCAAACGTTGACTGACTCACATTTTTCCACAGCGCCAGCCTGAAATATGCCTGCCCTGAGGGTGTTTACTTGACCATGGCGTCAGGAGATCCAGCTCTCTGGACAGGCATCCTGTTTGTTCGAAGAGGTAGTCTTCACCTTTCTGTCACGTTCATCGGCTCGTACCACGATGTAGTCCAATCACACAACTAAGCAGCGCACAGCAAAGGCCCTTATGCTCCAGCAGTTCTTCGTTTTCAGATATCGTTTCCTCTACGGTACCCCAAAGTACCGCCAACCGTAACATTTTCGACGGAAATATTTCATCCACTTGTTACACCATTGACCACTTATACATACTCGACGGGTGCGACGGATGACGATACAGTAAGCGCTGCGGACGACAAAAGGCTTCCACCCGGAGGCTTCGCACTGAGACATGGCTTTCCGCACTGGTTTGCCGAAAATCAGAAGAGTGCAACGAGCTCGAGGAATGGTAGTCTTTCAGGAGCCTCTGGAGCATGTGACAGCCGCGCCGACATCCCTGTTGTCACACTACTGAGATACATTCAATCGACATTTAGTGATGAGGATGTCCTGAACTCAATACCATTTGAGGCCGTCGCAAACTCCGGTGCCTATTATGCATGGCACTATCGGAGAATGGATGATTGCGGGGATGAGCCACTTGTCCGCCGCCAAGAGATAAAGCCGTCCGACACTGGAGCCCGGCGTCCAGAGCAGTGGAACTGGGAAGGTGTGTGGGAAGAGCGCGTTAGGAGAGGCGTACGAGCCAGCCTCTCTGAAGCTGTGCTTTTTGGCCATGCAGGAGATGACATGGTAAGCTGTAACCTTCCTGTGGCCCGCACTTATCCTCTGCAGGTGTACGATACGAGCGTGATTCCCTAACAATAGCTTTCGCAGATAAGATTCGTAAACCTTGACGTTGAGACTATGGGGGGACTTATGGGGAAGCTGGGCAGCACGGAAGGTGCAGCCCATGACTGAGATAATGCCGTTGTGGACGCGCGCCTACCTTACGTATGATGACCTGTGCTCCTCTGCTGCTGCCACAAGCCTCTATATATACAAAACCATGTCATCATCGGACGCACAGTCAGATCGTTGTCCTCACGAGTCGTCTCTTCCGCGGTCCGCGTCGCAGATATGCAAATCACTGAAACCATCGAGCAGAAAGGCTTCACCACGCCTCTCTTCGTGTTCGTGCCCATTGTTCTCGTTGTTGTAATCTTGTGCGCGGCAATCTATTTCTCGGAGTTTCTCGGAACAAAATACCAACATCTCAAGCGCCGCATCTCTGCCTCTTTCTCGAAGCGAGGCACGCCAGTAGCTCACAAAAACAGTCTCGACCCAACATCCAGCGAAATCAAAGAATACAGACCAAGAGATTCTGTAGAGAGCTCGTTCGAGGGCATCTACATTGTTGACCAGGACGCTGCTCTACGCGTTTGAGCCGTACGTCCGTTCGTACTCATTATCCCGTCTCTCTGTTCCTTGAGGAACATTATACCTAACATCAACACCAGGCAGGTTCCGCTTGAACTGAAGTTGGCCGTCCAGGAGGATTGAACAATCGTACGATGCTGACTTGGCGAACTGCAGGAGATCTACTTCGTCATGCCGCCGGTTGTTCAGCGTGGTCGGTCAGACCAATTCAGTCCCTCGCCTCTGGATACTTCGAGATGGAATCCCACCAGGATAGCAACACATACGGGCGCCATCGGCAGGCCGCCGACGAAGATCGCCCAGATTCAGTACGGGGACCTGACTATCACCTCTACCACTCCGTACCGCGCATCTTCGACCGCACAAGGCAAGCACAGTCTACCTTCTGTATCGGCGCCAACTCCGGTATTGAGACAGGACATACAGCGGGGGCGGATAAGTTCATCGTCGATGCGATCGTTATCAACGATGCCCATGGACGACAAGATCCTACGGATACGGAAAACAAGGCTCATGAAGACATCGCAGCCATCCTCAGCAGATTTATACAGCAAGCGGCTGTCAGGGACTGCAACGCCAGTCACAAGGGGTGATGAGGAATCCCAAATTTCCTGTTCTGCGCTGCATTCAGTTGGCGAAACCGACTCGCCGAGCTCTTCGCATCTTCCGCGCCGTGTCTATGGACTCCGACGAGTGCCTGATGTTCCTCAACACGCAGAGGAGAGCGCACCTCTGGCAGCACTTACTGTGCCAGAGCTGTTGCCGTCCCCGCACATTCAGTCGGCAGCACGCAGGCGTCCATCGGTAAAGAAAAGGGTCCTCTCAAAAGTGATGGGAAGCTTGCAGAACAATAACCCGAAGCCAGCTCCAAGCTTGCGTAATAGGCAGTCCGACGGTGGCCTTTTCCGAAGACGCTCCGCACATAGCAACTCTACGTCACAATCAAGAGCTATAAGCTCCGATGTTGCATCGTTGACCAGCCAGGGTCGTGACTCGTACTCGGCGGGCAGCGGGATAAGTCACGGGTAAGCCAGTTGTTCTCTTCACCTTTGCTCGTTTTAGTGAGTTACTGCGGTAGGAGGAGACTGATGAAATATATACAGTGAGCCCGACTCTCCTAATTGTGCCAAGACCGACTTTACACGACTGCCAACCACCTCCAATCATCACAATGCATCGTCTCAATCCACGATTTGTCCTTCAACTGCGACCCTTGCTGGAAGCATTGCAAGCCGACAGCTGCCCCTGCTTCTCAGTTGTGCTTTGCGTACCATCGCGGAATCTGAGGTGCTGGATGCGTCAACGCGGAGGACGGTCTGGGCCGCAGTCGAGATCAATGGCTGCGTCAGCACGATAGGAAAAGTGCCATCCCAATGGAACGCATTGCCAGGCATGGATGTCATTGTGATTGTTGACAATTCGTGAGTGCTTGTGCTTCGCTCACTGTTCGCCGACACGGACCGGCGCTGATACCACCTCAGCAGCTTTGCGTCGCCGGAATCTCTAGAGAACATCTGCAATGCCGTGCTCTCCCTGACAGCAACGTTGGGGTCACCAGATGACCGCATCGCAGTGTTTTGCGCAAGATGTTGCCATTCGGTGCAAGATTTACACCTCGCTAATGGGTGCCTACTTCATGCATTACAAGCGGTCAATCCGCGTAACATCCAGGACGATCTCGGTTCGCTTCAAAACATGAGTTCGAATGCGCAAAGCGCGAAGCTCTCGGAGACGATTGCGTCTGCGGTCGGTGTTCTCTTAGAACCAGGCCACACAGCAGACCCACCACTGCGTCGTGCAAACGGCCATGTCATTGTACTGTCCCCTGGCCTTCCTGATTCCATCGACTCGATCCCGGACCTGTCGCCCTTGACGGTTCATTTCGTTTCTACGGCTGTGGTTCCTTGCGACTTCCACCGGTTGCGGCCATTAATCGATGGATGGTGTATGCAAATTCCTGCATTCGGTTCCGGATCCCAGGCGGACCAATCCTCTGGGCATGAGGCTCTCAAGGCTCTCATCGCATTTGCAAGGTGCAATACAGATCCTGGCCGGATTACGGACGTTGATATCGAGATCATACCATCCGATAACTGTGTGCTCATGTCAACAATTGGGCTGTATAGCTGTCCCGCTCTCTACGCTGGTCAGACAATGACCTTGCTTGTTCAAGCCTCTGTACAACAGGGTCCAGACAAGACATTCCAGTCGGGACCCTCAGTAGATTGCATAACGACTGCCGACGAAGCGTTTGCGGACCTGGAGATGCTCCTCGGCGAGACGACAACAGATCTCTTCACAGTGAAAGTCCGATACAACCACTCGTACTTCCCGGAAAATACCGGACTTGTTGCTGTAGACACCTGCCGTGTCAGGAGGCCCCACGCCTTATCTGCCTGGAAGTCACTTCCATGCGCCAAGGACGCTGAACAGGCTCAGATACGAACGCAAGAGGTACACGGGAGACTTGTCTCAGTCATCGCTTCGGATGAATCGCCCAGTGCTGCCCTCATAGCGCTCGAGGGACTCTCTGACCGTATCGGTGGGACAGTCGCCTGTCCAGATTTCGTGGACCTTGTGAGAATAGAACTGAAGCACCGCTGTCGGGCGCTTGGCCGCCCAGTTCCAAACCACGAGAGCGAAATTTCAAGCACACTCCGTGCGCCGTCTCCAGATCTCGGCCGCTTTTCCTTCGAGAACCGCGGCACACTGTACCTCGATCTGCCTTATCGTCATTCTCCGAAAAGAGAAGCTACAGACTCTCCCGCAACTGTCATACATACAAGGCTGACCGAAGACCCGGCCGAGGAGGAGCCTGACGACCGAGCCCGCAACATTTGGCGCCATATGCGCAAGAGCTCGAAGTCACACCACAAGCTGGCAAGGAGTTCCACGCGCAGTTACGAGAAGCTGGAGGCGGTGGACGCGCATCTGGTGGAGCTGAGGAAGCGAGCTGTGCAGAACAAGCGCAGCGTTGGAGCGGACACGTTGAGGAGTCTGGCTATCGGTGCTCATGCCGGCATCGATAGCGGCGTTGACGCGCCTTGGTATTGAGAAACCACGCGAATCTCTGGAATGATTAGGGTGCTGGATGTATCTTAGGGACGACTGCCGGGGTAGCTTTGTCTGGTATTATTAGTGCATCAGTCAGTGTTGTTCTTGTTTATTTGCGGCGTGGTTTTCTGGCCAGTCAACGATAATAGCTACGTATAGGCTTCTGGAGAAAAGAGCAGCAAATACTAGAGGGCTATCCATTGTCGCCTTACCATCCGTATTACGACATGATCACTGCTGTCTCCGATGACTGTTTTGAGGGTTGTACCCATAGTTCGGAGGCCAGAGGTGGTCGCGGTGGATTTGCATCAGCATGACGGAGTATTCGACTATAAGCGGAGACGGCTGAGTGAAAGCGGAGGTGGGCGACAACGTTGACACAACATACGAAGAGGGGCAGTGGCCTGGTCTTTGCCATCATAACTGGACAAAGGCGGATGAGCCCGCCGGTTGACCTTCACGGGTGATAAGAGAGCTGCTGCAACTGATAGAGATCAGGAACAACCGATTCGAGACAAACCAGATGTGCACGCGCGCTTTGCTCATTCAGTTTACTACTTGCATTGAGCGTCATGATACATGGCTGTAACTGCTGCGACGTGAGTGCAGGGGGTATGTACAATTCTCCACCAAGACAAGAGAGATGTCGCTGTACAGACTCTACATAACCAACGAATAGACAGCCGGATAGAGCTCATTCAAGAGGCTTTTGACCGGTGACGAAGATCCTAGAGCACGTTAGCAAGGCTAGCCATGCACGTCACGGGTGCCTTCAGGCTTACGCTTTTGTGTATGTGTGCATTTTGTTGCTCGTGACCTCCTGTCGGACCTTCGCTAGCAGCACCTGAACTTCGAGCTGACTCCACCCATTGCGGGTGAAGAGCGCCATCGTATAGTTCTCCATGCCTGAACAGAAAGTACGTGTGAGCTCTGTTCACTTAGCTGCAAGACAGGATGGACTCACCGCCCTCCAGAAGATGAATCCGGTAATACAGTCCTACCTCCTTTTGTCTCTTGCTCTTCGGCCACGGTCCTATCGGGATGAGTCTTTCGTGCTCCTTGACCTCGGTGAAGCCGGCATCTTGTACCCAGCCGGCCATGTAGGGCATCTGGTCGAATTGCAAACCGATGTTCTTAGCGATGTCATGAAACGTTCTCTTTGTTACATTGCGGCCGATTAGTACATTGCACGTCAACTTCCGATTCTGAAAGCGGCAGGTAGCATACCTCCCAGACAGCGCTATAACGTTGAATTTCACATATTAGATACTGCGAAGGCCATGGAGCGTTTGCACTTTTGCTTTTCAACGTACCTATAACAGTCATCAGGGAATGTGCCATCGTCGCAGTGGAAGTGCGTCCGGATCTCGGAGATCTCGATTCGACCACCAGGTTTGAGATGTCTTTACATTGGGTAAGCGATAAGACGCGGCAAAGAGCCAGAACGCTTACTGACTTTAGTGCCTGCCCTAGAAACTGCGGCCAGTCTTTGATTGCACCGCCGAGCGTACGCACATGAATGAAGTCGAAGTAGTCAACTGGCCATGTCCATTCTTGAGTCAAGTCGTCTATCTCAAACAAGACATTGGGAGGCACCCTTTAGAAAAGAACGATTATCGTTACAGCTCTCTCTCTCGGCTTGGTGGTCGCGGGACTTGGCTCACCAGTTGGGCTGAATGGCACTCAGATCCACGCCATGAACTGTCGCCGACGGGTAGCGGTCGGCCACTGTCAGACACAGATGTCAGGCGGCGGTCGGTTAAAGAAACACTGTGGCCGCCGGAGAGGGTACCTTCGATCGCCCAGATGCCAGTGCCCGTCCCCGCGTCCAGGATACGATGAGGCTCGTCCAGGTTGGTCACCATCAGCTCGCCGCCCAGCACCAGGGTGAAGATGTGATGCTGCAGGTCGAGGCGGTCCTGCTCCGACTCATCGTTGGGCAGCAGCTACTGATAGTGAGCGCCGGACGAAGCTCTATGCAGGGGCCAGCGCGTGCTTACATATTGGCCCGCTCGATACGCATGGTACCTATGCCCGTTCTCAAAGGTGTAGTCAAAGATGGAGGAGGTCACAGAAGTGGTGTCGCTCCTGACGCTCTCGTAGTCGGACGCGCTCTCAGAAACGTTGTCCTGCGCAAAGGTCAGACCGAGTTGCATCAATGCACAGTTCGGGCGGCAGCATTACATCCGCCTCGATGGCTGGAGCGTGTTCCGGAGAAGCCATGTAGCTCTGGGATTAAGGAAGATCAGCCGTTCGGGACAGCAGCTATGCCGACGAGCGACTGAGCGATTCGGATGACCAAGACTGGCCTCAGGTTGGGATGAGGCCCACGGCAGGACTGTGAAAACACCGGGAGGCCAGCTCTCGCGTGGCAATCTTCAGGTAGCTTCAGGTAGCACGGTGGCAGCAGTCCAAGGATGGCACGAACGGGATTCCGAATACCCGGTAGCACCAGAATGCAAACGGCCCCGGGGTTTTCAGCAGGGCAACGCTGAGGCGAGCGGGGATTCCACGCTCTGCCCAGATGTGCCATGCCGCGGAACAGCGGAACCGCGCGTGGGCGGGTGAGCACGGCGCAGAGAGCAGTCTACCTCCCACCTCCCACCTCCCACAATGTGTTCACGCCATCTCGGCAAGCATTCTGCCCGAAGGGCCGAGAGATACAGAGTAGATCAGCGGCAACAACAGCAGGAACCGCCGCGCTAAGCTTGCCTTAACTAGTGCACTCGAGATGGCAGTGCTGTCGCGGCACCGGCTGTGTCCTATGCCCTCACACAAGCTCGAGTGCTACAGGTGCCCGAACCCTCGCAGAATTGCATCAGTGTAGACGGCCGCCGCAATGGAAAGGTCGGTTCAGAAAGGCCTCCGCGTTGGCATTGTTGACAAGAGCCTAGTCCCTGGCGTCTCGCAAGCTTGGTAGCGCTGTTCGCTCTGCTAGCAGTTGTCGTTCGACGACGTTACTTGTCTTCCATCAGCGACATTCCCGGCCCTTTTGTTGCCTCTTTCTCCGTCCTGTGGCAGATCTGGCATACCTTCAAGGGCCACACAGAAGAGGCTACAATCGCGCTTCACAAAAAGCACGGTATGCGCCGAACATTTACCAAACTGCTCCTGGCCGACGTGATTGAGTTGCCCGCCGCTGACCGGCTTCATCAACCCAGGCAAATTCGTCAGGATCAGTCACAAAGAAGTCAGCGTCAGCCATCCCGATGCAATTCGGGCGGTGCTCGTGGCTCCGCTGCGTAAAGTGAGTTGACTCATTACACTTTTGTGGTACCCAGTTACCACGGCCATCAAACCGAGGCTTATGGCTGCTTTACCGCCTGCAGGGGGATTGGTATCAAATTTTCAGTCTTCCAGATTCCCGCTATGTCAATCAAATGTCCGAAGTAGACCCCAAACGCCACATCGCAAAGACCAAGAACGTTGCCTCGGGCTACGCGTTCTCAAACGTGATCACCGCTGAGCCTTACGTGGATGACGCACTGCGCCTGCTGGAAGAGCAGTTGGCCAAGTTATCAAAGTCTGGCCAAGACGTTCATTTCGATCACTGGTTCAACTACTTCGGCTTCGATGTTCTTGGGGAGGTTACCTTCTCACGGCGTTTTGGTTTCCTCGAGGAAGGGAAGGATATAGGGGGCGCCATTGCGAACACACGCGTTCTCGGCATATACGTCAGCGTTATTGGCCACTTTTACTGGCTTCACGACTGGCTGTTGGCCAATCCTATTATTGGATGGCTTAACCTGCAGCCGTCGATGCATATCTTTGAGACCTGCTTGGCCGCCCTTGATGCTCGCTCCAAGAGCGACACTGTGCGGAAAGACATGCTGGAACAATGGAAGGAGACGCGAAGGAAACACCCAGATCGCATGGAGGAGAAAGAGATCCTAGCTGCCGCGGTGGCGAATATAGGAGCCGGAGCCGATACGATCAGCGCAACGTTACAGGCTTTCTTCTATTACCTGCTTCAGGACCAGCGAGCGTGGACTCGTGTGCGCGCCGAAGTCGACGAGGCTCACAGCCGTGGCGAGCTGTCAGCCATCGTGTCACATGCGGAGGCCCAGAAGTTGCCGTACCTCCAAGCTTGCGTAAGTTCGATCCGCTCTCGTCGATACCAATCCTGACAGCACTCCCAAAAGATCAAAGAGACGCTTCGCTACCAGACGCCTGTCGCATTCGGCCTTCCCCGCGTAGTCCCAAAGGAAGGCGTGACCGTTGCAGATCGACACTTCAAAGAAGGCGTAAGAGAACCTGCCATGGTAGTGGCGAGAGATCATTCACTCACGGTACCAGATCATCCTCAGCGTAAACCCTTGGGTCATCCACCGCGACCCTTCTCTTTTTGGCTCCGACGCCAATGAGTTCAATCCGGACAGGTGGATGGACGTCGAGCGCGCTAAAGAGATGAACAAATATATGATTCCCGTAAGCTCGTCCTTCTGGATGCCGCCCAGAATCAAGCTCATGACCGGTCCTCTGACTACCACAGTTCGGTGCCGGCTACAACCAATGTCCCGGCCGCCATCTCGCTCACCTAGAAGTGTCGAAAGTGTCTGCAACCCTCATTCGGGATTTTGATATCGAACGTACAAACCCGAAGGAGCCGTGGAGGTTCGAGTCACACTTTACCGCGGTGCCGTACGGGTGGCCTTGCCGAGTCAGGCGTCGGCAGCGGTGAGGCGGCAGGTTTCAGCGAGTCACTTGATTCGTATCTTTTCGCATGTCTTTCCGTCCTGATATTGGATCTGGAACACAGCTGCATGGTTAGAGAATAACCGGTGTCTGGTTCCGAGACGCGCGCCAGCAGTCAGTGTCTCGTCCTCGCCAGTCACATTCACTCATGTACCGGTTCTGCAGTCCCGAATTAGATGCGCCTCGAGCGCGCTTTACACCCTTTCTTCAATATTGATGCGGCCGTCGGATCAGCTGGCGCGACGTTCCCCGCTGTACTATAATTTTATCCTGTTCGCTACGATGCAAGTCGCTCAGCTTCAGCAAGCCACCCAAGCTTCGCTGTCGCGAAAGAGATATACGATGTTTTATGGTTGACCTTGGCGGTCAAATCTCAGCCCTGTGGCTTGCTCTAAGCCGCCAACGGCTGCACGGCTACCCACTGACACTGCGCGGAAGCAAGGTGAGCTGAGAGATAAAATTGGCAAGGCATACCGCGGTGGGTATATTCGTCGGCTTTATCGGTTGGCGGTTTTCTTGCATCGCTGGTGTAATATAGCCCTTCAGCTCCTCTCTTTCGTAGCAAAGCATTCAACGTCCTCTTTCCTGCGCTGGTGCCGTGGTCGCATGCGATAGTGTGACCTATTATATTTACTCTTCATCCGCGGACAGAACTTCGCGATGGTGTTCCTTCAACTTTTAGCCCTGTCAGTCAGTATACACTCAGTGCAAGCAGCATCAGTAGTCATACAGGGAGAGAAGACATTAGCAGAACTTGGCTTCTCGGGACCCATTCTAGAAGACTACGACTACAAAGGCAACGGGGGACAATACTGCAGCTGTACGCCCTCTCCCCTACCTCCGTCACAGGCAGCCGCCTGAAGCAGCCCCATACCAACCACCCACGCGTATCAGCCATTGGCGGCTACAGCATCGGCCGCCGACAAGCCTCCAGCGCTGCCAACATCTTACGCACCAACTACCAGAAATGCTGGGGCGAAAACCAAGACCTGGACCCCACCTACGCCATCGACGAGCGGTTCGTCCACTACGACGCCTACTACAACAGGCACCATGTCCTTCGCGCACCGCAACGCGGCCGCAGAACACGACTGCCCGGACTGGACCTACCCGGCGGAAGAGTACGCCGTGCTCGCGATCGGCGCCATGTGTCTTCCCCGCCGACGCGGCGCTGAACCGCACCGTCGTGGACACGCGAACCCGTTATTCTTCTCGCTGTGGATGGAGGAGCCCTCTGGCACTTCGCCCGCGAACTTCCACGCCGAGTTCACGTCCAGCAACTCCGCGCTCGTGTGGAGCCAGATGTGGAACGTGGGCGCGACGAAGAGCGAGGACGGCTTCGCGCTCGCGGGGGGCCTACGTCTCGCGTGAATACGGCTTCAGCAACGGATACGGCTATGCGCCGCCCAACGGGACGGCGTGGGATCGGTGCAGGGGCTTGGACGCGGACTGGGTCCTGGACATCACGCATGTGGGTATGGTGGGGCGGGTCACGCCGGAGACGGCGAGCATGACCGTGACGGTTGGGAATGGGACGGGGAGGGTCTTGACGTGTGAGTTTCGGGGCACGTGGTGGAATCAGGGCGCCTGACTCGCGATGAACGGGACGGGGATTGAGGTTGCGGGCGGGCGCGCGAACGGTGCGGCGGTGGTTGCGCCTCTGCAGGGACGAGCGCTCGGTTTAGCTGTCGTTGTTGTGACTGGCTTGGTTCTTCTGCTGTGATCTTTGGGTTGCGTTACATGTCCCACTATGCGAACTGGGAACTCAGACCGCTTTGGGCCAAAAGTCTAGCTGCCCACGTGGCAGTGATCTTTGTGCATGGCGCCATATCTGGACGCGGTGATCTGCATCGATCAGCTTTGCAGCTCATAGTCGGTATGTAGTGTTTGAAGAATCAGATGGGGCACTTGAACCTCCCGATCCCTCCCGCTATACCAAAGCAAATCATCCCATCGCAGCCCATGAGTCGACTCAACCATTCGAAAGTCATGCCTTGGTCGCCGTAGTCTCTCGGATCCTGCCCTCGACCCTGGGCGCGATGGCCTTCGTCCAGTTGACCATGAACTCGCCTTCAGTCAGCTCGTCGCACTGCGCCGGATGTCCCGGCAGCCCTGCCAGCCTCCACCACTTCCTCATCACCTTCCGCATAATCGACAACTCATGTTCCCTCTTGCTCAGCGCTGTATTCACGGGCCTTAGATCCGTGTTTTCGTCCTCCTCGTCATCATCATTCAACGGTGTTTCCGTTCCATCCGGCCGCTCGGCTTGCGGCGTACTCCTCCCATCCCGGCTCTCATTCTTCCCGCCCCCTGCCTCATTCGCCGCCTTCCTGAACGCCTCGACGTCCTTGCTCGACGGCGCCTGCGGCTCCACGATCTTGTGCTTGTGCTTCTGCTGCAGCTCCTCCTGCACGCTGGACCAATGCCGCCCCATGTTTGGTCCCCACTGCTTCCACTTCCCCAACACCTTTAGACTCATGAAGAACTGGCGCAGGATCGTGGAGATGAGCACGCCGTTCTCCTCGCTCACGACTTCAACGGCCGTACCGCCCTCTTCTTTGATGAGGAGTGAGTCGTAGCCGTCCTTGCCGCGCGCCATGTAGCCGCGGGTAACTAGGACGTATTCCTTCTCTAGGTCTAGCGGCTCTTGGCCGATTTTGGTTGAGATGACACGGGCATCTGGCGGTAGGGCGGGGTTGAACGTGAAGAAGATGTTGGAGACTTGAGGGAAGCGGCCTTCCAGGGCTGGATAGGTGGACACCGAATTCTCAAGGGCGGAGAGGATGGCGGCACCTTTGACCCTGATGACCACGACGGGGTCTTCGAAGGGGAAACTGAAGCTCGTTAGTACTTGACCGACCAAGCTCCCGGCTTCCCAGTTGTGCAAGTTCACCCTACCAATTCATAATGTCTTTCAGCCTTAACAAACCTGGTGGATAGATCTGATCTCCCCTGATGGTGCCAGCCGCCATGATACAGCAATCACCGCCATAGTGAGACCTCATAAGATCAGCGATAAAGTTGCCAATGTTGCTTTCCTTCAGTCTGACGGTCGTGAAGCGAGCGTCCAGCGGTGCCGCGGTGTAACCCACAGGCTTCTCCAGCTTCGTCCGCAGGCTGGAGGTCAGCTTTTCTGCCAGCTGCACCGTCGGCGGGTCCTGAGGAATGGAGGAGACAACGTCTCGGCGTACGATGGTGAAGTCCCATTTCCCTTTGCGCAAAGGATCGGTCGCCCGCCGAGCCTCTATATAAGAAAATTCCTTGAAATCGCTCCCACTACGCAACACATGTGTCCCCTTGATGTACGCGTTGTTGTACATATGGTCGTGTCCGCCGAGTATCAGATCAATCAATCCTTCCGTCTTCTCGGCCAGTTTGATGTCATTCGGCTCCCGCTGATGAGTCAGTGCCACAATCAGTTCGCACCCTTGGGCCCGGAGTCCCGGTACAAGCTCTTTTGCTGTTTGCGAAACGGACTTGTAGTCCAGGTTCGGTGGCAGGCTGTTGATGGTGTCTAGCCATTCTCTCTCGACAAGACCTATCACGCCTATTTTGATACCGTTCGAAGCTGTGAGGATGACCGTTTTTTGTGCGCTGCCCAAGGATTCGTTGTTGCCAAGGGCGGGATCGAGGACGTTGGCTAGAAGCCAGGGAAAGGAGCATTGGGAGGTTAGGTGGCGGTACTGGGTGATGCCGAAGTCGAGGTCGTGGTTCTGTAGGAAGATCGCGGATCAGCGGCGGGCTGAGGGAGAGCGTATAGGAGAACGTGAAGCGAACAGGTACAAGTAAAGGCCTTACGTACTCCTACGCAGGCTACATCGGTGCCGATGCCGTTAAGCACAGGGACCATGTGCTGGCCTGAGTACGTCAGATTATATCCGTGCTGTGGGTGCAGCTCTCCGTCCTCTAGAAGGCCGAGGGCTGACAGAGTGCCAGACGAAGATCCGCTCACCTTTCGTCACACTGCTCTCTAAGCTAGGGTTGAACGCATCGCCCGAGAAGAAAGTGAGGAGCTCAGTCTGCCCCTCAAACCTCTCGTCCTTGCGATAGTAGTTTACAAGATGCTGGAACCTCGCTATGCCGCCGACTGGCTCAGCGGAAGAGGCATCGACGTGGTAGACGTCGTTGTAGTGGATGAAGCGGAGGTCTGGGGGAGCACTGCGGTCGCCGCTCTCGTAGACGATGACCTCCTCTGCCGTGGGCCGGTTGGATCCTAGCTTTGGGTGCTTGCCGATGTCGTCATTGAGAGCCATTGTGAAGTTCGCAAGCTTCAAGGAGGATGTGTTGAAGGCATTGATGCTCCAGGGCTCGGGTAGCCAGTGGTGACATGAATCAGCATCAGAGGTGCAGGCAGGCGCACGGGGGCGGGGCGAGCCGCGCAGCTCATCCAGACCGGAGGACTGACAATCGGCTGGTTTAGACAGCCCCGTAAACAGTCTCGTATGTAGGTGTTGTTTGTGGCAGCCATTCAAGAGTCAGTCGCTAATGCCACTCTCCATCATCAAAACGCGCAACTCGTAGACACGCTGTCACGAGACGTGCATTTAGCGTCACGCGTTTGGCGCGGGGTTTGGGGAAGCGCCGGAGGTAACGCCGTTGATGTTAAGCACGGGCTCTAGACGCCTTATTGAACCCCCGTGCTTTTCCTCCATATGTCAACAGAGCAGGGAGGATAGAACAACACCTCGGCGCCACGCTGAAGCCAAACTTCAAGCAAAGATGTTCAAGAACACCACCAGTAGCCACGCCTTCTCGGCAGCGCTTCTCATTCATTCACAATAGTCCATCGCCTCTTCGGTCCCTTATCCCGTTCATTCCGGTCTCCCGAAGGTACTGAACCCCACAGGCCGTGCTGGGTCACCGACCTCCGGTGGTTCGGTGGTGGTAGTGGAGCGAGGACGTCGTTCTCCTTCTCTTCAGCGGCAGGAGGGGGCAGTTTGGACTGCTCAGCGTCAGTAGCGGCATCGCCACCAGCGCTCCAAACAACCTCCCGGCCAAGGCTACTTGACGCCTCTGGTAAACCCTCGAGTCTCGGAGAGTTCCACAACCCAGACATTGAAGAAGTCGGCGTATTGCGGCCCGTGGTGATAGGGGATCTCGGTGCTGTTGCTGATGCAGCGCCAGTCGTTGAGCTCCGTCTGATACTGCCAAGTGCGCTATTCATACTGCGCATTGGCTCGCCGATGCTAAGGGGTGAATCGATAGGGCTGCCAGAGTGGGATCCAAACCGGCGCCGGTATTCGGGGATGTGCGCTACGAGTTTTGGAGATCGCAACGCAGCCATCTTCGCGGAATCAGCACCGGTCCGTAGGTGATCACTGGACGCTACGAGCTTCATGTCGTACTCGGAGGAGAGGCCAAGATCGATGGAGGATCGCCGGCGGTATGGATGACCATTGGAGCCGTTGGTCGAATCCACCAGCGGCTTCCGGTCGACGTTGTCCTTGCGGACAGCCATTGTGAGTGAAGCCATCCCGACATCGAGCAGAACTGGCTGGTTGGTAAGGCCACCGATCAGAGCGTTGCAGCCAGCTCCATGGGTGACTAGTACAAGTACTATATCTGTGTCTTCATCATCGTCCTGTGTGTATGTAACCACCTCGTCGTCGTCAACTGCTCTCTGCAAGCCGTGCTTCTTGTACCACAGTATCATCTCATTGAGGCCTTTGCGGAAACGCTTGTGCATGTGACTCCACTCTTCCCCGTATTCACCACCGTCAGGCCAGTTCTGCGGTTCACGCATGCTGTCCCATTTGTAGTCCACATCGACGCAGGCATCTCGCGCATGGGCGACGTAGCCGCGTGGTATCGGCTCAGAGCCACCCAGCGCATATGTCGGTATTGGTGGCTGATATATGCCACTGTCCACTACAGTAGATGTGGAGACAGTCAAAGTGCTTCTTTGACCATGTCTGCTACTAGCGCTGTCAACGCTACTGTGACTGCTTGCGCGGTCCCGTCGTGGTAATGCATGGCCTAGGCTACTAATATCGGCCAGCGGACCTTCTTCTACTGGCGTGTTCCTCCCGTTCGAAGCGGGCGTTGTAGCGCCGCCTGTCTTCACCCACCCTCCTGGGAAATAGCCCTTAAGATTACCCATGTTCTGGGACGCATCCATGTGCTCCTCTCTCCGCAGTAGTTCGGCTTTGGCTGCGGCCACCATCAACACCGAGTTCGGTGGAGGGGTGATGAGATCGAAGTATTCTGGCGACAGCCATTCGCCCAGGAATGCGTCTATGCGTAATACACTCTTCCGGATGCCTTTCCGCTTTAACGATCTCCTGAGCACGGCAGGCGCAGGCTCATGTTCTGGTTCGAGGATCGGTGCCAACGCTGGTGACCTTCCTTCTGTTGCGCGTTGCCGAGGGGATCCTGGTGGGTGGAGTCGCTCTCTGCGGCTTTCAGATGAGACGCTCCTTTCCCTCGAGCGTGCGGGGCTCGTCTGAAATTGAGCGATGCCAGCACTTATGGCAACAGATGTCTGCACACATCGTAAGAAAGGCGAGCTGTGTATCACGACCTGGTATTTCCGCTTTTTTGAGCTCCGGCCTCGAGGCTCGTCGCTGAACGTGGTTGACCCATCAAGCGCCCCAAAGTCGAAACTGTCCAGGCCATCAGAGCTTGCTGCATTCGGTTGGTTCTCGCCTGACGCCTGCTCCCGTGCGTGCAACAAGCTCGCTATCTTGGTACCCAGGGCTTTCGATTGTGTCCAGCCACCGTAGGTCAAAGGAGGGTCATACGGTGCGGGAGAGGTGAGGTGCCACGTCTTGTCGGCTGCGTCTAGTCGAGCGCCATGTCTGCCGAGCGGTGAGTATAGTGAGCTCACATGCTATTCCGAGGCAACCATAACAGCCTAGGATGAAGAACACACCTCGCGATGATGACGACTGCCGGCGCACGCGGCATGGCTCGCGCTGCGGAGGGTCTCCCCGGTTTTACTTATAGTACCTCAATGGCTCGCAGTGAAGTCCCCAGCCCCAGCTCTTCTTGATCGGTCATACGACGTGCGGTCGTGGAAATTTTACGTGCGGCGGTACGATTAAACTCGGAAGGCAGGACCGTCGCGAAGTCTGCAGAGATGTAGGCTTGCGCCACGGCGAGTGTTCTGCTGCGAAGGCGGGAGTCTCGAGCGGCAAGGTCGAGATTACGAGTGGTTGCGAGAGCTGTGGAATGTTTGGCGGCTTGAATTGCGGGGAGCGGCCTGTCAGCCTCAAATTGTCACTCTGCATCATTCAAGGCTCACGATCCGCGCGGAAGCGTCTAACAAGCGCGGCAACGAATTCAAGCGGCAAAGGGTCCAGTCAAGGAGCGTTTGCGCCTAACTACCTTACTTCTTTACACTACTTGGTTGGCGTGTTGGCCAATGTCAATATTGCAACCTCCGCAATGTGAGTGGCATGACCTTGTGCAGATCACCCAACTGTGCGGGAAGTATCGAACAAATTCCAATAGTCATGATATGAACGAAGTTCATTGCCCTAAAGCTAGGTAGCCTGCCAGGCCGGCGACAGCGATACAAGTACTAGTAGTAGACGGCCTGACAGTTTGCTTCACGAGCCCCTCAATGCCGCGCAGCTTGAAGCATCAGGACATGCTGAAGTTCTCCAGCACAGCGGTCACCATGTAGCGATAGAGAATTGCTGTATGCCAGTCGAGTACAGTGTTGGGGTGACCTTCTACGGCGAGAGCACCGATAGGGTTGGCGAGTTGCAGGGCTTAGTTTGAGAGGGTGATAAGACCTCGCGAGCCTGGTCAATGATCTTAGTGTTGAGTTTGTCTTGAGTTAAGCAGGGCCACTCTGCTGATCTACTGTATGACGAGGATTCGTGGACTGGTACTGACAACCACCCAGTCAACACTTCTCTCACAAATTCGACGGCCTGGGATGTTTCCATCGCAACGACTCTCATTCACGAGCTTGCGACAGGTTCCACTACCTGCCGCCCGACAAGTCATCAACGTACCACAGCGACCTGACACCCAACCCTCTTCCTAACCTCTTATGGCGCCCTCAACCTCGGTACGCCTCCCCCTTCCCGTAACCCGTAGGATCCTTACAATCTCTTCCATCCAACCTCGCCCCAGCTGAGTTCGGTCTCTCCGACCATACATGCACCACCATTCGTAGACGTTCGTGTAACACCAGCTTCGTACCTCGCCTCCTCGAAACGAGTCCCTGGATAGGAAGGAGTGGGCTGCCAAGAGGGACGAGGTGCCGGGGAAGTGAAGGTTGCCGACGCGGTCAGATGTGAGCAGTCAGAACAGGCCGGGAGATGGAATCACCCTGTTGACACAAATACGCGGACTCCATAACCAGGAAGCAGTAAACCACGACGTAAACAATCAGTTATATAGCTTTCGATATATCAACTGGGGGCTATTATAGCCTCTCGTCTTAGTATTTTATAACTAAGAGCATGCGCACGCTACACAGAATTGATTTAACCTAGTTATCGATTTCATTTTGCAGCAGCTTCTGGGTTGGCTATTTATGGAGTCCGCGCATTCGTGTCAACAGGGTGGGAATGTAGGAGATGCTGGGGAACGGAAGACGTTTCGGGAAACCTAGGGAGCGAAAGGCCTAGCAGTCCATGCAGTCCATGCAGTCCATGCATTTCATGCAGGAGGCCGGCGAAGAGGGCTCAAGAGTTCTGGGGCAGTCCCTCGGCTCAGGGCGGTAAGAGGGCATCCATGACGACATACAAGGACAGCTGAGACCGGGAAAAGAGACACGGGATTGGATGCTGGACTATGTAGTGGCGCGGGCTGGCGGCCCGAAAGGTCGACCTGCATCGAAAGTACGCTGCTGTAGGCGCACCGTCAAGGGATGCCCATGAATTGAGGTTGACCCCTTCTCCAAGAGCCAGGTAAGGAACCAACGTGGCTTCGGATCCAGATTGTGGCTTGTCGGATGGCGGCCCCTGCAGCCAACCCATGCCAAACTGCAGGTATCCGCCAGACATGGCAAGAGTGTGTGCAACAGTGCAGGCCGTGAACAGACTTACAGGTGAATGAAGATGCATTCGGAACTCGAAAGGGACCTGACATGGAGTCTTTGTGAGCAGTTACGTGTGCGGGCATATCCGAACTCGGTCCTTCCCATTCTACCCCAAGTCAGCGGGTCAAAGCCTATATTTTGCTCAAATAACGTCCACTTTTCCTATACTTGGACTTGTCGATATCAAGCTTTCTGCCTCAAACCTCACTTCCAGTGACCCTGCTGATTGGGTTCGTTGACTCGCTGCAACATTCGTGCATCATGGTTCAACAGAACGGTCGATTCGAGCAAATATTCATCAGTCTTGACAAGAATGACAATGAAGCTCAAGATGAACTCATCGGTCTGATGATCATGGCTAGGGATCAGGGAAGACTCCACTATGAGAAGGTAGTCCACAACGCAGCACGCGACGCAGACTTTCTTCCCGTTCAGCAAGTCAACGGCAGTACGTCGCGGTTGGACTACGGTGTGGGCAAGGACGCTTCCGGCTTTGAGCAGATTGTTAGGGATGTTGTGAAGAGCTTCGTGAAAGACGACATTGTATGCGCTCATCCGCATGCATCAAGGGTATTCGAACGTGGCTAAGCCTGCAGCAGATCGACGTTATAACGACAGTTGTACAGGACCACTTCGAAGATCTTATGGACCTCCCGGTCAATAAACCCGGGTCCATCATAAAATCGTCGCAATATGCGATCACGGTTGATCGTCTTGGAAGAATCGGTATGGTTATCCAGGCATCGCCTTGTTGGCACACTTCTGAAGTTATTACAGGCCGTATCGACTACTTCTTGTTCTACTACAGGTTCCGCTCCAGTTCCTTATCGACTAAGGTTGAGGATTGCCTGGTCACGTCGGCGGTCTTCTCTTCCGTGGTCATGGATGACCTCAACGAAGATGAGCTTCTGGCGACGGTGCATAACGAATATGCCATGGGGCTGGAAGGTGAGACCTGTGAGCAGATCAAAGAGCGCCAGGAGAAAATCAATGGCATTTTTGAAAAAGTTTTCGAGGATTTCAAGTCGAAGAGCGCCAGAAGGCATCCGTAGCATGTCTGAACACGCTCTAGACGGTCCCAAGGAGTTGATTGATTGATCGATCAACGTAATGACATTCAATCATCTTGATATCATATACGGCACAACATTCGTGACAGCGAGTGACAACTTCTGAAATTGCAACGAGATGTGGGAAGGGCACTCACCGTTGGAAGCGGAGATTAAGAAACAGTCTCATGAGCATCGAATAGAGCTTGAGGTGAGCCGAGCCAGGGCTTTGGAAAGATCTTGTAGAGTAAGGCTAGGAACTTGCATGCATGGCAGTTGTTATGCGAATTACTCCGCACCCTCTTTGGAGTACAGTCGGCGATTTGGCGGTATTACGAATTCTGAGGCGCATAACAAACAGGATACTGAGGTTATCGACATGGAAATCTCTAACCGGTTACTGATATCACGAGTTGCTGATGCTGCGGAGAATCACATCTGAGGCTTGAGGACGAAATGCACGGAGGAACTTCGGACAAATCACGCTCCGAAACCTCATGCTTTTGCACCTCCCATCCAAGCAGCTAGAAGCTCCAGCATCACCACCCATCCACAATGTCCACAACCCTCCCAATACGGCGGTCCATAGGCCGCGCCGCCTCCAATTGCCTCTCCACGCGCCCCTCGCGGTCCCTCCACCCCTCGCCCTCCTCCCTCATCCCCCTATACCACCACCCGCACCACCCATCCACGCAACAACGCAGACACGAAGCCACAGCCCGACGCCTCACGAAGAAACACCGCGTCCCAGCCGCGCCCGCCTTCGCAAACACGACCCAGCCGCAGGACCACATCATCTACAACCCGCCCTCCAGCGCGCCAAACGTGTACCACACGCCCTTGAAGTTCCTGCCGAAGAGCGATCGGCGGCGAGAGCTCCTGCTCGCGCAGCAGCGCGCCGCCCAGGCCGCCGCAGCGGCGTACAAGCCCTCGTCGCCCTTCTCGACGGCGTCGCCAGCGGCCTCGGCACTAGCTTCGCTGTCAGCTTCAGCGGGCACGGAGGCAGCACCAACCCCCCGCCTCCCCCCTCCCGTCCGCGCCCCCTACGAGAAGAAATACCACCTCACGCCGCCCCAGCTGGACGAGATGCGCAAGCTGCGCGCGCGCGATCCACGGAAGTGGACGCGGGTGAAGCTGGCCGAGAAGTTTGAGTGCAGCCAGTTTTTTGTCAGCTTGGTGTGTCAGGCGCCGCAGATCAAGGCGGAGCGGGACGCGGAGCTCGAGAATATTAAGAAGAGGTGGGGGCGGCAGAAGACGATGGCGAGGGAGGACCGGGTTAAGAGGAAGGAGAGCTGGGGGAGGGATGCGTAGGGAGTTTTCTTAAGGGATGGGGTTTGGGGACGGGCGGGGGGAGGGCTGTACAGTAGGCCGGGCCAAGGGCTTGACAGTGGTATAGATTGGGGGGTTGTACCAACAGTGGAGGTTGTCGCTTTACGCCAGAGTGTTGGCACCATGTACATCATCAACAGGCGACATGGTTCAAAGCGGTTTTAGAAAGGGCTTGGACCACCACTCTATTCAATGTACCTAGTTTTTCACCAGCGGTATCCCCGCTTGGAAGAAGTGTTCAGCATCTCCCAACGATCAAGATACCAAGTGCGCCGACCGGCCTTTGTCAGCACCCCCACCACGGGTAGTGTCTCTATAGGAATTGCAGATCGCTGGCTCAGCTCGGTGGGTTGCCTCCGCCATGCCTTCATTACTTCGATGACGCCGCGCTGGTGCTCCTCACAACTTACATTCCTGCCTACCCCTTCATCGGCTCCTCGGCCACATAGTGCAAATACGCCCCCAGCAGCTTAATCCCCTCAACATAGTTTTTCCGATCCAACTTCTCATTAACGCTATGCGCCGCATCCGTGCTGCTCCCCATGGGCAACAGCAGCACATTCTTCCCCGTGGCCTGCTCGAAGGTCAACGTAACCGGGATGCTGCCGCCCTCCCTCGTCAGGTCCGGCTTGACGCCCCAGACATGCTCGACCGCCTTGCCGGCAGCCGTGAAGTTCCAGTGGCTGGGCGACGCAACCCACCACTTCCCCGCGTGCTGCAGCGACGCCTTGCACGTGTTCTTGGACTTGAGGGACGCGAAGACCTTGTCGATGTGCTTGAAGACTGCCTCGTCGACGGCTTTGGGGTCCATGTCTGGCACGGTGCGGATGCTGAACTTGCCCGTCACTTTGGCGGGGATGACGGTCTTTGCGCCGGGGGCGGAGAAGGCGCCTTCGATGCCGTGCAGCGAGAGCGACGGGTATCGCCACCGCCCCATGAGCGTCTTCTCCTTGTCGTCGTAGATTCCTGTCGTGCTGCCCAGTGACTCGTACAGGTTGTCCATCGTGAACGCGATGTCGCCGTACAGCGCCTTCTCCTGCTCCGTCAGCGGCGCTACCATCTCCTTGATACCCTCAATCAGGATCGTCCCGTCTGGCTCCACAAGACTGGCCATCACCCGCACGAGATCCGTCATCGGCTCATGCGCCGTGCCGCCAAAAACGCCGCTATGCAGGTCCTGCGCGGGTCCCCGGATCTCGATGCTGTAGTAATTGCACCCGCGCAGCCCGTACGTCAGACACGGCTTCTCAGTGCCCAGCCAGTAATTATCGCTGATGCAGACCGCATCCGCCGCCTCAAAGAACCCGCCCTTGCGCGCCTCGCGCTCGATGAAGTCGTCCAAGCCCTCGGACCCGTACTCCTCCATCCCCTCGAAGCACATGAGCAGGTTGACCGGCAGCTCGACCCGGGCCTTCTGGTGCGCCTCGATGGCGTTGAGCCAGCCGAGCACGGGGCCCTTGTCGTCGGTGCTGCCGCGGCCGTACATGCGGCCCTTGTCGTCCACCGTCAGCTTGAAGGGTTCGGTGGCCCAGCCGTCCTCGAGGAGCGCGGGCTGCACGTCGTAGTGGCCGTAGACGAGGATGGTGCGCTTGGAGGGCGAGTCGCCGTACCGGGCTATCACGACGGGGGGGAGCTCGAGGTGCTCTTTGTGTGGTTGCGGGCCGAGGGGGCGGAGCTCGACGGAGGCGCCTAGGGCTTTGAGTTCGGAGGCGAGGAATTCGCCCATCTGTAGAGGATGAGCTGTCAGTGATGTTTATGAAAGCTACTATGAATTATCGGCGTGCTGGGCGCGTGCTGGGGATGGGAGAGGCAGGACACCTACTCGGACGACATCTGGCCTCCGCTCTTCGTCGGCGGAGACGGAGGGTATGGCGACGGCCTTGCGTAGGCGGTCGATGAAGCTGTCGGCGAGGGTGTCAACCTGCTTGAAGAAGCTGTCGAGCTGGGGGGCCATGATCTTGTTGGCGCAGTAGAGATAGGGCCAGGTGCCTAGCTGTGGTTTGCGGAGCTGGGCAGTGGTGCCAAAGGGTCGAAACGGGCGAGCGAGGGATTGCAGCGAGGGTCTAGAGGAGCAACTGAAGCGGACTGGCAGCAAGGAGGAGAGTGATGGTGTGCAGTGGGGCAGAAGGCTGGCGCGGGGCATTCTTGGTGGTGAAGATGCTGCACCAGCCCCAGCTCGCTTGAAACTCCAGGTCAGATGCTCAAACGGCACTCGTGCTGGCGCATCGGCATTTAATAATTCATTCCAGTTTTTGATCAAGACCATTTTTGTGTATATACATAAGAACATGCAACTGCTCCATCGCTCTTTCAATCAAGGCCGTTGCCTGTATATTATCTTAACGTCTATCCGTTTATCGAGATTCTCTATTGTCGTAAGATCCCGTCCTTCCAGATTGTACATGAAGCCCGTATTTTCCCCCTAAACTCCGTTCTAAAACTCCAGTCTAAGTCGTAAAGCTGCCCCTCTCCGACAAGTCATCAATCCTCCCCAGCAAAAACTCAAGCTGGCGGTAAGCAGCGCTAGGCGCGTATTGTGGCACCATGTGTCCGGTGAGGAAAGTTTCTATCCACGTAAGTTTCCGCTCCGTATGCGCAATTCCCATAACACCCGCGCCCGCCAGCGTGCTCAAACTAGCCTCATCATGATACGGCACGAAGAACTCCTCCGTCGGCTCCGTCTGGAAGCCCTGCGCGCCGCCCCACGTCATATTCTGGATCATCAGCAGCGTGCCATTAGCGATTAGGACGTAGTCAAGGTTGCCATGCGCGATGACCGTCCTTTTCGTCCTCTCGACAACGCTAGGGAGGACGGACAGACCGGCCGGCAGAGAGGTGTCCAGGTCTAGCGCGCCATTGGAACACATCTCCCAGTCCTGGATCGGCGCATTGATGGCTTCTTGTACCTCCGTGCGGTTGAAGTAGACGCTTGCGCCTTCGGGGCGGTAGGGGAAGGAGCCGGGGAATCCGAGGACGTCCCAGAGGAGAGGGCAGGTGGTGGCGACTTGGTAGATGTCGAAGCAGGGGTTCACGAGACTGACGGCGAGGTAGATGTCTGTCCAGATGTCGCAGCCGGGGGCCGAAGCATTCGGTGCGCTGGGCAGGGGGCTAGGTGGTGGGTATGTAAGGGCGGTGTTCATGAAGTCGGTGTAGCCGCACGAATCTGCGCGCGCGTGGATGTCTTCCATAAATGTTGCGTTTAATGGAAATAGACTGTGGTGAAAGTCGACGAACGGCACCGCGGGAACTGAAAGTGTTAGTGATTACACATCTCAGTTGGTAGGCCGAAAGGCCACTTACTCTGCTGCTGGATGACGTCGTATGTGACGCTAGGATCGTAGAGCAGGATGGATTCCACATCGAAGTACCTCGTATCGTTCGTGTTGAACATAGCATCAGCGATGTACGAGACATAGTATCCAGCGTAGCTCTCCCCCGTAATGTAGATCTTCTTGTTGTACAGCCCGAAGGTATCCACGAAGTTCTTGAAGAAGCCGAGGAACTGGGCAGCAACCTCTTCCTCGTTCGTAGCTGTAGGCGTCCCTTGTGAGAAGCCGGTACCGACAGGCTGCTCCACCCATATCATGTTCGTCAAGTTCGTCCAGGACCATGGATTTCGAACTGGCTTGTAGGTGCCGTACTGCCATAACACGGGGCCATTCTCTTGGAGAAAGCCTTCGAGAGATGAGCAGCCAGGACCACCCTATCTGAGGTGAGCAAGGTGCGATGATCAGTATGCGCGGTGAGGGCGACTTACGTTCAGCCAGATGGTGATCTCATCTGTAGCATTGGGATTCGAGGAAGGGAAGAACCAGAAGTATAGCTCGCTGGCATTCGGCGCTGAAGAGATTGGGAGCAATCCCGCGTATGACTCGCCAATGTCGAAGTCGACGTTGGGTATAGCAGTGCCATTAACGGCGAAGCCTGCAATTTTGTGAGCTCAGGCAAAGGCGCTGGGAGTAGGGACGGATTTACGCGTGGTGTTCGAGCTTTGAGGAATGATTGTAGTGGTATTTTCAAAGACTACCTGGCGCTTTGCGTTCCGGTCATGCTGTAGTGGATGGCGAGGATGGTTTCGAGGGAAGTTTGCCGGTAGCAGCTTATCGACATGTTCGATGCCCCTCGCAGCAACGGAGCCAACAATGGTAACGAGTGACAGTAGAGAGATGAAACGCATCGTGATTCTTAAATTACTGCAGAGCCTGAAGGAAGGAGAATCTCAAAACTCACCGACGGAGAGATATGCAGGATTTGCTAAACCTCACCAACATGCCGGCGCGTTCCATAGGCCAGGTGCGGAAGCCGACTGCGCAAACTCCACCGGCAAGCAGTTAATGATTTTCCCCAGCCGTAACATGCAGTCCAAAGTAGTCTATGCACCTACCTGAGGCGGACAGGGGCCGAAGACGGTAGCCCGGATGTTATCGAGTTCAATGGTATTCTAGCGATGACGACGCTCGATTGCATGCAGTTCGCGGATGGTCTAGAACTCGCTTCTAGCGCTGGGTCATGATTCGGTCCGCCGTCCGTTACAAAAGCTTCTCTGCCGACGAGGAATCCCGATACGGGTAGAGTGCTCGTAGGGGTCCGTCTCTCGGGTTTGCTTTCATTTGAGCGTCTGACCACCTACTCCAGTAACAAGTCGCGAGGTGAGGTACAATACATGCTCAACCGCATTGGCACGAATGTCGCGCGTCCTGGCGTGCAGCGTCGCAGAGCAGAGCCTCCGCATGCTTGTGGCGGCTGGGGCTTGCAAATCTTCGACATCTCGGCTCGGAGCATGATTTCAGCTGGAGCAAGTTTTCGCGAGTCGAGTATTTGAGTTCACTACCGTGGAAGGGGTCCTTGTAAGGACCCCTGTGGAAGAGGCGTGGAAGAGGCGTAGATTGAGGGTCGTCGAATGAAGCAAAGCCAAGCAGGGCTGGGCGAAGCTTGTGGCGCCGATCTGGCTTGCGCGATGGCCTCCCGTCGAACCAAGGGAACGATGGAGCAGTTCGTACCGTAGGCCACGATCTAGGCCCTCCACAAGTAGTCATCCGCGCCGGTCACGTTTTTGCCCCGACCAGGCCTTGGAAGCGCTCTACAACAGTCAAGAAGTCAAGACATTAGCTTTGTCACGTTAGATTGCGTAAAACCCCTGGCCTACGTTGGCCTGTGCCGAATTGGCCCCGGTCGCTTCTATCACGTTACTTGAGCACGTTGAGTAATCGGCCATCATGAACACTACCATCTGGTTATCTTGCGTGGAGCAAGAGAAATCGTGACACCAAAGTCCTCGCCACTCAAGAAGCAAGGCAATTCCCGCTCAGTAGCAGAGCATCAGTACTGCCTCTATTTTGATATTCTGATCGAGTTCTTAGCGGGATCGCCATACGAGAATCTGATAAGATTCTCAAAGAGTGAGTATGGCGTGGCAGGAAACGGCAAACGTAGTTCTAAGTTAAGATGAGCAAGGGACTTTTGTATTAGAGAGAACACCACTCATCAGCCGAAGACACGCACGAAGCAACTTCTCGCTGTCATGGCGTGAGTATATACCCATGGCACAAATCGCCCACTAGGGAACGTCTTTCTTCCCCGTCTCCCTCCACGCTTGTCTCAGTCCTCTCTCAGCCCCGTCTCCAGGGCCTCCTCTCCTCTCTCCTCATCGCCAGCTTCAGCATCTTCCCAAAATCCGGCGTCCCAAACCCCGTCACCGCATCCCACCCGACCGTCGCGTTGCAACTCGCATACGGCACAAACGGCGTCTCCGGCTCTCCCAACTCATTCAACATACAGCCCGTGCTTCCTCCCTCGACAATATCCGTCAGCGCCCTGTAGCCCTCGGAATAGAGCCACGGGTTCAAGAAGCCTAGTGGTGGCTTGTTCGCTGACAGCCTCGCGGAGTTGAGTAGTCCGACTATGGCAGCGACGACAGGCGCGGAGGCGGACGTACCGCCTACGAGGACTTCGACGCCCTGGTCCACGACGGGGAAACTCAGGGCTTGCGCCGCGAGGTCCGGGAAGCCGCGGCCCATGGGGTTATAGAGGCCTGCCCAGCGATCTCCCAGCTTCTCCAGATAGGTAGACACAGCGGCATCCTAGTACGCAGGCCTTGGGAAGAGGTCGCTGAAGCCGCCGCTGGAGAACGCGATGGCGCGCTCGGGCTCGACGCCGTAAGTCCCGCCTACAGACGTCACGTACGGGCACGAGGCCGGGAAGACAGGCATGAAGCGCGTGGCGTTCGTGCCGTCGTTGGTCCGGCACGCGGAACCGACACCGCTGTCGCCCGAGGCGAAGATCACGGAGACGCCGCGGAGGCCGAGCTGCCCGGCCATGTCGCAGACGCGGCGGGCGTAGGGCTCGGGGACTGATTGCTCGTTCTCGCCGTAGGAGGTTGTGAGGGTTTGGGGGAGCTGGCCGTCGGGAAGGCTGAGGAGGTAGGTGAAGAACTCGAGGTAGGGCTCGTTGAGGTTGTCGCTCTGCGTGGGCTGGTCGAGGTCGGGGACGAGCTCGCCGCGGCCGGGCGTGCTGTAGAAGTGGTTGCGCAGGGGGTAGCTGAGGGAGGCGGTGTATTGAATGTCGAGGTTTGCTTCGATGCTGCTGTTGGTGGAGTTCTGTTCCATAACGCTGCCATTAAGGAACGTGTGAGTAAAGGTCCCGTTCTGGACCCATGGCGCGTATTCGTCAAGGAACACGTCGAGGTCGGCATAGCGCGCGTACTGATCCAGGAAGCCGCTGACGCCGATAAATCCACCTTTTGCGGAATTCACTCGGAAGCCCTTGATGTTGTAGAGCTCCCTCAGGCACGATGGCGTGATCTTGCCGCTGCAAGCCGTGATGTTTGGATTCGCGCGAGACGCACCGACTTCTTGCATACCGAGAATCGGGCTGCGCAGCGGATGTATCCGAGGGAAACGGGTTGTGGGCTGAATCATATCGATGTACTGGTCCAGCCCGTCTTGGACAAAGTAATGCATCGTCCGTAGAATCCGAACGTTGGGCCGGACGTGACTCTGGTAGTAGTTGAATTTGGTGCTCATCATTTTCTCTGCCTGCTCCACCGTAGCAACAAAAGTTATCCAGTCACCGTCATCTTGAATGCTTCCGCTACGAACGCCAGATTCCTCAAGCCACTCAATGATGGACAAAGTGGCTTCAACGGTTGGGCGGACCAGGTCCTTGAGCTCGTCGCGCTTCAAATGCCGCCCATAATCCGGGTGAGATGGGGTGGATACGTCGTAGAGCGTCTGTTCAAACAACGCTCGGTTTTGCTGCGTAACCAATCAGCACACCCCAAGCTAAGCGTGGCTCTGCGGGTCGTAGACCTGGTCACCGGGTCGATGAGGAATGTAGATCAGATCTACTCACTTGCTTCACAGCGATGCTGAACCGCAGCCGTTGGCTCGGATCTGGCACGCCCACCATTCGCCAACCATTAGGTACTGTACCAATATTTTCCACCATAGCGATTGAGATGCCATTGATGATGCTGGCAAACGACAAGCACGCCGCAAGGAGAGCCGTCGTTCGCATCGCGCGCGGATGGTGGAGTGGACGTCAGGAAGGAAACGTAAGTTTTAAGAAGAGTGTCGGTAAGTGAGAGACCGTGTTCTGTCGCAGAATCCTTGGGAGCTCTCGCAGTCTGTTGTCGGAAAAGCTAGAGCAGAGACTAGGGCCGAAGCCAATAGAGTCAGCGTGACGTACAGCGAAGCGCTGGACTGAGGAAGTCGTTTGCTTATATTGAAGCCCCTAAGCCACAGGAATGAAGTAGGTGAGACACTAGGTAGCCACAGAGAATCGCATATACCTTCGTCTCCATCGGTGAGTGTAAGTGCAATCTCCACTGAGGTCTGATAGATATGGTCGGCATAACGGAGCTGAGGGCAAGTTGACTGGAATTGTTATGTACTGTCAGCAGGCGTGAACCGCACTCGAACTGCGCCAGCTGCCGTCTTATGCGTCACTAAGGCGTGGTAGTCAAAAGAAACGTAACAACTCAGAACAATACTAGATGAGGTGTATGAGTGTTGATCAAACACCACGTGCATTGGGATACCAAGTCGCTCTGCAGCGATGCAGCGGTTGATTACGGGGTATGAAAATTATCTTGCTCGAAGATTAAGGACCAAGGTACTTGCTCAGACAATAAACGTTCCTACGGATGCAACACAGCACAACTAGAGGTCGCCAACGGCAGCCAGGACGCACTAGTCCCGGACACCCTCCGCACTCCCTCCGCCAGACGTCGTGGAGTCTCCTTTAGCTCCGGCTTCAGACTCCTTGTCATTTGGATTTTCCCCAGGGTCCTTCTATGGCTTGTCTGCCGGCGGGAGCTCAGCGTCTCGCTCATGACTGGAGATCTCGTGCTCGTACTTTGAAGGGTGATTCGGCGAAACCATCCCAACTTTCTTCTGTTCCTGATCCTGATCCTGATCCTGGCCCTGAGTTAGAGGACTCGTCTCCCTCCCTTTACCTTTCCCCTTGAACCTAGACTCAGCTTCCTCGTCGTCATCATGATGAACAGGACTAGGCCCGCCTGGACTTCCCGGCCCACTGCCATGAACGCCTTGCCACTCATGTCCCCAGCCGTGCCCGGAACCCACAGCGCTCAGCGTATCGCTCTCTCGCGCTATGTCGCGGATGTCGCTCCAGTATTCGAGCGTCTTGACCTGATTGTCAGCCGCTTCAAGAGCCTTCAGGAGATTGTCGATGAGGCGCTTCTCTGTATCGTCTTCTGTTTCGCCGCGTTCGACGTGCTCGTCACGGTGATGCGAGGCTTCCTCGAAACGTTCCATCAAGATGCCGAGCAGCTGGCGGCGGGAGGTCTGGAAGATGAGCATAGACATGATGGCGGGCATCTGTTGTTCGGTAAGCTCATGCCTCTCCACCAAGATATGGATATATACAGCCATACCTGCTCCGCGAGGTAATACAGCTCTTCTCCACCATGTTCGAGAAATCCGCAAACGGCTAGTATCTTTTCCCGATCAATCGCTGCTCTCCTTAGCCTCCGCATGAGCGTAGGAATGTCCCTAATCTCCTCTACCGGCTCCACATCTTCGATCCTAGTTCCTAGCCCACCCATAGACTGCGACCTCTGCTCCGCCTCACTGCTCGTAATGCTGAACACCCCACTCCTCGTCCTAGTCGGATGAATAGTAAAATACTCCGCCGTAAGCAGATGCGCCTCCTTCATCGTCTTCGCTCCCATATCTGCCACCCGATGTCCATGCCTCCTCTCCCGTTTCCTGAGCCACCGCCTCCTCCTCACGAAACTATGAAACCACGGATGTGTCCCGTGCCAGCTGAAGCCTTTCTGGAAGCTGAAGCTGTACTGCCACCCCTCCTCATCAACGTCGTGGCTCATGTCCACATACCAGCTCTTCCACGCCCACTCCCAGCTCGGATCCGGCACCTGCGCGTTCGTGATGTTGACGGCTGAGGGCTTGTACCTCGCGTCTACCCAGGGCGAAGGGTCGAAGTTTAAGAGGCTGTTGTGCGAGAATAGCGGGATGCCGAAGAAGAAGGAACCGCGCTGGTTCTCGTAGAGGATGTCGATCTCGGCGTCGGCGTCGATGCGGGTTTTCGAGGCTCGCTTTCGCTGGAGCACGCTTTTTACGCGGTGCCCGCCGCGCTGGAGCTTGGTTTGGGCGCGCTTGAGGGTCGTGTCGCTGCCGGTGGGGGCCTCTTCGGAGGCTTGGTCGACTTCGTCGGTGGCGGCCTGGGCTTGTTTGGTGTTGACTGTTATCGCGGCCTTCGAGGCGCCAGCTCCGGCTGCGGCTTCGCCTTCGGCGCCTTCGGGTATGCTGCTGTCCTGCCACTTTTTGTATTTGCGCTGCGCGACCTGCTTCCTCAGCGAGCCACGGGTCAGCTTGTGCGAGAGCGACACGTTGCTCGACTCCTGCGATAGGATATTCTCGTGGTCGGAGTCGGTTTGAGCGGCGGCCTCGTCTCCTTCGGCTTTTGTGTGATCGACGAGCTTGATTTGGTGATCGTACTTGGCTGCGTCGGCTGATGAGAGGTCGCCGACGGAGCTTGAGTGGGAGCTGAGGAGGTTCATCGTGAACGTTTCTGTTGTATTGTAGGCTCGGAGCCCGAAGCGTCTCTTTCAATTTATGCAGATGTATTAAAAGGGTCTATACTGGCAATTGTGCTGCGGAGATGGAGAGATATCCTGTAAGTGATGCCGCGGGGGCGCCGATTAAAAATCCAAGCGAGTATTACAGTACGAAGCAGGTAGAATGGACACACGAAAGCATTGAAGAACTGCGCCAATATCAGGGGAAGCTGCAAAGGAGTGGTAGGCTGGGGGGAAGGTGCATGTTGGGGTTTCGGCCTGAGGTTTCAACGACCGTTGCGGTGGCTTGCAGCGCGGAGAGCTCGAGCGCTGCAGCCACGAGCCAGCAATGACGACGTGCGGGCGCGAAGCGAGCCTCTTCCAAGCTCAAAGTCAGCCGACAAGCTCTCTCGGCGTCTCGCCATCAACGCTGCACTCTTCCGTCTTTTCGCGTCCATCTGCCATTGACCAGCTACTCTATCGCCTTGAACTACCTCCCCTTCCTACTACACATTCGAGATGTCTAGCAATCGAGGCTTGGTGATTGGTGGCACCGCCGTCGCTGGCGGCATTGGCTACTACCTGTACAGAGCCGGCGGCAACCCGAAGGTCGCAGAGAGGGAGGCTGAACGTGAGACTCACTTCCATACGTGCTCCTGGAGCCGAAGCTTACACGTGTTTATAGGCGACGTGACGAAGCTTAGGGGCGGTGCCGCAGGCACGAAGGACGAGGCAAAGGCCGAGTTCAAGCTCCACGCCGAGGAGGTCGGGCAGAAGCTTGATTCCGCTGTGAGTGCGCCAACTGTATTGGCTGCTGCCTCTGAGTTTGTGGGCGATGCTGATCAATGTGTTTAGCTCGAGAAAGCGAAGGCCGAAACGCACAAGCTCGACGCAAAGCTTGAGAACTACCGCGCCACTGCCGAGAAGAAGATTGATGAGTACACGAAGGAGGCTGGGAAGGAGCTGCACACTGCTGTGGACACGTTCGACAAGAAGGTGACGGAGACTGCTGCGAAGTCCAAGGGCTATTTCTCAAGCTGGTTCGGCGGAAAATAGGCAGTATGTGAGGATGAGGTCGATCGAACAACACGAGAGGCGGCTTGGTGTATTGAAGTTGGCGTTCAAGTTTCTGCCTATGCAAAGTCCCAACATTGCGCTCTAAGTCTTGGCTACCGGCTCTCCGCTCCACGATTACTATTGTTCAGATGCGTACATTTTCTGCTGGTCGAGAACACGGGCTTTACATTGCGATGTGGCAGTGACGATTGCAATCCGTGAGTATGAATCTCGAGTCCCACGGTATTCGCAGAACTTGAGTAGTGGTCTCAAAATGTAATAAATCCTAGCCATGTAAGCCTCCATGCAGTTGACCATTTCTGCCACCGCGTTTCGATTGTCGCGTGAGCAGCATATCCACTCCTTACCATGGTTGGCGCAACCAAGCAGTGAACTCGAAAGCGAACCACGATGCAGATATTACTCCAGACCCCTGGTCCATGATGACAATAGAGCCAGTTGAGTGGTGCCCCCCACCAGAAACTCGCGCACCGCCAAATGAACAAAAACTCCCGTCGCCCATCGTTGCTTTCCTCTCTGCTCAACTCCAAACCATATTCTCTCGTTATCACCCTACAGAATTTCAAAATCAAGCAGCAATGGCGTTCGTTCTCTCATCGCCAGCATCAGACGCCGAGAACTTCGGCAAAAGGTTCAGCCGAGTTCCGGGCCTCGGCTCCAGCCCTGCCGCGCCCTCGCCGTTAGCCACGCGACGCGCGCTTCGTGCGCCCGCGACGCCGCAAGACACACCCAGTAAGTCACCCAAAGCAACTTACCTGCACCGCGCATGCGAAGGTTCTAATCTTCGTGAAAGGCCGCAAGCTCTCCAGAAGCCTCATTTGCCTCGGCGTAGTCGCTTCGACAACACTAGTCAAACCACTACCACCAAGCTCTGCGCCGAAAAAGGCCAAGCACCACATCACCACCGAGCCATCACCTCCCTCCTCACCCGACGCAATGGACACCTCCTCGCCAATCAGAGCAGCATCTCCTCACTCCCCAACACCCTCTAAACGCCTCGCATCACGAGCAATGGCAAGAAACCCACCATCCACCAAACCAACCGCGCGCGTAAGCAACCTCCTCGACCGCATCCGCGCCAAACAAAGCCTCAAGAAGAGCAATCCTCAACCCTCGAAGGCGGAGAACCAGCGCAAAGCAGCAGTCCAGCGGTCCGAAGAAGTCCTCGACATCCTCATCATGGCGGCGTCACAAAAACATCAGACATCACAAGCGGAGCAAGCGATCGAGGGCGCGAACATCAGAGTCAGCTTCTCCCTCACTGAAGCGATCAAGTGCGTCAAGGAGTCCACAAAAAGTCCAGTCAGTCGGGAGGAGGTCGTCAGGTGCATCGAGCTGCTTGCGGAGCTGAGGAGCGACAAAGTCAATCTCGTCTCACTGGGATCGGGAAGCGGTCGCGCAGTCGTCATCAGATTGTGAGACGGACGAATGAACATCAGGGATATAAATTCGGGGGCGATTCGAAGGGATGTGGACAAAACGGCATGGCAAAAGCCTCAAAATGCCTATGGGCACTCATTGCGCTTCCTCGCTCTTTTCTGGAAGCGTTTGTCATTCTGTTCGGTGTTGGCGGAAGCATTGCATGGAGTTTTGGGTTCATCACTATCACTATACCCTCAGGTCGCATCGGGCACGGAGTCTTTGCTAGCGTTCCAAAGCATTGGGATTGGAGTTTTGTACCGGGGTTTACAGCATCAGCGCGGAGTTGTGTGTTTTGCCAAATTGAATCCAATTCTGCATCACCCCATCGCGCTCGCGAAAGCCCGAACTGATACTCTAAATGCTGTGCACGTGACCTCGCGTTGGCCCTGAACCGCCGCCCAAAGCTGAGAAAGAAACAGCGTCGATCACTCTCAACTCAACTCATCGCTTGGAGGAAATCAAATGCCGACCCCACAAAATCCCCTCCATACCCACCTCATCCGCCTCCTCGATGCCCGCGCCTACCCAAAAACCATCTGTCCCTCCGAAGTCGCACGTGCGCTGTCCGCCTCCGAGCTGCAGGCTCTGGATGCGAGCGAGTGGAGAGACGTAATGCCCGCCATACGGGAAGCTGTGTGGGAGATGAGAGATCGTGGGGAGGTGGAGATCATGCAGCGTGGTGAGGTACTCGGTTCAGAAGTTGGGCTTGAGGATGTGAGGGGGCCGATACGGGTGAGGTTGGTTAGGGGGAACGAGAGTTGAATGGGCACCTAGGCTACGGCAACACTGTTCAAGTGGGGGTGTTCAAGGTTCGTCAACACAGAGCCTGCGGTCCTAAGATGCTTATTGTAATGAACCACTCGATCGAGTGCAAGGGAACAGAATGGTGTCACGTGCCCATTGTGCCGTCCACGGCTTTAGCCCAGCGCCGTCGCTATGCGGAAAGCAGTACATGAAGACGTAAAGGAGATCTCGGTGCATATCCCGATGAGCTTCAACCACCCGCCATCAACATCTCCAGCATCCCCTTCGTGCACCACGCCTGCTGACTCCATTCCGTCGCCCGTCTAACAGTCTGATGCAGCCGCTCCACCAGCCTATCCACCTCTTCGCTTTGACCCATCTGCTCGCCATAGATGTCTAAGAGCAGGAACGCCACATCAGTGGTCAGCTTGACGATGCGTGGATCCTCGAGATTGCGATTCAGCCACTTTAGTACCGGCTGTAGTGTCTGCTCGTTCCTACCTTCGAGGGCTGTGCGGAGAGCGGAGCGGTGTCGGAGGGCGGTTAGGAGGGTTAAGATGTCTTGTCTTGATGTTCGGGATGCTGTCTTTGAATATTGTTAACTTCTCCGGGGCCGCCAGAAGTATTGCAGGGAGTCTAATAGAACATACCGGAGGATCGAGTACTAGATCTAGCGCCAGATCGTACTTGCCCTTCCGAAGCGCCGTCTCCCACTTGCTGCTGTTCTTGATCTTGCCTCTGTCGTTGCCATTGATGACGATATCCGCGCCTTCGCCCGTGTAATCTTTGCCTCGCATTGCCTTGTCCCAACCCCTTCCGCGCTTCTTGCCCTGCTTCTTGTCATATTCCTCAATCCGTCCCTCAACCAGCGCCTGCATCTCCTTCTGCCGCTCCCTCGCCGCGACTTTCTCCTTCCCGCTCAGCCTCGTCCTGATACTCAGCAATCCCGACTGCATGCCCACCACCAAATGCTTATCCTCCCTCCCCGCCCCACTTCCGACCACACTCATGCTCAAAATCGGACTTTGATACTTGAGCCCCGCAACAACATTCCACCCCTCCGTCTCAAACACCTTAACATGCCCATCCAGCCCCGCAGACACGATCCTGCTCCCCCCACCCGCAAGGCTCAAGCTCGTGACCGTCTTCTGGTGATTCCTGAGCAACTGCCGCGGCCGCGCCGCGACCAGATCCAGCACCGAAACTACATTGTCCGCTGCCGCGACCAGCGTCGTCCCGCCCGGCATCGGCAGGACGGCCTCGACTGGCGCCGCGTGCTTGAACGTCATGACGCTGCCTCTCGCGCCTGAGATCCGGGGGTCCCACAACCGCACCGTCGTGTCGTAGGACCCTGAGACGAGCAGCCCGGACGACTGATCCGGCATCCACGCCCCCGCGCGCACATAGTCCGTATGGCCCGCAAACGTCTGGACGCTCGCATCAGACGGCAGATCCCACAGCCTAACCGTCGCGTCGTCCGAACACGACATCAGCCCCGTCAGCTCTATCGGACTCCACGCGACGCGCCACACAGGCTGCCGATGTTCCCTCCACGTCTTGAGGATAGCGCGGCTGTTCACGTCGAAGGCCTGGATAGCCCCACTGTCCTCCCCGGCAAGCAACACGCGGCCATCCCGCCGTATCGTCCCGCTGTGCGCGGCGTCGTCGGCGCCGAAGCGCGAGATTGTTTTGAGGAGTTTGCGCGTGCGGGAGGAGAAGATTTGGATGCGGGAGCCGGCGGTTATGGCGAAGGTTTCGGAGGCGGGGGTGAGGGACGTGGAGGATGGAGGGGGGGGGAAGGAGATGTGGGTTACGGGCGAGCTGTGCGGTGTTGGCAGCAGAAGCTGCGAGGTGAATGTGCGCCAGTATTTTTGCTCGGGGGTTAGGGGCGAGGGACCGGCGGGGAGTTTGACGGGGGCGAGGGGGGTGACTTCGGTCGCCATCGTGGGGGTGTAGAGGGAGGAATTGTAGGGGGGGAGTTGCAGTGTTGGCGGCGGTGTCGAAGCTCTGGTGACGGGTTTTGCAAATATACAAAAAGTTGTCTTGCCGAAGGAAGGAGTTCGCGCCTTGGCGCCCGCGGTTCGGCTCGATTACCCCTGTCAAGCCGCTCCGATCGCCCTCGAACGGAAGGGCTGCCCTGCAACAATCTCTCTCTGAGATGCTTAATCATATTCATGCATTTGTCTGTGAGTCACGCGTTTGTATACAATATCACACCCATAGTAGGCGATTAACCTGCAATCACCGCACATCTGGACGCGGGAGGCTTCGTGCGGCTTAGGCAGACGTTTAGCAGTTCCCGATTCCAGTTGATAGAGGGCTCAGAAGTTCTGGTGGTTAAGAGTGCCGTTACGATTGTTGGTATTTTTACTATATGTTCGGTAAGAAGGTTGGGGTTTTCGACAAATGCAACGAACAGGCAAGAAGACCGGCCCAAAGAGAATATCACTACTTGATGCTCCCAACCCTTAGCTGTGCCAGCATGATCACTCCAGCTTAAGAAGCCTTTCAACAGTGCTCCACGCCATTACCTCCAACCTATGTTAGAAGGTGAGTGGCCTTAAGCAATGATCGAAAGGAAGAGGAATGTCGAGAGTTATTGAAGCCCGTGAGTTGAGCATTTGAGTGACTTGGATGCTAGTTCTACAACATCTACGGGTACACTAGATATACAATACACCCGCACGCTTTGCAATGCAGGAGCCGACGTAATCTAATCAAGTACACCCATGATCGTAGAGCCACTACCAACAGGGATGCTGTCTCTGCGCCGTGATCGGCCTGTCCGGCAACTGCACCCACACCTTCCTGTTATCCCTCTTCTTCTGCATCTCCTCACTCAACCGCACCCTCGTCGCCTCCTCTTTCAACAGCACACTGATACTCGTGAACGGGTTCTTCATGAGATTAACCCTCCCCCTAGCACGGTAGTCGTAGGATATCGTGTGCATCCCCTTGCCCACCCATGCCTGATCCACGTATATCCCCGTCCTGTCCGCCACGAGCTTCCTCTTGCCATCCTTGAGCTCAATCTCCACCGGCTCCCCCTTCCTCCCCTCCACAGCGCCCAAACCCATCCCACGCTTCACAATCGCCTCATCCCTCGCATACTCAAGATGCTTCCTCACGTCCTGCGCGACCTTCTTCCGCGAAAACCGCATCTGCACAATCGCGTCCTCGATCGGCTTTCCAGCAATCTGCCTCGCCAACGGCCCCAGCTTCTTAAGGCTGGTCGGGAAATCGGGACTCTTGGTCAGATTCTCGCGCTCGGTCTGCTTCAGCGCCTGCGTCTTGGTCAGGCGCCCGCCCTTCCGCACCTGCCGTATCACCATCTTGCGCAGCCAGCGCTCCCGGCTCCGCGGCGCGGGATCGAGCACCGCGGCCATGATGGACGGGTCGCGCTCGACTTCGCCCGCGGCTTTCTTGGCCACGGTTTCCTGGCGCGTGTTTTTGCGCGCCGACTCAAAAATGGAGTCAGAGCTGAGATCGCCGCGTGTCATCTGGGAGGGCCCGGGCGTGGGCTTCTTATTTTTGAGGTATTTGTCGAGGATGGGGTTGGAGGGTTGGTTCAGAGTTGGGTCGTTGACATTGCGTTTGCGCTGGCCGAAGAGGCCGCCGAAGAGGGTACGGCGGGATATGGAGGGTTGGAGGAGGCGGTGGTGGGAGGATGAGCTCGGGGAGCAGGTGCAGGTAAGAGGTCTGAGGGCGACGGCTGTGTTGGTGTCAGTAGCAGAATCTTGCCTCATATAGAGTATGGTTGCGGACCTGGCTGTCTCAGCCGTCTAGAAGGTATTCGGACGCTCATTGTTGCTGTGGCAGCATCAAGGTGATGATACGATGTCTCTTGCGACAAAGATTCGCGGTTCGAAATACGGAGAGCGCCAAGGCATATCACGTGCTTAAAGATGGTTCAGCTCTCCGCCGAGGACGTCCTGTTCGATACGACGTCACTAGATGGAGCTCGTATAGGCATAATAACTATCTATGAATGTTGCCAGTCCTGCTGTTCCTGCAGCTGTCCGCGATGCTGTGTTGCTTCGAAAGTTCTTCGCCTGGTGCGCATGCGTAAAGCTGAATGCTTGGCCGGGGTCTGGGCGTGTCCCAACTTCCCCCGAAATTCCGCAAACTTGGGTTGGATATGCGCACGTCGGGCGGGAGGTGGACCGCGAAAATCTCGCCGCAAAACTCACATTCCATCGACCAAGCCTCGCGTTACCCTCACCATAGCTCTTACCAGCAGAGTGGTAGATTGCTCAATACAGTGCAGTGAGAGAGAGGCGATAGATTAATGTTCAATCAGATAGCTCTTTTTGTCCTGTTTACAGCCTGCGAGAATTGATGGTTTACGTGATGGTTGACTTTCGCGGTCTACCCTTCTACCCGCCCGACGTGACGCGCACTGGGCTCCATAGATCCCCGCTGCAGCGCGCCGTCGAAACTCCATTCGCTGTCTTTGGCCCAAGTGCTGCACGATGACCTTGAGCTCTTGAAGCTCCGTTGCTTGAGCTTCCGCTGTCCTCAAGCTTGCCCTCGTCTCTCATTACCACGTTTCCCACTGTGCGCTCCGCTGGCAGACCGTAGCTCCACTCGCTTCTATCCCCACCTGAAGCTCCAAGATGGACATCAACTCCCTGTTATCGCCACAAGACTCGCCTGCGGACGAGACCCCGCCGCCCTTGGGCACACCGCAGGGTGGGTCGAACAAGAGGCCCCGCGGCCCCTCGAAACGGACATCATCGAACCTCAGCCAGCAATCGTACACCTCCGCATCGCCGCAGCCTCGTGGCCAGCTACCGACGCCTTCGGGGTCGTACTCTTCGGGATCATACTATGGGTTGCAGAGCACAGCGCCACCGCTGCCTTCACCTGGCGTCGGTGTTACGAGTGCGCCGAGAATGGCACATAGCACGACCAGCACCCTCTCGGCAGATACAAGAGCCTCTCCGCTGGGGACTAAACACGAGGACCGGCCTGCACAGCGTCCGATGCAGAGGCAGTCGTCTGGGATGGATACTTTGGCAGGTGCGTGCGTCGGCATTGAAGACCGCGTGGCTAGCAAGGTGGTGAAGTGAAGGACTGACGCTTGGAATGACTCAGATCTTGCGTCAATGCAGCAGCACCATCACCACCAACCGAAGCGACACAGTCTGAACGGATTGCAAGACGCTCCAATCTACGACCGCCCCCACGCATCATCCCGAAATTCCAGGTAAGCGAGGAACAACACTCATCTCGCAGCCGGAGTACTGACCTCGAGACAGCTTTAGCTTGCCGTCACTCCCTCGTACGTTGTCTACCCGCTCAGCCAAAGACTTCGCCATGGCAGACGCGCCCGTCTCACCCCGAGTCTACACGGCACGGTCGCTCTCGCACGCCGATTCCGAAGCCATTTCGCAGCTTGTCCAGTGCCTCTCAGAAAACTCCTACGACTATAACTCACATGTGCGGCTCATCGATCTCCTTCACAAGGGCTTCGTCGACCATGCCGCCACGTCCAATGATCCAAACTCGTACGAGCTACTTCAGGATTTGCGCCAAGCTCGCCAAACAATGGACTACAAATTTCCTCTAGGCGAAGAGCTATGGGTTGATTGGATCGACGATGAAAAGTTGTTGGCGAGATCGACCGACGAGCGCATCGCTGTCATGGAACTGTGCGCCAAAGCGGTCCAAGAAGAGCCCAGCAGCGCCGTCTTGTGGCGTCTCTATGGCGACTACATGTACTTCCTCTGGACGGCCGCTTACGAGATTGACGCGCCAGAGGCTTGGACGGAAGAAGACAGAATCATTGGCAAGGAGGTTTTCAAGTGGGAGCCCATGATGGAAGTTTGGGAACGGGGCGTGGCAGCGACGCAATGGAGGCTGAACGACAGCCATCTCGTCTGGAACCGGTGCATCGAGATTATGATGGAAGACCAACAGCGCTATCCGACTTCGGATAAAGTGCGTAATCTGACGGCTCTGTTTGGCGAAAGGCTGACGAAGCCGCACGCCACATGGGAGGAGACTTTTCAGATGTTCTCCAGCTTCGTCTCAACTTACGACAATGCTTCTTATGAGGAGACCATGACGGGAACGAATAAGCGCGCGGCACAAGCTAAGCAACAGTATGCACTGCGAGAGCCTTTCGAACTAAAGATCCAACAAGCTGCACGGAACAGGGACAAGAACGCTGAGTGGTATGCTTACACGGAGTACCTCGACTGGGAAGTTCGCAAGAAAGGCGTTTTCAGCTTTCATTTGATCAATGCGTTGTACGAGCGAGCTACCCTGCGATTCGCTACCGACGCCACACTGTGGGAGGACTACGTTGAGTTCTTGATTGGGGAAACAAGAGCTGAAGTGAACTTGCTTCCAATCCTAGAACGAGCAACACGACACTGCCCCTGGTCTGGTGGCCTGTGGTCGCACCGGATCCTCGCTTTGGAAGCGGAGGGAAGGGTCTTTCAAGAAATTGAGGAGGTTAAGCACAAAGCGACGAGTAGCGGTCTTTTAGACGTGGGCGGTATGGAGGATCTCCTCAGAGTCTACATTGCCTGGTGTGGATTTCTCCGTCGTAGAGCATTCGACTACGGCAACACGACTGAAGACGACTTGGACATTGCCGAAGTCGGTATTCACTCGGCGCTTGAGCACGTCCGGGAGATCGGCGAGCGGAAGTACGGCAAGGACTACAAGGGCGATCCCCAGTATCGCCTTGAGAGGATCCACATCAACTTCCACACGCGAAGCAAAAATGTGGACGTAGCTCGCGAAGTTTGGAGGCAGTTGGTTCCGCTAAGAGGTGACAGCTATGATTTCTGGTATCGCTACTATATTTGGGAGATGATCATCTGGGCTAAAGTCGCAATCCCTGATGACAGCACGGCGACCACCCGCCTCTCGACTCCACGCGAGTCGACCGCAGTTCTCAAACAGGCATTGAAGAGGATTGCGACAATGGACTGGCCAGAGCAACTTACTACCATGTATCTGAACCATTGCGAGCAGCATGAGTCGGTTCAAGAGTATCGCTCGGCCATCATTACGGCCAGAAAGGCGGACAAGCAGATCGCGCAGAGGAGAGCTACCGAAGCTGCTGAAGCTCAGGCTGCAGCGGCGCAACAGCAGCAGCAAGCATTGGATGCTAGTATCAATGTGGCGGCACAAGAAGAGTCTGGTAGCGCGAAGCGGAAGAGGGACGCTGATGCCACGGACCTGGAAGAGATTGCAGCAAAGCGGAGTCGCGGCGATGACACAAGAGTAGATGTACCTTTCGGCGACGCTTCTTCCTCTGCGACGTCGCAGCTAAAGCGCGATCGCGAGCACACCACCATCATTGTGAAGAACCTGCCGGTCGAAGCAACCGAGACCAGAGTGCGGCAATTTTTCAGAGACTGCGGTACTATCAACAGCATTAACCTCGTCACCGAGGATGGCAGCCAGACCGCGACCATAGAGTTCGAAACCCAAGAAGACGCCAAGTTCGCCCAGTCCCGTGACGGCCGCGACTTCGATGGTTCTACAATTCAGATCTCCTTCGGCACAGCCACAACCCTTTGGGTGACCAACTACCCTCCAGAAGCAGACGAGCGCTATCTTCGGGATCTATTCAAGGATTACGGCGAGATTATTGAGATCCGCTTCCCTTCTCTTCAGAAGAACACCCATCGCCGCTTTTGCTACATTCAGTTCCTCACCGCAGCACAAGCTGAAGCCGCGTCCAGCGCCCTGAATGGCAAAAAGCTGGACAAACAGCACACCCTCCGAGCCCTCATATCAGACCCGAGCCGGAAGGATGATCGCCACGGCGCGACCTACGAAGGCCGCGAAGTCTTCATCGCGAACCTACACTTCAAAACCACAGAAGACGAGCTCGTCGAGCTGGCCCAGGGATACGGTACCCTCGAAGGCGTGCGCATACCACGGAAAGTAAACAACACATCCACCGGTATCGCATTCATCGTGTACTCGAACAAGGAGGAAGCCGCCGCCGCCGCCAAGGCTCTCCACGGCAAGGAGTTCAAGGGCCGCGAGCTGCGAGCAAACATCTCCGAGCCCAACGCTAAGGGCGCAAAAAGGCACGCTACCACCATCATCTCCTCCGCCTCTCCCGAACCTGGCGCCTCCGCTGCCTCGCCCGGCTCAGCCCACTCAGCCAACACAGCCGGAACAGCAGATGACTACCGCGCCCGCACCATCGCCCTCCTCAACATCCCCGACACCGTCAACGACGCGCGCGTTCGCGCGCTCGTGTCTCAGCACGGCCAGCTAAGAAAACTGATACTGAAACCGGAGAACGGGGGCGCGATCGTCGAGTTTGCGAATGTGCAGGATGTTGGGAAGGCGAGCTTGGCGCTGGAGGGACATGAGATTGTGCCGGGAAGAACGATCAGGGTCGGGACTGTGGAGGAGTTGAAGAGGGAGAAGGGGGAGAGGAAGGTTGATAGGATTGGTGGGGGGCCGAGGAAGGATGTCAAAAAGCAGAGAGAAACTGGAACGGCATCGAAGATGGCGTCGAATCCTCCGGCCGCGGCGGCTGGGATGTTGGGTGGAGGAAGGGTTAATAGACCTGGTCAGGCGGGCGCGAGGAAGGGTGGGAATCTGGGTGTTAAGAGGGGTGGTATCGGTCTTGGTGGACCGAGGGCTGGAGATGGTGTACACGAGCCGGATACGGCAGCGGCCGGTGGCGGAGCTGCGAAGAGCAACGCAGATTTCAAGGCGCTATTCCTGAAGTCGCAGGAGGGCAAGGACAAGATGGACGAGTAGCGGAATGCGGTTCAGGGCGCCTTGTTGCTCTTGGTATGTTGGAAGAATGGACTGTGCTCTACGGCTGAAGGTGCTCGAATGGATTCGGGGACGATTTTGCTTAGCTATATACAGCTCGAGGAATCTGGATGGTGAACGCGCCACGGGGTTCTTGGTACGAGGGGGATCTCTAGAGAAGATGACGAAGTAGCTCAGGCTGTAGTGTACTATAAGATATCACAACCTAAACAGACCACAAACTCACCTAATAATCACAGAGAAGGAAATATTGGGTGCTGAACGCGACATCCTGTTTGAACATTGTTCACATCATCTGAATAGGAAGTCAAGTCGTGGCAGGAAAGCAGGAAGTGTAGCGTGTAGGGTTCTCATTGCTTGGTCCAGATGCATACAGCCTGCGTTATGTTCTATCAAATTCACACTTCATCGAGGTTGAGGTCAAATCAACTTTTGGCCTGTACACACAGAGCGATGCCACCTAAGACAAAGGCCATGCCTATCCAAGTGTCTGGAGCAGCAAGTCAGTCACGACACTGCGTCTTTTTGATTGGGACTGCGACTTACCTCGCGAAATGACTTTGCCCTCAGCCCACCATTCCCCCAATACCGTAAATAGAAAAGCCAGAGAATTGGTGATTGGGACCGTCAAGCTCAGCTCTAAAGGAACGTCAGCTACCAGCCCCCTAACACAAGTTGCCCCTCCTAGACGCTTTTGAAGATGGGCGCAATCCATATTCTTTCACGAAGGTCTCCGATTTCCGTTTGTGCTGCTCCGCCTCATGGGCATCGAAGAACAAACAAACAAGCAAGGACTCACCAGCTTGTCCGATCAACAAGAAGAACCAAACACTCCCCGTAATATTAACCAGCAACGGGATCGCATACGCTGGCCTCCTAAGCAAATCCAACACCGCATAGATCACACCGGATGCCTTCCTCCTAATCCACGATTTACTCGGATCATCCAGCCACGGCCGTTCTGGGGCGGTGTAGTCGATGGCTGCGCGCCGCATGAAGGGAGTTGTTAGGCCCCATGCAGCGCCTACCATGAGAAAGCCGAGAACCCAGCGGAAGATTGAGGGTTGAGGCGGTGGGAGAGGAGTGTCGGGATCCATTGCTATAGGGTATGAATATATGCGACGAAATTAACCGTTATAGGCAGCAATTGAGAGAATTCTGATTCAGCGACCGGAGCAAAGAGAAATGAATACTGGGAGAGTAACTGTGCAATCTTCGCAAGATGATACGACAAGAGTGATAGTGGTGGTGAGCCTACGGCGGGCTGCTCCAACATAAAGCGTAGATACGAGTTTCGCACGTGACCAACCACCCCGACTTCATGTCAAGGTCATCGAACGCTGGTATCGACTACAGCAACAATGCCTCATTCGGAACGCCTAGAATCAGCTGGCTTGACACCGGAGCAACTGAACTTGTGGAATGAGAATGGCTATCTTCTCATTCCCGATGCGCTCTCTCAGGACACTGTCAAAGAACTACTTGCGGAGACGCATAGTATGCTGGACGAGTTTGCGAGCAGCGGGATGAAGGACCACCCGATGACTCGGTTTTCGACCGGACAGGAAGGAAAAGAGCATGTGGGAGATGATTACTTCTTGACGAGCGGTGATAAGGTGCGATTTTTCTTTGAAGAGGGTGAGCTTTCTATTTGACCCGTGACCTCTCCGTGTATATCAGGCATTGGGACTGATCGAGGTGCCAGATGCCTTCGATGGCTCCGGGAACCTCGTAAAGCCTCCCGCCCGCGCCATCAATAAGATAGGCCACTACCTACATCAACTCTCCCCGGCCTTCCGCAAGATCTCGCTGTCTCCTGACAATGCCGCCATAGCGCGCTCGTTGTCCTTTAAGAACCCGCAATGTCTACAAAGCATGGTCATTTGCAAGCAACCCGAGATTGGGGGCGCTGTGCCGCCACACCAAGACAGCACTTTCTTGTACACCAACCCGCCTAGCGCCGTGGGGTTTTGGTATGCTCTTGAGGATGCAACCGCTACGAATGGATGCCTAAGCTTTGCAAATGGATCGCATAAGCGGACACCGATTCGGCAGCGATTTGTGAGAAAGCCAGACGGGAGCGGCACGACATTTGCCGAGAACGATGGTGCGCAGTTTCCGGCCGGGCTCCAGGTTCAGCCGGGTGGGTCCGCTGAGGAAGAGTATACGATGGGAGAGGTTAAAGCCGGCACTCTGGTTCTAATCCATGGCAATCTTCTTCACAAAAGCGAGAAGAATCTCAGTGGGAAGAGCAGGTTCATTTATACGTTCCACGTGATAGAAGGGGAGAATGAGTATGATGAGCGGAACTGGCTGCAGCCACCTGAAGAAGGCTTCTCGAAGCTCCATACTTGACAATTCACCACCTTTCAGTATTCGGTTCCTTAACGCTTCTAGTGTTTGCGTCCCGCGTTGTGATGGTCTTTCTAACCAACCATAGCGCGTAGGTGAACGGTGCCTGTGAACCTCTGCTTTTATCGTGCAGATCAAGCATTGAATACCCTTTGGCGCGGCAGCGCGGCAGTGAAGCTATCCAACGAGACGGATAGTAAAGAATTCACGATGTCTCTTCACCGTTCGAGCATGGAGTTCGTCTCTTATTTCAAGATGCACACCATTCCACCTTCCATCCCTTCTACCCATCCCTCAGTCTCGATCAACCCTGCATTGCAAGAGTTCAGTGTCTCAACCAGCTATTCCGTTCCACTCCTAGAGCCCTTTGCATTCCGCTACGATCTCTGTGTTGCACCATGTCCAAGTTCGTTTACGCGTTCGTTCTGTTATTGTAAGTTTTGGCTGAGAAACACGGATTGAAAGATGCTAATATCATCCTAAGCTTGTACCGATACCTTCGGTTCATCGTGAACACGATATCCTCCTGGTACTTCCGCCGTTTCCAATCTGTGCCATTGCCAGGAAAGCCCACGGTTTTGCGGGATGATGTTACAGTGATCATCCCTACGGTATGCGGAAAGGATACCAAATGTTTGGAGCATACCCTCCGAAGCTGTCTCGAGAATCGACCTTACGAGATCATCATCGTAACCATAGACCGCGTTAGGGATATCATCGCCAAGTTCGCAGGGTCGATCGATGCATCGATCAAGGTCATGTCCGTCCCCATCCGAGGCAAGCGAATCCAAGTAGCCCATGCCCTCCACGGAGTCAAGACCAGCATCACCATCCTCGCCGATGACGATGTGATATGGCCGTCGGAGTTCCTTCCACAGATCCTCGCGCCCTTGGAATCGTGGGGGGTAGGGGCCGTTGGAACCCTTCAGCAAATCCGCCGAGACAGGAACCTGGGAATGTTTGATAGGATCTGGGAGTATCTCGGAGCCTGCTATATTGAGCGTCGCAACTTCGAGATCACAGCAACGTCAAATATCGATGGAGGGATGTCCTGCCTCTCGGGTCGCACTGCTGCATTCCGAACCGAGATTCTTCAGGATCCCAAGTTCATCAGCGGCTACCTCAATGAACGGTGGGCTGGAAACACCTTGAACGCGGATGACGACAATTTTGTATCCCGATGGCTCGTTTCTCACCAATGGGCGATAGTTATCCAAGCCTCGCAAGAAGCTGTGGTCGAGACAGCTCTGGAGACAAGCTCACAGTTCCTCTCCCAGTGTTTGCGTTGGTCGCGGAGCAACTGGCGCAGCAACTTCACCAGCACAATCGTTGAGCGGCATATCTGGAAGTACGTACCAGAACTCCTACTGTAAGGGGACCAGCTAATCATGTCGCAGGCAGCAACCATGGAGCACATACGCGCTTCATCTATCGACTCCTACCTGCTCTCTTGTCACCGACCCTCTTCTGGTATATCTGCTCCTCCGCTCCACCATTTCGCTTGATCCAAGCACGCGTTCCTGGTGTATGTACGCACTGGCAGCCTGGATGCTCGTCGCCAAGATCACAAAGCTGATCCCACATTACCAACGCTGCCCCGGGGACATTCGCTATTTCCCGGTAACACTGATCTTCGGCTACCTTCATGGATTGCAAAAGTATTACGCGCTCTTCACACTCCACAGCGTAGGTATCCGAGTGTCCCCAACATTTGATACAGCAAGGCTGACAGTTGACTTAGACTTCATGAGGCAACCGAGGCGCAGAAGATACGCCTGTCAATCAGTAGAGGTGATGTGAGATATACTCAGCTGCATAGGTTTTTCATTTTGGCGTTAAAAGCTGCAAGCATTGGTTAGGATGGCAAAAGCGTGGCATTGGACAGCGAGAGCATGGCATTTCGGAATCACAAAAGATTGGGAAAATGGGGTTCTTTCTGGTTTAGGGTTTGGAAATGGCTGTGCATCGTTGCTGTTATACCCTTTGGCACTGGAGTTGGCATGGATTGGCAGACCGCGGTGCATTCATCTCGCCTACTGTCAGGTCTTGGGACAATAGAGCTTGGGAATTCTACAGAGAGAACAGTACCTAGGTATGCTTAGAGAACATGATAAGAGACTGGCGCCAGACTAAGCGTTCGTAGTGTCAAGCTGGACGTGACAACCAATCAAGACACATCTGCCCAAAGTAGTGCATAATCTCTAGCATGAGGCTGTGAGCCTGCTGTTTCCCGTCCAGTTACCTTGAACAGGACGGCCGTTCGCACTCAATGCCCTCCATTCATAGCTAAAGATCTATCCCCTCGAAGAGATTGTGAGAACGCAGTCACTGTGTAAACATTACCGCGAATGCTTTATTGGCCGCCGAAAGGATAGCCATGTGATCATAATAATCATTTCACTGCACAAAGTCCGGGACCATCGGATGGTGAACTCATGCTCCCGTCTATACAACGACAAGACAGCAACACCGACAAGTACGATACCATATTCTCGCGGTGGTATCGCGCCGTGCGGCTTGTGGCCTTCGGATCATAAACTGATCACAAAGTGGGAGTGCTGAAACCATTGATGATCCACAGTTAACGAAGGAGAACAGCCGCAGGACCAGATCTGGCTGCGGTCGAGCATGAAGGATTTGAACAGGTGATAGAAAGTTACGAGACCAATGTGGCAGAGGGTAGTGACCATTGGTTCACACATCTGAGAAGCGTTGGTTGCTCATTCACCTCTCCAGTCTTCACAAGATCATGCGGAGGATCTCTGGAATCAAACTGGCCGCCGTCATGGTTGGTATAGGCGTAGACGCAGTTGAGGGCATACCGATAAAATGAAAAGAAGTCTCGATTCTTGTCGACGTAATTCTTCTGACCATTCATGCATAACGTCTCTGTCTGCGAGGGAGCGGTCCTCATCTCCCTGTTGGATTTGTGACCCGTTAACAAGAAAGTATTATTACGGTCAAACAGATTGACACACCTGAGTACGTAGCGAAGTAAAGCTGCTGAATACCCCTTGCCAGATAGGTATGAGGGCTCGAGAACGTCCGGGCTCAACTTCGCTTCATGTCTTCATAGTTAAAGCACTGTATGAAGGTCAATGCTGCCCCTTGCATCTGAGATGACCAGGTATTGACGGCCCGAGCGACGGGAGCCAATTGCGGGAGCGGGGAGTCGGAATTTCGGGAGGCGTCCGAGCTCACGCTGAGCATTGAACGACTTCACAGTAAAGACCAATGAGCCAGTGTCTGGCAACGAAAGTTATCTGTGCCTTCTGAAACACGCCGGCTCGACTCGCAGATCTACCGGCGACCTCTCCGCTATACCAGGGTTATGCGAGCGTTTACCACTGACACTCGCCACTATGAGAGAGCGTCACAACCGTCGATCACTTCCGTCCTCTACTCGTGCGGTAAGCCGAGTACGATGCTGATATCTCCACAGGCCGCGCCACTAATACGTTACAGTGTACGGAATGTCAGGTAAGCCCTGGAGTTCCAGGATGTGTCGAAGAAGATTAACGGATGACCATGCCGCAGAAGCGCAAATGCAAGGTAGTGTTCCACGTTCGAAGTACTTCATTCAGTTGCCCTAAACTTAGTTTCATACTCTCTTTCTTCGCTGCCGCAAATGAGGCACTCACTGTTTCCGTATAGTGCACGGGCAAAACGCCATGTTCATTTTGCTCAAAAGCCGGAAAACACTGCGTTTATGGCTCCCCACCATTGCGAACACCTCTCACACGGAAGTAAGTGGTCGCAGGATTTTATTTTCATAAGTCCCAATACTGTCGGCCTTTGAAGACTCTTCTCTGTCCGTCAGACACAGTTGTGTTCAGTAACTGGAAGGCTGTCAAGGATCTTTGTTCACGCATCGATTGCAGAAACCTTGACGAGGCTGAACGCCGGTGTGCTGTACTGAAGGCGCTTCTGCGGACTTTAAGCCCCGACCTTGACATAGAGGCTCAACTTTCGAAGCAGCCGAAGCAGTCAAGACCTTCCGAGTCCACTCCTTCACCACCTGATATTGAAGACCAAGCAGCAAGCCCCGACCCAGCAAACGAGTATGAGTGGCACGAGCCTCCACTGTCGCCATTGCCAGATGCTTACGGAGGAGATAGCAGGTCGGGAGATGGTATGGCATCTCTACTAATCAAACCCCGTGAATCGGGTTACCTTGGTACGGTCCGGCGCTGTTTTTGTCTGTCAATGATATACAGATACTGAAAAGCGAGCAGGCACCAGCTCTGGGTCAAACTTGCTCCAGACGATATCTGAGCTGCTCTCCCGTAGCGGTAATGCTCTGTTGGAGGCATTGCCAAAGCGTCAATCTTCCGAATTTGGAAATTCTCGAAGCCCACGCAGCTCTGGAACCTTTACGTCAGAGGGGAACCTGGCTGCATCTGCAGTTACGCAACGCTTGATTGATGCTTACTTTCTACTCTACAACACCTCTTATCCAATCCTGCACGAACGTACTTTCCGAGATAGTTACTCAAACCGTACCCAGATCCCTGGCCATTCGAGCTGGCACTTGGTCTTTTACATGGTTCTGGCGATCGGCCACTGGGTGTCAAGCTCAGGTTCTGACCACGATGCGTCCCCATACTATCCTGCCGCACGCTCCCGCTTGTCTACACGAATGTTGGAGTCTGGAACCATTGGCAACGTTCAAGCCTTCCTCCTCATGGTGAGAATATCCAATCGCATTGGTAAAGCGGACGTGAAGCACTGATGCTTAGTATCAGGGCAATTATTTGCAAAAGCGAGATCGTCCGAATACTGGTTACAATCTGATAGGCATCGCCTTCAGGATGGCTCTTGGACTGGGGCTTCATCGGGAGTTCCCGCCAGGTGTTGCCGGAAATGACATCTTAGCCCAAGAGAGGAGAAGACAGCTGTGGTGGATCCTGTATTGTTTTGAAAGTGGTTTCAGCATCACTACCGGCAGACCTACCACAGCATCGGCTGCATTTATAGACACTCGAATGCCCCGCAATGTCGAGGATTTGGTATGCAAGATTCTAAGGTTGCTTTTTACACTTGCTGATTTGCAATAGAACTCCACATTGGATGATTCCCTGCCATTGCCGGTGGATTATCCAACAACTCACTCCGCGATCATCGCACAGGCGCACTTGGCAGTGATTGCTAACAAGATACATAACGACTTTCTGTCAGCCCACATGAACAACGGGGATGTTGATCCAGAAGTGGTGCAAAATATGGAGCAGCAACTATATGCTTGGAAAAGCTTTCTTCCGCCGTACTTCATGGATTCCAACGTCCCTCAATGGTTCCGAGGTCCCCGGGCCGTAGTCTTATGGAAGGAGCAGAACCTGCGGATCATGCTATGGTACGGGGCTCAAAGGAGCAACAACATAGGCCTGAACAAAGCCAACGCGGTCCAAAAATGCCAGCTTGCTGCAATCGAAACGATACAAGATGTCTCAACGTTCTGCAAGGAACAGTCGGATTTGTTACACGCTGGGCTGAGCTGGTACGCCATCTACTTCCTGTTTCAAGCCACCCTGGTTCTCGATATCAGCCTCTTGCAGTCGGCCGATCAACCACACAACGAAGTCACACCATCGCCGCTGGATGATACTGTCTCCCTGGCCAGAGATTGCCTGTCCAAAATCGGGCTGAGAAACTCCGCCGCAACGCGTTGCATCTCTGTCCTGGATCGTATCCACGAGCATCTCGCTTCTACCAAGGCGACATCCGGGCAAGCTTTTCCAAACATGGCATGGGATCCTTATCCCACCTTCACAAGGCGGACAACTCCACAGGCCCTCACGATGGACAACAATCACTGGACATTCACTGTTGATCCGACACTGCACATGTTCCTTGATAACCCATCAGTGGAGAACCTGTTGGAAGGTATCGAGGGCTTCCCCAGCACGCAAGAACAGCAGTTTTTCGATTACACATCTGGTAACTTGTACAATACCGAAGATGGTCAGAGCTTGATGACCTGGCCCAACACGAATTTTATTTGAACCAACCTACAAGGGGCAGAGCAGTATCACCAAATCTGAACGCTGTTGCAAACGGTTTAATACGGAGACGCCCAGTTTCAGGAGCGCGACCTGCTTGGTATCTTCGTCGCCTTCGCTCCGTCACTTCGGTTTCCCAACCTTGCGGGATCATCTCGCTTTGGATTGCCTGTGAGTTTTACTCCTCCCGGTACTCACAGTGCACAACGTCAACCTTGGAGTTGGCGCATCGGGACTTCTCACGCGAAACACTGTCCGGAGCCGGAGGAACTATACCGAGTCTCTCGCGAATGCCTGCAATCCTTTTCATATCGGCTTCACCTTGATTACCGCCGAAGAGCTTGTCCATCTCTTCAATGCGGACGCCCTTCGTCTCAGGCACTCCGAAGTACACCCACACGAGCAGGATGACGCAGAACGCTGTCAGGATATGAGCTTTGAGAAAGGTCTCGTAGGGAGACTGCCTTACCGAGGAAAAAGTAGAACGTCCCAAAGCTGATTGATCTCAGCATTCTCGGTGTGATGAGCGCCACGATGAACTGCGGAGAAGCATGTCAAAATATTTTCAAAGCGATAGAGACTCGGGCACTTACATTTGTCAGCCAGTTGGAGCCGATTGCCAGTCCAACAGCCTTGGCTCGAACTCCGGGAGGAAACATCTCAGACGGCATAATCCAATTTACGCATCCTATAACTCTAGTTACCACCGCTCGGTGAATGCACAAAGACACGCGGACAGCTCACCAATGCTGAATGCGAAATTGGAGATGTAAATCCAGATGAAAACTGCCGCAGCCCACCCAGCATCTCTATGCTCCGCCCAGGAGTTCCTGTACACCGCAATAAGGGTGCCAACGATGAGCTGCGAGACACCCATGCCAACGGCGCCAATCATCAATACCTTGCGACGGCCCCATCTGACCTTGATAAGTCTCGTCTCGCGGCCCCAGAGGGAGTCTCGACTCACCTATCAAGGAACATGATGGCTGGAATCGTCGAAAAGAAGTTTATCACGCCAACCACGCCTGTGGCTAGGAGATCAGTGGAGTTGCCACTCAGCCCAATGGATCGGAAGATTTGCGGCGCATAGCTACGACAGGTCAGCAAGAACTCAGTGAGAACCGATACCCCGCCGGTGCTGACTGACTAAATGATTGCATCTGCAGAAGCTGTTAGTTCTCTTGTCGAATCATGTTCGCACCATATGTGAGCACTTACTGATTCCTGTGAACTGTTGAATAATTTGAAGCATGAAAGCAATGAGGAGACGCCTGCTCAAGTGGCGCACTGTAAACAACTCTTGGTACTGGTGGAGAGCCCGCATGAAGCCCGGTTGTGTGCCCGAAAATCCGGCAGTATCGGTTTCTTGATCGAAGATTGCTGCAGCTTTGATTTCCAAGAGTTCGAGCTTCACTCGATCGTCGGTCGTCGGAACTCGTCTGAGCCTGCAAAGAGTGGACAGCGCCTCCTCCTCGCGACCTGAAAATTATGAGTCAGTTCAGAGAGTTCCGAGTGGACATTTGTTGTATAACTAACCTTTGTTCATGAGCCATCGAGGAGAATACGGCAAGAAGAAGGTGCCGACCGCCAGTATCGCTGAGGGGACGCACTGCAAAGCCAGCGGCAATCGCCAGGCGATGGGACTTTGGGTATCGCCGGTGCGGCGGTGCCTCCGATGTGCTGGGTGCCATAATCCAGCCAGAACGCAACCATGATGCCAACGGTGATACCGAGTTGCTGGAGCGCGATAAGACTTCCCCTGATGTTTGGGGGCGCAAGCTCACTCAGGTACAGCGGAACAACCATGGAAAGCATGCCGATGGACAGTCCGGCAACAAAGCGGCCTACGAACATCATCGCTACATTTATGGCAGCGGCTTGGATGATGGAGCCGACGAGGAAGACAATGTTCGCGAGGAGGAGAGACCAGTGGCGGGAGAGGCGGTCGGCGATAGGACCGTTGGCGAGGGCGCCGAACATGGCTCCGAGGGTCAAGACAGAGACCATCCAGCCCTGCAGGTTGGGGTTGTTGACCAGGTCGGGAAACTGTTTGGCCTGAATAATCACGTCAGTCGCTCGACCTTTGAAGACCAGGGAAAGTCGGTGCTTACGAAGTTGTTCATGACAATGACACCGGAAATGACGCCTTGATCGTAACTGAGAGAGTCAGCACAGTAAACGACCTGTTTGTTCTACTAATTTGAAAGCCAAAGAATTCGATTTTCGTGACCATCACTCCGTGCTGCCTTGCGCGATTGTGTGCTTACGACCTTGATGGGGTAGAGATATGACGAAGACCTACCCAAAGAGGAGGCCTCCGACACTGGCAAAGCATGCCAGGAAGAAGATATAGGGCTCACGAACAAGTCCCTTGTAGCCTTTCGCACAATCAGCTTCATTTCGCTTCACGACTTTTGGACATGGGAGACAACCTGCAGGGCCATAGGCTATATCGAGACCCTCAGTGACGGTAGCACCGCCTCCAGCCATGATGTCGTCTGACGTAGTACTTGCGGGTATGTAGAGTGTGGAGTTTTGGAACTTAGAAGAGCAGATGCAAAATTCGAAAATGAAGATCAAGTCAAGTTGAGCTTTGTGATACGAGAGAGCCATCTATATACATAGGCCGCCCGTTGCAGCCATGTCTCTCGGAAATACATAGGAGAAGGTGGTTAACACTGCACTCTCCGCAGCCTCTTGGGAAGCTGGGGAAGCCTGCAATCGCGGAGTTCAAACATGCTGGCCAGGAGCACTTGCCGCACCCACATTCCCTGTCAATAAGACTGTATCGGAGCACTGTGCTCCGTGTCCAGGTTTGGAGGTTCGTCGGGCCATTGTGAACTGGTTACAATGAGTTGAGTCGCAGACGTCCCCTTGTTCACTCTCAGTGTCCGATCGGAGCACCGTGGGCCGACGAGCCATCAGAGCCACTGAATGAACGTTGTCCTGTGCGCCATACATCTCGCGACAAGCTGGCATTGCAGGGAAGTGGTTTCGGTATCTGTTTCCCGATCATTCGGTCTGCTGTGCTCCGAATGTCCGGTGTGGGATTGGAGTATGGCACGCCGGGTGGGGAAAAGGCTTCACCGCGAACGCACAAATATAGGGCTGCACTAGTAGCAACGCTCCTTTCGTGATCAATCCAATGCTTCATAACAAGATTTAAATAGCCCACTAAAGGCTTGTCCTTCTATCAGTCGCTTCCTGAGTTTGCTACAGCGGCTAATTGCGGATCACTCTATGAAATTGACGGTAAACGAGCGCTGCGCCGCTATCGCGGTGATGTTTATTTCCCGCCTGCCGTGTCTAGCAGCGTGAGTCAAGGGCTTGGCATGTTGTAGTTACGGAGCACAGTGCTCCGATAGCCATCTCAACGCAGGGCAAGGTTTACAATCAACCAATAAGGGAGGTGTACGCGCTATTAGCATTGTCGCTATGGTAGTACGACACGATCTATATATCAAGTCATCAAGCCCACTCTCTTATCCTCCGAGCCCTCTTTCGCCCTTTCTAACTGTTGCTTCGCTTCTACCACCGTCACTTTTGCTACTTCCAGAACAACATCAACAAGATGGCTATTCCAGAGAATACACAAACCGTGTCCAATGGCACAACGAACGGAAGCGGATATGCTATTCCAAAGGAAATGAAGGCCATCCGTTACAATAAGATCAAGGACTTCTCGCTTGTTACGATGCCAGTCCCGCAACCAAAAGCTCATGAGGTACTCATTAAAGGTATGCCATGTTTCTTCGAGGCTTCGAGCACAGAGCTGTCAAATCTTGTACTCCATTCATCAGATACCACGTCAGGAACACATGTCGTTTGATTAAATAGCTCGCCGCATCAAGCCGTACCATGAAACATTGACGAATGGTGCAGTGAAATCGTGCGGCATATGCGGCACAGACCTGCACATCCACAATGGCGATTTCGAGTCAGCAATGCCTGTGGTGACAGGTCATGAGACCAGTGGCATTGTCGTGAAGATCGGCGAGTCCGTGAGAGGGTTCAAAATCGGAGACAAGGTTACTGCGGACAATTCAGAGCTTTGCGGGTACTGTCATTACTGTCGCGAAGGCAAGCTGCTCTACTGCGAGAACTTTCAGGCTCATGGGGTACACCGTAAGTGATCTTGGGATCCATCATCGGATCACGTGTTGACGTGGCCTGTGACAACAGTGGACGGAGGCTTCGCCGAGTACTGCGCTTACCCAGCTGAAAAGCTCTTCCACTTCGAAAAGTTGTCGTGGGAGGAAGCCACCCTGTTCGAGTCCGCGTCCTGCGCCATCCACGGCATGGACCGCATCCGCCCATCCGTTGGCTCCAGCATCCTGCTGATCGGTGCTGGCCCAACAGGCCTGTGTCTCGCTCAACTGCTGAGATCCAACGGCGGTGCGCATCTGGTTCTGGCTTCGAACCAAGGACCGAAGATGGATCTTGCAAGAAAGCTGGACTGCGCAGACGAATATCTCGACCTCGATCGGCAGGATCCCAGCAAGCAGTGGGCGGATCTTAAGAAGAGGTACCCGTATGGATTTGATGTTGTGGTGGAGGCGTCGGGGTCTGCCGCCGTGTTGGAAAGGGCGGTTGACTATTGCACCAGAGGTGGGAAGCTAGTATACTACGGCGTGTATCCGAAAGAGGCACTGATTGCGGTGTCTCCCTCCCGGGTTTTCTCGGACGAGATTACGATAATCGGGTATGTGCCACCTGCTCTCTGTACACCTCCGCCATTCTGACAGCTGAACAGGTCGTTCTCTGAGATGTGGTGCGTAGGAAGAAGTGTCAAGTATCTCGAGAGTAGGAAAGTGGACGTGCGAGGAATTGTAACGCATACCTTTCCGCTAGAGGACTTCGGTAAGGCACTGGAGGCAGTGCGAACAAAGAGCGTGATAAAGGCGGCGATCGTGTTCAACGACTAGAACGAGAGGCGGATTGGAAACCTATTACTAGAACTTAAATCGCACGCATCGTACTTGTTATGTGACGGATGTGTTGGCGCCATAGTTTGAGCGTAGCTCGAATTTCCGAAACGAGAGCATCCCCCTTGAGTGTAAAGAAAAGATACGATCAGCATGACACAAGAATAGTAGGACCCAGATGAATGAGGGCAATCAACGCTGCATTGGAAAGCCGTCCAATGTCAGCGGCCTCGCACGGGACGGGAAAGCCTTAGTAGTTACATAAGACTCCCGGAGCCTTACGCGCTAATATCACGCTGAGATATTAGATACCGTGGTTTAGAAGCTCCGGACCTAAGTCGGAGACCTCGGATAAAGTAAGCTTAGGTAGAGTGAAACATTGTATCTATAATTAACCCACTTGATCTGACCTAGATCGAGTGGTTCAACTCTAGACTTAATCGAACTTATGGCATCACTGGTTCTGACCCAGCAAATTTTTCATCCTGAAGCAGCTACCGCCTATCCCAGAACGCTGTCTTTAGTGCTTTGATCTGCGCGACAGGCTGCTATAGAGTGGAGCCATACGCATACTTCGTAAGGGGAAGAGATTTATCGTAAATGACCAAGAGAAGGTCCACCAGCTCAACAGGCAATTCATCTGCGCTGAGGAACCACAGCATCCGGTATCTTCTGCCCAGCCTGCTCTTGCCATGCTAAACCATCCTGGCTATTGCTCTCCGACTTGGGACCCGACTCGGTCAGCACACCGCTTTGCTGAACACTCGAGTAGTAGATCCCATTCAACGGCTTATTCTCCTGACGCGCCATACTCTTTTTGATCCTTATCTCCTCCTTCCCAAGCGTACTGCACCATTCTCTAGTTCCTGCATTAACCTGCACCGCATCTGGATGCCTTTCAGTGATGGCCGCGCGGCCTGCAGCTGTATGGTTGAGGAGCATACGGAGAGTGCGTAGGGAGATACGTCCGAAGACGAACAACAGAACACAAGTGAGGAACAAAGCCAGATACAACAATGCAAAACAGAAGGCTGGGATGGCGTAGATAAAGTTGTAACGAATGGATTGCTCGAATGGTGTTGCATATACCATAACAGAGGTCAGGTCGGTTGTGTTGGGACGAGAGAGTACGCTTTTCGTCCCAACAACAGCATTGGCCATGATGTCCGTCCAGATGAGGTTGATGATCGATCCAGCACTAGACGCATTTCGAGACAGCGACTGCCACTTGAGGAACAAAGGGTAGCTAGTGGCGCCAGAATAGTCTACTGTATCTCTCGTGGTTATATCGTAGGCATTCTTTAGCGCACCGATTGGAGCGCTTGCACCCGCACTAGCGTCGCCACTCATGGTGCCTATCCCCCCAGACGCTGCAGAGCCAGCTGGTAAGTAGAGAAACTCCTTTTGCACAGTCTCCAAGTATGGAGAGGAAGCATGGTCGGGCGATATAAGACCCCAGAATGGGTTCACATCTCCGATTAAGAGGCCGGGTTTCTCCACCGCCCAGAGGGGCTGCGTATCGTCGGAGGGATACGATGGAGGCCCTATCGCTTTTATGTTGAGATTTGGTAGAAGTGAAGCACCGTTGCTTTGAAAGGTAACGTTCTTTATGGATGCCCTTAACGCTGTGGCGCAGGAGAAGAGAGGGTGAGTCCAATTGGTGAATGGATCCAAACGAACACTTCCTGATCTTGGTATTCGATTGCCGGAATTATCAACCTGGATTCCCGCCCCTAGAATCATACCAGTGGCCACCATGATCGTATTGATACTGATGTTGTCACGTCCCCCAAATCCCCGAGTCGTGATACCTGAATTGCTATGTCAGCACGACGTTGGATCATGTAGAATATGGTTAACGTACTTGCGTCAATATATTTGGGCGTGTAGTTGCTGCTTAGCGTCTCGTTGAGTCGGACGCTACTCGAGTCGAAATATAGAGGGCTGGGCATTTGTATCATGCTGCTAGAACCGAAACCAGATGCAGAGATTCTATTAGGCGCTATGTAAACACCCGCAATCGGACCGGACAACTTAAAAGTCTGCCCGAGGAAGGTCTCATTTCGGGTTAAGTTATAGTAGGTCATGAGGTTGGAGTTTGTTGTCACTGCTCCTTTCCAAGCCCGCTCATAGAGCAGGGGCCGGGTTTGGGATTGGTTAAGATCCAAGTATGGGTAATGCCGTGTTATATTGGAGATGCCTCCATGGTCCGTTAGACGGGCATCCAAGGCCGATCCGGGTTGTTTTGGCGATGCTATCGAATAATCGAGGGTGAGGTTCATGTCTACACATATCGTTTCCGGCTCAATCCAAAGAAGAGTCTCGCTCCACTCAAAACCAGTATCCAAACTTGGTGGCATAGTATGGTTGCGGAACCCGATTGCTCCCGAAATCGTGTCGACTATTAGCCCTTCAATAGCCTCGTATCGGTTGTTTAGGATGAAAGATTGGGAATATTGGAAGCTCCCCCGTGCCCGCGATCTGCCGTGATCTACCCATTGGGACTCATTCTCTGCCGGTGCGGTGGCGTTACCGTAGACTATGAATGACCTCCATGCGATATCAAACACGCTTGATACTGTGCTTCCGTCTCCGTTGGTGCCGCTCGTGAAGACTTCGGTGATGTTAGGAGCTATGGTGGAGGACATGTAGGCATCCAGGGTGCTTGAGTTGGCATACCAGCCAGTCTCGTTCCTCGTTGTATCGTAGCCAGCCCAGCTACCAGGACAATTCAGCAGAAGGAAAGCACCGCACAGCCGATTGTTAACGTAGTCCGCGTGTGATATGGTTGCTTGCCCCATTGGAGATGTGTCTGGGACGTAGCTGAAAGTAACTGATCTAGGCGAAGCACTCCCGACATGTGTCGATAATCCTAGTGGTGTTATGGGACTGACAATAGCCAGAACAAGCATGCCCAATGTCGCGAGGAGTGAGGATGCCATGACTCTTTTGCTGACATTTCGTCGCGCCACCGTGTCGGTACCAAGTATAAGCGGCCATAAAGAGTCGTTGAGCAAGCGTCCAAGGACTGACCTGTGTCGAGGTTGGAGCCGTTTCCTACAAGAGGGACGATACAAATGTCCAAAAGAACTTACCAGGTTGCGGCAGTGTTGGTTTCCCGCAACAAGCCGACTAGGAACAGCACCAGTAGTAACGGAAAGGTGAGGGTGGCTGTCATAATTTGAGCAAGCTGAGAGATGTTCGAAGACTTGACAGCTTACCAACCACGACAGCAGCGTTAATGATTCCAGCGACCTCTCCAACGGTAAGGCTACGAATATCCATTCTCTGAAAGGAAACACAGATATCAAACAATGTCCTCCGCAGTACTGCTGCATGCAAAAAAAATACTCGAGTATGTGGAACTGGAGTTAGGTCTCGAATCGCTTAAGAACTCGTGTGCCACCGAGGCAGACGCGGAGCGGCCCCTGGAGGGGTAATACGGGGTCGTGCATTGATGAATCAAGCAGGCAGCTCGAGCCTTGTAATCTCTCACATCCTGCAGGAAAAAGCCTCACCGCGATAGCTGTTCAGCGGTCCTTCACCATCCACTTCACAAAGAAATACACGATCAGCCGCTGTAGTAAATCTTAGGAGTAAGCGGTAGGATGGCTAGCCTTCGGTTAGGTATTCTGACCATGTTATGGAACATTACTTTGATCGTAAAGAGAGTACTATCGTTGATGAGGCCCTGGAATTCTGGATTCGCGAAGAGGCTTTTTTCTGTCTCTCAAGGTCCTCGCTGCAAGCCTAAGGGGCGACGTCCTAAACTTGGCAGGCAAAAACGCCTTGGCCCCCACGGGCGGTCGTGGCTTTCGTGGGCTGCACCACTTTCCCACAGCCGCTGCCTGAAACATTCCATCGTTTCGAGAATGGGAAAACCTCACCTTTCCGCGTTCTTCCCTTGTCCCCTCCCCTCCTCTCCGCCGTACGCACCACTCACATCCCCCCGTTTTGCTCCACCATATGGCTCAGCCCCGTCTAACCCCAACGACCAGTCTTCGCAAAACGAGACATGCAAGCTTCACTTATGAGGAAACAGCGAGACCGTTCGGCGGCCGCATTCGTGCTGGGTACGTATTGGTGAACATACACTCATGGACAAGATCCGTGCTGGTGTCTTATTCCGTGACCACTCGGCTGGTTATGCGACATCTCTTTTGATCGTAGAGATGTCCATCACTTTGCCCCGCTAGCCTAGCACGCCTAGCCCTCGGCATCGCAACAGCAACGGCATCGGCGTACCAATCTATCCTCAGGACGATATGGGTGGAGTCACTGTGTACCTTAACGACAACAGCAGCAAGTTCAGTGCTCCCGCCAGCGCATGCATCAGCTTTTATAGGGCACAGAATCTGCCGGCGAAAAACACGAGACCACGCATACCCGAGTGGTGGGCGTCAACCGGGGCACGTACTTCTGCACCAGGTAGCTCTTTACATCGCAATGTCAGATTCAAGCACTTTCAGCTGGCCGCTGCCACCGCTTCTTCCCACCTCCAACGTTCCACCACATCGGCATTCACACGCGGATTTCTGCTATCCTCTGAGCGCTGCTCACCTCGTACCGTACCTTACTTGAAGCAACAGTCCCATTAGACCTACTAGAATTCAATGCAAAGGGTCGAAGACTGCCATCCGCCATGCGGACAACGTCGTTCATTTTTTAGCCCCACCGGCCAGAGTGCGAAGCGTAGCCTTGTCCCCAGTTACGAGCTTCCCCATCTTCATCGATTGGGCCGGTCAACCGCGGACCCGCAGTGGCTGCACAGCTGTATGCCGCTGCGGCTTCGTAAACATTGGGAAGCAGGAGTCAAGAAAGTCAAGCTCGGGGATACAGAGCCCAGGGATGAGACGTGGGCTCCAAAGGCATCATGCCTGACCGCGCCTCGCGGTGAATTGGTTGGACGGACGGTGGGCTTTAGACAGGAGGCATGGTAGAGAGGCGGTTCATGGAAGGAAAGCAAGTAGATGAAGATTGGCTCAGCGAATGACGATCTGAACAACCCTCATTCCTCCGACGGTGAGATCGTGATATTCATCTCGATGATTTGTGCCGCAGTTGTTCTATCCGCACCTCGGCAACGCTACACCGCATTACATTCGGTTCAACCTTCAGCGCGGCTATCCAGACTACAGCAATCCCCCGCTTAGCGACAGAGAGCTCTGTCGTGGCGGAATTGCGGAAGACGAGCATCGTCCTGGACAATGCGAAGATTTGGTTCTCCAGACCCCTTGCCCTATCAACGCACATTTTTTACGCCTCTCTCGCCTCGTTTCTCAGCTGCTCCTCAGCCACAATCTCAGCCCGTTCTCAGCCCTAAAGCGGACACCAATCGGTCATTGCGCCATCTCGGATCGATCTGCCGGGCTGTTAAAGCCCGTGACCTTTTGGTAATGCTGCTTGCAGATCAAAATTTTGAATACGAGTTACTCGCTAACCGTTGAACCTTAGCAGCTCAGAGCTGAAGAGTATGTCGCCGATACAAAGGCAGAGCTCTGCTCAGTGCTGCGTCAAAGTCTTCTGAAGATCCACACACTACTCAGACCGTCTCAAAAAAATGCTGCAACTCAAGACTCTTCTCCTGTATGCCATTCTCTTCGCAACCTCTATCCTCGCATATCCCGGTGATCAATATGACGAAAAAGGGAAGGAGAAGCATTGTCTTACCGACCGGAAGGCCTACGACATCATCCAACGATGGGTCTCTTTCTTCCAGCGAGGATTTGATCCCGCCGTTGCCGAGAGGACACTCGCCGAAGATTTCATAGCGCAGTCTGGAGGTCTCAACTTCCTTTCTGGCAGAGACGTACGTTGCGCTCATATTACGTACTTCCTTGAATGATGAGCACCACGCGATAGCTTGTTTTTGTGAGGTTTGAGCTTCTTCAAACGCTGCAGCTGACAACAGTCTAGGCTACTGCCCTGACAGTGACGTCCAGAGCTCAGGCCATCGAGGAAGCATTAATCAATACCGCCAACACGACGAATGTCATTACCGTCCTTGAGTGGTTTCACAACTGCGACAATATAGCATTCCACTGGAGCCTCAACTCGTCGCCGGCAGTAGTGCTGGGAGTCGACTACCTTGTCCTTGAGAGGAGAACTCACCGCATCAAGAAGAACTTCTCTGAGTTCAACGTCGGAGCGTTCCTCTTTAATGCCGGTTTTCCTGAGTGCCAGGCTCCGGCTCCCACTTAGGCGACGGAGGACGGCTCAATCGCCGTTTCAAGAGTGTGATGGCTGCAAGAAGTGGCTGATCTGCTAAGCGTGGGCGGCTGATTGAATGCCTCTTCAATGAATACCATATGTATAATAGGTTCCTTTGGTGGTGTTCTTCAATCGATGGCAATTATTGAGTATTTCCGGCTTGACGCAGATTACGAACCTTAAGTACCCGCTACACAGCCGTCCCTTTATACAGCACTGTTTGGATAGCTACGCCCTAACGGCTACGTTTCAAGTTGTGCCACTTATTGAACAGATTGTCTGGGTCGTATACACACTTCAGTTCCTGCAGCCTGGCCGCATTGCGGCCAAATACTTCCTCCGGAGATGCTCCGTGCACTACTCCAGTGGTTAGCAGCGAGGACTCTGAGAGATGAAGGGTGATAAACAAGACATACTGATGTAGTTGGCGTACACACCCACACCTTCCTTGTCATTCCCCAGCCCGCCTGCCTCCCTCACCCAGCGATTAAATTCGCGGTTAAACACGCGAACCTCCTCGTCGAGCGCGGGATCGTGCCACTTGAAAACTGTACCGACCTGGTAGTAGTCCCCGCGGTTGCAAAACGCCATGGCTTCGTTACTGACAGCACGCACTTTGTCATACGATAGTATCTCCAGCGCGACGACGCTCTCGCCAACGCCCTCGTGCGAGTCGCAGAAGCCTGTCAGTTTTTTCAGCAGCGCCTGCATAAAGTCCAGCGTCAGCGGCATGCGGAAACTGGAACCGCCAAAGATCTTGCGGCCGCCATATGTGGACACAGCGTTGATCATCGTGTTGACGAGCGGCCACGGCATGGCTGGATCGATGTGGTTTCCTAGGGCCTCGAGCTCGAGCAAGGGCGCGAAGAAGGCTTTACCTGCGGAAGCGGGCCCGTTGTAGAAGAGGGCGCAGATCACGACGGCCGCGTTGGTGGGCGGCGGGCTGCTCAAAGCAATCACCATCCCCTGGTCGCCGTCCGTCTTAGCATGGAACGCGTTGGCGAATTCAACAATGTCCGGGAGAGCTGATGGCGGGAAAATGAGCAGGCCGGCGTAGACTGGGTTGGGCTGGGGGTGCGCGCGGAAGAGGAACTCCGTGACGACACCGAAACTCGCGCCCGCGCCTCGAATGGCCCAGAAGAGGTCAGGATGTGAGTGCTCGGACGCGGTGACGATGCGTCCGTCGGCAAGGACCATGGTCGCGCTAAGGAGGTTGTCGATTGCAAGGCCGTGGCGCGGCGTCAACCATCCGTAGCCACCGCCGAGCGTCAGGCCGCCAACGCCAGTGTGGTTGACTGTGCCGCCCACAGTCGCGAGGCCGTGCTGCGCCGCAGCGGCATCAACGTCTTCCCATGTGCAGCCGCCTTCTGCGGCGACAGTCATGGCGGCCGGTTCCACACTGACGTTCCGCATCTTGCAGAGGTCGATCACGATTCCGCCTTCGCTGGCGGACGCGGAGCTCGTGGAGTGGCCGCCGCCGCAGACGACGAAGGGAATCTTTTGAGCTGCAGAAAATTTGACGATGACAGAGACTTCGTCTGCTGACGTGGGCCGGATTACGGCTGCCTAGGTGAGAACTGCGTAAGCCGTACTTATGGATAACAGATTCACATATAGGACGTGCAAGCTTACAGCTTTCTTCTCAGACGTATCACTCCATCTCTTGATGCTTTCCCCATAGCCCGGTGAGGTGGGAGTTAGCATCTCTGCGTTAGTGGGGGCCAATTGCACCCTAAGCGCGTCGTAAGGGTTATTGGCATCCTGAATCTTGACTGCGCCGGCGGTTGCTAGGCTCGCTTTCAGGTGATCCTGCTCTTCTCTGATGTAGGCTCTACCGATAGTCTCCATTGTCTGTAACAGATTCACTCAACGTTGGGCGCTGGGAAGAAGAAACAGGACTGATCGGGTTTTTGGAGACAACGAAGCAAGACCACGAACTAGAGAAAAAAGGACTAAGTGAAGCAGGTTCTCTTGATACCGACAAGATATAGCAAGTGGATGGTTCCTAAACTTATAAGATATCTTGTTATAAGAAGCAGGGCTTGGAGTCCACGCGTCGAGGACGCAGCTCTGAGGCGTTTGGCCCCCGACTTCTTCCAATCAAGACTGGACGTGAAGGCAAACGACGTGGCGTCAAGTCAACTACACCCGGACATAGTGGCTTGAGGACGAGGGAGAAAGACTGTCCCGCTTGAACTTGCTCTTCTTACATCAACAGCCCTGGAGGTTGTGACGACGCAGGTGTAGCTAAGGTTAGGGTTAAGGTGCTTAGTCAGACGCCAAGGGGTCCCCTGCCCGTACCTACCCTGCCCAAGTGTGCCCCATACCCGCCAAGCCTCGCTTCTCCGGATCTCAACAATCAACCGCGAAGTCCTCAGCGATTTGCAAAGCGTCGCCGTTAATATCTCGTTGCACAGCCTCCCCGATGTCGTTACGCTCGCATACTCCATGAACTGCGGGTATAGAATAAGGCGGCTTATAGATGGGACAGACGGGGATCAAGTCAATCATATCTTACATTCGGACTCCCAGATCTTAGGTCGTGACGTCTCGACGCTATGACGTCTTGATGCCCTCCCATGCTGACCTTGGCACACCCATGTCACGTGAGCCAATGCTTGCGCTCGCCTGCGCGTAACACATCATACCACCTCCAACTCTCCCGCTCCCATACCTCCACCCGTCTTTTGGCGGAACGTTCTATGTACGGATACACGAGAATCGAAGGCTTTCCGACGCCGGCAAGAGTTGCGTCCAGCAATGAATAGTGCGATTCCGCCTAGAGAGCTGCCAAGCCGTCACGCTCTTGCACGGAATGAGAACCCAGGCGTAAGCACTAACCAGGCGATACTATTTATGACTTTTAGAGTATCAACGGACGAGCTTACGGCCGAGACAATACGCTGAATTTCAAGCAGAAGCTTATGAGTACGTAATGGAGCCCACTGATCTCCGGTGTGCAAGCTTGCTTGAACTCAGATGCGAGCATGTGTGTGTCAGCCTTGCGCCTCCGGCTTCTCGAAACACGAGCTCTTGCATTCAGCCGGCTGAACTTTCTAGGAGTAGAGAACCTGGTTTATAGCTGAGCTCTTCTGCAGCTGATCGAGTACTAATTTATGATTTTGATAACACGCTTCAAGGCCATATTTCTGAGCTTAAGTTATACCAGTATCCTAATGTCATCTCTTACACCGGTAGGAAAGTCGGCTGCGTCCAAGATGGCAGCGATCAAACCTAAATTCAAGCTTGTCGTGCTTTGTGATGGGACCTGGTGTGGTCCAGAGACATCTACCGAGAGCAACATTCACAGATTCCCAAAGATGATGGGGATCGATACAAATGCACAATCTGCAGCGCACGAGCTCGGCAGCCTCAAAGCGAGATACTTCAAGGGAGTGGGTTTACGCGGAAGTTTCATGAGCTACCTCTGGGACAGCGCCTTTGCCTCTGATAGGGAGAAAGATTGCAATGAAGTCTACGAATTCATTACGCAGAACTTCACTCCGGAGCACGAGATATGGATGTTCGGCTTGAGCAGAGAGGCTCACACAGTCAGCTCAGTCGCCGGCATGATCAACAATTGCGGGATCATTCGAAGCGATAAGGCGAAGTTGACCGAACAAATCTATAAGCTCTGTCGAAGCCCGTACCCTGTCAACGAACCGAACTCTCCAGAGACGGAGCAGTTTAGGTCGAAAGTCAGCCATCCTGTGGAAACGTAAATCAAGTTCATGGGCTTGTTTGACTCTGTCGGAAGTCTGGGCATACCCAGATTGAACTGTGACACAGGTGTAGGATTTGAATGGCCTGAGTTCCACATCAATAGGCTATCGAGCACCGTAGAGAAAGTCTACTACACGATGTCAATTCACGATCGGCTTTGAGCATTTCAACCGTGCTTGGTGTCGAGGGGTGATAAACACACGAACACCAAACGTCCAGATCTTCGGATCCACCAAAAGTGGTTTCCGGGAGCACATTACGATACCGGGCGGCAAGGGTTCCAGTTTCTCCGAGAAGCGAGGAGTGTTATAGAAGGGCTCATCAACCGGTTGGGCCATACAGTTTCTCCCAATGAGCAACTCCCAGACCTAGTTCTGCTATGGATACTAGAAGGCATTTACGCTGAAGGTGGGGGCGAAATCATCACGCAGAACATGGAGAGTGAATCAAGGACCATTCGTACACTGATCAACGAAATGAGGAGTAATATCGAGAAGCTTTGTACTGGCGATAGAGACATCTACGCCAATATGTTTAAGTAGTTTCCGCTCGGAAGACTGAGCTTTATCCCAAAGAGCTTCGTATGGGCCGCGAACAAGCTTCTACCTCTAAGCCCGAGTCTTACAACTTTAAGGAAGATTTTCTTCGAACCACGCGATCGTGTAATCCCCGACCCGGGCAATTACTACTCCACCAGTCTTCGTCAAGAACGAGGTTCTACGATTATGAGACTGGTGATCCCAATCTTGTAGGCAGCATTATTGGAACCACTGCTCTTTGCACATGATACAAATCCAAAACATTCGAGAACTACACTCGGTACATGACGGCGACTGGACGAAACCGCGACGGGTCAAGAATAGCGGCAACTCAGCCGGCTTGATGTGGGGCTTAGGAGGATGAGTTCTTCTAGTGTGAACCCGTATCCAAGTTCGGAGTTTCTCGCAGCCATCTTGGGAGATTTCTGACACTTGGCTGTATCAAATTGAGTAGGCAGGCGGGGCGGGCTAGGATAACTTTTACAAGATTGTAACCTCTCGCTATTCTCCTCAAGTTCTTTTTGTGGGTTCGGCACGTCTCGCGGCAGGCCACTAGGTATCACATTAGCCGGTCGTCACGGAGACGCAGAGCCTGCGCGGCCTCACGTGCAGCAGAGTTTAGTAGAAATAGCACAGAGATTGGGGACGAACAGGACCGCGCTGTGATCCGATAGACAGCACCGGGCGTAGGACAGAGAGCGAAGATAGAGGGCGATAGTGTGTCTGAAGTGAAGGCGGTAGACAAAATCGAGTCAATCACCTGATCTCTCGCACTTTGGCATCATACCATCGTGATATTGTGATGAAGAGGATCAAGTCCGCATCTGCAGGGCGATCTATGAAGCTATCCCCAACCGTCTGTAATCCAGGCTCCGACGAGCGCCCTCTGACACCACATGTTAGCATGGACTCAAGGTCCAGCCAGCGATACCGGTCGTCCCACCTGTTGCGGCCTGCCTCAGCCAAGATGACCTCGCCCATGAGAAAACCATCTGGTCCTTCTCTAGAGCTGCAGTAGAGGTCTTGTCAAGCGAGGTGACCAAGCCTGCTGCTTGCTTCTCCAGCCGAGCTGCTAACCAGGTGGTCACGCTTCGCTCTCCTGATGCAAGTCTCCTCTCGATTGGATTTGCAAGGACGTTGCGAAATAAAAGGCAAACAAGCAGACCTGCTGCAGGTGCAGGTGATCTGAGCCGCTTATTGCTCTTGGCAAGACCTAACTCTAGCAGGCAATTTTTGACGATACCCACAGTTTCAACGTTCAGCCTCCACAGACTCATGTGCGATGCGTCTCAGGGGCATGCAGATGCAGTGAAATCAAGAATGCGGGGGCGGGGGGGACGGGACGGGACGAAAGATCTCGCCTGGCCCTGTCGTGCGTTATCCCGTCTACCCCTGCTGCGGATAAGGTACGTACCGAACATGCATACGCTCGCTTCCGACCTCGTTTCTCAAACTTTCTTTCGCGAGCATTAGGTAACGGACCACATCCGCTCATGTGGAAAGAATCTTGAAGCTAGCCAAGATCTAGAGAAGAATTTTAAAGTCTTCGCTTTTCTAGCGCTGAAGAAGTTCCTAAGAGCCGGCGTCTCACCATGCATGCGAGCTTCGGCCCGAATAGTCACCGCCAAGACAGCATGAGATAACAAGGACGAGAACGAGCGGGCAACGCTGCTGGAACAGCACGCAAGAACCACAAAGCCATGATGAGCTTGAGACACTGATCTTCAGGAGTTCGATGGCGAGACCAACTTAGGCGGCCAAGGACGTCGCTGCCCACCAATGGCTGACGAAAGTGTCGAGCTGATGGCACAAAAGGAAGCACCAAGGCACAATCTCCCCGCTTTGCCAACCCGCAGAGGATCTCCAGGTACAGCCGGCGATCTACACGTGTACCACCTTTTCCAGCACGGGAATAGTCACATACCCTTTCGAAGGCGCGATCGTGGCGCGCAGCTCACCTAAGATGCAATGGTTACAGAAATAGGACTGCTCGGATGAAGCCGGTCGTTCGCTTCCAGTCTCACCAGTGCACGCAATGACCACCTGGGCACCTTCAGACTCGAGACTCTCGCTTACCCTGGAGTTGAGGTGCCTTGCGGGGGTTTTGAAGGAGGTTGTGAAATTGTGGGGTGTGGGGTTGTTTCTTGCTAGCAGAGTTACATAGTGTACCTAGGTACATTAGTTAGTACAGTAGCCGAGAAATCAGGCTTCCAAGTTAGGCCATAAGCGCGGAGAGATACAGCCTGGGCCACGTGCAGCGCAAGGAGGCGTTGGAGGCCAGGAAACTGCCGTGCCATGCAGTCTTGGAAGTCTCGGCCTCACTCTCGGCTTCCAAGTTTGACCTTTCAACCTCGTGCCTTACAGTAACTACATGGCAAACACACCTGCGTTGCATCCACGTCCACCGCCCATGTCCGCTAATCTTACATTAACATGGTTGCAGGCAGTCGCCTGTTGACAGCTTCCTCGACTCCCGCTAAACTGTAACTCTAACCAACATGCGATGGCGGGGCTCGAACGATCCGCCGCCTAGCAAAACCCTACGGCTTCTTCCTGCGTCTCGTCGGCCGTTTCGATCTCACGAGCAGCTCAACCTTGGCAAGCATATTACTCCGAGAAGCTCAATCGTTCCAGCGGCGAGCGTCCTCCGAGGGAGCAGTTACATGCTTGCTTGTTTGATGGACTACGCGTCCTGCCAAACAAGATTGATTCTGGATGCGAAACACGCAAGACTGGATTCCTCGGCGTCGAAATACTGTCAGAGAGCTTGAGTGGCTTTGTCCTCACAGCCCTGAAACCTTCTAGACATCGGCCTCGCGGCTCATGCCGCAAACTCTGTAAGTCGAAGCGGGGGCGGCTTGTATCATCTCGCGGGAAGGGTCTCAAGGGCTGTTGACAGACAGCGAGTTCGTGACATGTACTGCATGCATTAGTGACTTCTCGCTTTTGCTTCCTGAACGACAAGACCGCTATCTCTGCAACTTCAGATTTAGAAGCATGCATTCTCGTCTACGTCTAGTCCAGCTCGCTTCTCTATACTCATCTCAGCATTAGGGCTATGCGTCTTCGTCTGCATCCTCGTCTCCATCCTCCTCTACGTTCAGCCCAGCTCGCTTCTCGATACTTCCCCCATCTCGTGGTCTGGGATGAGGCTGGTCTTCCCCGCGTTTATGCTGCTCGGGGTCAGGTCTGGCCAGAAGCCGTACTCGCCGTGATCCCAAGATAGGGGCATCTCGCAGAGCTCGAAGCAGTATGCTGCATGGGCTGGGCGAGATGGCTCCTCAGAATGAGGGGCTTCAGCGGCCTTAGAATGTCTCCAGAGACTCTCCGTCGTGTATAAAAAGGGCGTCGTCTTCCCATCAATTCAGTCCTCAGCAGCACAGCTCCGAAGCCTCCAGTCTCCAGACTCCGAAACAAGAGAGCCTTTCAATCGTTGCATCTCGCACAAACCATCACTCTTTCTATCCACCACTATCACTACCACTATCAACTCAATTCAATCAAAATGTTCGCCTTTCTACCCGTCGTCCTCGCTCTCTTCTCTGGCATCACTGCCTTTGCCGCCCCGGCTGCCAGCTTCAACCCCAATGAGCTGTCCAAACGCCTCGCAGAGGGCGCGGAAGTTGGCATCGAAGTCGTGCCAACCTTGACCGACGACAAACTGCGCGAGCTCGCCTTTTGGGAGAACGGTGTCCTCCAGGGTTACATGATCGAGAAGCCCGACGATGGCAACGCCGACACTCTCGATTTCTACTTCACCGATGCGAAGGGCAACGTCATCGACGTTGACGCCGAGGCCGACGACAATGCTCTCGAGAAGCGCGCACTCTCATGGATCACTATTGGAATCAAGCTCGCCTCAATCATCAGACGATGGGGCCCAAGGGTCTGGACCTACTTCTATTGCGTTGGAATTGGCGCAGTCTCTCGCTGTGCGGACACCTTTCTACGTTGTGCCACTATGGGGCAGGCGCCATGGACGTGCCCGGCAGGGTTGCTCTGTGTCGGCTCAGTGGCGAACAAGTGCAGATGATTAGGTGCTGTGGCACCGGGGGCGATGGAGTATACCCTCGACTGAAATACGTTGTGGAGGAGGCTGGGGACAAAAGAGGGGCTGTGCAGCAAAGCGAGTCTGATGATGAGTGGCACATCTGGGATCTTTCCTTCTTGTTTCCTGATTACACTCCTTGTCTCCTGATTGCACTCCTTGTCGCGTTCCGTCTTTCCTTAGCACACTCCTTTATCAACTCCTGTCTTTACCGACTTCTGTCTTTAGCTTAGTTATCTCAAATAAAAGTAGCTTTGGCCAGGCTCAAAAGCTGTTGTTCTGCTTGAGTGAAGAATGTTCTTCGACGAGCCTTGTCTCCTGGCAGCGCTTCACCCTCCCCCCTCATTGAGACCCGCGCCACAGTCCATCCTCCCACAACACATCTTTCTGAAACCCCGATGACCTCCTGTCGCACCGCATTCGCCGACGCCCAAGGAGGTCGCCCCGCAGCGCATCCTCTACAATGTGCCCTGTTCGGTCATCCGGGAGCTCCAGCGCCGCGCGTCTCTCGCACTCCAGCCAGCCTCTTCAAGAACCTGTCACCCCCTGCGGCGCATCCTCGTAGTGTCTAGTGCCGGTCACGGTCCGTTCGATCCGTGAATAAGCTGAAAGTGCGGCGTATGTTGCCATTCGGCGCCTCGCTATCTACTGAGCGGGAATCTGACCTCGATTCAGGTCCCACCGATGCCTCGGAGCTGCCACGCTGCGGCGCGAGAGCTTTAGGCCCGGGAAACCGGTGCGAGGAAGTTCTATCCTGTGGCCATATCAATATGCTGTTTAAATCCCGCTGTTGATGCCCTACAAGGCCTACGTTGTCATGTTTGTGTCGTGTGGGCCCATCCCATCGACTCTCCTGGTTGCTGTGCCCTGGCGGTGGTCGGAGTTTGTAAGCATCTCCTTTTGTAGTACAGAATTTGTTCATTGCCTGCTCCAAGCCCTATTCCTGCTCAGTGTGCTTATCACGCCGTCACCGTGTTCTTCTTAGCCCCGTGATGCCTGTCCGCAATATCCTTGTGAAGTAGCGCCTTGCCTCGTAGTGTTTGCTTGTTGTGCCCACAGACCGCCGCCGTGTGACGCCTCAACGGTTCTACAGTTTCTCCCTACCGGTTCCCTCGGAAGGCATCGGCCAAGAGCGCAGTCCGTAGTGCGTATCCCGTAAAGAAGCCATTGCGCAAGACTGAGGTAGCGGAGGCCTCAGGCAAGTTCCATCCGATCTCGTGGTAGCTTAGAACTCAGCGGTCGGCCAGCGACGTCAACAGCTCCACAGAATATGGCCTGCTTTAACGCGGAAAACTCTGGAAAACCCCGCCCACGATGTGCCGCCAGCTGGGCCTCGTGTTGGACTCACCTTATGACCCCCCGTCTGGGGTTCTGTTCCGCCAGCCGGACACGAGTGCTGTGGCAGGCGCACCGCAGCGCCTTAGCAACGCCAGCGGACTCCTGCCGCAGCTCGCATGCTCGATCTTCGGCGAGCTCCCGCAGTGCCGGCTTGATCAGACGTCAATGAAGTGTGTCGCAGCGGGATTGCTCCGGTGAGACTTTTCACACTTAAAGCAAATTAGCGAACCTTGTTCTCGATCCGTACGCCATACAGTGAATGTACCTCCAACACTACTTTCCTTCTCCGATACAGGGCAGAGACTGCCGTGTCTTTTCCAAGGGCCACCTTCCACACTGCTTCAGCCGGCTTACCAAGCTGTCGCAGAAACCTGCTAGATGTGGCATCCCAAACCTTAACATAGCCGTCTTTGGATCTATTAATAATCGATGGATAGCGAAAGTCAACACTTTTCGTTGGCCTCACGTGTGCAGAGATGCTTTCCGTCAAGGTCAGACCCTCAATGGACCATATACCAACTGTTCCATCCATACTTTCGGTGACAATAACACCGTTTTGGATGCATACGTGGTTCACTGGCGCTGTGTGACCTGAAAAGGATCCTAATAAGTCCCTTGCATGAATCAGCGTTGCGCTCATACGCAAGGTAGTAACGGTTCTCACCCGTTTTCAGCGTTCCATATCCTAATGGAAGCGTCAACACCTCCAGTCACCATGTTTTCACCGTCGAAAGCGATGTTGAAGATTTCGGCAGTGTTGCCGTGCAACGTTCAGTGATGCTTGCCACTGGAAACGCTCCACCTACGAACAGATGTGTTATCGCTTCCAGAAACGATAACATCGTCGTTGAACTCCAGAGTCCAGACACCGGACAGGTCAGTATGCCCTTCGAGAACGTGCTGACAGACACCAGTTCTTATATCCCATATTCTGAGTGTCGTATCCCGTGAAGCTGAGACTGGTCTGCCCGTATCTGCTACTCTTAAGTGTCGAATAGTCGAACTGTGACAGTAGAGTGTTTGAATGCACTTCCTGTCCAAAAAGGTGTTAGTTGAATCTCTATTCATCAAGCTTCTTTAGGCACGCTCACTAACCTATGAAACACGTCCCAAACTTTGATTTCTCCACTACTGCAGCCGTTGATCACGAAGCTATCGCAGCTGGTAAGAGCCCATACTACTTCTGAATAACCATGAAGTCTTCTTCGATTGGACCCTTCTGTATCGTAAACGTAGATCACTCGGTTGTTGAGTCCAAGTGCAATGTGGTCAGTGGTGAGATGCATAGATGTCACAAGTGCTGCGGCCACCTCCACGAACTCAAATACGTGCACAAGGCGAGCACTTTCCCAAAGACTTTGCATAATGATGGTGCCTTCCAGCGGCCGAAATGAAGAGTGTAGAGAGAGTCGTTAATAAAGCCGTTGAGCTGTTGATGATTGAATTTAGTGGGTTATTTGCTGTTTAAGTATGAAATGACAAATCTGTAAGGGCGACAAGAACTGGACACAGGTCCGTCTCCCATTAGGTCTTGCCTGTAGAGACACCACCGTTAAAATACCAAACCCCTATTCTCACCGCTTCGCCTGTTCATGCAGTTTTTGGTTCCGACCAACTATTTATAACCAGCCAACTGGAGCTTAACAGCATGCGTTCCGAAGCCAAAACTCAATGAGATGCAAGCTTACCGTGACACCAGAATCCTGCAAGTTATCAGCTCAAATGACAAATAATGCTCCACAAGGGAACGAGTGCTACATCTATGAGATCGATTTACTCTAGGCGATAATGTAGACATGATGACGAGGCGGAATATTAGTTTAATAACTTCCTGCTGGGCAGCGAGAGATTCGGGATTGAACCGTAATATGTTAAAGGGAGGTGTTGCGGCCGCGCTAGGTCTCTCTTGGGGCCGGAAGCTGAGGATAGGCATGGTTCTCTGCCATGAAACAAGTGTGCGCGGCAGTGCGCGGTCGTTGTTGTTCATTGCAGTCGAAGTTGTAGTCGCAGTCGATGCCATCGGGAGGCGGATCAACTCGTCGGCATCTCAAAACCCGCAAAGCACCAAAATTCGACGGCGTCTTATCCATGCTCTAATACAATCCAAGTAGCAGACCGCCAGCTATAGTTTCAATCCCCAACTAGTTTTTGTATTTACATTTTTCAGCATTCCGCCTTGGCCCTATCAACTATCCACTATCCACTTTTCAACCCCTCACAGCACCGTCAACGGTGCCTCCTGTCTCAGATCTCTCGAGCTCAACCCAACACTGACCGTCATTTCCCCGCTCGGAATCCTCCAGTTCTGCGCCACAATGTCCCAATAGCTTATTTCCCTCCTAGTCAATACGAACGCCACCTCTGTACTCTCTCCCGGTTGCACGCTGACTTTCTCAAACCCTCTCAGCACCCTGACCGGCGTTCCCTCCGGTGCTCCACTGCCCATGTCAAGGTAGAGCTGTGCGACGGTAGCACCGCCAACATCTCCGGTATTGGAAACAACAACAGTGACGCGATAGAGCCCATCCCAAAGTGTCGGGTTGCCACCTGGCGCTATCACCGCAGGTGGTGGTAGTGCCGACACGGGGCCGTCTGTCAAAGCCGTAACGGAAATGTTACCGATATCGAATGTAGTGTAGCTCAGGCCGAAGCCAAACTCGTATTGTGGGGTGATGTTCGCCATGTCGAAATGGCGGTAGTCGATCATCAAACCTTCCGTGAAGTCGGCCTGCCACGCATTCGGATCCCTCGTAGTCAGCAACTCAGTAGAATTCGTAACCGGGGCATTGTAGTCGGAAGCATTGCGCGCAATGGTGTAAGGAAGCTTGCCGGAAGGATTGACGTCGCCGTACAGAACATCGACAATAGAGTTTCCGCTTTCTTGACCTGGAAAATGTGCGGCGAGGATAGCGGTAACGTTGGGGTTGTCTGCGAACGGAAGAATATTAAGACCGCCGGAGTGGGTTATAACAATAGTATTGTTGCATGTCCGAGCGATGGTGTTAACCACTTCAGTGCCGTTCCAGCCAAGTTCGAGGGTCGTGCGGTCGAATCCTTCGGTTGCAAATGTTTTAGTGAAAACAAGGCAGACTTCAGGAGGATAAGGAAGAAGACTGCTAAGGCCGTCCGGTTGCAGGATCAGGGTGTTGTTCAAGATATATTGAACAAGAGCACCATCTGGAGATGCGTGGTTTGCCCGGGCTTTGATGGCGTCGAGTGGGGGAATAACATAGGTGAAGCGGCCCGTGCCAGAGCCACCACCCACTGCCTGGGTCTGAAACTCGTAATCACCACCGAAACTCAAACTCAGAGAGTAAGGACCGTTTAGGAAGTCGCCAGCATCGTTTCCAAAGACGCCAATGGTCTGGGGGTTACGGAGCGGCAGAGCATTGTTAACGTTTTTCAGCAATACAGTGCCAGCAGCGCCGAGTTCTCGGATGAGGTGCGCGTGATTGCCACGAACGTCAACGTTGGATGGCGAAGTAAGATTGAAGTCGTACCGCCAAGTATCTGGCGGCGCGAACAAGGTGAAAATGCTGGCGTCTGTAGATGAAGGGTCAACCGGCGGGAAACCGCTATCTTGTCCTAGATAGAAATATGGCGTCATCACTCTGCGAACCATGTCGTCAAGTCGAGCTTCTGGAACGGATCCGTTTTGGATAGCGCCAGTAAGATTTGCTCCCCAATAAGAAGGCACATCGCTGGTGAAGCCAATCCCTCCAGGCATAGTCTGGACAGCAAGTCAGCACCGTCAAAGTAGGCAAAGCCAGGGATGCCGCATGCGAGTGAAATGAACGCCATCGACTGCGAAGAGCCTTCAGGCTTGATGAGAAGAACCTTACTTACCATATCTAGACCTGCCAGCACGCTGGAGACACCAGAGTGTGTCGCACCCCAATCCGACATGACATAACCTTGGAAACCAAGCTCATCCTTGAGTATCCCGTTGAGGATTTTTGAGTTCTCACAGCCATAAGACGCGTTTATGCGGTTGTAAGAACACATGATACTAGTAGTCCCGGCGTGCACGGAGTCCGCAAACGGCCAGAGGTACACTTCATGCATTGTCCGATCGTCGATGTTGGAGGATACAGCTTCAATAGTGATACCACCGACACCGGGAGGTGGGCCAGCGATGTTGGAGGCGGTAGTGTTATCGGGAAAGATCGTGCTTGGATTCCGCTGTGTCTCCTGCTCGTTGCCAACAACATGCTTGGAGGTTGTTTGGACACCAGTAGATTGCACGGCACGGATAGTCAAGTCCATACCAATGCCGGTGAGGTAAGGATCTGGAGAGAAACCCTCCCAGTTCCTGCCTCCAGTGGCGGATCGACCCAAAGTTCCTGCAACAGGCATGAGTGCGATATGTGCGCCCTTTCCACGGAACTCCTCGCCCAGGTAGACACCTCGCTGGTAGATCAAGCCTTTATCCCACGATGCTGCAGCGGTCAATCCGGCGGGGAACACGCTACGGGCCCATCAGCTTGTCTCCGCATCAGAACGCCAAGGCGCTCACATACCTCGCATAGGTGGCCTGTCGAATAGCGAGAGGTCCATCCTGCAAGCAAAGTCCGCTGAAGCCTAAGCGCGCAATAGGTCCAATGTTACCAGTGCACGGGCCTGGGGTGCCTGTGACGATCTGGACTTTCTCGTCAAGGGTTAATTGGGAGAGGAAGCCATTCGCTTGAGATAGGGCGTCTTCCCAACCTCCAAGGCCGGCAGTGTTTGCTGCGACAGTCTGTCAGTTGAGGCTGTTCACAAATTGCACTAATGATCGCAGCTCGGTAGAAGTGCACGTCGCAGAGAAAAATCAAGCAGCACTCACGGGATGGGTAGACGGGAGGGCTAGTCGCATACAGAGAGCGATCCCATGCTTGACCAAAGGCACATGACAGACCCTGGAGGAGGATGAACACCTGCGTCTTCCAAGAAAACTCCATTGTGGACTGCTTGAGTACTACTCATATTGCACGGGGATCTCTCTTATATACTCTCTTCCGTCGGCGGAGAGGTCCAGTCGCTCCTCTCGGCGCAAAAAGTAACTACATGAACAGCATCCTCCTTCCGCCGATGCCGCCTTCGGCCGATGGTTAGCGTGCAATAGCTCCAAAGAGGCTTTTTGAAGCATCTAATGAGGCTATCCCCCTTGAGCTACACTTTTCGTACCAATCAGCAACTGTGCCAGAGACTGAAACCCCCTGCACGCGGCCGGGCGCCGACCATCGGCTGCAAGAGGACACTGTAGCGTGCGGGGCTGGCAGAACTGCGTTGACAAGATTTGTATGAATGCTGCATCATTGCGTGTGTGGGGTCGTTTTATGGTGGAAGGAGAGTTGGAGAGCCAGGATCTCGCTGCCGAGTGCAGGAACCGGGTTCGCTTGAGGATAAACCTCGGAGAACCAGAATGTGGGGAAGAGGGCCAAAGAACGGGTCTGTGGAGAGATCTGCGTATACTCACCGTATCGTTTACTGTAGATCTGTGAATGAAAATGAGGCGCTACTGGAAGGTCCTGTGCGCTAGTAGGGTATACCAGCCATGTCCTCAGTCCTTTGCTGAAGCTGAGGAGCTTCAAGGTCTTGAAGTTCGAATTCCTTTGGTTGAAGGACGGGAGGACTGAATACTGCGACTCTAACTGGTCAGGAAGTCCTGCTAGCGCATGAGATCATGCAGTAGCGCCTCATTTTCATTCGCAGATCTACAGCAAACGAAAATCACCGACTGCAGGTGGAAAGCTATTCACCCGAAGCTACTCCGGAGTTCCTCCAGACTCCAGGTTGGGCCGCAGCTAGTACAGTCCTTCTGCTGGAGAGCGGGCTACGGGTGATGATTTCCGTTTTTTTGGTACAAACCATCCTCCTTGGCTACTCCGCTTGCTTTTGCTTATGACATTTCCAAGCTGCGCAATCAACCCGAACATTACCCTAGACTTTCCAACCTTAGCTCCCATATGTAATAGTGCTCCCATTTCTGCGCCTCAAGCCCTGGTGCATGCAGGAACCGCGTTGGCCGGCCATGCGGAAGAGAAACGAGGCCTGTTGTACCCGAAAATGTCCTGCAACAGTGCCGGTTGCCAACAATCAGCCGCCTCAGGATCTGATGTGTGACATCGTCTGCATTACGTGCGCATCTCGGGGACGGGAGAGCGGGTTAGGCAGCGCTCCAGGCATTCAGCTCCGTCGGTCTACGGTGGCCAGGCGTTGGGAATGGGGCCTTGAGAGTTTTAATGTCCCCAGCAGAGTATCCTGTCCAGTCGTCAGCCAAGTCTTCCTACCACGCTACGAGCTGAGTGCCAGGCGGATCCCCATACAGTTCCAGTAACGCCAAATTCGGCCAGCTGTAATGTGAACTGGCGGATGCGTGCGGCTACTGACTCTGCCGGAGGATACCAATCAGGTGAGATGGTAGGAGACGGCTCGTACGGGGGAGGGTAGTCGGACTTGGAGTCTGCGCCATATCAGCATCCGAGATGGATAAACTGGCGGGGCGCTTCTAAAGCTTGACGACGTGCCATGTGCCGTATACTGCCGCACTTAAGAGAGTGAGGTTGCGAGGCTGGCTGAGAGGCATGAAGAAGCTCTGGGCGGGCAGAAGGCTCACCTCATTTACAGATTAGAAGTTCAGGTGATTATGCATGATACTTGCAACCTCCCTCATGCGCCGAATTGCCGTTCCTCCTAATAGCGTTGTAATCCGCCAAACAAACCCAACAAAACTCGTAGCTACACTTCAAGCCTGCCACACACAAATCAGCACTCCCTCCCAGTTGGTATACAGTTAGTCCAATTACTCACAAGTCATATGATCACATCCATCATTCTTCTCGATATTCCAGTTACACCCTTCTCCCGGACACTTTTTTGTCAGCTTCTCTAGCAATCGCTGACTCGCCTGCTCCTGGCTCCTCTGATCCTGCTCTTTCCGTCCACTCACACGGTAATCGTACTCCTCGCACGTCTCGCCCTGGTGCCACGTCCCGTCGTGCACAACGCAGACTTTGAACCCGCATTCGCTGCAGGTGAAGATTGGGTCGGAGCGCCCCCCGTAGTGGATTTGACCGGATGTGCAGCTGGGGCCGCGACACCAGCGAAAGTTGGGCTCGTCATTCATGGCTTCGCGGGCGGAGAGGGTGTCAAATCTGTGGAGTGAATTAGCCGAGGGTGGAGTGCGAAAGCTGGGGCATGTTTACTTTTGGAAGTCTTCGGAAGTGGCGTATGCCTGGAGTTCGACGTGCTGAAGCAGTACACTGCAACCTGACTCCGGACATGCAATCCGTTTCCAGCCTTTGCTGTTGAATTCGGATGAGATCCAGTTCTGGTAGCAGTTGGAGCACGTCCGGGGCTCGTGGTTACAGTCCAATAGGGCAGGAAGCTCTGAAATTGGTGTGTCGTCGCCACAGACTACGCAGTTGCGGGTTACGGCTTGGAGCTCTTGACCCTCCTGCTGCATATTGAGAGCAAGTGCGTAGTCGTGGTCTTCTCTGTGACTTGCTTCCTGTAGAAGTAGTCCATGGGCTGCGCTTTCGTATTCGGCTCGTTGGAGCGTCATTGCTAGTTGCTCGTCCTCTTCGTTGTCCCATTGCCAGCTATGCTGAGGGGGCGTTTGACCACTCTGTTCTCTACTGAATCGCTCATTGCTCAGAGCCCTAAGCCGTCGATGCTCAGATGGCTGGGCTCCACCATAGTGGTTCGGTACAGAAGAGATGGAGACTGTGCGGGGGCGGAAGGGATTAGTGTTGGTTGTCGTTTGTGACACATCGAGAGCTTCGGCGGCGACCACCTCCTCTAGTTGCAGTCTTACTGCTAACGCTCGATCAAGATCCTCTCGAGAACTGACACTAGAGCCTGGAGAACTGGGCCGAGAACAAGAACGTATATCAGAAGCGATGGAAGTATTCGTTGTAAAGAACGCTGGTGCACTTGGCGAGGCGATGGACGAGCCGAAGCCACGTCGAGAAGGGGCAGGATCACTTAGTGGCGTTGAATTGTACGTTGAGGAGAACCCTGACGTACGTGTTGAGATGATGGGCGAGGCAGGGCAAACCTCTCGGAAATAAGAGAAAGGTCCAGTAGGTGCCATTGGGAAGGATGCTGAAGAGAGCTCCGGTGTACTTCGAGAACTGACGGGCGACGTTTGCGCATCTCGTAGGAGGGAAGCACAATTAGCAGTGAGAGGAGTGGACGTGGGAAGATGATTCGGCGGCGTGGATCGAGAGCTGACGGTTGTGGGTCGTACCACATCTCGGGAAGAAGCATTATTTGGAGTTACCGAATCGAAATCTGAAGGGAGATCCGGAGTGTTTTGAGGGGCGGCGGTCCTTCTCTTCCATGGTAGCAAGTGGGACAGCCAGATCGGGAGGGTTCTTGGCTGCTGGCTCGAGCTATGAACATGGCTGTAACAAGGAGGTACGTCTGGTTGCAATTCCACGTGCCCCGTGATTGCCAAAGATATGACCGCAGCCTCTCCACTTGCTGGGTTTTTGGATATCGCAATACCCTCATCTTGGAAGAATCGAGCAGTCCGCGAGCCACCACGCTGAGACGACGCCCCATCAGCCTTGGAGTGGGAGTTGCCCATTCCGTTCAGCTAGAGGTGCTGACGGAGGCAGGAACGCTAGAAAAGATAGAATAGAAGCAGCAGAGACGGAGACTGTTTAACAGACGAAAACACAATGAAGGGTTGACGTCTGCGTTTCCCATAGAGTCAGAGGATACGATAAGGCTTTAGAATGGAACCCGACAGCAAGGCTGAGAGCTCAGGCAATACGTAAGTAAGCGACGGTGCGATTGTGGCGGAAGCAAGGGGTCGTAGGAGCTCAACTCGCTAACTACAATATGAAGACGTTCGACGTAGAGAGGAATGAGCTGCTGTACAAGCTATTCTGGAGTTCACGTCCGACTAGTTAGCTAGGCGGTCGTATACCACGGGCCAGCACCGTGGCATTTGTCTTTAATTATATTGGAGAACGTGGTCAGTTGGCAGTTGCATCACACCGTCGCGTTCGTTAAGCGACAGTATCTACCTCGACAGTGTGCCAGACATAGGAACCTTGCCAGAATCCATTTCCGTCTTCGGGCCTGCAGTGGAGAGTTGCAGCATTGTCCCCTGAGTAGCGCCTAAGCTGAGCACCCCAAGCACAAGGCTGAGCAGCCTGAGCACGCCACGCACACGTGGCGCGTTTTGAAGGCCCATTCTGGCACGTTAGGGCTCGGTTATGGCTGCTTAGGTCCGTTTGAGCTTCGATTCACCCACGGCTGCTGCCTTGGACTTCCCTGTTTGTGTCTCTCAACCCTGTGTTTGGCTTGTCTAAACCCGTTCGTATGTGAGTAACAACACTCGCAGCATCGAGCACCACAGTAACAGGCATACTACACAAGCCACTACAGAGCTCACAGCTTCTGCATTGGTGTACCTATTTCAACTTCCCTGCGCCTCTAACAATGTTACAAGCACAGCGCACCTCGGCACGGTCCGCCGGAGTGAAGGGATTGGTGGATGAGCATCACCAAGTATCGGTGGCTGGGTATCTCGCTTAAAAAGATCATTTTCACAAAGGCCACCTGCAAGGCGGTCCCCAGGTGCGGGCTGGCTGTAGTCCCTGGTGCGTAGCTAATACAATAGCAAAGTCATTTCGACTTAGTGCCGTAGCATGAGTGGTGGGCTGCAGAGCGGGAAGCAGGGAGCGCAGCCAGCCAGCATTTATGGCCCCTTGAATCTCCATCTTGGCAACGAGGGACGCCATCGCGATTTCGAATGGCAGATGCGCCCCTCACAAGGCTAAGATTAGAAGCTGCTGCTCCTCCTATCTCCATGCTTCAGACTGGCTCCCTTCACGCGCCCAGATATAGCATGGCCATAACACAGCGGGATTTTACGGCACCGTTCTTTGCATCGCACAACTCTTTCGTCCTCTTGTTCAACGGTCGCTTCTTTTATCATGGTCAGTGCCCTCCCTCGATTCGAGCAGAGCGACGAGGCTGGCAGCTCGAAGTCGATTTCAATAAACGCACATGTGCGCTTTGCGGAGCAAACTGAGCCAGGGCTTCATCTGGTATATCCTGAGAATGAAAAAAGCACTGCACCTGCGAGTATGCCATGTGACATTTCCTTTGATTGAATATCACAGCCCGAAACAACCGACACGGACGAAGAGGAGAGCGACTCGGATCATCTGGCGGTTAAAGCCTGGATTCAAGCACTCTCTCAGGTTCAGCAAGAGGTTCAAGACGCCTAGCAGCGGGACACCCTGGAGACGATTCTCATGCAGCAAGAGGGACAGGAGAGGCAGGAAGCCGTTGTTAGCGCGCTCTATCTGAAAGCTGCGCTTCAGCATCACGCCAGGGAGCAAGAAGAAAAATGCAAGCAGGAACAGGCGCTGAGGCTTCTGCGGCTTCTAGGTTTGCGTTACAGATGAGTGGGGGTTACGCGGTCGGAAGCATTGTAGATACTTCTTTAGTCCGAAGATAAGCATGATCCGGGGAGGCTCTCGGATCTTGGTCCGAGTTTTGGTTACGTGCAGCGAGGCTGACGGCATCTGAATCTGATGACACAACGGTCCGGCTGTCAGTCAATACTTGACTTACAAAATATAATTTTAAAGCGCCGCTAATCAGCCTTTATGTAACGCTGGTCAAGACAAACCTTTGTTGCATTGCACCGTCTGTTGCATCACCCTGTCGCTTACGTACCTTGTCCTGAAGTGACTCGGGAGCTTTCAAGAACGTGCAACCTGGGCTCGCTAATTGTTTGCAGGCCATAGTTCAGCGCACGACTATGGTTCCCTTTTGTGAACTAGTAGTAACCTTGCAAGTAACAGGATGAGTCGAGCTGAAAGCTCCAAGCTGGCGATAGTTGCCAGAGTCGGTTCGGGCGAGGATCAGTTCTATTAGTTCTACTTTGATAGGTTGTTAACTTGGAGTTTTCAGACTCCGAGACGTATTGCTAGAGGTCTGTTCCGAGCGCGGGCCGATTCAAGCTGTTCATCGGGCCATATTGTGGAGGTCTCGGCAATGAATCTGGACATGTTTCGCAGGAGTTGAGTGCGTGTCATTCTCGTTATGGAGGGTGGAGATGCGAGTGTGGAGGCCTTCCCATCATTGCCTTTACCTGCTCCGTAACAGTAGGCGAGACTCCCCGTTATCAGAACTGCTTTTTAGATCTCGTGATCTGCCGCTTCCTGAAGCGCCATCGGATCTCTGGGGATACAGGACTTGGGGGAACTGTTAAGGAATGACGTGAATCCGGATGCCAAAGCGGACCAATGGAATGGGGTCCCTGGTGCGGTAGGGCTGTGCTCCACCAGTTCGCGGATCCGGGGAACGGGAGTTGAGATCAATTAAGCGGCCGCTTGATGACTCTTCGGTTGTGGTATTGCGGATTCGAAATATCAAGCGCCAGATGCCGTGTTGCTTCTGTGCATCCAGTAGATAGCTGTTTACTCTTTCTCGCCCTCAGTGCAATGGCAGATGGCAGACAGCCAAGCGGTTCAGGAGTTTGGTTCAAATGATCCAAGGATCATGGTGGAGCTAAAGTTGCATGCAGGGGGCTGCTTGATGACAGCCCGTAGCTCCTGAAAGCCCTGACGCCTGTCATCCTTCAAGCTTACAGCTCCGCTCCATTTATTTCTCACTGTGCATAGTAACCGCTTGATCTTCCAGCCCCCAAACGCTCTTTCCTGGTGGGGAACTTGACTACTGCAGGACCGTTTTCTGCACCTGCCCTTTCCAGACGACGGGAGACGGGTCATCGATCCGCACCGGGGATTTTGACGGACTGTGCGCGACGTCTGATATCAAGCTTCACACAACCACCACTTCCAACAACCAACATCCTAGCACGGCATAATATGGAGCTGGCATCACCTTACACTCCTCGCACGAGCAGGGCTGCGAGCTTCTCCAGCGATACCACGTCTCTTGCAGGATCCGCACAGCTTCCTCTGCCGCCAGACGTGCGACCTGCGCCCGCCTACGTTTCGCTCGTCGCCGCGTCGGAGACAGCTACCAACTACCACAACCTGCAATTGCGAAGCAGTCACGAGGATGAGGGACCCAAGTTCGAGATCGCACGGTTCGCCGACAAGGCCCTCGCGTCAATCAACTCTTTCCTCGACTCTGAGCTGTACTCAATCCTTTCAGTCGCGCGCTCAGACTCCCTCTCCGCGGTGCGCCCAGCAGTCTCAGATGTTCTGAAGCCGAAATTGGCTCGAGAGGCTATATCATCGGCAGACGAGGGATTACGCGAATTCCTAGATGATGGAGAAGAGGAGGAGCTCTCAAGACACACGGACAGAGATCCCAGTTGGAACACGGAGGCGGTGTGGAAGCGGACCCGCCTAAGAGTCATGGTGTACAGCCGCTTGGGCGAGATGGATGAGGATGAAGAAGAACAATTCTTGAACCAAGAGGCGAGGCTGGCCACGAGCAGCCCCGGGATGCCTACGTTCCACGATACGGATCTGACTTCCTGGGCGACCGCGAATTTCCTCACTTCGATCCTCGAGTACCTTGCCGAGCAACTCCTTCGGATCTCAGCAGAAGCGGCTTACTCCCGGCACATGGCAAAACTACGTCGTAGCGAGCAGTCACCCACCGGGCCGACTGTGCACGGCACAGCAGAGCGTATAACCGTGGAAGAGATTGACGTGGAGAAGATCGCACTCAACCCCACTCTAGGACGCTTGTGGAGAATCTGGAGGAAGAGGTCACGTCACTCAAGGACCCCTGGCTCTCCACTTCTCTCTCGGGGCTCTTCTTTCGCATCTCCATCAGCGTTCCTAGGATCCGTATCCCGACCGGAGAGTGTCAGGACCGCAGATGATTCTTTCGCTACTGCCGAGGGTCGACCCATCTCCCCAGAGGATCGTGCCTCGAGCAACGGAAATAAGAAGGTCAGACTCAGTGACCCTGCGCAAGTCCCCCTTCCCTTACCAGAGAACGACGTGGCCGAGATCGAGGTCCCTGGACTCGCCAAGCAGGGCGATGACGAGAGCGATGGCGGGCAGACACCCACTCTTGAAAAGCCGCAGCGGCCCTTAAGCGTTCTCCACCCACAGAAGCCCTTGCTCAACGGTGCTTCTGCCAGCGATCGGCCGCGACCTTCTTCAATGCCGTCTGGAGAGCGCCAGCAGCTTGCCTGGACGAAGAGAGCCAATGGTAAAGGGCCTGCTTCGCAGACGGCGGCTGGGACGGCGCCACAACGGTCATCGTACCCCGACGCGGCAAAGAGCTCGGATGAACGGGTAGATCAAACCATAGCTGTCGGTGTCTTGGCGGGAGCGACCACGCTTGCTGCAGCCGCAGTGGCGACCGCCGTCGGCACTTCCTCTGAGAGGCCAGTCTCTGCTGGATCGCGGCAGGTGCATAGCCAGGAATCGGCTCTACTCTCTGAAGACAAGGGCAAGCAAAGAGAATCCACGCCCGGTTTGACGAGCAACGGTCCTGTGGAATCCGAAACGCCTTGGAACACTTCTCGCTTCTCAGATGCTACCAATGCCAGTGCGACCATCCAGGACAGTCCGCAGCGGCGGTCTTCGAAGCAGATGCCCTTCTATTCTCGCGCTCTTGATGGCGCTGGGGACGATGAGGAGACAGGTGCTCCCCGAACGGCTGATAGCGCAGCACCAGCCTTTGGTTTTGATTATGAGTTTGGTCCTGCAAGGACTGCCGAAGAGCGCCGTGCCTTTTCCTCTCCGGTTGTATCTCCTCCCCCCAATCTTTTCTCCAGCGGAAATAGCTCGGTGCCGAGAGACGTACTCGGTTCCCACTCGAGTCCGGGGCCTGGCGCTTCGAACCGCAAGGCAAGCCTTCCGCGCCTTCCAGGAACAAACGACTTAAACGGCTTTTATGGGTTTGACACGGGCAAGACGCCAGAATCTGAGCAAGACGATGAGCGGCCGTTCGATGAAACCCCCGGTTCCGACGGCTTTGGTGTTAATGCTCGTTACTCTAATGCCATCTTGGAGCAGTTCCGTGCCCTTGAGCGCGACGCGCAGACATCTTCCACTTTGGATAGGCTTGACAAACGTCCAAGACTGTCGGGCGCTTCGTCGAACGGTTCTTCCGGCTCGGATGCGACCTCTATCCTCGGTGGTGATAGCGCGAAGCCTTATCGTCCGGGACTTGGAAATGTCGATCACAGCAACAGCAAGAAGGGTGGTGCCGAGAGGGTGAGCAGCGGTCTAAATCTGGGAGACAGGCGTGGTGATGTTGAGGTTAGTGCGAGATTGCGAGTATAATGACATTGTTGTGCTGAAAGCTTTTCCAGGGAGCCGAGAATCTCAAAGCCGCAACTTCACAGCGCACAACAACCACTTCCTCCGGCATAGACACATCATCATTCACGGAAGACGACAGCAACATGTTTAGACGAAAGCAAGACAGTAGAGAGGATCTTGAACCTCTTCTTTCCTCTGCTCCCGCAATATCTGGAGACAGCTACAGCACTCGACCTCAGTATGGTCGCCCTCAGCTCACTTCTGACGATCCGACTGCAAGCCTTTCAAGTACGCGTCCTCCAGTCACCAACCCTAAAACACGCCAGAATGGCCTGGTCATCAAAGAACCCAGAGTGCAGACTGACTCCACGCGCGATCTCGCGGATTATCTTCGCTCATCTGGACCCGATGGGGACCGCAGTCCATTAGCCTCTAACCCTCCGGCAAAGACAGGTGGTCCATGGACGTTTCACATTCCCTTCAGACGCGCATCTCAATCCGCCGGACGGCCTCCTCTCACTGAACGCTCTACCCTAGACGAAGCTCCTCTCCAGACGCCGACTCACGTCGCGGCTCAGCCATCATCTAAACCTCAAGTTCCAGCCAAGGACTCTGCTCGACCCACTTACCCTTCTCTTCATGCCCAGACTCAGACCCCTACCCGCACTCAGAGTTCCATTCAGTACCCTTCTCGCTTCACGAGCCGAAACGCTACTCAGACCCACACTTCTCCTACTACTCCGACAGTCAGCCAAGGTACCGCTGCAGATCGTGCTTCCGCTCAGGCTTTTCCATTCGCAAGCAACGCCGAGAATAGTACCCGTGCTCCCGCTCGTTCCTACGATAGAGGTTTTATCGGGCCCCACGCTTCTCAAGCCCGACAGCCAAGCAACACTCAGACTGCCGTTCACACTCAACCCCGTGTCCAAATAGGACCTCCTCGCCCTCGCCAGCAGTATGATGATGACGCCATTGAGCCCGTCGTCGGTCCGAATGCAAACGAAAATCTTCCAAAGAAGTCTACGCCCCGCATGCAGGCTAGAGACGCGTCCGGCGCTGGGTCAGGCAACCCCGAGTTGATCGACTTCTTCAAGCAAGGGCCTCCTGTTGCGCATAGCGAGGGCGAGCACCGCATCCCACGATCAGTTGCACCATTCCGCTCGACTATGGACTCAGAAGACTTTGAAGAGGCTGGGAGCGCTGCTGCCGCTGCTTCCGCCAAGGCGTCAGAGAATTCGCGCACGGGCCTCCTCCCGCCGTTGAACGTGCGTCAGAACCTCACAGTCCCCGGGCAACACAAGCCCATCCGCAGGAGCCGTGTGAGGGATCCTTACGCCATAGAGAGTGACGACGAGGAGGAGGATCCCGCCCCGCCCCCGCCGCGCAGAGAAGAGATGGACTTGGCGGACTTCCTGACGAGCGTGGAGCCGCCCCTCAACGCCCCCCCTCGTCCTGTCGAGGTCCGATCGGCCACCCCTCCGGTCTCCTCAGCTCCCGCCACACCAGCGGTAATCTCGTCCCGCGCCGTCGGCGGGCCGCGCGCAAAGTCCCTGGCCAAGCCGGCGGGGAGCAAGGAAATGCGGAGGGACAACACGTCGGACCTCGCGGACTTCTTCAAGACGACCGCGCCGCCCTCTGCCGCCCCTGGGATCCCTCGTCAGGCTAGCGCTGGTGCCGGAGGCCAGAGCAGCCCGCCGAAGAAGCGCCACTTCTGGCAGAAGAAGGCGCCGGCTGCTGGCGCTGGCTTGACGAGGAGGACGTACTTGGACATGCCGTGAGGGGGCGGCGGGCGGTGGGAGGATAGGGACGGGGGTAGGGTGGTGGCGGTGGTGGGGCGGAGGTGTTGCTGGCTGGTGGCTTTCTTCTTTGTGGCTTTTGCGCGCGCCTGCGCTGAAAGGCAAATCTGTATACCCCTGGTTTTGTGAGCTTGTGAATATATTTACCATACGTGGCTGATCCCGCATGAACCGTGATATGAAACTGATGATTGTTCTGGTCGTGATGATGAAGGCTCATTGTTTCCATATATATTCCGTGTATAAGCTGCTCTTCCTCGGCGTCGGGCACATGTCACTATATCCTGTCTCCCTTTCAAGTTCTGAATCACACTCGTTAAGTACTTAGCGCCAGTTTCTCCAGCCAATTTCAATCCCTATAAGCCCTTGATCAAGTATACTTCGCCCCTTCACGTGCTAATCTGCGTTTCATGATCTACATTCATGGACTTCGCGCCCTACTTTCGCTTTCAACTCTTCAAACTTTAGTCTCTCACCGCCAACACCTCACAACCCCTTTCCCGTAGCCACAGACCCTGGGACAAGAGGGCATAATGTCTACAGCGCACCATATCACGCGGTTTGCACAACCATGAAACGAATTCGAAGAGTTGATGAAACTTCTCCTATGGCCTCTTTGTCGAACCGAATTACAGCCACCAAGCTTACGAGAACCTCTTTCTCCCAGCATTGTGAGCGCTGTCATCGCATTCGTCGAGTACAGAGCATAATATATGAGCTCGAACCCATTACACAGATGGTTGTTTGACAAGCACCGCAGCCTTTATAGACTCTGACCACTAGATGCACACCAACTCATCATGAAATATCAACAGGCTCCGAGAGCGACGACTCCGCAGCCTGAACTCCATATCCAGATACCATGAAGCTGCACCAGTGGTGGTTTTACCACGCGAAAGAGCGCGCCGCAGATGCACCAATCTTCTCCGAAGTCCGTCTTTGTTCTCAATGATGACAACGCACGTATACAATGCCATTGTCCCGGCGCACCAATCCTCTCGTCTCAGCTCCTATGCGCCGCAGACAGAGCCACCCCAGGCTCCCGAACCTCACATACTCCAGACCCCAAACTCCATCAGCCCCACCCCCTCACCGCCTGTTCCTACCGATCCTCTTTAGCGCCTCCTGGCTCGTCTTGACCCCCTCCTCGAACCCCACTTTCCTGGCCATCGCCACAGCCTCCTCATACAACCGCCGCGCCTCCTGCACCTCCCCATCCATCTCCGCGAACTCCGCAAGATTGTGCGTCGCGACCGCGCAGCCTACATCGCACTCCTCTGTCCTGTCTTCCTTGGGGATCGTCTGAGCCAGACTTAGGGCTTTAGTGGCCCAGAGGCGGGCTTGGTGGGTGAGGTCTTGTTGGGTGGGCGACTGTGAGGAGGACGAGGAAGAACGCTGCTGGGCGAGGGAGGTGGCGAGGTTGTTCATCAGGACGACGGAGTGGCAGGATTTTGGGGACGAGAGGGTTAGGGCTTGGAGGAAGAGGGGGGTGGCGAGGTAGTGCTGGCGCTTTTCTTCGTAGTGGTGTGCTAGTGCTGCTTGAGTGTCAGCTCTGCATTCATTGTAGCTGCTGTGGCAGTAGTAATAAGGGATAAGACAAGGGGGGCGCGAACTCACCTTCAAGCGAACCCCCGATCTCTTCATCCGTGAGCCACGCCCCCTCATCCGGCTTAACCCCCTCAGTCTCCCTCCTCTGCTTCTCCCTCAACACCGTCTCCACCGCCTCCACAAGCCTCGCCTCCGCCGCCTCCCGATCCAACACATATTCATTCGCGTACAGCTCCCCCAACTTAACGTTAATGCCCACCGTCTTGCCCAACAACCTCGTCCTCTTCGCCTCCGCGCCCTCCAGTCCCCCCCTCTCTTTCACCCAGCGCTGACAATCCCCCTTGACAATCTCCAACACATCAATCGCGCGTTTGTAATTCTGGCACTTCTCAAACAGCGCCGCAAGCTGCACTTTGACGCCAATAATCTCGTCGCTAAACGGATCCATGCCCACCTCGTCCGCGACCTCGAGCGCCTGTCTGTAGTATTTGACCGCATTTTTGGGGTCGAGCGAGATGTTGGTGTAGTAGAGCGCTCGCCGCAGCTTCTGGGCCACGGGCTCCGGGAACTTGTGGAAGGCGCCTACGATGTAGCTGCTGTAGACGTAGTTGGAGTAGACGAGGACGCCGGCGCCGAAGAGGATGCTCAGCGAGGCGAGGGAGACGAGGATGGGGTTCTTTTTGAAGAGGGCGCGCGCGGCGGCGGCGGTGGAGGCGGGGCGGGAGTGGGTGCGTGGTGGAATGCGCTTGGGGAGAGCTGCTCGGTGTGGTAGCCGTGGGAAGGGCTGGGTGCGGGCTTGCTGGTGGATCTGGCGAAGGCATTGTCGGCTGCTGGCGGCGGCGCGGGGGGCGGCTTTGCTGAACATCTTGGTGCGGTAGATTAAACACTCCCAGTGGTTTGATCCGGTCTGCTTTTTGCTCCAGTTGCGAGTACCTGGACGGTGTTTGATCAAGTTTCGATGGTCAAGACATCTCGAGCTCTGGATTCGCTTCGAGCGCCATGACGTCCTCGGCGGAGCTCCAGGCTCCCGCGGCGGAGTGCGGGAAAGGCATGTTCCAACTTCTGCGCAACGACACGCAGCTGGAGGTGGAACGGAGGGCTATGTAGGGATCAGACTGGTTAAGCGGTCTCGAAATCGCCCAAGAACCAGAATCATTGGGGTTGACAACAGATCTTGTGTGTATGCACCATTTGTCTCACATATAAGCTCTGATCCCGTCCACATACCCGCATAGCTTGAAAAGCAGCTCATAATCCATACAGGCACAATGTGCGGACGTTACGTGCTTGCCCTTGTGAGTCCAGTTTGCGAATACAAGCAGCTACAGCTAAACCCGTCTCCAGCGCCCCGCGGAAGTTCGCCGCCAGCTTCAAGAAGCACGCATGCCGTCCGAAGAAGCTCCTGACGACGACGACATCCGACCAACCTATAACTTTGCGCCTGGATACTACGGACTCGTATACCGAGCCGATACACCAGATACAGGAGCTGGCTCGAGGCAGGAAGAGCACCATGAAGGTGGCGGTCAGGAGGGGCAAAGAACCGAGCAAGAGGCGGCGGATGGCGCCGTCGAGGGTCAACCGTCAAAGGAACCGAAGTACAAGCTACAAGCGATGAAATGGGGTGAGTTTCCCGGCGGCTCCAGGTGGGCATGAGAGACTGACCTGGCCAACTTAGGTCTCGTTCCCTTTTGGACGAAGCGCAACCCCGACTATGGCTCGATGCTGAAGACGATCAATTGCCGCGACGACTCGCTCATCGAGAACAAGGGCATGTGGAACACGATGAAGCAGCGGAAGCGCTGCATCGTCGTAGCTCAGGGCTTCTATGAATGGCTCAAGAAGAATGGGGGCAAGGAGAAGGTGCCGCATTTTGTGAAGCGCAAAGATGGGCAGTTGATGTGCTTTGCGGGGCTGTGGGACTGTGTGAAGTATGAAGGTGTGTCTTCATCATGGATGCTGCGGCTCACGCTTGTGCTGATGGAAACGGCTAGGCTCAGAGGAGAAGCTGTATACATACACCATCATCACCACGGATTCGAATAAACAGCTCAAGTTCCTTCATGATCGCATGCCGGTCATTCTCGATAATGGCTCGGATGCGATTCGGACCTGGCTTGACCCTAACCGCGTGGGGTGGAGCAAGGAGCTGCAGTCCTTACTAAAGCCGTACGATGGAGAGCTGGAAATCTATCCCGTCAGCAAAGAGGTAGGCAAAGTCGGGAACAACTCGCCATCATTTATCGTGCCGTTGGATAGTACGGAGAACAAGAGCAATATCGCCAATTTCTTTGGCACCCAGAAAGCCGCAGCCAAAGGCAAGGAGCAAAAGAAAGGCGTTGTCAAGGTAGAACAAGACTTGGAGGAGGGAAGCACCAAGATAGAAAAAGACAGCAACGAGACCCGTGTAACAACTAACCACGAGGGTACCGAAGACAACGCTCCACTGCCGAAACCGCTGAACACGGATCACACGAAAGGTATTAAAAGGGAACACGAGGCGGTCGAGGATGACGGTGACACGGCAGACGTCGCCCCCGAACAAAAAATTCCGAAGATCTCCATCAGTGACACACGGCAAAGCCGATCGCCGGAGAAGTCCACGCGAAGGACAAGGAGTGCTACAAGCAATGGGACGGCTGCGAAGAATGGCCCTGCCAAGAAGTCTGATGGTAGCCAGAAGATTACTGCTTTCTTCGGCAAGTAGGCAGATGAGTTATGTCTCCTGAGATCGGCTGATGCGCACGGCGCAGATGTCATGATGTTGATGAGGATCGTCCATTGAGAGTGCTCACTATGTACGGCGTTTGGCTTCACGACCGGACACTGGCAGCCATTGGCGGGAGTGGCGCGGATTTGGGTTTGGGCGTTATTGCTTGTGGTTCGGGATACCCAGTTCGCAGGACCGTTTAGCCATGGCAGACGTTCAGTGCTTTGCGGAGTTCGGTCAACGGCTCAGCCCGACATGAGGAGATTTGCGTGGCTGAACCTTGTAGATACGGAGTTCGTCGTACCAGAGCACCCAATTGTCCTTGCGGCGCAGTAGTTACATTGACTGGGAAGACGCCTCATCTTCCACTCTGCGGTGCTCCAAGGCATATAGACAATGAAACAATCTGACGGAGGCCTTCTCATGCAGTGCTCCAAGGTGTCCATATATATACATATATCTTCCTATTGTTAGCAGCGAGAAGCTGGAGGTACAACCGCGGCTTGAAGCCGCGAAGGCAAGGTAATTTTGGCGGCTCCGGAAGCCAGCCGAGCGTTTCCACTCGCCTCACTACCGGCTGGTACATCTACGTCTCCAGCTTGGAGAGCCAAGAGTTGGTGAGAATCGAGTGCGGCGTGAGTTGGATGGAAGTCAAGAGGAAGCAAGCGGCGGCTGCTCCGCCTTGCACGCTTGGCCTGAACCTCCACGCCTCACTTCTCTGTTCCTTGTGCAACTACATCGAACTTATACACTGATTATGAATGAAAGGTTAGACGAATACGACTGCAACCCAACGGTACGGACAGCTCAGTAGGCCTTGAAATGTAAACTTTGCGTCCCTTGGCGGGCGGCTGCCTGACTGGTAACAATCTTTGCGGCGCGGGCTGCATCCAAGGTTCCTGTCCGCCATTTGTGCGAATCAAGACTCGGCTCTACCCAGCCTGCTTTGACGAACTACATCCGAGTCATTCGTCAGTTCAGCTACAGCTATATCTATCTTTCTACTGTCGTTTCTGTTTGCGAGTTCAGATACACAAACATGTCTTCTCTTTTGGATATCCTTACGCAGAAACAACCCCAGTTCAAGACCCGTCAAGCGCTGCTCGTGCTGGGCTTACAGAACGATTTCATCTCTCCGAGCGGCAAGCTTCCAGTCCCTACAAAGTCGGGCTTCGTCGACCGTATTAAAGAGCTTGTGCCTATCTTTCGTGAAAACGCGGGGGACGTTATGTGGGTCCGCGCTATCTACGAAGCCGAACGACCCGTAAACGACTTTTCAGAAGGGGGAGATGTGGTCGTTACGGAAGCTGGTGTGCAGGCGGATAACGAGGCTGAAGACAGCGAGGACGAACCTCCCGCAAAAGAGACGAAGCCAGAGTCTACATCCCGCCGCAGGGCGTCTCGCTCGACTGCACGAGCGCTCCAGCTACTCAAGCGAGTATCATCGCGTCAAAAGCTGGTAGAGCGGAAACCGTCACCTGCGCCAGCAGAGGAGGACGAATTGTTCCTCTCACGAACATCGAAAAGAGGCCCATGTTGCTTGCCGAACACCGACGGTGCCGATTTTTCGAAGGGTATCAAGGAGATCATCGACCCATCTACTGATCTGGTGATCACCCAGTCGCATTACTCGGCATTCAATGGGACGACGTTACTGACTAAACTCCGGACCAAGCTCATTACCGAGCTCTATGTTTGCGGCTGCATCACCAACCTGTCTGTCTATGCAACCGCCTTGGATGCAGCGCGGTATGGCCTCAAGTTCAATCTGATTGATGACTGCCTCGGCTATCGGAAACCTGAAAGACACGAGGAAGCTATGAGACAAATGGTGGAGCTCATGGGTGCACGCCTTGCGCGGAGCTCTGAACTGTTGGCTGATCTCGCCAGACCGGCTGATTCAGATCACAATATGCCCGAGTCACCGCGTGGCACACAGTCCTCTGATGGTCTTCATGACTTGATAGAGAACTTGAGTTTGGAAGACGATCATAAGCCAACGCGACGAGATCAGTTTGAAACCGACATTGTGTCGAGGTCGAGCCCGAACGTCGATAGTCACAGGCGATACCCCGATATCGAGATCACAAGAAGTTCTTCAGACATACACACCACCAGGAGAGCGGAGCAACAAGGCCAGGAACCTCTCGAAGTCGATGGATCAGATCAGCCATCACCCGTATTACCTAATTTTCCCATCCGCAGGCTGCCTCCGCCGTCGGAGAATCATCAGCCAAGTCCCAAGCCAAAAGTTCGCATGCGTACCCGACCTGACAAAAGCAAGCAAACCGTAGAACCTAAAGGAAACTCGACGCCTGCCGAAGAACGCAAGACAAGCCCGTTGACCAAGGCTGACTCCAAAAGCACAGCCTGGAGAAGCAATGACTCACCATCAACGATATCTATGACTGGAACTCAAGGCGACAAGACGAGTAACAGCACGATCCAGAATCGGATCCAGTCTCCAAGACCTGATTTGCGTCGACCAAACACTGCCACCGAATCAAGCCCGGCGAGCAATACCCGACGCCAAGGTACTCCTAATACTATGGCTCTACCCACGGAGGAGAGACCCCCTGTATCGAAAGCCAGGTCTGCGGACGTTCTATCCTTCCCTGCCACCATCAGTCCTGTTGCAAATGTGAGTTGTGCCTGTTTTGAGACTTCCATGACGTTCCTGGTCGCTTCTATACCGCCTAACTAAGGCCAAAATATTAGTTCAATACTAACTCTTGTCTCTAGACGCCTGCAGCAAACCAGCCAAAGACGGAAAAGAAGACACAGTCGCTGGCGACTCTCCCCACTCTGGGGCCACACGACCCCATCGGCGAAGGCGACTCCCACATCATCTACGACCTGCTGGCCCCATCGCTGCGCACTCGTACTTCCCCGCCTAAACCTCTAGCCCAGGCCGTATTCGACGCCCTCTACAACGAAGTCCACTGGCAGAAAATGTACCACGCGACCGGCGAAGTCCCTCGCCTCGTCTGCGTCCAAGGTTCCTTCGGCCCCGACGGTTCCATGCCCGTCTACCGCCACCCATCCGACCAATCTCTCCCTTTGCTGCACTTCTCGCCCTCCATCCAGATCATCCGTGAACACGTTCAGCGCCATGTCGGCCACCCCGTCAACCACGTCCTGATCCAGCTGTACCGCTCCGGCCAGGACTACATTTCCGAGCACTCGGACAAAACGCTGGATATTGTGCGCGGCTCGAAGATCGTGAATGTGAGTTTTGGCGCGCAGAGGACGATGCGGTTGCGGACGAAGAAGTCGGCAAGCAAGAAAGCCGGGGAGGAGGAGCTGGCGGCTGCGAGGCAAGTCCAGCGCATCCCGATGCCGCATAACTCGATGTTCGTGCTGGGCCAGGAGACTAATACGCGCTGGCTGCACGGCATCAGCGCCGACAAGCGCATGGCGGCCGAGAGGTCGGACGCGGAGCGCGCGTACGAGGGGATGCGCATCTCGCTGACGTTCAGGCACATCGGCACGTTTCTGGACAGCACGTCGCAGCGGATCTGGGGCCAGGGCGCGACATCCAAGGAGCGTCGGAGTGCGAAGGCGGTTGTGAATGCGGATGAGAAGAGGACGGAGGAGCTGATTTATGCGTTCGGGACGGAGAACCAGAGCACGGAGTTTGAGTGGGAGAAGGTGTATGGTGCGGGGTTTGATGTGCTGCATTTCAGGAAGCCAATGATGGAGGCGCCGATGCTGTTTAGGTGCCACAGCGGCGTTGAGAACAGACGGCTTGCGATCTACATGAGGGAATCGAAAGCGACGACGGCGTGGACGGTCGTGGACCCCCCTGCGGATAGCACGCTGGATCAAGGCGAGACCGGGAAACCGGGCATACGCCAGCTGTGTTTCCGCGACACGGATACGCATCACACTGAAGTCCTCGGCGCAATCCCAATCCTGCTGTATCTGGACAAATACCACGACACTCTGGACAATGGAAGCAGACGTGCGGCCTCGCCGCTAGTCTACCCGATCCTGCTGAAAAGCGAGGAGTTGTGCAGAGCGGTGTGCGCTGGCGGCGATCCCGTTGGCATCCTAGCAGACCTGGACGCCCTGGTTGCAGAGACGGCGTACGCGGCCGGCGCGCGCTTTTCTATTGCCGACTGCGCGCTTTGGCCCGTGTTGGACGAAGCCAAGAAAGCGATCGAGGGGGGAGGGTTTTCGAGGCTTGTGGCGTACCTCGAGAGGCATAGGAGGCAATGGAGCGAACGAGCATAGGATGAGGTGGACCGTCGGCTGGAGCTTTCTGTGCTTACTCGCTGTCAGCGGCGGGGAGGATCCGGCACTGGGAGCGAAAGGGGTTGAGGGACCGTTCTGGGGGTCGTAACAAGGCATCTGTTTTGGATAAGAGGCCGCGAAGCCACCTCTTGGAGGGACTTTGAGAGGAAGTGCTTGCGGACAAACGTGGGCTTGAGTTTCCGCGTGTGGAGTAACAAGATACGGCTGAGATATTTGTCTAGTAGTTCGGGGATTTAATCTCGGTTTAGAGGCGCGCTTGAATTTTAAAAAGCCCTTGCAGTTATTGATAGACGGCATAGGGGTAGGGCACATCAAATGTTTCTGGACATGGGTCGTTGTTCATCGATTGGCATCTGGGTTCCATTGTTTCGCCACAAAGATACGAATTTGGTCCTATCGCAAACAGAAAAGCATCACCAGGAATGGTTGCGGAAGTAAATTGACGTTGAAGATTATACACGCCGTATTCGAGATCTCTACTGGAGAGCCCTTCTCCTTCTTGAACCCCGCTTCTGGCGCAGCTTGCCACAAGTAGCGAGATTTGTGACGGCCGAATTGCAGCGCGATAATTTCGCTACTATACTCGAACGGCTTCTCGCTAGCCTCCGTACACCTCTGAGAAAACTGCAGGATAGCCAAGATCGGAGACAGTACAGCCTATGTGGAGAACGCTACGGCCCGCCTTCCCGAGAACCCTATGCGAACGATCTAGCGTAGAAAAGCGAGCGAACACCGCGTTGTCCGTTTCGGTTCGACTGGCTATCTGTCATCTGTCAAGATCGTATCGATACTGGATGATTGTTGACTTACGAAAACAACGCATATGCTAGACTACAGCCCCATATTGTTGCCGTCACGGTGTGAAGGCAACATGGCGGCGTTCCGGTGTAGTGGCTTGCGGACTATAACATCTGAACTCCTTGACAGCTCAGGGAATCGGTTGTGTTTCTAGGCCCTTGAATATGCTGGTGAAATGTTGCCGTAAGCAACTGCTACTTCAGCACTAAGCCTTCAGAGCCAAGCTGTGGCGACCATGATACACGACGTAAGATGCTGGTGCAGCATGCCCGCCGATGCCAGTTGGGTAAGAGTATAGACTGAAAAACGATGTGCCCTTCAGGGGCCCGGTTCACTCGGGACTGGCCTTAGCCTCGGAAGGTATCTCCGTGACGGATCTACCGAAAGTTCGATCGCATGAAGGTCGCGGGCGGTAGCGTCATTGAGTGGCCAGGCGGCCTCTTGATACTCCGGTGGATCCGCATGAGGGCGACCATCTCCCGCATATGTCTGTAGGGGAACTGCGAGGTTTGCGGTGCCGTCGCTTCCATAGCCTGCCTGAAGTCCCCCTCTTACATCCACACCGTCGACGCCTGCCGCATGTCCCGTCTCCGCAGCCGGAGCATAAGGCGGCGGCGCCTCCCCATGCTCATTAAGCCCGTCCTCGCGTCTCAACACTCCGCTGTCGCCGGGTCGCCAGCTGCCGTGCACCCATCGCCTGGTGTAGACCCAGCCGTCGAGGTCGCGTGCCAGGGCGTTCTGCACGCTGTTCCGGAAGCGCTCTCTGCGGAGCTTGCTGCGCCGGTGGAAGTAGAAGAAGGCGAGGGCGATGAAACAGAGGAAGAGGGCGACGAAGATGAAGTAGTAGTTCAGGAGGGAGGCTGCGTCGGCTTCGAGAGCTGCGGAGCTGGTGTTCGTGGTGGAGGGGGAGGTTGAGGTTGCTGACTGTATGAAGCCAATCGAGGAGCTGGCGATGGCAACGGGCTCCGGGTTGGAGGACGTCGAAAGTGGGAGTGGAGGGATGCTCGTACTGCTGGCTAGCGTTGCCAAGGTTGAGGGTGTGGAGCTTTCTTGTATGAGCTGCGCGAGGGCCGTGGGAGGTGACATCCACATGATGAATAGAATTGAGCTGGCTGAAGACAGCTTCCGCGAAACAGACATTGGATGCATTCTTGATGCCACTGCACGTCTCTACCGTCGCCACGAAGTCTTGCTCCACTAGGTGCTCATATGAAGGGTGAAGGGGGCTATATGCGGGAGCTGCGGAAGGAGCGGAAGAGGCTAACGGTGCGAGAGGTGGTGGAAATGACTGCGGATGGGGAGGTCTCTGTGCATGGCTCACTCAAACGCCTATCTCCCCCTTCGTCGCTCATGGCAGAGGTGATACGAGGTCATGCTGATGCAGCCTAGATTGATTCTTGATATCGCAGCACGGTGGAGCAACTTTTGGCCGGATAAGCTTCGCCAAGCGCGGGAGGAAGTCTTAACTCCGGGTACGCATATGACACCGTCACGGGAAGCATCCCACGCGTGTTCGAGACTACACGCACAAACCAGAAGTGAAGAGACTGGGTTGTTGGTGGTGAGGAGCTGTTAGGAGTGTTATCCTGACTGTCTTGAGCCGTAGATCTTTCACGACGAGGGGCGCAGCACCGCCCACCGAGCAACCGCAGTCAGATTAAGCAAGGGGGAGTAAAATCGCGATGGTGAAAGCTCTGAAAGGTAGGCAATTCTTTAAGACCCTAGAAGTCTCGCCATCTTTGTGTTTCGGCCTTGGGATCGTGCTCGAGGGCAAAACACATCCGCGGGGCTCTAAATTACAAGATACTCAGATTCATAGGTGGTACTCGTGTTTGATGCTTAGGCTTTTAACGCTGTACTATTTTCGACTTGTATGCTAAGATTGCAACCTCCAAAAGCACACTGACTCCTCTTAACAGGCGTTCTCGTCCAATGCGACCCATCTATCAAAGCAATCCTCCTCAAAATCGACGCCGACAGTGGCAATGAGTACATCATCGAAGACCTTGACGAAGAGACGCTCTTCGTCAAAGAGAGCAAGGTGGCTTCTCTGAAAGAGAAGTTGAAAGTAGTGAGTGTCCCCACGACTTGTAGTCAAAGGTCGATGCTGACGTGTCTATGTAGACTCTGAGGGAGACTGTGAGGGAGAACACGGACTCGGATTCCGAGTGAATAGGGACAGTGACGGGTTCACCGTGTGTGCTCAGTGCCCGTCCGCGAAAGGCGGGACTTAGGACGCCTCTCCAGAGGTTATCGAGTCTTGCTTGGAGTCAAGACAAGAACCATCTGACGGTCATAATGCTGGCTTAAACCTGAGTTGAAGGACAACGGTCTCAGGAGCCGCGATTCGGCGGTCCTAGATCGCCTTGATAGATGGAAGTTGTGAGTATGAATCAGATCGCGAGTAATGTTTCCCACAGATGAATCAGAAGCTCGGTTCGTTCACTCGAAAAAAGACTGTTTCTGTATTGGTAACACGCTAAAGGATATCTGGGAATTGATCTCTGCTCGCCACCAACTCTCAATCGACGAGGACTACGTTCCGGAGCGGTGCTCGTACAGCGCACTATCGTAAGACCTCGACCAAGCGCTAAGACATAGTGTCCTTCTGGTCCGCTCCCGGCACCGGCTGCACCCAATTGACCCTGGTCTTGGCAAAGAGCTGTGAATTGCTTAGAAAACCGTTAAAAACTGTACAAGCATCTGAGCGTCCGTACCTCGGCGTCCGGTTTCGCCTCAGCCAGCGCGTCCACATCATCCAAAACTCCAGCCTTGACGATCTTCAAGCCCGGAAAGCTTCCGCTCTCTCGGTACATGGTGGAGCCGCAGTCGCCGCAGAAGAACGACGTGATGGTTTCGCCGCCGTCGGCCGTCTTGCTGATGGTCTTGGGCGTGCCGGATGTGACCTCGAAGCCGTCTTCGGGGATGATGACGTTGGTGCTGTAGGTGCTGCCGGAGATTTTGCGGCAGTCGAGGCAGTGGCAGACGGCCTGAAAGTTGTTAGCGCAAACGTCTGCCCTAGCCAGTCCTTTCAGGCGTAATTACCTTCATCTTCGGCTCACCACTATAGGTGATACGGCATTTGCCGCAGAAGCAACCTCCGTCAGGCATGATTTAAGTGTAGTAGCTTGTTCGGTCTCGGGCTGGGAAAGTCTTTGATGTTGACGAAGATGATTGAAAAGTCCGACATCACGGCGTAGCGGTCCCCTCAATGACTACTTAAACAAACCGCTGCTCTAGTCGATCCAGCCAAATGATTTCAAATTGAGTACCTAGGCAGAGCCCGTGTGACGTTGGCACAGGGTCTTATATGGATCGCGGCGCGCGCGATCCCCCGCCGCATCAGCGGAGATCTGCGTTTGGCGTCGGAAAGGCGGGGTACGTGAAAACTACCGTTGCGAGTGCTTGATACAATGCTTTCGAGGAGGTATCTCCGCATGTCAAACGTCCTATTTTGGTGCCATCGCTCGGACGGATCGTCTTTGATGCGGTTACCCTGCCAAGCGCGAAAATTGATTGTGCAGCGATTGCGGGAAGACTCGTGCAGGGCCGAACGGAATAGAGTGGACGATTCGAAAATAGGGATCGATGTTTCACGACCTTGATTTCTGTGCTAACAAGAGAGAGCTCTTCTAGCTACAAAGCACAGGCTACGGACCAGGTGTCGGCAAGAGCGCGCTCCAAGAGCCGTGGGCGAGAGCTATAGTTAATTGGAGCGTCTGAGAATGCAGATCCATGAAATAAGATGATCTAACAAGAGTGCTAAAGACTCTGACGGCGGTGAGGGTAGCTGTCTACAAAACATGCTGTTGTAGTCAAGATCCAGCGCTCGCCGTCCAGGACATTTGCGGTATCCCCATATAGATTATCAAGCGGACAACCTACCGCCTTTTGGGGCGGAACCGTCGGCGCACCAAGACAAGGCAGAGCTCTTCGTATCCATCTTCATGTAGAAGATTTCGAAGACTTAGTGCGATTGAACTGGGAACATCCGTGTATAGTTGAGCATCGGGATTCGAGATGTTCAGACGCGGCTCTAAAACTTGTTCTAATCGACAACTAGGCGTAGGCCTCGATATGGACTCGTGAGAAAGGCTGTTCCACAGATGACTCTCTAAATTCCTCCAAGTCTTGTATACTAATCGGTCATGGAAAAGACACGACGGAACGGCGGCATTCAGTGATTGAAACCTCATGATTGAGTAGGACCTGCTGCATCGACTTCCAGCAAAACTGCCTGGTTGAGGGCTTGTAATGCTTCTGGATCCTTGCAACTGTACCACATTCGAATACAGAGCTCACTGATTGAAGCGGGAATTTCAGTGCGATTGAACTCACTGCATTCCTGAAGATTTCCAGAAGCTCATCGCTTAGCGACCGATTAGGCTTAGCCCCGCACACACGCTGAGCATCACGTAGTTTTTGGAACATCAAGCAACAATTTTGCGAATTCTCCTCTCGACAACAGCGCGCAATCATGTCTGAAACACTAATCCTCCGAGGCACCCTAGAAGGCCATTCAGGATGGGTCACCTCCCTGGCAACGTCGCTGGAGAAGTACGTAGCAAAAGGGAGACAGCGTTGCCGACTCGATGCTAACCGCAGACCAGCCCGAACATGCTCCTCTCCGGCAGCCGTGACAAGTCACTGATCATCTGGAACCTGACCCGCGACGAGAGCTCTTACGGCTATCCCAAGCGCAGCCTGCACGGCCACTCCCACATTGTTTCCGACTGCGTACGTTGAACGAGCACCCTCGAAGGACGGTAGAGGAGAAGGCTAGTACTGACAGCCACACTCAGGTCATCTCCTCCGATGGCGCATACGCCCTTTCCTCCTCCTGGGACAAGACCCTCCGTCTCTGGGAGCTTTCGACCGGTGTGACCACCCGCCGATTCGTCGGCCACACCAACGACGTCCTCTCCGTTTCCTTCTCCGCCGACAACCGCCAGATCGTCTCTGGTTCGCGCGACAGGACGATCAAGCTGTGGAACACTCTCGGTGACTGCAAGTTCACAATCACCGACAAGGGACACACTGAGTGGGTGTCATGCGTGCGGTTCAGCCCGAACCCCCAGAACCCGGTCATTGTCAGCGCTGGCTGGGACAAGATGGTCAAGGTGGGTTTCTGCACTCCTTCAGGCTTTCGATGCTCTTCATATGATGTTATGCAATTTTAAAGTATTTGCTACTTCAGAACCCTCGGGTTATGAGAAAACTATACACCGGCGCACTGATAAGAGCCACCGCACAATACACTATATACGAAAGCTGTAGCGTTCTGGAAACTGACGGCGACTTTCTAGGTATGGGAACTCGCCTCCTGCCGCATCCAGACCGACCACATCGGCCACACCGGCTACATAAACACCGTCACCATCTCCCCCGACGGCTCCCTCTGCGCGTCCGGCGGCAAGGATGGCACCACCATGCTCTGGGACCTGAACGAGTCGAAGCACCTCTACTCCCTCACCGCCGGCGACGAGATCCACGCCCTCGTCTTTTCTCCCAACCGCTACTGGCTGTGCGCCGCCACCGCCAGCGCAATCATCATCTTCGACCTCGAGAAGAAGAGCAGAGTTGATTCGCTCACTGTGGACTTCATGGATGTGGGCAAGAAGAGCAGGGATCCGGAGTGTGTCAGCTTGGCTTGGAGCGCTGATGGGCAGACTCTCTTTGCTGGCTACACCGACAACAAGATCCGCGCCTGGGGTGTCATGTCGAGGAATTAGGCTTTCTAGGTGCTGCGGATTGAAGGGGGGATTTGCTATGTGTCATGGACCACTGGGGGAGCTACGGCGGCAAGCGTCGTACCGAGTCTTCTGCCAATCTCAGCGTGTGTATGCAATGGCGCAGTTAGCGAATAAAGATCTTCATGCGAATGCCAAACACTGTCCGGCCTCACATGGCCGTGGAAACATGCTCCAAATGCACGGGACATAGTCATCTTCAACCGCCAAACCCGTCTTACACGTGCCCGCTCACAACTTGGAAAACGTCGGCTTCTTCTTATCCTTCTGCAGCCCAGCCAACATAGCAGCCTTCACGTCCTCCGTCTGCACCATCGCGGCGTTCCAAATGGCCGTGTAGTTTAGCCCTGCACCACATTAGCCGCCCGCCTCACTCTCTTCCCCACGCCTCCCTCTGCGGATGAACTCACCCTCTTCCACACTATGATCCCTCGAGTAATTCACAATGCTCTTCGTCCCCTGCACCGCAACGGGACTCTTCCCCGCCACCACCCCCGCGATCCTAAACCCCTCCCTCAGCGCCTCCGCCTTGTCCCCAAACACGCCGCTCACGAGCCCAAAGCGCAGCGCCTCCTCGCTGCTGAACTGCCGCGCGGTGAGGCAGATGTCCTTCACCCAGGATTGGTTGCCGACGCATTTGGGGAGCCGGGAGAGAGTGCCGATGTCCGCGGCGAGCCCGATGTCGACTTCTTTCACGGAGAAGAGGGTCATGGTGGTCGAGAGGCGGATGTCGGTCGAACTGGCGATGTCGAGGCCGAGGCCGTAAGTGTAGCCGTGGAGGATGGATATGACGGCTGGAGTTGGGTCAGCAGGGCTGATTTCGCGGGTGTATCAACCGTCTGGGGAGACGGAGCATAGGAGGTTTGGAAACAGTAGGTCAGTGGAGGATGCGAGAAAGCTGGTGTTACGGTTCTTAAAAGAGAAAAAGGGATATATACGTACGCTTCTCGCATTTTTCGATGGCAGTTATGCAGGACTGGAACTCGAAGATGTGGCGTCGGATGCCCGTCGCCGTCTATTATACCACCGAGCATCAACGATCTATCCCCTTAAAGGCCGGATTCGCTTATGAAAGCCGGGGACTTACCCGCGCTACGTCGAGTTTCGTCCCTGATGCTCCCAAGATGGAGCCTTGTGATGCCGCCTATGCTCGACAGTATCAGCAAGCCTGGCTCCGTCGACCTGGGCAATGGATGACCCTGCAAGAGCGTACCTGCACATCTAGGCCAGCCGTAAAGGCGCGATCACCAGCGCCGCTCAACACTACACAGCGAACATCCGGATCGTGGGAGAGTTTGTTGAAGATTTGGCCAAGGTTGAGCCACATTCTGGAGGATCAATGATCAGGTCTGGTGACGAAGCTGGATTTGAGATTGGGTGTAGGGAATGTAGACTAGATAAAGAGAATCTGGATATTGTGACGGAAGTATACTGGAGATGCCAACAACGATGACTAAGAGATATATATGGGATGGGGAAAGATAGCTCTGAAAGGCAGGCCATACTCCTCGACGAAAGCGTTCAGCTTCTCAGGCCGGTTGATCTCGACATGGGCGACGTGTTCTTGCGGAAAAGTAACATTAAAGTATTTGTATGAGTAGTTCGAGGGCGCCATCTTCGTGTCGACAGTATTGATTGAACCCAAGTACACCGACAGCCTCGCTTACTGTATCAACAACAAGAAGTATTTTAAGAACACTAAAAAGTCTTTTCAGAAAAGAGGCAGGCAGAGTTAGTTGTGTCAACATCGTACGGCCGTGTCGGCGTTGTTGTTCCATGATCTCGCTCTCCGCGAGCCGAGGTACGGCAGCTGCAAGAGCGCTAATTGGCTGAATACGAGCATGTAACGTTAGTGTTGTCTCAATGAGGTATCTTTACAGCTGTTTAGCCTGCCAAAATCTCAAGGTTGACGGGAGTGTATAAGAGGAGCCGAGATCTGCTCATGGCAGTATGTTTTGCGAGGCAGCAAGTTACATGATATATCTTACGCTACGATTGCGGGTAAGCCCAATCCGCATTCGTTGTGAACATGTCACTGCCAACACGTGCACTATGTATCTATTTGCATCATCCCCGAGACAAGACATCTCAGCCTCTCAGTTCAAGGGAGCATAGCTCTTGTACCGGCGACCTAAAGTCAAGGCGGAGCTTCACTTCCTCAGGTCATGAAGAGCCTTTTCAAATGTCCGAGCCATCTACGAAACATTGAGCCACATTCTTACTACGTTCTGATCAGCCGTCAGTCCAGACAAATCAAGCAAAGTACTTACTCCCGAGGAAGTTATGTGGGCTAACCACAGAGTGGTCAAGCGCCGCATCGCTGACCAGCATCCTTCGTGGTAGATCTCCGCTAAGGTGAAGGCTATCCGAAGCGTTGCCCTTTTGCGGAAAGACTAACTGGACAAGCACCTCACGCCGACGTGTGGAAGAGAGACCTGTTCCGGAGACACCGGCGATGGCAGTGTCGCCTGTTACTATGCGTGTCAGGAGACGACCGACACTTTCGTCGACGACTATCGAATTGAAAGGACTGCCGTCTACCACGCAACGTGTTAGTTTGTCTGGCGCTTGTTCATTCCACCGAGATCTTAGAATAGCCATTCTCGTATGACAGCGACTGTTTTTGTTGGAGGCAGCGACAGAGTCCGTTAGTGTCTCGCCGAATTTGATAGCGTGACCGGCGATCCTATCACCCGTACTTCTCCCTTCATCCACGTTCGCAGTGGATTTCCACACCTGTCGGCATACCTCCGTAAACTCTGCCTCGTCAACAGTGCCACTGGCAACGCCACGGTGGATCTGCGCCATGGCATCATTGCCCACGTCTTGAGATGCGATTTGCCGCAATTTCATTCCATTCTGAAGCCGGAAGAGACCCGATGCGAGGACTGCGGTGCGTTTGTTGCCCGTTGCGAAGACGCGAGCTTTGGCGAGCTCGTATCCCAAAGTCCCTGCTACCCGATTCAGATCCTTCTCTTTCCCAGAACGCACTTGGTCGACAAGACGGTTCACGATGGCTTCCAACAAGGCTGGGTCACACACGCGGCTCGTGGCGGGACCTGAGATACGGGCGTTGAGTAGTCTGATGTGGTCCGCGGTGACCAACTGCGTTCCGAGCCTCTGCAGAAGGTTGGATCCAGAGGGAAGACGACGAGACATGGCTATGGAGATGGTTCGTGTTTAGACTAGGAAACAGCCTGGCATACAAGAACGAATTCCAAAAAGCGGGGCCGGCAAAAGTGAAACGCATGCTCGTTCACTGTGATAGCACTTCGCCTACCGCTTCAGCGAAAACAAGGTATGCGATAAAGTGATAGAGGAGAACAAAACAGCAAAAACTCATTTCTGAGAAAACCCCCGCGTTATTGGGGATTTTTTTCCGGGCCTAGATGTTAGTTCGCAGAAAGGAATCAACCCTAGAATGTTGGTGACTGAGAATTGAACTAAGGACTTTGAAAGGAGATAATGTGAAGCAGACCGACACCGTAAAGCAAACCAACGCCAACCCATCGCCGTTACCTGCGGGGCGGAGATAACATTGAACTTAATGATTAATATAGTACCATTTAATATAGAGTGGTTGGATAGGCGGCTGGCCCCGCCGGTGGGAGAAATGACGGCGCACGTGGATCAATTTCCGGCAGGGTGGGCCGACGAGATTCACATGTCGTTCAGTTCGCCTGGTGAAAGGCTTTGGTGTGCAGAAGACACAGAAGACACTTTTCTCACGGACGTTCCTTGTTTCTCATGGAGGGTCGCGGCTGTAAGGTTTTGCTAATTGTATTATCACTCCCTTTTGCTTAATTGGTACGAACGACTTGATCTCACTGCGAGCCTATTAGGAAAGAACTCCTTCTCATTGTTTATGACTTGGAGGTACCAGTGGAAGGTGAGCTTGACGCAACATCCACAGGGTCGAGGATGGTAGAACAAGTCTGGATCATTGTAGCTGAAAAAGAAGACAGAGACAATTCAAGCAGACATTCAAACAGAAATGAGTTGCGGTTACGTTCCGCTCATCTCATGGTACCGACTCTGTACATACGCCGCTATCCAAAACATGATACTCCAGCCAACCTCTAGTCCAAGAAGCCCATCTCTTCGTCCATAACTCCTGCCAGGCCCCTCGCGCGCCGGTGCTGTCCGCTGTTGACTGGCGGCCACTGTTTGTGACGCTTTCGCAATTCTTCTGACTGTGCAATTGCAACGGAGAGGTCCCTGATTTGGCTGATCAGCATCCGGACAGGAGACAATGCGAACAGAAATATTGGCCAAACGTACTCTAGCCTGCCATGAACAACGTAGCCTTGCTCTTCGAGAGCCTCAGCTAACTCAACTTGATGGTTATCTAGAAGGCTTGGGTTGGGCACCACAATAAGCGGCACGTCAATACGGAGCGCGTCCAGTATAGACCCGGAACCTGATCGTCTCATAAGCTTCTCAGGCCTCAAAAACAATGTTCAGATGTACGCGCATCCTGCCCAGCAGAGCTTACCGGCATGACTTATTACGACGCCTTCGACGCCTCGAGCCTCGCCCTTGGCAGCTCTCATCTCCTGCCCAAGTCCATCGCGGTTGAAGTCAAAACCGGTGACAGAAATCTCTAGCTCTTTTGTCCGTAAAGATTCAGAGACAGCTCTGTCATACAAGCTCTTCCCCTCCTTGCCATACTGAATGACCAGATGCGTATAGCCCGCACCGGCGAGCGCCTCGAGGAACCGGGGCTCCAAGCATGCTGAGATTAGGGAATCAAACGACGCCGTCGCACCAATTGTGACGAAACACAGCTTCTTTGGCCGTTGGCCGATCTCGGCCATGATCAAGGCGGCATCTAGGAAGATGTAAGATCCAGCTATACTCGTAGAGACATGAATATGTGGTCGTTACTTACCTGGGGATTGACCGGAGATTCCCCGACTCTTAATGCCAAGCATCTCGAACTTCTCGAATCTCAACATGTCTGCTGTTGTCCAGCATCACACATGGCCACAGCAGTGAAGCGGCTGGGCTTCCAAGCCCGGCAATGCGTCTGCCGCATACCGGCTCGACAGAGGCCCCAGACATTGCCAGCATGGCAGCGGCCGTTCTCGAGTACACCAGCCCGCTGCGAGCAGCTCGACGACTTCGCAAAGACTCTCAACTCCGAAGACCGCGCCTTCTACCAATCCCTACCGCCCGAGGAGCGTGCACTGATGCGGACAGTCGGTCAGTCCCTTGGAGAGCATATGGCGAGGCAGGATGTTCAGCAAGCCTTCTCGGACGAGATCGATGACATAGCGGACGAGGTTGAGCGGCAGTTCCCTCCCAACCTCGAGGAGAGGGAAGAGAGGAAGTCGCAGGGCTTCTGGGCATTGGGCGAGCCTGAGATGGGCGAGGATGAAGAGTTTCAGGGGGATGACATATCGAGCATCGCGCATGGGGAGTTGGAGCAGCATCGGGAGTTTAGGGAGTACGCGCGGTTGGCGGCTTGGGAGTTGCCGCTGCTGAGCAGTAAGGCTCATGTCTCCAAATTGAACTTGGAAGCCGGCCGACTGACGGACTGACTGTAGAGCTGTCTGTCCCCTTCGAACCGCCCTCAGAGAATCAACCCCTCCGCTTCCGTTACACATCTTACATGGGCGAACAACATCCCGCAGCCCGCAAGGTTGTTGTCGAATTCTCCCCATTCGACATGCCAGAGCTAAGCTACCAACAACGCGGCAAACTGATCAAGCTCTGCGGCGCACGCTACAACCCCTCGAGCAGAGTCGTCAAGATGTCCTGCGAGTCCTTCGAGACACAGGCGCAAAACAAGCGCTACCTTGGCGACCTGGTCAACAAGCTCCTCACCGAAGCCCGAGATCCCACAGACACTTTTGAGGACGTGCCGTTTGATTTTAGACACCACAAGCGGAAGCCGAACTTTGCTTTCCCCCAGGCCTGGCTTATGACGCCGGAGAGGCAGAAGCAGTTGGAGGAGAAGAGACAGCAGCGGTTGCTGCTTGATCAGCAAAGGACACAGCAGGGAACCCTGATTACAGGGGCGGAACGGATTCAGCAGGCGATTGAGAATGAGGCTTTGGCTGCAGCGGCCGAGCCGGTGGTGGTCGAAGCGCAGCAGCAAAGAGGAAAGGGGAGAGAACAGCAGCGCCAGTCCAGGGGCCGGAGATAACCAGGTTTGGCATAATCAGGACCAACATTGTATGAGATTCCATGTGGATTGAGATACTTGTGTACAACAGTGTAAGTACAATACACAGATCTTCAATAACTGAGATGTACGTATATCGCTACAATACACACAGAAATAATACAAGTCGAAATTCGCGGACGCCGTCAGATCGTGCCAAGGTCCACATCCAAACACCAGAAATACTCCAACACGCGTCTTTCTCTGAAGCCAAGGCTAACAGCGTCTCGACTTCACACCTCAGCCAAACGCCTCATTAACGGATTTACCTATCGGTGAATGACATCGACCACCCCATACTTGTTTTCCGTAATATGCTCGCCAGGTCCGCAGAAATACCTCCAACGAGTCAGCTAGAAGCGCACAACGCCATGCTTGTCCGTATAAATTTTTGTTCCAACAGGGATTGTATACCTAGCGTTACTCATATTTTTCTCAATCTCAAAACCACCCTTGGGTCCCCAAATCGCCTCCATCTCCTCTCTCTCCTTCGTCTTCTTCTTGCCTTCTTTTATCCGCATCTTCTCGAAGAACACGTAGGCGGCGTAGAAGACGGAGGTGCTATTTCCCGCACTTGGCCCCTTTTTACCGCGAAAGTTGGCGAGCTGGGAGCCGGTGATATGCGCCGGCTTCTTAGGGCCGTGATATTGCGCGAGCAAATCTCTACAAAACTGCGCTTGCGTGACGCCCGGCTTGCGGAGATGCGCGTCGATCTTCTTGCGGATCGTGTCGCAGGTATCGTACACCTCGACGGCATCCTCCTTCTCGCCCGGCAGCTCGATGCCGCTGATATCGACCACGCCGTCGTCTTTGCCGACTTTGCCGTCTTTGCCGACTTTGCCGTCTTTAGCAGCGCTGGCCGCAGCCTCCGTCTTCTGTTTCTTCTTGCTGGGCATCTTGATACCTTTCAACTCCCGCTTCTTGAAGAACGCCCATGCATTCTCGAAGGTCGCGCTGTTGAGCCCCTTGGTGCGCCCGCTCTGCTTCAGGAAGCTGTTGTAGGAGTTGTTGGATACGCCGATCGTGTCGCAGAATTCTCCGACTTTCATCCCGCCTGCTTCGATGAAGGTCCGGATCTTGCGCCGGATTTGGTCGGGGTTTTGGTCGATGGGGACGCCGATTAGGTCGTCGGAGTCACTGTCAGGGTCGTCGGGGATAGGCGCCGCATCGGTGAATTTGCGCTTCGTTGATGGGTTGAGAGACGAGGCAGATTTGGCGGCAGTGTTTTTGTTGGATTCGCCGCCGCCATTTGTGTGCTGGTTAGCGGCGTTATTGAGGCCCTTGGTGGTATCAGTGTTCTCCTTGTTGTCATGGGTATGTACGTCTGAAGCTCCCGCCATGGTTGTCAATTGGGTTATATAGGTCGCTAGTATGTAGTGTCGTTGCGCTTATATTATACACTTGATTGAATAGACAATGCGACGGATTTTTCTCATTCAGTGTTAGACATCAGTGGTGATATGGGCATTTGGTGAGGCGCAAAGTGTCTTAATGTGGAGAAGGTCAGAGCTGATGTGACGTCAACGCGTGCGCGTTGTTTTGCAGCACGAGGCCAGTCCGATATCACGTGAAATTGACCGCACCACAACTCTGCGACTCTTCTTTCGCTCTAGGTATCATCAAACACCCCCTAATTGCTATTACTTGTTCATGGACAGGAACTTGCTAATAATGCTTGGTGACATCGTGCTCAGAGTCACTTAGATAAGCAGTCCGATCACTACAGCTTTCCCGGTAGCATTTACAGATCCTTATATAAAGCTAAACTTTCCACTACCAAGACCAGTCTTCGGGCCTTGTTATAATATATACCACTCGGTGAGAGTATGCTTACTCCAAGGTTCAAATCTGGAAACGGATGGAACCACTTTCGGAAACTGCACGAAGTCTGATCAGTCTTGTCAAGACGATGTAAGCTCGGTGTGGTTTCACCTGCAGTGTCACTCATTCTAGTTTGAAACGTACTCCTGCGGGCCGCTTAGCCACAGCTCGTTACGATCACTCTTCCAGAGCGGCTTGGGCCATCGAACCGAGCGTCCCCTGTTGACAAGTGTTAGGTAAGGACGCCCTCCGTATTTCGATAGAGCCAGGCGCAGGATCTTCCACAATAGCTGGATCCGCCTCTCGCCTCTCTGGATCAACAACGCTCGTTCTTCGTCTAACCCTGGCGCTTCCGCTATCATTAATCGACCTCTTCCGCGGTGGACACGAGTCGACGTTGACCCCTCGCTCATTAATATCGTCATCAAGTAATTCCGTTGACGAGTCAGCTGCTGGATTTGGCTTATGGTCGTGGATCAAGGCCCCTTCTGATGGCTTTCCGGAGTTACTTAATTGGCATCCGGGTAAAGTAGGACTAGTGGAGAAGAGTCAGCATTAAGTAACACAAATCGGAGAAAACCTACCTTGGTTTGGATGACGTGTTTAGTTCCTCATATGTTGAAGCTTCGTATTCGTGCTGCGTATGTGCAGGAGCGCACTAATCGGAAGTCAGCGTACTCAGCCGTCAAATAAAAAACACGTACGGACAAGAAATCAATAAGACAAATCGATGCCGCAACTACGTGGGGATTCGTGGCGACTAGACTAGCTCTCCTTTAGGGCATTGTGGATTGCAGCTGAGCTCTTGGAGAAGACCACTACGACAGGAGAGGAAAACGAACCTTGCGCTTGTGCTGCTTACACGTAGAGCATGCACCGACCCTCCGTAGCCGGGAGTACTCCTTTTTCTCGGTTTCGGTCATCCCACGTCGTCGGGCATACTTCCTCGCAGAAGGGACTTCGGAAATGCAAAAAACGTTCATCATCTTGCCCGGTATATGTTCTTCAACATCCACGCTCAGTTCCGGAGCGAGCGTAGCTATGTGCGTCCTTGCCCGATGGACCATTGATTCTCCTCCGATGGACCGAAGGGGGATCTCCTTTTCACCAAGAAATCGACGATTAATTCGGACATCATCAGAGGCCACATCGCTTGTGTAGTCCCGGAGCCAATTGGATGAGCCGAGTGAAGCAGACCGCTTCTGGGAGTCTACATTTTGAATCGGGTGCTGCACCTCCTCCCGCGGAGCCAAGATTTGGTTCAGTTCGGACAAACGACAAAGCGTTTGAGCGGCAGCACATGGATCCTCGGATATGTACTCTTCCCATAGAAACTCGATCACCGCTTCTCTGATTCTCGATCGATGCGTTTTTCCATGAGTATAAACTGTCTTAAGGGCCTCAAATAGCTCATCAGAACCTCGTGTTGGAGCAAATTCTACACCGGCGCAAGGGTCGTAATCGTCAGCGTTGCTGGGAACGCGATATATCTTAAACTGTTTGGAACCAATATCCGGGAGGCTCTTTGCCATAACGTTTCGGAGCAGGAACCAGGAGGAAGAAGGTGAGCAAAAAGCATCTAGGAACCGCTGCCCTCCTTTTAAACCCAAAGTGCAAGGCAGCTGTGCCGTTCCATCAGCCATTGACATGGTACTGTCCGCAACACCAATGAGAGCTCCCAAGCTCGCACGGGACGCCGAATCAAGCGCCACAATGCAGCCGTCAGCGGCGACTTTTTCTTGGATCTGCGGTGATTACAGTAGCCAATGATGATTGCATAAGATATCGCCCTACAGGCGTATTAGCGTTTGGGTGAGGCGATCAATTACCGGTGAGAGCGGTATCTCGACCGGTATCTGTTTTGGGACACCGCACTGCCCGCGGTGTCATACCGCCGGCCACTCTGCCACGCAGCTTCATCACTGCTTTTACCAAGACCGCCTGTCTAGTTAGCCATAACAAAAGGACCGCCGCTTGCAGCAGAGGCTCGGAGTTTTTTGTTTCTCGCCATCTCGCTACAATGGACTTGCGACCAACTACGGTACCGTGAACTTTTTTGCTCCATCGTGTGCCGTTCAGATCCCTTTGAGTGTCTCACTCGCCTTCTTTTCTCTCCATCTGTCTGCCGCTAGTTGTCGCCTTATCGTCTCTAAAGCCAATGGGCGTTGCGTTGTGAATGCATGGCGGCATATTGGGCTCAGCCCGCAGTTCCACATGGAGTCACCACCAACCATCCTTGCCTCGCAGGCCAGCGACTCGCAAGTCGGGTTTGTTATTTATCGAGTAGCCGACAGAACCTCAGAAGGCTCACCGTTTGCTGGGTTAACCTTTCACCCCCCAATGGGGTCTGATGCGTTGTGGAAGGCTCTCGAAGCAGCCTACCCAGAACTGGACGATAACAGCTGGCGGATCCAGTATGCACTTGCTGACTGGGCGAGGATCGAGTGCATTACTTATGGCTACAAACGGGCACCCGTGTCTACCGGGGAGACGATTCAGACGAGCTTCAGCGAGGCTGATCCTCACTCGGGCTCACCCTCTTATGAGTCCTCACAGTCATACAACCTGACACCTATAGCCATGACTCCGAGTGGCTCGGAAGGGCTTCAGCGGAATACTCTCGACTTTGGTGGCAATGCAAGGGTTGTACACACCAGAAGACCCATGAAGAAGGACGAGAAAGCGCACATGCAAATGATCAAGAAAGAGGGAGGAGCATGTGACGGATGCAAAAAGCAGAAGAAGAAGGTAGATCCCAATACACTTCCTTCATTTCGTTGCGGTTCCTAACAAGATCTAAGTGCGATGCCGAGCATATTCGAGAGAGAAGCGCTCCTCCCAAGAGGTTGTCTAAAATGATCACGTAGGTCATGCCCTTACCTCACACGAGCTTGCACTCACTCACTTGCAGCACGCCAAAGCGCGGGCCGACAAAGGAGGCACCCGCCGGAGTCACTGCATCTACCGGACGGCAGATTGATCAACTTTTTAACCCCCTATCGCCTACAAACTCATGGACTGCTCAGCACGAAGACACTACAACACAAGCGAATAGCTGGAGCCAGCAGACCTACTCAGCCGCAGCCGAAGGAAATTTCTTCTCTCACGGCACCTTCGACGAAGACTTGAGCCACGATATCTTCGCAGGGACCGCCGATACTCCCCATGTCCCTACAGAATCAACGGGATCCAATCACATCTATACCAGCACCTTGAACGAGCACCTGAGGCATGCGGGTCCCGGCTTCACCAGCCCCTACGCCTCACCGATGCGCTACAATCGGGTGATTCGGGACTCCAGCATCGGCCACCCTCTACCACCACCAGGTTGACGAGGGCCTACATGTATCGAAATCACTGAGGTTCTCGACACTCGCCACGTTCACATCAAAAGCCACTGGTCTCCCTTCTTCGCATGGTCGATTCAACGCCGGATTCATGAGTCGCCTTAGCGACGCTTTTCATAGATTCCTAGATTTTCCTTTCTCGCTGGATTTTTCCGCCAACCATTCTCCGGATCGGAAGTAAATGGAACTGGACTGTTAGCATCGCTCACACGCCGAACCCAGAACTTGATGGACTCACAACAGGACATGGTTAATATCAAGACAAGTGTACGGGGATCTCAATTCAAGACAGTGATCGAGCAATCATCACAGAGGAACACAAGATTAAAGCGGCGCGTGCCGCACGGAATAGATAAATCACCAACTTACACGCCGTCAAGACTCGCTAGATCATTTCATAACAAAGCAATGGCTCCGAGGGCCAAAAGACTCCAACCTCACCAACGGACTCCTACGTCCTCCTCGCAACAGGGCCAAGTCCTGTATGCCGCCTCCGGCGCCCATCAGCATGCGGTCCATGTTTCTCAATCATCCTCACAACGCTAGGCCCGAATTCTGCTCACTGTGCAACCGAGTGCGCAGCAAGCCATTGTGAGAACGCGAGAGGATTCCTGGTCTGGATGAACACGGTGCCTGGGCCGGTGAACTTGCAGACGAGGCCTTCGCCCGAGGAGATGCCGGAGATGATGCCGCCGCTGGCGACGCGCTCGAGGACGTACTTGCAGTTCCAGGCCACGAGGTGGTTGTTGTCAACGATGTATCGCTCGCCGTCTTGGAGCTGTGGGAGAGGTGTCAGTAACCTCTCAAACGGAGCGCTTTGAGTTCCGTCTCTTGTCAGAGAGTCGACCCGCCGGTAGCAACACAGAAGGAGCACCGTGCTCACTCACGTCTTTCCTGATGATAGCCCCCAAGCTCGTAATCCACAGGATCCCCGTCCCAGACATCTTGTATACGAACAGGCCCTCCCCCGAAAACATCGCCTTCGCAAATCCTTGGCTCTTATACTCCTTGACCACGCCCTGCGTCGCCGCGAGGAACGCGTCCTTGCCGACGGACCACTGCTCCTGGCCGTTGAGCCGGATGTTGGTCACGTCGCCGAGCGCATCCGGAGCCAGCAGAAGCTCGCCGGGACCTGTGTACGTCGAGGTCGCCATTTCGCCGCCGGCGATGAGCTTCTTCATGGAGAACTTGACGGCGCCCTTGAGGGTTACGGTTGGAGACATTGCGATCATTGCGCCTGTTCAGAAATTTTCGTCAGCCCCCATACTGTCGTGTTACCCGTCTACACGGCCTCCGCAGCAAGTAACGCGCCTACAAGACCACGGGAATCCGGAGAAGAGGAGAAGACGTACCAGGCTTCGCAACAAGCGGACACCCCACCGCCAACTGCACCGTCAAAATCGTGTTGCTGTCCCTATGGCTAACCCTGTAGCTGCCGCCATTAAACGTCCCGACGTCGTCCTGCGTGCTCGACGCACCAACGAAGTGCATCTGGCCCGGCGCCCCGCCCGGCATCTGGCTCGACATGTTCGAGTTCAGCGGCGGGCGCTGGGCTTGCGGGCCGGGCGAGGGCGTCGGGCCGCCGCCGGGGTAGCCCTGCGGTGGGAGGTGGTGCCCGATTGCGCCGCCGGGGGGTGGGGGCTGGGAGTATTGTTGTTGGTGCTGAGGGGCGCTGAGGCCGGGGGTTGGAGGGCCGTGGAAGGAACTGCGGTGGTCGGCGGGAGGTGGGCCGGCTTGTGGCGGGGGAGGGTAGTGCTGTTGTTGTTGTTGTTGTTGTTGCTGTTGGTGGGGTTGGGGAGGGTAGTTTGACCCAGCCGGCGGGCTGGACGCTGGAGGAGGAGGATAGTATTGTTGTTGTTGTGGGGGCGGCGCGAAGTGTTGCTGTTGCTGCTGCAGAGGGTCTAGGAAGAGGGATGTTCAGTGATGGACGAGGTTGCAGGGTGGGTGAGGATGAGAAGTACCGTGAGGTGAGTATGCGCCGCCGTCGGGAGGAGCTGGAACTCGAGTAAGCTCTCTTCAGTGTAGAGGGCAGGTACGATGAGGCTTACGGGGGTAGTAATGGCCTTGCGGTGCAGGACTGCCCTGCGGTGGATAGCCAGACATCTTGCGCTCACTATATGCGGCGCGCCGCTATCCAAATAGACAAATCAAAGATGTTGAGATATCGAGAGCTCGAGTAGACAACAAACACAGGTTTGAGCGCGTCAGCATTTATGAATGAACGTAAGGTCGCACAGTGCTGGCACGCTGCTCAGCCCCCGAGCTAGGTATGTATACTGCCCCGCAGCAAGGATGCGGTGCGCGCTTAGAAGATGCAGCTAAGATACTGACGAGTTGTCCGAAGGCCGCGTTTCTGAGAGGTACAAGTCCGGCGTATCTGTTTGAGTGCTAGAAGCAAAGTAAAAGCTCTGAAGGGCCAGATGGACAGCTTTGTAGCCTCTCGAAACTCATAAATCGCTCGCGCTGTTCGAAGCTGACATCCATGTCAACAGCCCCGCGGAAGCGCCATGACATTGCGAGGCCCGCTGTTGATTGGATCTGCTAACAGCGCTAGACCGGGCCCGGATTCTGGCGGCTGTGCAAGCGCCGAGAAAGATCAGGCTGCGTGTAGGGCATATTGCACGTGATCACACCACCAGCAATTCACTCGCAATGTAAACCAGATTCCAGTCTTAATGATGCGAGTAGCGAAAGAGTTGAAGACTCCAGCACATGTGTAGTTGGCTAGACATCATCCATACTGAGCTCTATACACGGAAGGCAGATGTTGCGGAGTACAAGAAGTCGCTATGATTGATGGGTCTTTACGGAGCATTTCATATTCCAAGAGTCCACTACACGAGTGCCACATGCTCGCACCTGCCATAACGCATGCCATTCTTTTGCCCGTAACCGCCCGTGCTGATGCCCGCGTCGCAAAGACCCCTGATCCCACAAACATCGGCCGCATCGGCGACTCGTTGACTCAATATCTCACGAGAAGAATAAAAACCGAACGAAGCAACATGCGCAGCACACCACCCATCTAACCCTGCTGCCTCTTCCTCTTGCCGACCTGGGCTGAGAAACCGGTCTTGATGGCCGTGACACTGCGGCGCGAGCCACAGGAGTTGCAGGTGATGAAGTAGAGACGATTCTCGCCCTTGTTGAGCTCGGTGTCGGGAGAACGACATCTATCGCGCAATGTCAGCTCGTCCTCTGGATGTAAAGATGTGGATTACGTACGTCTTGCATGTCACGTATTCCACGATGTATCTTCGCAGGACGCTACGCGGATGTCAGCTCGACTCGACGTTATAACGACGTCTTAGTGCACTTACTTCTCTATCTGCTTCTGTTGGAATCTACCCTTGATGACTAGCCGCCTGCTGCCGTCCACACTGCCGCTCGTACCCAGTTCAGCGAACAGAAACTGTGTCACGTGCTCGTCGTTTCTCTTCATGCGCTTCGAGCTTTGCATTCGTTAGCGCTTGCTCAAAGAATTCTCGAGGGTTAAACTTACATCTCAGCCATGTTTGCCCAAATTGTCTTCTTGTTGCCTTCTCGTAGGCACTGAGGCGGCGGAATCTTGTAACTCTTGCTTCCCGACGTCATCAGATCCGGATGATGCGATTGTAGTAGGCCGAAGAACCGCGAGAGCAGTAGCTGATAGCTGATCGGCGTCGTTTCTTCATGTTGCCAGATGCCTGTGCCCTTGTCCGGATCCCCTTCTTGTACCGCTGGCTCCGCGGGTGCCTCTGCCTCCTGCTCCTGTTCGCCGGCACCGGCCTCCGCAAGCTTCGCCTCGAAGTCCTCAGCGTCCGCCTTGGGCTTCTTCTTCTTTTTTAGCTTCTTCAGCGCTGACGGGTCGAACTCTGCGTCGGCGGCGGGAGCCTCCTCTTCGCCCTCCTTGGGCTTCTTAGACTTCTTCTTCTTCTTTGCAAGATCCTTGAACCTGCACAACCATCAGCCACAAGTCCAGCATAGTGTATCAGCAGCTGGTAGACAACATACATATCGGTAACTTCGTCCACGGCCTTGTCGTCGGAGTCTGCCGCATGACTCTGCGCAGACTCTTTGTCGCCGTTTGTGCCGTTCATCGTGATCTGCCCGTCGCCGTCGACTATGGTCGTTCCTTCGGAAAACGCTACGGACTTTCTGGGCTTGCGCTCGACGGGTGTTTCGTCCTGCACAGGTGAATTTGTTAGCGCGGCTGCACCGAAAACCCCTTGTATAACCTGAGCTCCTCCGCCGCAGCGGAACACCGCGGGAGGACAGAGGGGCAACCTGGGGGAGGGAAATGACGTACGACGTCCGCCATGGTTGCGGTGTCCTGGTGCGCGGTCCTTTGTGTACTTGGTGTGGGATACAGTATCCTGGGGGCGCGACTATGGCGGTCTTGGAGGTTGTAGATGTGTTGTTGTTCAGGAAATAGCTGTCTCGAATCTTCATTCAACGTTTGCCAATGACTCAAGAGGGACGAAAGGCCGGCGTTACTATTCTCCATCCTCCGCCCGCCGCTTAATCTTCGGCGGTGCTCTGACGTCTCCGACAGAAGCCACTGCCGTAGAGAGCTCGCGCAGGCCGGATATTCAGACACGGCTACAGCAACAGCAGCGTCCAGGCCGCGACAACCCAATGGCTTGAGGAAGTCCGCAGACAACACAGTACCCTCCTCCTCAATCTCCAAGCCCCGAGCTCCTCGCGCCCTCAATCCATCCTCCGCAACCCACCATGTCCGACGACTCGCTCATATCCTCCTCCTTCATCGAACCCCTAGCACCCAGCAACTCCGATGACTCGATAACAGCATCCACTTCTTTCATCGAGCCTCCCGCGCCCACACTCTCCGAAGATGAGGGCGTGGACTCGTTACCTTCGACATCGGTGACCGAGTCAGAGATCGATGACGAGGAGCCCTCGGATGCGGATCGTGAGTGGAGGGAGTCGCTGCAGCAGATTGAGCTGCTGCTGACGATGGTGGTGGTGCCGTACTTGGGAAAATATTTTGGCAGGAAGTGCGCGTATTGGGGTGAGTGGTTTCATATCGGGGGTCAAGGGAGGGTTGCGGTGCCGCCTGTTTTAGGAATCGTACAAGGAGCTGCGATGTGAAGATCGGCGATGTTGCGCTGAAAGAGTTCATGTGGGATTGTCGAGGATGCATGCTGACATGGCTTCTGCTACAGGATGGGCGAAGTTCATGGAATGGAAATACCCCGACGTTGAGGTCGTCTTCACGAGTCCGAGAACTTTCAAGGCTGCAGGCGCGATAGAAGCAGCTGCATCACTATGAAAGGAGCCTACGGTAAATAAATATGCGTGTCATTGGGGTGTGGTTGTATAAGATTTACCGATTGTCATATGGTGGGACAGCATCAACACGCGTATTATGCATATTCAGCGCACGGTGTCAACGGAGTTTTGAGCGTGCTTGGAGGTGTCATATATTATGGCAGAACGCAGCGAATGTAGAAGTGGATTGTTTGTGGCACAGAAACCGGGAATTTCTCGAAGGCTACGCCGGTGGGGCTTATGTGCGACTGCCAATATTCAGGTATCGAACATATAGTGCGGAGAACCGGAACAGGATTGACAGAGAATGTGCTAAAACGCGTGAAGACTTTTGCCATAAACCTGCTCCGAAATTCCGATATCGAAGTGGGATGGTGCTGCGTGTGCCAAAAGCTGGCGGATCCGAAGCTACTTTGATACTGTTGCGTGATGATACTCCTGCAACGCCTTACTCGAAGGTGGTCCTCTTGCCTTGCGACTCAATAATCGCCGCTGTCGACCTTTGGGCGTTTGAGTGTGCAGCACCTGGCTTGATACTGCGGGGATCGACCTTTCGCCCCTGACCACGGAGCGCGCCATGTGGGCGCTGCCTATCAGACCTCCGAGCTGCTGTGTCGCTGCGTAGCGTTCTGCTTCGCGATGACGCAACCGCAGCTCCAGCATCATCCTCAGTCATTGCTGGTACTTCTTTGGCATCGTCTCCATCCTTGCGAGGGGCATCTTTGCCAAAGCGCTTCTTGTAGCGCGAGGTGGGATCCTCCGCAAACTCACACCGCAACGGCCGGCCTTGAAGTTTGTTGACGAACCACTTCCTTGTGGACTTGCTCTTGCTCTTCTTCTTTCCGCCCTTGGTCGTGTTTTCGTTATCTTCCGCTTCAGCCTTAGTATCGACTTCGTCTTCTTCATCGCTGTCATCAACTTTTATGCGCGTCCAGCCCTGAACAGCCGCCGTAGCGGCCTCCAGCTCCGCGAAGGTGACCCAGGCATAGCCCTTGCACTTGCCAGAGTCCTCGAAGGTAGCCATGTGTACATTCTCAACCTCGCCGCACCGCGAATAATGCTCCACAAGATCTTCCTTCGTGACGTCCCAGCCTAGATTTCCCACGAATACGCGCTTGCTAGGCGGTTTCCCGCTCCCTCCAGCGGCTGCCGCAACAGCTTTTCCGTCCGAGGTATCCTTCTCTGGACGTCCCTGATAGCTCTTTGCGTCTTTAATGAGCACCCTCCGCCCGCCCATCAATGTCTCGCTAACCGCCAAGGCGGCTTCCAGAGCGGCAGACGTGGCGAAGTCGACATATGCGAAGCCCTTGTTCTGCGGCTTGATCTTCTTGTTGGCGTTAGCTGCGTCGGTTGGCGCTGGCATGTGTACGCGCGTGATCTGGTCGTCGGCAATCTCGGCATGTTCTGTGAGGAAGGTCTTGAGACTGGCTTTTGTAGCAGTCCATGGCAGGTTGCCTATCCATATGCCGTAATCTGAACGCTTTGCTGGCTTCGCCTCCTCTTTATTCTCTAATTCCTCGTCCTCGCCGGACACAGCTTCGCCCTTTGGCGCAGAGGTAGGAGCGGGATTGGGCTTGCCCTTTTTGGCTCTTCGGAGAGCCTTCTTGGAAGGGGGCTCAGGGAGGGAAACATCGATCTCCAGTTCATCCGGCAGGGCTTCTCTCTTCCTCTTTCGCGAGCTCTTGTGTGGAGTTCTTGACTCAAGTACTGCGCTCGATTCCTGGTTTGCTGTTGTCGGTTCGGGCACGTTCACCATTGCTTCATTGGTATCGCTCAGAACCCCTGGCTTAGCCTTTCTCTTCGACTTGTCCTTCTTGTCTTTTTTCGAGCTCTTCAGAATCTCTCCGTTGGCGGCCATGTTGTTCTCGCAGCTTTTCCAGCACGAGAATCGCAGGATTCTGCAATGCGAATTTCTCTACGCCAGCTTCCCGAACGGCCGAAGTATCGCCGGACCTCCGACGTCAGCTTCGACGTTTTTGATCGCCGCTTCAACGAAATGTCTCGACGCGCCGTACGCGTATCTGACCACTTCACCACGGACCCATACCCGCACAGTACGGCCCGCCAGCCTCGCGGTCAGGGAAGCATTTGTGAACCCGTCCGCGATGTCCGACATGGAAGAGAGCAACGACTCCAGGACCGCTTCAATTGGCCGCAAGCGTGCCAGAGAGACTGAGCAGCCCCTGGCACTGGAACTTTCACCTGAGCAACAAACAACGCCGAATAAGAGGCCAAGGCTCGCTGCTTCCGCGCTGGACTCGCAGCCAGAACCCACCCCGACGTCACGTGCTTCTAGACCTGGAAGAAGTCCGAGCATGTCTGATGCGGATCCAGAAGATGAAGGCGGCGTTGAGCTTGTGGAGAACGCTGCAAGCCGAAACATGGAGACAGATTCCGCAGGGGCATCTGCGCAACCCAGCAACGTCACCGGAAGTGGCTTCATACCGCTTGCCTCCGTAGACGAGAGTCGATCAGACGATTCTTTGCTGAGCAACGTTATAATCCCAGACCATGCGCGTAGAACCGTCGCCAAAAAGGTGCCTCCTTCAAAGCAGGTACATAAAATTACTAGACGCCAGAAGGAGGCCATTCGCCTATCTGAAGGAGATCACGCCAGGAAAATCTTCCTGAATCCGCCAAGCAGTCCAAACCTGGACACCGACACGGAACGACAAAGATGTATCGTTCTTGAAGTGACTTCTCTAGCACAGCCAGACGATGTTAAATACAGTCAGAATCAGAGACAGAGTATGCAGACGCAGCTTCTCCGCTACCTCGCAAGACACATCTACGGAGGCCTCGAAGCCGTCTATCATTGCTGGAAGAAGACAGCAAGCGAGGTTGTCATTCGCGCTTTGCTTGTATACTCTACCCCAGATCAAGCAAACCTCGCGACAACGATCATTCACGTGACCAAGATAAACGTTTTTGGCACCCCACCTGGTCCGCCCAAGGCGCTACCTGTTACTTCGTCTGAACCTGACGAATGGCACAAATTTGAGAAAACTGAGTGGAAAACGTATGCAGAGGAGAGTAAAGCCCTGGTGTTCAGCAAGTTGAGAGAAGGAGAGCTCCAACCAGAGGAATACGAAGGATTCTCCCAAGAGAGCGAGACCATTGCCCCAACGCAACCGAGAAGCCAGAGGCCAGCTTCAACAGCCAAACGTGCATCAGGCAGCGCGCAAGGTCTAAGTCCGGGTAACGGCCGGGATGGACAGCCGTCTATAGCAAGTACTGCCCCTGGGAAGCAACCCACTACCGGTCGTCGATCGCAAAGCACTCAACTCATGGTCAATAATGGTGCCGTAGTTGTTGATCCACCGGAATCCGCCCTCACGGCCATCAATGGTTTGAACGGATCTACAGACGGGCCAACCACTGCTGACACTGTTATGGACGAAGCAGCAGTCGACGGCGAGCCGCTCTGGTTTGCCGATACGAGACCGTCTGCTGTCCCTCGCGATGCTTCTCCGCTACTAATCGCCGAAATCCCAGTGAAGCTCTTTCAAGTTTCGGCAGTAGAGCGCGAGCTCCAGGGCCGATACTGGAAGATCTTCAATGACCACGACACTGTGCGATGCATGACCTGCGCAGCTGTGGGCCACACATCAGACGCATGTCCTTCACGGTCCTGCAAGCACTGTCTTGAAGTAGGTGACCACTTCTCAAGCGCATGTCCTAGTGTGCGCAAGTGCCGCAAATGCCGGGAACGCGGTCACTCGGAGACGGACTGCCCCTCCAAACTCAGATGTATCAGCGCCGATGGCCTCGTCTGCGATCTGTGCCATGAGACTGGTCACTTCGAGGAGAACTGCTGCTGGCTCTGGCGAACCTTCAATGTCAACGCCATTCCGTACTCCAAGAAGGTTGGCAGACTCCTCGTTGGCTGCTACAACTGCGGCTCAGACCTGCACTGGGGCAACGATTGTCCGCTGCACGGCAGGAAGAAGCGCTTTGATGTGACCACCTTCTCCGCCAACGAAGCGAACAAGTTCATCCTTCCAGTAGCGCAGCACGCAGCGAATGTCAAGGCCAAGCGAAACATGGGCATCTCGATCAAAGGCCGTGCCGAGAAGGACGCCATCACCATCAGCGACGACGACGAGCAAAGCACCTTCCTAGGAAAGCGCGTTCAGCCGCCTCCTAAGCGTGGGAAGATCCGCGTCAACGCGCCGGCCCCCAAGGGGGCTCGCAAGGCGGACCGCTACCAAATCACACCCAACGACTACGACCGCAGACCCGTGTATGACCATCCGCCACCAACATCCTTCCACACTCGTCCTCGCTCCCGGTCACCGCCCAGGCAGCGCTACGACGACTACCAGAACGGATACGACAGCTACCAGGGTCGGTATGAGGACCACCAGGGTGGTGGGTATCGCGCGAGGTCGCCGCTGGCGAGTAGCTACGGCCGCGGTCAGAGCTATCAGCCGCCGTTGCCGAATGAGCCGGTGCCTCCGCCGCGCCGTGACCGCTATGGTAGCTATGATCGAGGCTATCAGCCACCGCCGCCGCCCGAACCTGTGCCGGCGCCTCGCAAGGCTCTGGGTAGCGGTGCGCGTGGTAGGGGTAGAGGGCGTGGTCGCCGGTGAGTACGGTGGTGAGACCTTGCGTTGCTGCTTTTCCAGCTATAGCTGCATCAGTTCTTTAGGCCACGTGCGTACTCGCCCTTGGGCATGCTCTAGTTTGCTCGAGCCCTCGTCGCGGGTGCGCAAAGTCCTGAATTCACTTTCGCATCTACGGCCACTTGCTCCTTCGTTGGTGCATCGTTGCTTCTGTTCTCGTGAGGCTGTCTGGGCGCATTGCTTGCATATCGGCGGTGCGACACTTGGCGTACCTCTGATTTGAATGAATCGTATACGACCCTCAATATAATTGTGCGTATGACTAGACACAGGTCACCTTGGCCTTAGACAAAGTTTCCAAAACTTCATTCCGTCTTTATTCAGCTGTCTAGCTCGTGAAGATCGTAAGATATCCTCTAAAGCTACATCATGGCTAATAAGTTTTTCATACGCAACGAAAAGAGTACAGGACAATGAGGCATTCGCATTGCAAGTTACTATTCGAGTGTCTATGTTGTTATGCTCTCGCGATGAATCAAGCAGTTCAATCAACCTCCAGGCTACAACCAAGCGTCACAGCATCGCGGTCAGCGCAATGGCGGTTAGAGACTTTACCGCGCAAATCGCTGACTCACGGGGTATGACGATGCAGTTGCAGTCATCCGCACACACCAGTGAACCAGGGATGTATCACGGCCTTGTCAGCAGGCATGCGTTGTTCTGGTGCGTATGCAATCGTCCCGTGCATCAGGTCTTCCAAAGTGAGCACTTCCGCCTCTGAAAGCCTTGTCCCTGGAGCTTCCATGATTGTCCCGACCGGACTCTCGTCCTCGTCGACTTCATCCTCCGCACCTATATCCCTGATCTGTTCAACCAGAGGATATTCAACAGCCAGTGGAATGTCGTTCTCCCAAGTTCTCTTCGGCCGCCCACTTTCATCGAAGTAAGCGGAGCGCTGCTCCCAAGCGCTCCACCAGGGCTCCGGAAGCTTGCCCAGCGTCTGCACCATCTGTCGAATCACTTCATCAGGGCCGCCAAGGAAACTGGCAAATAGCTGGCTACCGGCACGAATTTCAAAAATTGTATAGCCCAAGGCCCATATATCCGACCAAACACTCGCTCTGTTATCGAACAGAGCTTCTGGTGAGCAATAGGACAGCGGTGTTCCGACGCCCTCAGGCGGTGGTGAATCCGACATAAACGAGTGACCGAAATCAACAAGCAGTGCATCTCCACTGAAATAACTAGAGTGGATTCGAGAGCGGTCTAGAGGCTCTACCAGATAGTCGGGTGCGGAGAGACTGGTGTTGGCCCCTGGTAGGGCTACAATTTTGTCTGTCACCGGATGACCGAGTCTTTCATAAAGCTTCCATGGACCAGGAATCCATATTTGCTAGCCGCAGGAGGACATTGGAGGAAGTAAGGTCTGAAGACTGCGTCAGCAAGGTGCATGAATGGACCGGAGAGCATACACACTACCTCCATGAACTATTCCTACGGAATGTAGATACCCTATCGCTTGAGTGACTTGCTTGGCAAGTCGTCGGGCGAGAGCTCCACGTAGCCTACGGCTTCCAGCCATCTGACCTGGAGAGTCGCATATCTGGGTTACGCTCGGACCAGCGAGTTGCGATACCAGACACGCATGGGAGCCGTTGGGGCCTTGGACATTGAAATGATCAAGAATGGACATGATGTGACTACGGCCGGGGTGGTCTACAGAGCTTTCGTTGAGATGTCGCAAGATTTGTAGTTCTACGCATCGGCTCGAAGCTTCTGCAGTGATGATCTTGAGCGCGACAAGCCGTCGCAACCGTTCATCTCGAGCCAGCCAGACAGTCGAAAAGCCTCCGAAACCGAGTTTGTAAAGCACGTGATATCTTCCGCTGGCGAAACTGTCTCCGAGGTGAACGGGATGAAATCCACCCTTCCGATACTCTTCTACATCTTCAATGTTGTCGAGAGCGGAAGGCTGATAGTGCCTAGCGGATGTCGCCATTGTTGGAATCAAGCCGTAGGAAGGTCTGATAGAAACGGATTGTAGACGCGTACTGATCGAGGTAAATTTTGAAGACATTCGACCGGATCAGCTTCTTGAGATTTGTAGCTTAGAGAGCTTGCATGAGTCTGCGAGAGATATCAACAGTACCTAAGCTCGAGAAATGTCAACAGTACCTAGGCTCGAGAGCCAGTAGGTGCATATTAATTATATGTGTCAGATTGGAGTTATGCGCAGCACGCGCAGGTATCACTATGTAGATAGAATACCCAAGCCCCATCACTTGCGAGTAGCCGCACACCTTTGCGGCTCATGCAGGGGCTAAAACAAATACATGACACGTAAACAGTTGTGGTAAGCAAACATCTCATGTGAAAATGTAGGAATAAGAAGGGACACTATGCGTCACAATAACTTCAGAGAGCTCTCGTTCTGCTTAGAAATAGCGGAATTGGTCTGGGAAGCAAGAAAAGTCAACCCTCCAGCAAAAAGTCAAAAACATACAGCAGTGGGGATTCGCTAGTGGTCACCCACCTAACTACTAATCCACCGATTCAAAGCTTATGTAATGGCAGAGCGAACGGGATGCCCAGTATTCTTTGATCTATGGCCGTATGTGAAAGATAGTGCTGATTTTACAATAAATAAATCCAAAAAATGTTTCTAGAAGCTGGATGAGAGAGACGCCTTCCCAGGAGGTTGATGCTCAATTTTCATAGTCCTGAGTTTGTCCAATCGGCTGAATTACGGTAGCCGAGATGTTCAGATATCCACTGGTCATGATGTCTCCAACAGCAACATCACCTAGATCACGTCTATAGATGCATCTTAGACAGCCTCTTGCAACAGTGCCGCCAAAGTGCTTTTATGCCCTTTCAAGTTGCCACCGCAGGACTTTTTCCTGCACAGCAGTCAAAATGAATGAACGGGAGAACTCAAATAAACCACGGCGCTTCGCGCCTTTAGATCCGCAGAAGATGAAGAAGACCGGGGACGCAGCACCGCAACTTCAAGGCATAGTTTTTGATGTTGACGGGACTCTGTGTAAGTCTGATTGGTTATATAAATGGATAGGTCTCCCTTCCCAGCTAGGGACCATCAATTCCTAAAAGTCTGCAATTTTTTCTCCGCAACGCCTGTACGGTCTCACAGTTGTTCTTCCGTGATCAATCCATATACACTTCTACTATTCAACTGTCCCAAAAAAATGACTTGTCTAGGTCTGAGTTGTGTACTTTTTCTACTGTAAATGCGCACTCATTCACCCACTTCATACACTAATCTTCGGCGTACAAGAAGGCGAGCCACAGAACTACATGTTCGGCCAAATGAGGTACAACCACTCGTCTCCAAATACCCCTTCCTCAAGCCCAACTCCATATCCTCTCCCGTCTCCCTACAAACTGCAGCGTTACATCGTGAACCACAATCGCTGACCCCACCATTAGATCCGCCCTCAAGCTTCCCAAGTCGCAAGATATCCTCGACCACATCTATGCCCTCCCGCCCTCCGCCCAAGAAGACGCCATGGAGACCATCCGCTCCATCGAGCGTGAAGCCATGGCATTGCAAAAGCCACAGGCCGGGCTCGTCGAGCTGATGGCGTATCTTGATTCGCGCGGTGTTCGCAAGGGGATTTGTACACGGAACTTCGAGTAGCCCTTCCCTACCGTCCTTCCCGCCTTCCTCTTCCCCCTTCCTCCCACCGCTCTACCGTGTCGGCCAGCCGTGTCAGCTACACTACAGCCACAAAACCAGTTGTCCAGGAGATCTCAACTAACCCATCTCCAGCACACCAGTATCCCACCTCCTCTCAACCCACCTCCCCACGCACGTCTTCTCCCCAATCATAACGCGCGACTTCCGCCCTCCGAAGCCCGACCCAGCCGGAATTATACACATCGCCTCGCAGTGGGGGCTACCGGACCGGGCTGCTCGCTTAATCATGGTCGGGGATAGCGTCGACGACATGACTGCGGGCTACCGCGCGGGGGCGGCGACGGTGCTGCTGGTTAATGACGTTAATTCGTATTTGGCGGGGCATCAGCATACGGATTTGTGTGTGAAGCGGTGAGTGGAGTCATCACTGATGTGGATTCTTTGGCAGAAGGATGAGGAAAGTTTTCTGTAGAGCTCAAGGAGCGAACAATAGCAAGGAAGGAGCGAAGGCTGACGTGCTACCTACAGGCTTGACGAGCTCATCGCAGTCCTTGAGGACGGCTTCGTGGGTCAGATTGGCCAAGGCGAGGAAACTCCGGATACCAAGACGCAGGCAGAGGAGAAACTGGGTCATCATACATAGCTGTGAGCTTAAGGTGGTAAAGCAGAAAGACTTTGCTGAGGACTGATATCTTAAGCGGTCGTATCCTTCCATTTAGTTTGTAACACTACAACGCGTTCGGTATTGATGGTGTCTAACCATTTCGTAGAGTCATGGAAAAATGACCGGACCACAGCATAGAGAGACTCGTTCGTAACAACATCGTGAAGATTGCTGATGGAGAGGTTTTACTAAGCGTTCTTTTAAGGCAAAGGTCAAGTTTCAGAATTTGGGTTTTCCTTAGTCGACTCCAGCACCTTGTTTTTAGCCTCGTTCGTATAGATGTGTGCAGCGACTCCATCTCCAGTCACAACTAGAAGAAAATGTTGGTGTTAGACACCAGCTTCGAGTTGCTGTGATGTACAAGGATAACTAACTGTCAACAAGGTCGGCTGTAACGTGCATTTGTATTTGCTTTAGGACTCCGTTCACTCTTGTAGTGGAATGAGGTTCCTTGTTAACGGAAGTGATTAGCTAGGTTTAACAAGTATACCGACCAGACTGAAGCCCAAGAAGAATAAGTTGGGTAAACGCTTCTACATTCAGTCGCTTATCGCTTTGACACTTCAAGTAATCGTTCGTGTTACATACCGGATAAAAGCTATGCGCGTTAGGTCCAGAAGCAGAATGCAATGAGTTAACTTCGCACTAAATGCAAACTGAACTGTCACTCGAAAGCCTCAGAGGTACAGGATAGAGAGTCAATACGTCTAGGGTTCAGGTTATCGAGGTATCAAACGTCCCGCCTGTCCAATCTCGCCGCATCCAACACCGCTACTCAAACTGTGCTCCACCCCTGTTCCATTCATCCACCATCCACCCAGCCCTCCCACTCAGCCCTGATAAGCCTCCGACGGCACCACCTTGCACTTCTTGGTCTCCATGTGCTCATGGAACCTACAATCCGGGCCCCTCCTCACATCCTCCAACCCGTTCGTATGCAGCGTCGCACACGCCTCCACAAAATCGACCGCCAGCTCCCCTCCCTTCGCAATAACGCCCCTCATCGCATCACTGAGCCTTGGCTCCCTCTGTCCCGGCTCCTTCTCAATCAGGAACCGATACGCCGCCGTGGTGACCAAGAACTGGCGCATCACGTTCCCGCCAGCCGTGTGGTGGTACACGTACTCGAGGCGGTACGCCGGGGCCGTCATGTTCGAGGTGCGGTAGTAGGCGCGCACGTGGTCCATGACTTCGTTCTTGAGGCGCTCGATGGCGAAGCGCGTGGCGAGGACGTAGAGGCAGAGGTAGTGCTGCATGCTGTGGAAGTCGGAGGGGCCGGCCAGCATCGAGCCGTAGAGCCAGCGGGTGAAGAGGCCGAAGGCGAATTCATCGAGGTCGGGGAAGGTGAGGAGGTCGGCAGAGGGGCGGGGTGTGCTGGTCAGAAGGTCCTTGAAGAAGGGACAGCGGTCTTTGAGGGTTTCGGTGTGGATTTTGAAGACTTTGGCGGTTTGGCCGGCGCGGAGTTCGGTGAGGTGACCGTCATGGGCTCGGGTGCTGCAATAGCGTTAGTGGCCACTGATGAGGTGATGTGCCGTGGGTAATTCAAGAAAAGGATGGAAGAAGATACAGTTGTGCAGATGGGACGAGAGACTTACGAGGTGCCCGGAGGAGTGGACGGTGGTGCGATAACATGCTGGGCAGTGACCTGCGGAACGCCTGAGTCGGAGTTGCCGCGTGAAAGACCAGGGCGGACGACGAGGTTGCCTGGGGCGGCCATAACGTTGTTCGATGCCGCGAGACGGCCGACGGGCTTCTGTTGCTTGGACATATTTGGTCTGAAAAGACGTTATCCACTATGAGGATGCTTGAAAGAGTGTTGATATGTGGTCGAAGCTGAGATGGGATACGGAATTGGAGTTGAAGAATGACGAACGGGTGACAGAGAAGATGTACGTGTGTTTTGTATTGATGAACGAGCTTACTGGGGAGAGGCATGTACAACCCGACCAACGTTCAAGTGCAGTCAGGTGCTGGAAGGCGCTTTGAGCCTGCCGTTGCGGCTCGAAACAAGACATGGAAGGAGCGCCCATGCGGACCCGGTTGAGAACGTGCAACTTACAGCTGGATCAGCAAGCCGGAAACACAACGCCTGCACAGACAACACGAGCGAACCCGCAGCGGATGTAGAAGTTTATGGATTGAGTGAGCTTCGAAGTCGACTGAGCCTAATTGCTAATGGGAGAGCAGCTGTAGCAATGGGTGAACGATAAATGCAGATCCCAGGGAGGAAGCAGTGCAACCAGAAGCAGGGTTCTCCCCTCCTCTCCGTCTGCACGGAGCTTTGCCAACCTGCCATGGATCTGACAGAAATGGTTTACTATACATGCCGGCGCCTCTAATATTCTTCGAATTGATGTGCGGAGTATTTACCTCGAGACCGTCTTGATGAGACTTCTCCGAGCTCAAGTTTGACCATGACAAGCCGCAAGGCGTCCGGGTGGAGGGGATCGAGCCGTTGACTCGTTCTGTATGCCTCTAACTAATATTGTTCAGTTCAGTGCACTTGAGACAGCTAAAACTCTCGAAAGCCCACGGAAGCACCTCGAGAAAGGCGGTAGAGCAGCCCCTCTAGTGGGCTTGTTGAGAATAGCTGGTCATAAGGGCGATGAAGCCAGTTGAGCCATGGCACTGTTAAGGATATTTAAGGGGTCCATGGGTCGCCGTTCTTATGAAGGTAGCGGGATGCGAGGATTGTAGAAAAAATGCGTATTGAGCTACGCATAGGCGAGCGCCCAGATGCCCTATACAACGATGAAGTTCCCGGTGTCTAGATGAGATGCTTTGACCTGCAAACGTTGTCAGTCCAAGGCCCACATAGGACAAATGAGTCGAACGGGACGAAACTGCACACATACCTGAAATACGCCCTCAAGTATACAACCTGCCATGCGCCCAACCCAACCAGCATGCCCATCGTACCAAACGCGAACCACTTCACCCGCTCATTCGTGCTCTCATTGGTATCCCGCAGCTTCTGTTCTCGCCCCCGGAGGTAGTCCATCTCGTTGACGATCTCGCCAACCAGCTCCTCTATGCGCCGCAGCTCCGTCTCAGCGGGCTTCAGCTTCTCGCCGGCCTGAATCGCGGACCAATCTTTTGCGTCCGCGCCGATGTCGATGTCGAGCTCGATGTGTCGAGTGGGATTCATTACATCTCGGGCTGTTGTAGGCTTCCGTTAGTGACAGATCGGGCTTGGGTAGGGAGTTGCAGGAAGCGTACTCGCTGTAAGGATATTCTCGAAGCACACGTCGAATGCGGAGTCAGCGTGTGAGGTGAAAGCATATCTGCCCTCTCCTGCGACGTCCTTGGGCCGGTGGTAATCGTTGCCCATGGCATCCCGTATCTGTTGTAGTACGTCTCGTTAGCCTACTGTGTCCCTCCTTGTATCTGCATATTTGCCCTGCTGGTCCTTTGGACAACCCACGTGTATGTTCAATGTCTGTCCATCTCCCCTATGGCCATTGGTAATGACTGTGACCACTACGAGCTGGTCTTTTGCAACAAAGTTCCGTATACATCGCTCGTACTTTGCAGATTCGTGTCCTGGATGCGCTTGTATGTCGAATTTCAGAGCGGAGGCAAATGGGAGAGAGATCAGGAACAGCAGATAGCTGAACCACCTGAACATTCTCTCCATGTCGAGGTCGACTAAAAAAAGGCGTTGTGCAGTAGAGTTGCTCACACGTTGCCAGTCTGCTGTTGGACCCTTTCGAGTTTAGGGGAGGCTCAAGGGAGCGGAGCCGGTGAATCCCAAAACTCCGACAATGAAGCTGTCGTCGGCCACAATTATCAAAGCTCCTGAACGTACAACAGAGCTGGAATTTCGTTGTAACCTTACCTTCCTCGACGTTGTGCTAGGAAAACCGACGTCAGACATCGTGTTCTTGGGCCGCAGCGGAGGCCTCGAGCGAGGTATCACAGACCACCTATGCTTACAATCTAGACTGAAGCAGGCGCAGCCTTGATAGATTCCATCTGCTGCAATGAAGATTTGTTTATGCTATGTACAATATAAGGCTATTCCATACACCTGCAACCGCCTGAGATGTAAAGAGCTCAGGTATCAAAATTCTTGACCTCAGGCATGAAACCAAGTCCACCACCCCCAGTACCCGTCACGCTTTGGTTCAGCGCCTGCCCCTCCACCTTCGCCGACGCCTCATGCACGCCACCTGCACTACGGTCCTTGACATGTTTCCTCAGCATCGACAAGATCTCCGAGTTCTTCCACCTTTGTGGGACGGGCCTGTACGCAGGCTTGAACGTGCCGACAGTCTGCGCCCACTCCCCAGATCTAGGCTGACCCTGCCGCCACTCATCCGTATCGGCAGGAGCCTTGCCCTGAGCAGTAGGCGTGGCCATATCGGGTGAGCCGCCTTCCGCATATTCGGTCGAGGTCGGCGTCGGTTGTTGCGTAGCCCAGTAGTAGATGTCCCAATCGTTTTCGTCGAGGAAGAGATCGTATTGCTGCAGTTGCTGAGGAGTCATGCGGCCGAGGTTGGCGTCGGCGAAGGTGGAGAGAAGGAGGTCACTTTCTAGCGTTCCTCTTTTACGGCTTTGGTCTGTGAAACCACACATGTGTCAGCGGCTTAGCCAAAGCGTTTGCAGCGAGTTATAGTAGCAACGGACATAATAGCCTCGCGCGGGTGGTGTTTGCGTCCTCGCCTGTCCTCCGCAGTGGCTCTACCTTGAATTTGGCGCCTTCCATCTCGCCAACTCCGAGCTCAGCATTGGCACCCTTTTCAGGCTTGCCCTTCTGTGTGCCGCCAGTCATACGCTCAGTGTTCTCGGGTACCGCATCCGTTGGTACGAATTCAGGGTCCACCTTGCTGAGCAGCTCTGGCGGAGCTTTATCCTTGCCCGCAGCTGGCATCTCGTTCGCAATCGCTGAAGTGGTATTGGTCATGTGAGGGTTGAGCGGCTTCTCCATCTGGTGTCTCCGATATTCCTCAGCCGTATCCTGGTGTCGGTTGTTGACATTGTTGGTATTGAATCGAGCTGTCGACGTGCTGAACGGCCTGCCGAAGGTGACGGCCGCTCGTGCACTGCGTAGGATGAGGCGGCTGGAAGACATTGTATTCGGCGAGTACGGTACGGGGCCAATTAGTGTGGATAGTCTTCGGCTGCAGTTAAATTGAAAGTCGAAGTTGCATTGAACTCGGGTGAGAGAAGCAGTTGATGTCATGATCCCGGCTTCGGTCCTTGCACGTGACAGGATCGTCTCTTTTTTCTAACAATACCAGATTCATCCACCTCGTTCTGACTTGGTTTACCAAAAGTGGTCAGCATGGATCCAGAACGCTGGTCTGATCCTGTAAAGATACAGGACAAACTTAGCCGAAGGATGGTGAGGCATTCGGTACAATGGCCGGCACGATGGTACGTTCAACGCTTCGTGTTGCTTGTTTGATAAATCGAGTCATCCAGGCAGTAACAGTAAGCATTCTCACTCTAGCCGTTAATTTCTTTCCCTTATTGTTCCAGCCTCTCGTCTTTCCACTGCCGTCTCAGTCTCGTAGTCAGTGGCGAGATGCTGTACATGTTTGTTAGCTCGCATTCCTGCCAGCCTCACGCCGCCTCACGCCGTTTGCGGAATGTCAAGCCTCCCGACATTCTGGTGAAAGGCGGGCATATCAGCCACCTGCAAAATTCTCCAACAGATTGCTGGAAAATCCTTCTGCTGGCGACTACTTCCGCTACGCGTTTGATAACAGGTTCGGCTCATCGTGTACCTGTTCTGCTTTGGCCAAGAGTTTATACACTACAGCACTGGTTTGGTGACTGTTCTGTTAGACGTGTGCTGTACAGTCTGCGTTCCTCAGCCTCAGCCTTGTAGCGGTGACAACATTCCTGAGCATTTCGGTGGTTGGCATATTCCGAGGTGGCTGCACAGAGAATGTGACTCTGCTACGAGATGCCATCCCCAGCCTCTTGATAAGAAGTGTGGAATGTGGGGAGCGTTTGTAACGTCGTCAAACTTACCAAGCGCCCGAAGTCACGGGGGTTTGTCTGATCGTACGTTCCAATGCAGCTACCTGTTCTTAGTAGCGCGATGAAGAGGAATGCTCCCACAAAACCCCGAGGCTGGTTGGTTGTCATCATGCACGTTGTATATCCTCTTCGAGATGTTTGTTTCCTGTTTGATTTCCGCGTCATCATACCTGCGTTACCACCCACCTGCACTGTCGATCCACACGTTACCTGCAAGGCACAATCCTATACGCGCTCCAATCATACGCACTATCAGCGCGAAGTATACCCCACACCAATCCCGCCATCCTGATCATTCTGGGAAGCTCTTGCCGCGGCGTGGCTTCAGTTCCACTGCAGCTCAGCACCCTACACCTAATCACGTGTCCTCCTATTCCTTCCTCACCACGATGGCCATGCTACAGCAGCACATTGGTTTCCCAATGCGGCCAGCGGATAAAGAGGTTGACTGGTCAGATACCTACGACGATCTCTTTGGCCAATATGTGGAGACCGACCTTCTAGAGCTCAGCGACAATACCTTCGAGCCAAGCAGTTCGGACGATCTCCCCGACACTTTCTTTGACGTCTCAGGGTCATCCAATGGCAGCGATCCGGTGGACGTATCGCCCATGCCAACTTGTGACGGGAGGCGCACCGAGTCACGGGAATCTTGGCAGAAGACCCTGCGGTATCTCGAGCAAAACCCAGCCTTGTCCCCACAAGGCAACCAGGCGTCCATTTATCCCGAGTCTTGTGGTAGGGCTGCGGCTTCAGATACGGAGCTTTTCAGCCTTCTCAGCTTGGAGCCGAAGACCCCTCAAATAGAGACTGCCGCGTCCTTTTTCTCAACACCAGGCTCGCCGTCACCTTTGGCGTACCGGAACAGGAAGTTGACGAATACTCCCGTGCAGGACGAGTCAGTCATTCGGAAAGTCTCGCACGGCATCAAAAAGCAGACCCGCAAAAGCAGCAGATCGCCCCGGATGATGCGATCGTCGTTCTACCGGACTGGCTTGCAGGATCTCTGGAACAGGCGAACGGAGACTGGGGCAGACAGGTTCAACATCCAAATTCCAGCAACTCAGTTGCCAGCCTCGCCGCCGCCTTCAGCAAAGTTCAACCAGAATGGTTTCGAGATTACGGGCGAACACTCCGCTGGATTCAAGCACGAAGTCTCATCACCGCGAACAAACCACTTCGACTTCAATGCGCAAATGCGGCTGACGCCTCTGTCATCTCCAGTACTTGGTTGTTCCAACGGCGGCAGGTCCTCCTTCTACCAACCCGCAGAAATCGCAACCGCAGCCCTAGCAGCAACATTCACCACCGACCCCCTGCACGCCCTACAGACACCACCGACGACCGCGCCCCTCCAAACCGCTCCATGGGGTCCCGAATCGAGCATCCTGCTCGATCTCTCCTTCTCCGTCTCACCGGACTTCAGCGCGCACAGATCGGCAGCCTTAGACTGGCCGCCCACTAGCGCGCCTCAGCCTTGCGGCCCGCCCCCAACCTACCACAGCAGCGGGCCTAATCTCCTAGGGCTCAGCGCCGTCCCCGGCGACCTCAGCACAGCCGGTCTCATGATCTCGTGCGAGCCGTCCGCGCTCGGCGGGCTGGACATGGAGCTGGATGCCTCGGGGTTCGCGGCCGAGCAGGCGGGCTTGATGGCCATGCAAGGCTACACGACTACGCCCGCGAGGCAGACGCAGAGGCAGAGGGAGAGGCAGAGGCAGCTTGCTTCGCCGTCGCGGAGCCCGTCTTCCTCCCCGCCGCCCATCACGCCGTCCCGCCACCGCAGGACCTCTTCTGTAGCCAAAACCCCGCGCTCACACCACCGCCGCAGCAAGAGCAGCCACCACGGCAGCCACCACGGCGCCAACCCCAGTGGCGGCGGGCATTCCCGCACGTCCTCGGCGCCCGTCGGCTTCGTCAACTTCACGGCCGACGACAGCAGGAAGATCTTGACGGGCGTCGCGCCGAGCGGGAGCTCCAAGACGAAGGCGAGAAGGGAGAAGGAGGCCGCTGATAAGAGGCGGAAGTTGAGCTTGGCGGCTACGAGGGCGGTTCTTGAGGCGGGAGGTGATTTGGGAAGGTTGAAGCAGGAGGGGCTGTTCTTTTTGAACGGGGAGGCGTGAGCTGGGGAATGGGGGGATGAGAGGGAGGGCGGACGCGGGGGAAAGGAGTTCTTTGTAGTGAGTTTTGGAGGATATACCTGTCGCTTGTTTGGGGGGGTAGAATTTTGGGATTGTTCTTATTTTGAGCGGAAAAGCTTAGTGCTCGTTATCTCGAGGAATAATTCATTTCAACGACCAAACGCTTATATGTAGTGATACGTGACTTATGCCCCACCCTCAATTCACACTTTAACACTGTCACAAGTCATGCAACGTCATTGAGTTAGCTACCTACGCTACCCAGATACTTCAGCTGATGAGCACACCTAAAGGAAACCATTAAACCAGAAGCACGAGGTCCTTAGTGTAAGGTATCCGGTCAGCGGCGCCGGTAAGACGCCGGTCGAAAGGAGTGTGAGCCCAGTGTATCCAAAATCAAGCGCCGCGCACCCTACCCTCCCCCCTCGCTTGAAAGCCCTCCCAAGGAAATTAAAGAAAGTTGGAGGAGAAGCAAAGGAAAGAAGAAAGGAGGGAGATCAAGTAAAGTTACTGAAATCGCCTTCTGTCAATCCATCTTTCCGTCCGCCACCACTGCCTCGTACAATCTAACCCGCAAGATTCTCGCTACTTCATTCCCCTAGTCTACACCCTCCACTGCCTCACCACCATCCCTCATGCTCACCCCTACTTCAGCTCCTCATCACTAGCATCCAAGACGTCATACTCCTCGTCCGTAACAAACCCGCCCTCCTCATCACTCGTCGCATCCTCCATCTCAACCGTCTCAGCATCCTCGAAGAACTCTAGTTCCTCCGACGCAGCAGACGGCGACATCGGATTCGCGGACTCAGATCCCGTCTCTGTGCGGGGGGCCGAAGGCGCCGTGACGGCCTCGTGCGTGCTCGAGACGGGGGACTCCTTGGGCAGCTGCGGGAAGACCATTTGGCTGGTTTCTGGCTCCGGCTCGGGCTCGGGATTGGTGGCTTCGGTGGGCTCTGTCTTGATGGTCTCGGTAGGTTCTTGCTCCTTGACCTTCTCGAGCTCCGCGGTAGCGGGGGCTTGGGTCTCAGTCTTGGGCTCGGTCTTTACGGTGGGCTCGGGAGCCTTGGCAACGCTGTCAACGATACTCTTCTTCAACGCTTCCGCCTTGCCGAAGAACTGCTCAATCTGGTCAAGAGCGCGCTGCTCTGCCCGCTTCTTGAGGAGGAGCTTCTTGTTCTCCTGCTCCAGCAGCATGAGCTGCATCTGGTAGTCCTGGAGGATCTTGTTGCCACGTCCAATTCTAGATTCGGTGGGAGGAGAGAGCGGAGCCGGGAACTGGGGTGGATGGGTTCCGCCCATAAACATGGCTGGGGGTGCCGGAACCGGCGCGAGAGGCAGCTGATTGACGACGTTGATATCGCACCACAGCCTATGCCCGAACGGTGTGCCGTCGGCCGCCTTGAGGCGCCAGTACGAGATGGCGCGCCCCTCGCGCGTAGGCGCCTTCATAATGACGCGGAAGGTCACCTCCTCGCCGACCTGGACTTCGCGACCGATGACGTTGCTCTCGGTTGCCTCGGCCATGTCGGTCGCGCTTGACGGGTGGTCGCGATCGACGTTGAGCATGTTATCTCCGCCGGTGTAGCGGACGCTGCACCCGGCAGGCCAGGCGTGTGGGCCCGGGTTGCGGAGTGTCCAGCCTTGGATGAAACGCTGAGACGGCACCATGCGGGAGAGGTCGGGAACGGTGTCGCGGATAAAGTGGGCGTTCAGCTCGGCAGCTGGTACGGACTTTGGCACTCCGGGCTTGGTAGCGGTGACCGGTACCTCGGCCTTGGCCATTTCAGGAACGGGAGTGGTCAGGAGGTCCTCGACCTTGATCTTCTCAGTAATGGGTTCGGTGAGGAGGCTCTTGATCTCAATCTTCTCGTTTGCCAGCTTAGCAGTAGGCTCTTCGCTGGGCTTGAGGTCGACAATGGTCTGGACCTCAGTAGCTGCATTGGCGGGAGGTGCGACGGGCACAGTCTCTGTAGCCATGGAGCGGCGTGTCTGGTGGTCGCCCATCGTTGCGAGAGGAATGCCATGCTTGTCCTCACCCATGGTGGTGACGCTGACATTCCGGACTGGTGTCTTGAACTTGATCAGGGGATGCGTGCGGTTGTGCCGGTTGCTCGGAAGGGCTTCGCAATTGGCGCAGAAATCTGTGTCGTGGCACACGGCACACTTGTAGCGGACGCCTTCGATGTACGACTGGGTATCTTTGCCCTTGCAGAGAGGACCGTCACAGTAGATACCGTAGTGCCTAACGTAGTTCGCGCGAGGCTCGGGCAGCGGTTCATAGATCGGCACAAAGCGATGGCCAGGATGAATGTATTTCGAGTTCTTGGTGCAAGCTCCGCAGAAATCGAAGTCGGGGCAGACGAGGCACTTGTGACGCACTCCGTAGATAGTCTGGCTCCAGTCAGCTTCCGCATGTGAGTAGTGGGAGTGCGAAACATACCTTGTCGCACCCATCGCAGATAGCGGAGTGACGGACATTGCGGCCTGGAGCACAGAGGAACTCGGCCAGAGGTCCGATCGATGTCTGGGCAGTAGCAGGCCTGAAAGCATGTGCGGGATGATGGCCATGCTTTGTGCCAACATGGCAGTGCATGCATAGGTCGTAATCGTCGCAGGAAGTGCAGGTGACGAACTCAATCTCAGGGAGAACTGCACATATCTGGCTTGAGCTAATATTCTGACATCTCACGGATTGGAGCGGCTTACCCTTTACGCAGCAGTTGCAGGTCCTCGAAGGCACTTCTGGCTCTTCGACTTCCACCTTCTTCTCCTCGGTAAACGCGCCTGGCATCTCGTTCTCGGTCGGAGACTTATTCTTAGGACCCACCATTTCGGTGGTGCTATTGACAACCTTTCCGCTTTGCACGAAGCGCTTGATGAGCCAATGGCCTTGACCGGGACAGTGCACGCCAGAGTCTACACAAGAACCACAGAGATCGTAGTCGCCGTCGTCGCAAATGCTGCAGTGGTAATGTTCGTTTGCCATGGGCTTGTCGCACTCGTTGCAGTACACAGACCACGAAGTGGGCGCGGGTGCTTCTTTCATGCGGAGAGCCATTTCACGCTGGCGAGAGATGTTTGCCAGTTCGGCGAAGAAGTCTGCATTGGTCAGTACACCGTCCACTGATTGCCTTGCTTAGGATCAACGTACTCTCGCGAGCCGCGAAGGATCGCGGAACTGGCGCTTCATCACCCGCATCCACAAGGTTGACAGCTGTCTTGGAGCTGCTAGCAGACGGTCTGGCCGCCTCCGGAGTCGGACCAGTAACTGGAATAGTCCGGGCGTAGGGCGCCCTGGGCGGACGCATGGATGCGTAAGCATCCAACAGGCCAGTGGGCGCAGGCAGTGGCAGTGGTGGCATGTTGAAGCAGTACGGCCGGGAGCTGGATGCGATGAACGGTGCAAGCGGAGCGCCTGCTGTCTGCTTTGGAGCTTGAGTGGCTTGTTCGATGCTCTCGGATGGAAGCGTTGCCCTCAAACGCAGCTTGAGCTTCGCCTTGGCGGCTCGGAACAGGGTCTTGTAGACGTGGGGGTTCTCGGTGTCGAGAGTGATGTAGGCGCCGGCGCTGTCGGAGAAGCGCTCGAAGACGACCTCTTGGTTTGGTGGGATAGCTAACAGGGACCGAAGCTGTGGAGAAAGTCGACGGTGTCAGTCGTGGTTGCGGGTTCGTTTGAGCTTCGGCGTGTCGGAGCTCCCAGCCTCACGGACCAGGCGTGCGAGGCTGTCGCTGAACAGTGAGACGTACCTTGCTGGGAAGCACGTTCGCTTCTAGATCCCTCAGGGGGATTTTGAACTTGCGGTTGCTACCCTGGATGGAGATCTTGACGGTGATGAGGGTGTCGGCGGTGATGGGAAGGTTGGTGGCCATGTCGAAGGCGGTCGTAAGCTTGGTTCAGGCTGGGGCGCCTCGAGCGGTGACGTAGCGAGCAGGTACGATCCTCCTGCGGCTGCTTGAAGCTGTGCCGGTTGGAGAGCTTCGGTTTGTGGTCAGAGAGAAGGCCGGCAGCTGTGGTAGAAGTCGGCGTGCCCAGGTGGTGTGTTTAAAGGATGAGGCGGGGAGTGGAAGCTCAACGGGGCGGAGGGAGAATGCAGTCGGCTCGGCCTGGAGGGTCGATGAGAGCGCCCCGCGCTAGGAGGCTTGGTCACGTCTGCTGCCTAGCGCTCCATTCACTGCACGCCCATTGCTTCACCGAGCTGAGCATGCAGCCGTGCGAACAGCTGGAAGCTTCATCATCAAAGCAGAAGGCAAGCCCGGGAAAGAGGCAAAGATGCGCTTACCGCCATGGTCCGCGTCACTCTGGCCGGTTCGCTTTGAAGTTGCCCAGGCCGTGTCACGTGCCGGCTGTCTTCGTCAACGACCGAGTTCTTTCAGATTGTGGCTACAAGCAGCTGTGTCAGGAAGCAAGGTGTTAGATTTCTAGTGCCACTTGGTGTACTGCTTGATGTCGAGGGGCGGCGTTGAACCCGATATTTGATGAGCAATGTATCCTTCGTCTTATCCTTCGAGCAGCTATAAACCCCAGCATTGTAAAAGTACAGAACAGCAAATGGTTACGCCAGCCATGCCATGCAATGCAACTGTCCAGCTCCATACGAGACCCACCCCTGAGCCCTAAGATGCCAATGTAACCCCGATCCAAGCCACGCTACGGGTGTGAGAGTGAGACGGGAAATGTTGAAGTCAAGATAATACAGCCGCGCATCAGAATCGCACAAACGTGGTTCTTGAAAGCAAAAGCTGGCGCGGAGCATGAACGGCCTCTTCGCCACAGCACCTACTCGTGCAAAAACGTGCACTTCGCCCCCTTGATACACTTCCCCTCCTTCCAGAACCTGCACGGCACGACAAACTTCGGCGGTTCGTAGCCCCCCTTCTTCTTGTCGCCCCACTTCGGACGCTTGTTGTTGGCCCCGTCGCTATCGCCGTACCCGCCCTCCATCATGCGCTTGCGCTCCGGGTGTTCAAACGCACCCTGATCGACCTGTTGCTGCTGGTTCTGGAATGTGAAGCCGTGCGTTGGTGGCTGAAAGCTGGGCTGGGCTGCGCCGGCTTGGCTGAGGGATGCGATGAGGGCGCTGATGTCCGGTGTGGACATGACGGGCTGCTGGAACGGTTGAGGCGGCTGTTGCTGGTACTGCTGCACTTGTGCTGCCTGAGGGTTGATGGCGGCGAGTAGTGAACTCAGGTCAGGCGCTTGAGCTGGCTGCGGTTGCGGTGGGACAACCGGCATTGGTGCTGGCGCTGCCACTGGCGCTTGCGGGACAGATGAGAAACCAGGATTGTTGAGTGTGGCGAGGAGTCGCTCGAGATCGGTCGGTTGAGGTTGTGGTGGAGGAGGGTTTGGCTGCTGTGGCTGCGGCTGCGGCTGCTGCTGACGCAACATGCTGAGGACCGCTGATATGTCGGTTGTGGAGGGAGGTGCTTGTACCCGAGGTTCGGACTTTGGTAGCTCGAAAGCAGCAGCTCGCCTTAGCACGAAGTCTGGAGGACTACCGAACTCGGCCGTGGTGCCGGTGTCCATGCTAGAGTCGTCGGGTGGTTCTCTCGGAGACGGTGGGATATCGGATGGATGAGTGTAGAACACCATGAGCGTACTTGCTTCGTGTTTCTCCTGATTTTCTTTATCGGGGCACTCAGGATCCTTGAAGCCTCCGCCGTACGGCTTAAAGTTTCGTTTCCGTTCTTCAATGTCAACAACGCTGAAGTCGATTGCGGATGGCTCCTTCCAAGGGTAGAAACTCTCCTCTCGTGGTGAATCATCATCTTCATCAATGTCCATCATGTCCTTATGTTGCTTGAACATACGGCCTTCGCCTCCTCTATCCCCTACGTCTCGTATCATACTCTCATCGTGACCGAGCTCTTCCTCAGGATCGTGCGTGAAGTATTTGATAGCTACAAGAGACGCATCGGGCTTGAAAGTGACGCGGAGCTGACTACGTGCCTCCTTCCTCAGCCGTTTTGCTTTCTCTTCAGCAGTCTCTGGGGCCCGTTTCTCTTCAGACTTGGCGGAAACCTCCGGCTCCTTGGGCTTCGTTAGGTTGGCCATAGTTTCGGCAAAGGAGAAAGCAGGCTTTGCAGGCGCTGCGGCTGCGCTTGATGCAGCAGGCTTCCTGTCTTTCGAAGCCATAATAGGTGCCACTTTTGGTAAACCGGTAACCGTAGCCCCTGCTTTTGAGGCTCCTGGCTTCTTAGACGCGGACTGCAAGCCCGCGTAAGAAGTTGGAGGCTTCGCGACTGTAGCGGCTTTGGGCTTCGGTGCACCGCCAACCACTAAAGGCGTCGATTTTCCGGCAGTAGCCGTTATAGCTGAGGGGCGTTTTAAAGTGGAAGATGCAGCTTTGATAGCATTGGATCCTGTAGTCCCTAGAGCTGGAGACCCGGACGCAACCCGCTTCGGTGCCTGTCCGGGGGCACCAGCTTCGCCAGCCCGACGCTTGATTCCCGCCACTGGCTCGGGCGCAGGGCGGCGTACAGGCTCGATCTTAGGCTTGACATCTTTGCCCGAAACAGGTGGAGGCTTCTCTACTCCTTCGGATTTCGACTTCGTGACGGCGGTGACGTTTTCCAGGATCTTCTTAACCAGGGCTTTCACGTGGTCATCTCCACGCTTGGTGTAGATGTTCAGAGGCTTCTCGAGCTTTGTCGCATCTACGGCTTCGCTCGTCATAGTCACGCAGCGAGATAACAACTGGACAGCAACGGTCAGTACTTCTGATGTGGTGAGGGGTAAGGAGTATACAAACCTCGAGTGCGGCTCTTGACAGTTCTCCATTGTAGTCTGCTTCCCGGATACGGTCGACCATGAACTGTTGGCAAACGAAAACAAGGGACCTATTTTCACCGAATCTGCATTGAGTCAGTATACGCATTCAATTAATTATACTGTTTCAGAAACGCCACGTTGTGCATGGAAAGCAACATTTGCTGCAGCTCGGGGCGCCTGTGTCGCCGCAGCGAGAGCGCTGGAATCTTTCACACGGTGTATTTTATGCATTCTGGATGTTTGGCTATTATTCTGGGAGGTTCTCCTCTCTTGGAGCTGCGGGTCTTCTACGCTGAGCCTCGTGTGATGGTGCCCAGCATCCATCCAGAAAGCACTTGAGTTTCCCGCGGCTTGCATATCAATGCGCCTTCTAGCCAGCTTTCTACCGAAAGAACAGCCTTCAGGCACCCATGTCGCGCAATGTGGCAGCTTCGACCAGATGTATAATAATCTAGGTGTTGGAGATGTGGGAAGGAGGTGCGCGGGAACAGTGAATAACAGAGGAAAGTTAGTAAGAACGTACAGTCGGATGATGTCCGGATGACCATGCTCAATGGCAGTCTTCAGAGCCATTTGAATCATGTCTCGCTGAGCCTTAACCCTACTCTTCAGTCGAGGGACTTCGCTCTCTTTCTTGCCTTCTTCGGCCTGCTTCAGGTCTGCAGTATCAGACTTCCAGCGGTCACGGATCGTTCGCACTACTTCCCAGAAGTCTTTAAGAGCATTCCGAATTTGCTCAGCTTCAGCGGCCTTTTTATGGGGTAGCCAGAGAGCCTTGATGACATCATATCGTACGGCTTGCAACGGCTCTTGCGGCCGCGAAGCTGGCAAAGGCGATGGCTCGGTGATCTCGAGCTCATCATCTGATGATTCGTATTCCGAGTCGTCGTCGGATGAGGAGGTCTCGCTGGATGACTCTGGCGACTCTTCCTTGATAGCTGTTGGAGATCGGGCGTTCGCTGCAGTCTTTGGTCGTGCTGCTTTTGGTGCAGAGATCTTAGACTTTTTCGGGGGTTTCTTCGAAAGCCGTGCTATCACTTATCAGCTTGGTCATAGATGAGGTACACATTCTGCTTTGCGTACCTAAGAGATTCTCGTTGCCAGATGCAACTCGCTTAAGTTCATTGCGAGACTTGCGTGGAACGTATTGAGGCAGAGTTGCTTGAGCAAAGTCAGTGACTTCTGCCTGATAAGGAGCTACATATGTGCTCTTACTCTTCGTGATTGGGTACTCTTGAGCAATGTCACCAATGTTAAGGAACTCATGGAAGCGTCTAGATCTAGTTTCCTGAACCAATGCTTCATAAGGCGTAACGAGAAAAGCGCCAGATGCGATTCCCTTCGGTGCAGCCAAGTACTCTGTCCGACCATACGAGCCCGACACTCCTCCGGCCAAAGATTGAGATCGACTGTGAGATTGACCATTGACGTTCATTGCCAAGTCCTGCAAGAGCGGTACGTTAGCTACATCCCTATTCACGATCCAATACAAGCCGAGCATACCTGATAAGTTGACGTTGAGCCGTTTCCATGATGGCCGATCACATCGTGGTCGCTTCGGAGAGCCTCGGGGGCAATGGTTCCCGAGTGACTGGCAGTGCCTGAAAAAGCGGGCAAGCCCATATCAAAGTTGGGAGTACCCGTGGTGGATGTTGATACAAGTGAGGGATCAAGGGCGGACGGGTGATATTGTTGCAGACCGCCATTGTTGCTGAATCGAGGATCGTGGTACGGCGTCGGGCTGTCTGTGAAGGAGCGGCCGTAGAAGTGGTGGTTATGGTTGAAAGGGGCGTTGTGCGCTGACGCTGGGCGTTGTACGGCATTGGTCTGCCAGCCTTGGGGGAGAGCAGGAGGCTGGTTCTGCGCAATTCCCAGATGATGGGCCTCTAAATTCCACGCAGAATCATAGCTAGGCTCAGCGGGATGCGGAAACAGATTGTAACCGTTGAGATCACTGTCCCCGAACATGTTATGCTGTCCGCTCTGAAGGGATTCATCGAGCTGCACGTGATTTGAAGATGCCATCTTTTCGTGGAGTTCTGAAAGACGGAACGGCTCGCTTAAACTTCGGATAGCAACGTGATTGGCCGGCCGCTGCAGCCCCTTGCCACAAGAACCACCGCTCACCAAAGAAAGGCGCTGGGCAGTTTGGCCGATGAAAGGCGCACGCTAGCTGGAGCCGGCGATGGCGCCCTGTATGGAATCTGAAAGTGGTCGAATTTGCGGTCTTTTCCTGCGAGGGACCGGCGGTAAAGCTCGGCTTGTTTTGTGCTAGCGTATGGGTGTCTCTGTCTGCGTGCCAGCCCAGGCGGTGCGCCTTGTCCTGGCGAGAAGAGCGACGAGGGAGAGGGAGAGGGTTCGGTCTCTGGATGCTGCGGGTTATGGATGGGTCCTTGTCCTCTCCAACTCGTGGCGGTCACCAGGAGCCCCGAGAAGACTGGCTTCGCAAGAGTGTACTTTGCTCGCACACTTAGATATGGTGCTGATGCCGATGGCACTTCTGAGGCAAGGTCTCACTGCCGTTCAGCGTGCGATTTACTTTGTCACCCCGACCGACCGCGCAAAATTCTCCGTCGCTCTGCTCAGCACCCAGATGCCAGTCCCAAGAGAAAGCCAGTTATCTGACAAGCATGAGTTGACCAGGTTGAATGGTCGAGAAAGTCACCACGATTACTGCAAGAGAGCGCGAAGAGTTTGGGGCAGCGTCATGAAGGAGGGTTGGTTGTTTGAGGAGGATGAGTGCGACGAGGAGCGAGGTCATGCAATGCGCCCGGAGGCGGCACGTGCCCACCGCGCTAAGCCGCACACGTCGGTGAAGCTCTGGAAAGCACAACACAACCAAAGAGACATTCACCGCAGACTTGAGGCAGCAGAGCATCGTTGGAATACCTGAAGAGACACGTCCCGCGAGCTTTCCTGAGGATCTACTAGGCGACATCCTGCCGACCGTCCACTTCACCAATAGATCCCCCCCACATGAGGTGATCTTGCGCCTGGCTGCGATCTATCCAGCCCACCAAACTTCACCATGGCCACACCTCACCCAACACTGAGGGACAGGCAAGTCGGTAGGCTTCACCGAAGTTTGCCAGCTAGTCTTGACTGACTCTGTGTGCAGCGTCCATCGAGAAAATCCTGAACCTCAATCAGGCTCCCGCCCAGAGCTCCGACATACACCATGATCCCAACGCTGACGGCCTTATCCCGACATCCGCGCCCATACTGAACTCCGGCGAGCCAATATGGAAGGTGTTGGTATTTGACAATCTGGGAAGAGACGTGATAAGCAGCGTGCTACGCGTAAAGGACCTGAGGGGGTGGGGCGTTACAATCCACCTGTAGGTCAACCTGCAGATGCGCCCAGCGCTCGCTCAGAGAACCTGCTATAGCTCGTAAAGCACACCGGCTCACTAAGTTGCTAGGAGCATAAATAGCACGCGGCAGCCCTTGCCCGACGTCCCGGTCGTATATCTGGTGGAGCCTACAGCCGCAAACCTGCAGATCATCACCTCTGATCTTGCCCGAAATCTATACTCTCCCGCTTACATCAATTTCCTGTCCTCAATACCGCGGCCTTTGCTCGAGGATTTCGCAGCTCAGACAGCTGCAAGTGAGACTGCAGAGCACATCGAAAGAATCTACGATCAGTATCTGAACTTCATCGTAACCGAGCCTGACCTGTTTAGCTTGGGAATGGGAAAGGACACCTTCTGGACACTGAACAGCGCGCAAGCCAAGGATGAGGATCTTGACGCTATCATTGACCGGATAGTGAGCGGTCTGTTCAGCGTGGCGGTCACCATGGGTAATATCCTTCAACTCTGAGTGTTCGTGGCCTTAGACTGACCAATTAATTACAGGATCTATACCCATCATCCGCTGTCCGAAAGGTGATTCTCTCCTCTGCAAGCGGATTACACCCTGATCATCTGCTGACCAGTCGTCAAGGCGGTGCTGCGGAGATGATTGCGGCGAAACTTGACAGAAAACTCCGCGATCACGTACTGAACTCCAAGGACAACAACCTGTTCTCAGGGGGCAGTCAGAAGTCTCCGACAGCAATCGGCATTTCTTCGTCGTCAAGGCCGGTTCTTGTCATTGTTGACCGAACTGTTGATCTCGTGCCAATGCTTTCGCACTCGTGGACTTACCAGTCGCTGGTTCATGATGTGTTGAAGATGCACCTAAACCGAATCACGGTGGAAATGCCTGCTGATGAAAGCAACCCTGGCAAGGGCGTGATAAAGCGGTCTTATGATCTTAATGCAAGCGACTTCTTCTGGACTCGCAATGCGGGAGTACCCTTTCCACAGGTCGCCGAGGACATAGATGCCGAGTTGACCCGGTATAAGGAAGACGCCAATGCGATCACAAGGAAGACGGGTGTCTCTTCCCTTGAAGACCTACAGAACGATACACCGGCATCAGCGCAGCATCTGAAGGCCACCGTAACACTACTCCCTGAGCTACAAGAGCGGAAAGGCATACTCGATATGCACATGAACATTGCCACCGCCCTGCTCAAAGGCATCAAAGACAGACAGTTGGATAATTACTACCAGATCGAAGAGAACATCACGAAGCAGACTAAAGCCCAGATGCTGGAACTGATCAATGACAAGGATAAGGGAACGGAGCCACTGGACAAACTCAGACTGTTCATCATCTGGTAACGACGCTCATGCCAGGACTACAGCAGATGTGAGCTAACCTTTCCAAAGGTACCTCAGCACAGATCAGGAAGTACCCAGAACAGAGATGGACCGCTTCGAGGAAGCCCTGCGTGAGGCTGGTGCAAACACAGAATCATTGGCTTATGTGAAGACGTAAGACTTCATTCCCAAAGCTCAAGAGCTTCCACTAACGCCAAGCAGCGTGCGCCAGATTACTCGTATGACTATGATGTCGTCCGCTCCCACCCAGGCCACACAGTCTTCCGCAGGCAATGAGCTCTTCCGAGGCTTGGGCTCCATTTCCAACCGCTTGACTGATCGCTTCAAGGAGGCCGGCCTCGGAGCGAACTTCGAAAACCTCATATCCGGCGTCAAGAACTTCCTTCCCGTGAACAAAGACCTGACCCTTACCAAGATCACGGAGTCCCTGATGGACCCTGCGAACGCTTCTAGCTCGGCGATCGCAAAAACGGAGAGCTACCTCTACTTCGACCCTCGGAGCGCAAACGCGCGGGGGACGATGCCACCCGCCAGCCAGGCGAGGAACCAACAGGGGGTGCCAGGCTCCTTGGGTCGAGGCATCGAAGCCAGCTTTGGGCAACGGCGGCAGGCGTTTAGCGAGGCTATTGTTTTCACTGTGGGCGGCGGGAGCATGGATGAGTACGGAAACTTGCAGAGTTGGGCAAGGAGGGCGGCAGGAGGCGCTGGCACAGGGCCCAGGCGGAGGGTGGTGTACGGCAGCACGCATCTGCCTAATGCCGCGGAGTTTGTGAATGAGGAGCTGGCGCGGTTGGGTCGGGAAAGCACATAGTCTTAGACGTGCGGAAGTACGCGGAATCGCATATAGGATTCTGCTTTCAAACAAAGAGTAATTCCAGAAGATAAGACCTTGCCGGCGAATTGCCTGTTCTGTTCCCTATGTAACTGTGCCACTAGAGTGCGGCTCAGCAGCGGCGTTCACTCCGGCGCACGGGTCGAGCGAGACGTCCCCATTACCACCACGTCTTTCGAGCCGCTTCGTCACCATTGACGGCCGCGACGCGTTGAACACACGTAGCTTCACTATTGAATGTGCTCGTGTATTGCCACTCTTCCATACGACTGAAGACGAGGAGGAGGTGAACGATCCAGCAGCGCTGTGAACGTGGTAGCTCTCAAGGTTAAACCCGCCAAGGCTGGTCCGTGGCTTGCGAAGAGTGACGGAGGTCCTGACTTAAATTTCGAGCGACGACTTGCACCCGTAGACTACAACTGATCACCCACCGATACTGCAACAATCCTGCTGCACATCCCTCATCCGACCTTGGTCCGCTCATCCATCAGGCAGCAGTTGCTCAGACCTCCCTTCCGTCTCTCCCTAGCTCAATCCTGCAGCCGACATCTTGCGCCACGTCTACCTCTACCTCCCAAGCCTAGTACATCCTCCGCAACCCGCCGCACCACCAGTCGCTCTCTTTGCTTCCGACTATCGTGCCCAGCATGGCTGCTCCTCGTCGCAGGAACTTGTTCAGGCGTAGACGGCGCGCTGAGGATGAGGGCGAGGATGACGGATCAGTTGCCACGGAGCAGATAGATTCGCAGAGCGAGGCATCGATACCCAGCGACATTGATGAATCCGCCGACGCCGACGATAGCGACCTGAGCGAAACAGCATCAGCGGCGACCGGGCGCACAAAACCAAAGTCAAATGGACTCCGCAAGGTCCCCAGCAGGCAACAGGAGGCCGCGACCACCGAAGGCGCACCTCGGACGCCTCGGACAGAAAGCGAGTTCACCAAGTTGACGGACACGGAGGCGATGATGAACGGATTGAAGATTCCGAAGGAGAACACGCAGGAGGAAGCAGTGGATTTTGAGGACATGGGCGCGACGCCAGTCCAGGCTGTGGAGCCGCAGGCAGCATTGGCACAAACCACGGGCAACCGGCAAGAGACGCCAGCAGAGCGGAGGAAGCGGGAGCACGACGAATACAAGAAGAAGCGCGACTCGGACCCTGCCTTCATACCGAACCGAGGGGCTTTCTTCATGCACGACCACCGGTCTGCTGCGCCAGGGCAGAATGGCTTCCGACCGTTTGGGCGAGGACGCGGTCGAGGTGGGCCGGCTGTGGGCGGACCGTTTTCACCTGCTAAGTACGTCTAGGGCTTCTTCAATTCTTTGCTCGAATCATCTGAACAGCTGCTGACAGGTCATCTAGTACACGGGCGCAAGCCAGCGAAGCTACTAGCGCGCCATGGGCTCACGACCTCCACGAGACACTGAACGAGGTCGGCAAGAAGCCCACGCCCCCAAAAGTAGAGCCGGCTCCAGCAACAGCGCCTGCAAGCGAGCCACAGCCGCCGAAAGTCACTGCTCCCGCACCGCGGTCTGCACCTGCACCCGCACCGAATCGATCGTTCTCGACGTCTAGACATATCGGCAACATCCAGATCCGCGTCTTCCTACCTGGGATGAAAGCGCCCATAATGTTCTCCGGCGTGCCTGTAAAGCAGCACACCCGATTACCCAACCACCGCCCTCCGCTCCGTCGCGACAAGCCTGTACGGATATCGCTGCCGGAACAACCACCACGCTACATCTTCCCTGCGACCGAGCGATCGTTCATCTTCATACCGCGAGCACTCCGGCCGAACCAGCAAGGCTTTGGACGAGGTAGACTAAATCCAAGGCTTGGTTCGTACGGTGGTTTCTCAAGCCGGCGGACAAGCGTATATGGCGGCAGTATCCACTCTCCAAGCATTGCAATGAGTCGGCGGTCCTCTCTAGCCCGTGAAATCACGAAAGACGGCATGGCCTCGCCCGTTGGTTCAGTAATGTCCCGACCGCCCGGCGCACCGATCGACCCCGGACGGCCCGTTGTACGGATGCCACCCGGAAGCCAGCAGCACACCGCGGCCGGCACACCTATCCAGATAACGCCCGGCGGTGGCACGCCCGTCGGACCGCAAGCCTACCCTCTCCCGCAGAAGCCCGCATTCCGCGAGAACTGGCAAACGCCTCTACCCATGCACCAGCCCCGCCCCCAAAAGACCGTCTCAGTAGCCGGCATCGAGTCCCCCGCCTCCCTCACCTTCCACGCGCCACAGCAGCAGGAACAACAGCCCTTCGCGCAACAACTCCCCGCCCACATGAACGGCAGCGCCCCTGTCGCAGATCCAGCGTCTTTCTACCCACATGCACAGCAGCTCGCTTACCCGGTTCAGCCATCTGGCGGCACGCCCCTCTCCAACATCCCAGAACGCGCGATCCACGCCCCAGCCTTCCAGCCCTATGGTCAACAGGCTTTCCAGCCGCCGCAGCAGTATCCGCAGGCCGCGTACTTCTATCCCGCGCCTGCGAGCACGGGAGGGACGCAGTACGCGACTGTCTACGCGCCTGTCTTTGTGCCCGGCGCAGCGCCGCACCAGCCGACATATCACTTCGTGCCCGCCGCGATGCCGGCACCGCAGCACGCTGCCCAGCAGCTGCAGGCACCGGTTGCGCAGCCGTCGGCCACTCAACCTCAGACGGGGGCGAGCACGCTAGTAGCGCACGAGCAGAACGGAATGGTTTATTACTACGATGCGAGCCAGGTGCAGGCACCGGTGGCGGTGCCGATGCAGGGCATGCCGATGTTTGCGCCGGGTGTGGAGGCTATGTATACGATGCCGGGCATGGGGGGCATGATGACGCCGAGTCCGGATGCGGCGTACTTTGTGTCGCAGGGCTCGGGGACGACCCCGGGTGGACAGGTGTTTTATCCGGCGAGATGAGCTGGGGTTTCTCGCTTTTGGGTTTGGTTGTTTGGGGTTTGGGCTGCAGGGGTTCGGGAGTCATGATGAGCGGTTTGGGCCGGGGCTTCCTCTCTTTTCTTTTTGGCGGGCGATGCTGGTGCTATTGGTCTGGTTTTTTCAAGCGTTCGAACGGCGTTTTTTCTGCCTTTCCTTTGCGGGTGCTGCGTCATTACAAGATCCGCCTTCCTTTTCTGCACCACAAGCGTTCTCGGTGCGTTCTTCCTTTGGGCTCTTACGTTTTTTTCATGGGCCTCCTGGCGACATCAACCACGAAAGTATATCATTATTTTGAGCGCATCCTGGTTTCTGCGTTGCTTGCACTTTCTTGTACAGCTGGGCACGGGCTGGCTGGTGGGAGGGCTGGGTCAGGCCTGGTGCAGGGGGTTCCTCAACTCTCAAGCATTTGTTCGACTACTGGGGTTTGATCGTGTCGTGGAACTGTAGACGCGAACAGTGAATGCAATGGTTTTAATCCAGCTTCTATATTCCATGCACTACTGTGATGAACTGTGCGTGACACTTTACTCTGACAACGCTCCCTAAGCCACGCGAGGTGGTGCAGACAAGTAAGTATCTGACTCAAGTAGCCGGATCCTCCCTTCCGTCTACCAAGGGCTTCGCGTGAGGATATCCGACACCAACTCAAAAGCGCATCTCGTAAGCCTTCCTGATTCTCTTCATGTCAATATCAATATCAATCATGACTTCTTACAATAAGCATTTTCACTTTAATCACGAAGTGTTGGGCGATCTCATTGGTATCGCCCGAAGAGAAGATCTGGTGCAGTTCCGCGGCATTCCTTTTGCAAGCATCCCGGCCCGTTTCCGTCAGTCGATAGTTGCCACCAGTCTGCCTGCCAGTCCCTTTGATGCAACAAAGCCTGGGTGAGAACAAATCCCAGATCAATGGTCATGACTAGCATGGCATGAAACAGGCTGATGATGTTCTTCCTCCCAGTCCAGCCTGCCCTCAGATAGATCTACCATACCCGGCATGGTGGGAGGGTCCGCTGCCTGACTATGGCCTACCGTTGGCTCTTCCTGAGCAAGAGGAATTCAAATGTCTCAATCTGAACCTCACAATCCCTCGGGAAGCCCTTGATAAGCCCCATACACGCAAACTTCCTGTTCTTGTCTTCATCCATGGTGGCGGATTCATTGGCGGCAGCCAGAGCATCCAAGTTGGTGGGCGCGAGATTTATGACGCCTACAATCTCGTGAGCACTAGTCTCAACCTGCAAAAAGGACTGATTGTCGTCTCGATCAACTACCGGCTTGGTCCATTAGGCTTTCTTGCCTCCTCACACCTCGAAGCCTTCAACAAAAAGCATGAAGAGCCAGTAGGCAACTATGGCTTGCACGACCAGCGTCAGGCATTGGAATGGGTTTCGAAATACATAGAAGGATTTGGGGGAAACCCAGATAACGTCACGATCCAGGGCACAAGCGCAGGAGGTGTCTCGTGCCATATTCAGTCCATATTTCCGCAGCGCAAGTTCCAGCGTGCCATTTGCGCCAGCGGCACCATACCCAGCCTTGCAGCACAACCGCTTGATGAGCACAACATCTACTTCGACAATCTTTGTCAGCAAGTTGGAGGCATCCCGCAGGGAGAGGATGCTGTAGCATTTTTGCAATCAGTATCTCCCGAAAGACTTGTCTCTACGGCGCCTCGGCTAGCTTACCGTCCAGTGGTTGATGGCCATTGGATCCCCTCACAAGATCTCCCTAGTATACTCAGCACTATACGAGATGCCCCTGATATCATAATGGGGTCATGTGCCAATGAGGTATGTTAAATGACTATTGAAATTTCGTGCGGGTATCACGGGGTATGGCTCCGTTCTCAGGTCCCGCTGACGTTAAACGTGGCAGAATGAATTTGGAGAAGTTTTGTTCGGTAGCGATGACATTCGCTCCGTCAGTCCCGCTGATGCTCGGCCTCGCCCTGACAACATCATTCTTGAGAAGGCGGAGCATCTCCTCGGCGCGAACGGTATGCTCACGATGCAGAAAAAGCCCTTCCCATTCTCACACCCGTCCGTCATTCAAGCATACGGCATTGAAGACGCTCTTCAACAACCCGGCAGGGCCTGGCGGTCTTGGGCTCGATTAGTGACGGACTGCGCCTTCGGAATTGCCGCTGTCTATAGTGCTGTTGCACACTCCAGGCGCTGGCCTACATCAAACGTCTTCCTGTACGACTTCCAAGCAACCAATCCTTTCGAAAAGTCTCCTCACTTCCACGGCAAGGCCAACCACGGCATCAACGACCTTTGTCTGTTCAACGTTGCGGAAGACCTGGTGCCAGAACGACACCTTGAGGATTGGCGAGGCGCCGTCGCCCAGGTCCAGAGCGTGTGGACCGATATCTGCCACCAGAAATTGCCGTGGGGTCGCTTTAACGTAAGCATCGATGAGGAACTGGATTTGAAGAAGATGGGGCCGGTTTTTGTCTTTTCTAACGGTGGAAAGAAAGACGTTGAGGAGACTTTGGAGGATGCACTTTCAGCGGGCTTTCCGGAGAAGTGGAGCACCGTTCTGGATGTCATTCAAGACTCGACTTCAACTACTTAGACCAGGAAGAGTTTGGCCCACCACTTCTTTCTCATTTCGCAGAAGAAGAGGGTGTGGGATGTAGATATATGATGGTCCAAAGCAGACACGGCTGTTCTTAATACTCACAATGAACAGAAGTAAAATCCGGGACTGCTCAAGTCTGGCTCAATTTACCACACAATCGCACGCGGCACATTGCGCCTAAGAAAAATACTAAACGTTGAGCACAAATCGCGAAACAAGGACGTCCGCCACGCTGCGCTTATACAAGACTTTATGCTACTTTTGACATAATTAGGCTTGTCCGAGAATTCTGGACACCTGGAAACAGTCACATGGAAAGCTAGAACTAGCCACTTTCTCCAAAACGCGTCCGCCGCATATCAATTTGGCGGGTGACGGTCTGGCTTACGCAAGTAATACTATATGATGTTCCAAAAGATACAATAGCAAAATGCAAAAAACATACAGTAGTGGGGATTCGCTAGTGGTTACCCAACTACTAATGGATTATCTGCGAGCGTTAGCAAGGTTTTCTTTCCTATTCTAGAGGGTGAGTGACGCCGCCCTAAGCTCGCGCGAGCTAAGGTGAGTATAGGTGAGTATAGGTGAGTATAGGTAAGTTTTAAGCGAGTATAGGTGATCCCTTACCCTAACTTACCTATACCTTAGAGAGCTAAAAAAGGCTCTCTATATTGCTTAGTGTTCTAAATATATTTCGGCTAAGTCTACTATCCTTAGTTTAGTTACCTTCTTTAATTCTTTAAGCTATCGGTAACGTATTCATATCACTCTACTTATTCCACTAACTCTAGACGACTTTATAATTATTCTATATTACTAGACTTTATCTAAGTTTTTTACTACTCTAGCTATAGTGTGTAAAGAGTTTCTTGTTTATATTATATATTCTTTTCTTAGTATTTCTGTAGGTATCTTTTATGTAAACTTCTATTTTGAACTTTTCTAACTAATAGTCTAATAGATTACTTCGATTACCTCCTTATTGCTTGCAAGACAAATAGCTTAAATAATTAGATTTATTGTAAAGAATCTAATAAGCTAGCTTCATTTACTATAAAGTTAATTAAATACCTCTTAGTATAGGGCGTAGAGTTTTTATCGGATAGTCTTTATAAGTAAACTAAGTAGAGTAGAGTCTAAACTAGATAAAACTAGCCTTTAAGAATTAAGTAAATAGGGTGTAAATTTATATAAGTATACTAGGATATAGAATAAAGAGATAGAATTAGATAGTACTACCTTTCTATAAGCTAACTAAGTAGTGTAGTTTTATATAGAAGGCTTAGAAACTAGGGAATAAAGGAGCTAGATTAAGTAATATTAGTTCTCTCTTAGTATAACTAAGTAATATTATTTCTATAGGTACTAGAGTATAGATAACTAGAATAATTAGACTTAATAGTACCTTCAAGTAATTAAAAGAATTAGATAGTATTATAGGTAAGGGATTTAAGTATAGAATTTAAGTAAGTAGATTATACGTATTCGCGGAGGTAAAGTATTAAAATAGAACTACTAAGATAATAATAGAACTATAGTAATAGATTATATGAGACTAAGTAGTATAAAGAATAAGTGTAACACTACTTAATACTATAATATAACTAGTAGTTAACTATTTAAAGAATCTTAAGCCTTATTGCACTTTATCTATACTAACTTCTATATAATAAACCTTCTATACTACTATATACTTCTTTTATTTAGTAGCTATTCTATAGCTACTCTAATTCTCTAAATAGTAGTATAAATAGACGCTAAACTTATTAAAAAAATAAAACTCTAAGTTCTACTAGTAAAACTTGATACTATTAATTCTTATTCCTAATAGCACTCTAGCTTATTATATACTTACCTTAAAGTATTTACTTCTTCTATAGCCTTATAGATAGCTTCTTAAGTCTCTCTCTTAAGCTTTTACTTAGTAGTAGCTATCTACTTTTTCTCTAAATCTATTAGAGTAGATAGATTCTATTCCTTAGACTCTTTAATATTACTAGAAGCACTATTCTTAGGCTAGTTATTATTACTAGAGATACCCTCTATAGGTCTATTACTATAGCTAGAGATACTCTCTATAAGTCTATTTCTACTATTAGTAGTACCTCTCTTATTCTTACCTTAGTCTAGATACCTAAGCTATAGATTATTTATAATAGTAGAAGCTTTATATATCTCTTAATTACTAGCAAAAAAAAGAAGCGCCTATACTAAGCTTAAGTATAATTTCTATAAGAAGTTAATTTATAAACTAGCTTTATAAAGAATCTAGAATAGTTAGTTATACTATAAAAAGTAATTAGTATATTAATTTATACTTATTAAAGATACTTAGCCCTTTTAATATTAATAAAAATATTATAAGTCTAGCGTCTTTAATACTCTATATAGAATTGTTCCTATTAACTCTCTCTTAATTAGAGTCTTCTACTCTTAGAACCTTAAACTTAGACTTCTTATTTCTAGAAGGTTTCTTAGCTTTAGGTTCTATATAAGCTTCTATAATCCCTACTAGAAGGTATTAAGTAGTACTTCTAGTAATAGGTAAGCTATAATTAGAAGTATTAAACTTCTCTATAAATAGATTATACTAAACTATTATATTTATAACCTTTTAGATATTCTGAAAAACTATTTAGTCTTATTTATAGTAGTAGTTGTTCTTATTTAATAGCGAATAGCTCTAACTTAAAAATAGATTATCTCTTCTTACACTAGTAAAGAACTAGGCTATAAAGTAGAATTCTTCTACTTAATAAAAAACTTAGTAGATAGATCTAAACTTATTAAGAGCCTTCTTATACTAAGTATTAAGATACTTCTTTTAAAATACTAGCGTACTAAAGAGCTTTCTGAAATTAAAAATAACTACTATATTACGCTAGGAAATTCTATCTACTAATATATATTAGGAAATTTTTTTAGCTACTTAGAGCTACTTAGAGCGCTTAGAGTTTACTCTAAGTATTTAGAGTCTTTAAGTAATTCTATTTACTTATAAGTCGCTTATAAGCGGCTCTAAGTACTTAGAGTAGGTCTTAGTGCTAAGTCTACTTAATTATTACTAAAATTTTTTTAGAGAAAGCTTTAAGTCTAATCTAACTAGTAATATAGAGATAGGTATAATATAACTAGTTTAGAGAGTAAACTTTTAATAAAAATAATTATTATCCACTTAACTTTTAGAAACGTAGATATATTACCTAGTTTTATAGGGGGGTAAATACTAAGAGAGAAAGAAAACTCTAGGATTTTTTATATAATTTATGTTTTTTATGCTTACTAAGTAATTTATACTCGCCCTAATTAATTAGAATACTTAAAGTACTTAGAGTATCTCTATTATTACAACCTTATAGGATAGGACCGGCACCGCCGGCATGAGGCCGAATAATAGCTAGCACAGGCTAGCCACCACGTGACTACTAGCCACTACTAGTAGAAGGGACCACGTGATAAGGGATAGATAGTAGGGCTAGTAAAGGATAGTAGTGCTAGTACTACTAGCTACAGCTAGCCATAAATAGCACTAGGTAGTATATAGAAGACACTGTTCTCGTTTATTAGAATGGTGTGCTTAACTTAAATAAGAATTTAGCATTCTTTATAATATTAATCTAATCTCACCACATGCTATTAATCCTCACCTTATTAACTATATCTTAGCACTATTCCCTATCTCCTTAATTAGGACCCTAACTATTATAGTAACTTTTATTATCTTATAATAGCACCTTATTATACTTTAAGTACCGCCTTTATAGAATAACTAAGATTAACACGTTAATATATCTACTATAGGGTCGACCACCGGACCTATAAGGGGATAGGCACCACTACTACCTCTAGCGCCGAAACTAATTAAGGTTAAGATACCGGATAAATATAGTAGAGAGCGTAATAAACTCAACTTATAGCTACTCTAATACGACCTATACATCTAGCACAATTAGGACCGCTTCTAAGAAGAAAACGAAGTAATATTTATTATCATCTATTTAAGGGGACGAGTATTTAAGTAGATCTAGCCCCATCTTAAGGATTTCCTTAAGAATAATAAACGTAACTAGTCCTAGGAAATAATAGAACTATTTACTAATATACTCTCGTTTAAAGTAAAGATATAATAAGTATTTAGGGATATTAACGCAGCACGTACTATAGAAAGAGAACTAATAAATTTGACTTAGAAGGGATTAGCAGCCAACTACGCTACCTAGTTCTAATTAGTAGTGTTAAACACCTTATAGGATGAGACGGCTTTAACTGCGTAGTACTACTAAGGATTAAAAGAGAATATTAAGAACAACTTAGTTAGAAGCGACCGACCGGATTGTTTATAGGGAATAATCTTAACGTTAATTAGGATTAATAATCGACTATACGAATAAAGGTTGGAAAAGAAAGACTATAATGCGCTAGTAGTGGTAGGACGTAAGTAGAACCACCCTACTTAGTATAACTAGAACCTATATAGGCTTAGACCTATAGAACTTAACGCGATAGAGAGACGCCTAGGGCGTTTCTCTAAAAAAAGATTGTAGGAAGGACGCGGGACGCCCTTAAGAGGATAAGGACTATCCTTAGAATAAAGGAAGCCCTTTATAGGAAAATGCTTTAACTGCGATTATATAGGACATATCGCCCGAGACTATAGGTAGCTAAAGAAAACCTAATTACTAGTAAAGATAACTAGCCTAAAGAAGTAAGGTAAGTTAGCTGCTACTATAACTTATTATAGGGCTATATTCTAGACTATATACTATAATAATAGGTGTTAGATACACCTAAGTAATAAGAACGGATTAGAATAGTTTCTAAAACCACTAAGATTAGGATAGGCACTATAAGTTACTAAGAAAGAACCTAGCTAGAGGACCCCTACATGTAAGAAGGAACTACGACCTCTCTTAATTAGAGAAAGGATTTAAACGGAATCTAGTCACTAGGGTTTATAGGTAGTAGGCCTAGTTGCGCCTACCACGATACTACGA